TCATTTTGCAGCGGCACGATACTGACGGTGACCATTTTACAATACCCGGGTGGCGTGCTCTGGTACCTACAGTCAAACCTGCAATTGACGATTGGTCCTCACACAGCTAATTTGATCGTTAATCCCAGGTAACCCACTTCTTACCCAGAATGGAAGGCATGGGAAGGAAAAGGGGCTCGGCTCACTGCAATTGTAAGAGATGGTACGTAGATGGGCATATGCAAGATTGAAGGTCTTTAAAGTAGTTGTGACGAATCTCGGTCCCCTAACCACTGAAAGGGACTTCTCAGACTGAAGGTTCTCAATAACGGGGTGAGGTTCGGTAGAGCCAAAGGGTCTACAACAATTGACACAAGCAAGTGTTCACACAGTAGTAAAGACAACTGCTTGCATTGCTTACTGGGGAACCTCCTGGAGGTCCCCCCCTGAGGGAGTGACTAGCTAGCTAATATACTGAAGAGTTTCCTTTTGTCCTAAGCTTGCCCTTTGTGGAGCGCTGGGAGCGCATCACGCTCCCATCGCTCCTGGGAGCGTCCTTTTGTCCCTTCGCTCCTCGGGAGCGATGCCAAGACCGCACGCTCCCCTTGTGATTGGCATCTGTCTTGTTCTTGAATGATTGGCTGGGGCACGCCCCATACCTCACGCGGCTGCAGCCTCCCAGGCCGCCCATGTGGTTATTCGTAACAGTAGTGGATTGAAGTGGTATTCGCTGGAAAAAGGATGTATTTAGTATGGGGGTGCCAGAGGTAATGGCCAGTCAGGGCTGGAAAATAACAATATTTAAGTAATGAAACCTCCTTTTGTATGTATTACTAAGCATAATTTCAATCGTTATATCGGATAAGCCAGGGAATATCGAATTCGTATGGGATTTTCATCGGTAACTCGATAATCTATCGCTAATTGGAGGATATCGTTAATCCTCTGATCGTGAATTGCAGGTTTGACTGTACCTACCTTACTTTAGCCGCGACTAGTGTACATACGATGCATCTCCTACTGCGGCCTACCTGCAGCCCTTTTCGCTTCGCGGCAGTTGCTTGGCTGTTTGTGTCTGGCCTGCCCGGTGACAATGTGTCTGCCGGTTTCGGGTCCCCCGCTTCCTGCACCAACACCAACACACCACCACACGGGGGCCGGCGCTTCGCTTCACCTTGCAACTTGCAAGCGAGCTGTCATGCAATTGGCGCGCCAACCCGCCTCCTCGGTAGCGAGCGAGTGTCCAAGTTTCTCGCTTGAAACAGGACACCCCAACCTGGAAACGCGCCCACTCTCACAGGCGACAGGCGGCAATTTGTCCTAGACTCCTACTAACGGTATGCTCTTCGTGTGATGTGTGTGTTGGACATACACAAATACGGATACAATGTTGCAACTTTTCGGCGCGGTAAAGCTTCGCTGCAGATTCCGGTTTGCCGTCTTAAAGATGCATACTGTGGTATGTAGGTAAGGTAGCTTCGTATGTATACCAAATTCCTATATGGCCAGGCATTGGTAGGAACCGCGTTCGTTCTCGATCAACCAACGACATGGACAATTTTACATACGCGTTGCCGCTGGAGGCCCTGTGACGGGATGTGATCGGGCTGTGGTTCGGCACCGGATGCGTACGTACACATACAGTGAGTGAGGAACGTGGAAACGGATAACCAGGTTGGAAGAAATATCACTTTGTATTTTTATTTTTATTTTTATCTTTATTTTTTATTGTCCGCTTTTAATCTATCAAAACGGCCTCCAACCCCCAGCCTTTGGACTAGACACCACCGCCTTCCCAATTTTCATTTTCCACGAAGGAACAACCAACACGCAATGCTAACCGAACGTTAGACCTGGTCGTCTTCCAGCGTTGCCCCCAGCTGAGTGCGCTCACCGGTCGACCATTCCGTCCCGCTTTCCAGAAGGCCCCATTTTCTGGATTTCGATCAATCCACCAATCAGTGCTGGTGATGGGGGCTGTTCGGGCCTTGGACCCCGGCCCCACTCCTCAGTACCAAGCCGCGGAATGCGCCCGCCCGGCCCCGACCGGGTGGCTTGATTGGCGAATGCAGCAAAAGAGGGCACCGGCCATGTGTTTGGGGGGAGCCCCTGTCACTTGCAATCTTGCCTGTCATTCAGCTCGTGGCATGGGATCCGACCACACATCAACCGGGGAGGACCGAGCGCTCGGGTTCTCGGGCAAGGTTTTCCGTGAGGGTGGTTGTTCCATGGCGGTGGTGAATTATGTATGTACTGTACACTACTGTGCGGAGTATGTACGGAGGGATTTCAGTACTCATGAGCGAGGTGTTTTTGAGCAACTTATCTCCCATCAAAGAGGCACGCGAATGTATGTACATCGAATTGGTTATCTGGCAAAAAGAACGCATCCGAGTCTGGAGTCAAGCTGCCGCGACGGTCAAACCCGATTGCGGATTTCCTTACTCTGTACGTACTGTTGGGTATTTCCCGGGCCGCCCTAGTCTACCAGAGTGCCGAAGGGGAAAACGCTGCACGATTCTCCGTACCTTTGTGCCGCAGTCACTGAGAGTTACATAGCAATGATCGTCAGAACTTTTGATAGATCAGAGACCTTAATATACACTAATGTACTGTACCGCTGTCGCGTAGTTTAATGGGTTGCGGTGGGACTTGGTCTGGAGGAAATATTGCCAGTGGTCCGCCCGAACCCCTTCGGGAGCCCGTGTCGGCGGCGCGTCCGTTTTTTGGACAGGCGCGCCGACGCATTCCAGGCCGTGTTCAGGCCCTCAGACATAACGTGGTGTAGACTACATAGTGTATGTATGTACATGTATCCGTAGTATAGCAAGACGAGCCCGCGAAAGGCCTCTCCGTTGGTGAGTGGTGACTTCGACAAAGCGGCGACCTAAAGACCAAAGTGCTTTGACTTCTCGTACAAGGCGTTAACTGACCAACCGCTGGGATGCCCCAAATCTGGTTCCAAATCCGCAAGCCGGAGATGAGGTTGCTTGGACCTGTTCATGCACGGTCGATCTACATACCTAGTACACTAGTGTACAACCTGGAGTTGACGTTACCAAGCAATGTACGAACTACGGAGTACATTTTGTTGATGTTGCTTGATCGCTCCACATGATCGGCCAAAGCTACCAGGTACCTTATGAAATCACTACGGAGTACGTATACAGCTGGTGATATTGTGATTAGGACCATTGCATCATTGTTGCAACTCCGTCTCCCACCTCTGTATCCACCTAGCTGTCAACCGCAGTCAAAAGTACCCGGCAACAACTACACTACGAAAAGAGCCATCTAACGCCGATAGTAGTAAAATGGTTTCTTGCGGCATTTTCTCGGTTCAACACGGCGTGGCTCGACGGGTAGACGACCCAGCTCCTGTCATTGTTCCTTTGCCCCCTCGGATCCGCTTGGCTGTCCCGGGCCTCGTGGGAGCAAGGATTGTGCTCTCCCCGGCAACACCAGGGATTGTTTCGTCAGCTCTTATGAATTAGCCAAGGGTGAAGCTATCACCGCTGAGGGAAAAGTCCTTCTACAGTTGCTTCTAGAAGATCCAGGATCGTGAGGTCGGTGAGCACTCGATGCAAAAGCTTACCAGTTCTGGAAGAGTGCCGGCCAAATTCGGAGGTTTCATTGGCTCTGTCTCAAAATCCCGCCGGTCTGGGCACCCCTGGTCAGGGGCATTAGCGTCAAGCCTCGACGGTGACCTTGTCAAGTCTGCTCCCTGTTTTCAAGAGAATTCCAGGATAAACAAAGAATTATTATTAAACTTATTTCATGAATTATTACTTTTATTGTTTCTGAAAGAAATTGCATGACATTGTTTCGATATCTCGGGCTGGATCCTTTTGACCGGGCCGACAGGCTTGTTTCATAGCACTCTCCGCCCGGCGTCTGAACTGGTGGTCCACTGTAAACGTTACGTCAGGACGGCCCGTGGAGGTGGTGGCCCAATGCCTCGGATTCGCCTGTCAGTGAGCACCCGTGGACATGGAAAGGGGAACCTGTGAAGTCACTGAGGTGACACCGCACCTGGAAGTCGGAACTGGGAAACACATGTGAAAAGGTCAGGTGAGGATGTCCAATTCTTCGAAAAACGTATAGGAAGACGGTAGTGCATGTCTGTTCCTGCCCAGTAGTGATTGCAGTCGGGTGTTTGCCCATGCGTACCTGATTGCTAGCCCAGTATGCTGTAAGAGACTTCGAATCCAAGGTTTTCAGTGCTTTCAGTTTAAATTGCTAGGGCTGCTACGTGTGCTTCGTAGCTTCCTCCATTTCCCCGCCGGTGCGCGATCTCCCAAGATTGTCAGATTCCAGATTCCAGGTTGTCAATCTGACAGATCACAGATCACCGCCTGCAGTCAGTCGACTACCCCACAACATCCACACGCGACCCAGCCTCTGACGTCGACACTCCAGGTGAGCGCTCATCGCTCGCTGTTATTTCCATTGATCGGCCACTGGCTTCAGCAAATGACCGTAAGAAAGTACCTTATGTACATGAATTCGCACAACCGGCCCAGCGGTCGTGACAAGACTGGAGGCGGAAGCAAATGCACGTCATCTGTCACTCGGCGATGCTAGCTGCAAGTCATGTCGATCCGGCTTGGACTTGAACAAGGTACATACGCGGCTTGGTAGCAGATGTATACTCGTCATAGATACTGCGAAACGAAGGTGTCCCCGAATCCCACATCGGCACCACTGGCACCCACTGTGTGATGTAAACAGTCATACTAGTAGTGCTGCGGTATCTCGGCCGAATGGCCCCTTTGAGAATCATCGCTAGCCGCAGTACTTGAAGACCGAACGCATAGCAGAGCGTCTCGGTTGTTCAAAGACGTTACTTGGCGTACTCTAAGTGCCTTGCCCTGTTTTGCCCGTTCGAAATCCATATCTTTGTGGAATCAACAGCCTGTAGGTAGTCTGTATACCAAGAATGGGACTGTATATGAGCTGCACAACTCGATGATAAGTAGATAGCTATCTGACCGATCGGCAGCAATGCCAACTATATACTAGCGGATATAAGTATCAGCCAGCGTAAATCCCTGGAGTCGAATCTTCCGTTGGTCAACCCTTTTCGCAAGGAGGCCAGTTTCGAAAGTCATCCATGATACCCGGGGCCGAGGAATCCGGGAACTGTAATGTCCCGGCGGGATAGCTATGGCTCGTTGCACTTGGTCATAGGAGGCAGTTCTGATATTTGATTCTATCCCAAGTAAAGCCTGAGTTCAAAGAACGAGCTCAACTTCTCTAGAGGAAAGAGTAGAAGCCTTCCATGAACTCACCTCCTTCTCCTAGTAGCCGAAGACAGTCTTGGCTGGGGTTCCAGTAGGTACCTTTCGGGCTGCTTGTCATAGTTGAGTCATACGAAAGAGATCCTTATGAAAAGAGGCAACACATTAGTAGGTAGTGGTTGCTGGTCTAAGAATCAAAAAGTATGAAAGGTAGGTACCGGTTCTCGGAGCGGCTTCCACGTTCTTGCCAGGCTAGAGCAATAGTAGACGTAGAATACTGCGCCTTATCTAGCAAAACGATGATGCCGGGGGCCATTTGGGATAGAGTGCAGCATCGTAGTATATCTCTGAGGTTATGGCCAGCGGTCGAACTTCTACCTTATGCAGTAACTTCCTTGGAATCCAGCTTTCCATGTCAATGACTTGGTAAATTAGACTTTCGGCGGCCGACCTTGACATGGGGGTACCGCTTGCTAGTAGTACCTTACCGTACAGAAAGAGAGTTACTAAGGTGTCAGTATTCACTGGCATCAGGCCCCCTGAACTGCCGATCCGTTCTAGATGCGTTGAGTAAGGTACGGAGTAGCTACCTAGGAAGGTACGAAGTTATGTTGCCAAAGCTGCACGCAACACCTATGAGCAGCAACCCCTGGTCAATTCTCACCATCCTACCTTACACAACAACCAATGCCGAAGCTTCGTGTAATCGCACAGCACATAGCTCAGGCTCTAAGTAGCACGGTGTTGGATGAGCATTCACCTTCAGTGGTATGCTCCGAGTCCTCGGCACAACCAAATACTTCGCGGCCGACAGCTCCTTCCCATGAATCTCCCGATAGGGTGGTGTGGAGTAGTCAGTCTATGTGCTCGACGTTGGCTTCTTTGTGTTTAAGTGACCTAGGTAGATTGGCTCTCAATAAGAGCCTACGGGGGGTTCGTCATTACCACCACTAAGCAGTGATTGTTACACGTCTTGGACTCGTTCACGATTCATCTAGTCTGCTTGCGAGCTTGCTTTGAGTAAGTCAGTACCCGGGTAGTATTGGCTGGCGGATCGTCTGTCCCTCTTAGTAGTCCGCCATGGGGCAAGCCGTGGCGGGGCTGTTTGATAAGTATCAGGAGATCTCATACTATATGTTCGCTTGAATTTGCGGAACCTGCTCAAGTTACACTCCTCTTACAGTGGAGGCTCTGCCAGACTCATTTGTTGATTCCAAGGCACTGCAGTTACTAATGGCGAGACTTGAATCGCCCACGAAGTTCTCAGCACTTCGCAACCTACCTAGGTAACAAGAGACCATGGATGTAAATACAGACTCTAAACAAGGCTATTCTGAAACCACGGCTATTCACCTCATCTCTCAACTGTCAAGGAAGCATGTGGGCTATATCAGATTCAGCCCTCTCAGCTTTGCGGGGATGTAGGTGTGGCATTTCAGCTATTTTTACCCCTTATTCCTAATGTATTTTGTCGACCACCAAGAGCTTTGAGCTTGTCATTCCATCATGATAAACAAGATTGCTACGTCCGTAGTGTACTAGCCATGTTCACCCGGATCTTGATCGTATTGCTCAAGTCCTGATAGAAGCTGCTAGAACTGAACGATATGATGAACTGGTGTTGTTAACCCTCCATCTCTCTCTAGGTCCATGGCTCGGACTTTACCCTCGAGCTTGGCTGGGTCGACGCCCGAAGGCAACATGAAGTAACATGATTTGGGTTAGTGAGCATCCCTTACATGGAGCCTTCTGCGCCAGGAGCAGCAAGCTCATCTTGAACTGCCGGGCCTTGTTACTGCCTGCATCCAACACGCGCTGTTCATGTTGTCAGCCACAGATCCAACAGCTGACCTCAGCCCCCTTAAGAAGGCGGGGGTGGTGTATCTATGTATGCATGTGGCAGAGCGCTGACTTTGGGGGAACTTGAGAAGACAGAAGAGACCGCACAGGGCGAGGGTGGTTGGCGATGATGCTGGGCGTGAATGGTCACGGGGGTGGTCGTGGGGCCAGGTATGTGTGTCCATACATGGACGAAGAAGGGGTGGCTACCCCTAAAAGCAGCAACGAAAAAGAGTGTGGAAATTGTTTCATCGTCTCCCAATTGAGCCTCACAAACCCTCACGTGGAGGGCACCCAGCCGGCCAAGCACCCAAAACAGACCAAGTTGTCAATGGATGCAAGCCCAATCCAACCCCCCGTGCCCGCATGCCACCCTCGCCTTGCCCCCCCCAATCCCCCCGCGGCGAACGGAATGGGCCCTATTTTGCGTCGTGTAACACACGACCCGAGACCGTCCGTCGTACTTCAGATGCTGCGCTGACGGTTGCTTCGCCGCGTGTGTCGAATCTCGTCGAAAAAGAAAAGGGTGATAAAGTGATTTGATGTTGGACAGAGGAAGTTCCCTGCAGACACCAGATACTTCCAACTCCAACCTACGGACATTACGCGATGGGTAGCGGTCAATCGCCCCGCCGCCACAGCGGGTTGTCCCTCCCTTGGCCGGGGTCACGAGCAAGGGTCCGGCGCATCACATCATCAGTCATCACGATGACCGCGCCGCGTAGAGGGGCCGGAAGAGGCCACGCCACGGCGCCTTTTGACGCGGGGAGGTCTTCTTCGCTGACGCGCTGTGATTGGGTTTTCATGCGAACTGGGGGAGATGAGGGACGTGCGTCCGGCACGAGGCAAACCGCGGGACAGCATCGACAGTTTGTACAAGTTGGTCGAAGATCTGCAGGCAACGGCTCAAAAACCCTTGTCGCATTGCGCTTCTCACCCGCCTTATGGCCCCGCGCGTCAGGGCGCAACTGCGATGTATGTAGTACTCATAAGCGGCAGGTTGCGAATGCCCTCACTGGGGTATTGCTCTGCGGAAACAGGGCTTGTTATTGAGGAAGAGGCCTCATTCTGTTGATGCCAGCGTCACGGGTCACTCGGATGTCGCCTAGACCAAGGTAGGTTACGTGGAGTTTGACTGTCGCCTCGCTTGTATGCTCCTCAGTGCTGTGAAGAGATGTGTATCAGCTTGTCTCCAATTGAAGTGTGGCCCAAACTTAGTCTAGATCATCTCGCGTTGAGTATGTTACCGGTACATACTGGTCACAGATATGGACCGTGTCAGCGGCTCTCAACACGAGGCGAGACCCAAGCGCTGCAAGTCACAGTCCTAAAATTGCGTGCCGGCATCTGGGATCTGCTTCCCTGTGCCGGGTAAAAGGCGACCTGAGTTAGTGCAGTAGCCTTCCCTCTCCCTGTCAAGTGCGCTGTGGCTAGGATAACCAGCGAGTCGGCTGCCATTCCAGCAGCTTTACCCGGCGACTTTAGCCAGCGCGGAGAAGGGTAAGCCTCAACCCGCGGAGGTGCGCCTAGACTCACCCTCAGGCTCTTCGACAGGTTGGTACAAAGTTGACAAACAGGCGGTCAGGGTTAGTAGGTTGCAGTGCAATAAGCGTTGAAGGGAAACGAGCGTTTCTAGCCAACCCCTCGACATCCGAGACACGGGAGACTCGGATCTCGTGCAATAGCAGACTTTGCTGTTGTGTCCGTGACTCGAAGGTTGCAACAAATAACGGGAAAAACCAGTAATTTGTCTAAAATGATTGGTGCAGCACATCGTAACCAGCTGGTTGGAAGGCGCGCTGCAACCCTTCTGTCTCTCGAATAGGGCTGGTTCGTTAACAACGTCTCAATATGGCAACCTGAATGTACCCAACACAGAGGCAGGTCTCGGATTTTGCTGGACAACCTCCACAAATGGAAGTGCGCCAAATGCTCACCGAAGGCTCACCCGCCCTCCCCGGGAGAAACCCTATTGGAGCACCGTTCGAGTATCTGTGTAACCCGAGCGATGACGGATCGATGGAGGTTGTTAGTCTGACCACCATTCGATCGCTCACAAATCAGAGTCGATAACCGGGGACAAAAGGAACGGTCCGAAGCATTAGTTCAGTGATCCGGGGTTCCCCGGAAGTATGACAACAAGTAAGCCTGGAGAACAAAGTTCTGAGGTCATCAATTTTGTATCTCGTGCGCATCTCGGCGATCCAAAGGCCCGAAGTGACTTGTCATCATGTCTTGTTGAAGTTCAGGAGACTCAAGAGAAATTCAGTGACGCCTGAAATCGGGAGCGGATAGTAAGCAAAGCAAAGCATAGGACCAGCGCCTGGAAAGACGTCGACTCAGCAATAGCTAACAGGACCACCTTATTTTGGCGCCCGTAGCAGCAAAAGCCTCGGGCAGCTAGACTCAAAGAACCGACTGAGCCAATCTCGGCGATGCGGCTCTATCAACCGTCGAACACTGAGGCAATCAGGAACAGTTCAGTCCTCGAGAACCCTGACCCAGGTAGAGTTGAATGGCGCAACAAACCACCAGTTAGAGCGGCCTAGTAGTACAAGGACCGGAGTTCGCTCGACGGCGTTGGCTTCTGAGGCTCGCTCCAGTGGCATAGGTTTGAAGTGTAAGATTCGTCCCACCACAACTCTAGTGGTTGGGTGAATCACTTCAAAGCGGTGTCGTCAACCGCGTCGAGGAGCGTGTAATGCCTCGCTCGATGGCCCATGGTGTCGGTGGCACAACGGCGTATACGACGTATCAAGAGTCGGGCTGAAAGGCCACGGTCGTATAAATGTTGACTGTTGGGTCAGCGAGGGCAACAGTGTTGAGATATTCACCAGATCTGTATCACATCATAATTTAAGCCGGCATATTCGTGCATCTGGGGATGCATGTACGTCCCAGAGGGAAGCTTCGACCGATCCAACGAAGGTCTACCGTCGCAACTCACCTTCGATGACGGCTGCTGAGTGAGATTAGGACACGTCCGGGAACCAAATCTATAGCCACTGCGCTTTTGCAAGGATTGCAAGCGGGAGGTTGGCGGGATTGATGTAGGTAGGGGTGTTGCGCCGCACACGAAGTCCATATTCGTCGTTTGCATTGCTTGTGCTCGTCCTTGCCCTTGGTTACTGCCTCACAAACGCGAAACGGCCCCCAGTTGTCTGTTGTCGCACACTAGACAAAGATCATCGGTGGCCAGCACAACCATGACTAACCATTACTCCAAGGAGAAAACAACCGCGAAGGGTCCAAACCGATGCTCGGTCTGGTAGGATCCCAAACTGGCCAATTCAGATAACAGTTTCGGGGAGGAAGTTGGGTTTGGCAGTCCATGTCCGATGCCCGGCCCAATTCGTTAACAAACACTGGAAAACCGAGAGAGAGAAGACCCGGAATCAGTGAACTTCCCCAGACTTGTGGAAATTAGCGACGGCATGAACTCCGTCACAATATAGTGACACTCTAAAATCCCATTCAACGGGTACTTGCGCCTAGCAACTCATCGCGGCCGGAAGAGAAGAGAAGCACTGACCGAAAGGCGAAGCCTGCCTGCGGCAAGGCATAATTGCCGGCCCGGCCTTACTACAGTCGTAATTTACGAAGTACTACAGTACGGAAAGTTATTAGTATAGTACCTAACTCTGCTCATCCGTCAAACTACTGTAACTGATGAAAGTCCCTTACTTCGTACTTCCGGGTCAATATCAAGCCACGTGGGATTTTAGACGGCGGGCCATCCCATCTCTGCAGGATTCTCATCAGTACCTATTGCCGACCACCAGAGGTGGCTTCCATCAGTCTTGCAAGAATCAATGGGCCCTTTGATACCGTTACCTAGGTGTTAGCTTTGTCAGCAGCGCTCCCCGAAATACAAACCAATAATTTACCTTGGATACCTTAATACAGCAGTGGCATCGCAGACAATGCGTCTTATAATAATCACTGCTTATTGTCGCATTGTCCAACCAACACCTGAGCGTGACCCTAGGTGACGGGGGGAGCTGGGCTGGAGGGTCGGGCCACTGCAGTCACTTGACGAGCGCCACATCGGCGGCGGCGGCAACACGGCAGCAAAACAAGCCACCGCCGACCGGCCGCAGACAGGATTTCCGAGCTTCGCAGCTTCCTCATCAGGCACACGCCGGTAAAGCCTCCAACTCTCGAACAGCAGACGTCGCGGACAAGAAGCGGCAGAGTTATCGTTAGGCATATTTTTTTCTCAATGCACAAAAATGCGCACATGACCGGCAGTCAGGCGAGGCGGCAGAGCTATTGTCATTGCCCCGTCCCGCCCCCCGAGCGTGATCTACAGCCGAGAAAGATAGTCTGGGGAAATGGGGAGAAGGCATTACCTGTCTACCTCACTTGTGATTGATACCGACCGGTCAATCTGGCCAGCTGTTAAGCGAGTGACCATCTTTCACACAGCCCACTTTACACGCGGCAGTCTCTGAGGCGGCCAGCGCGCAAGGCCGGGCCTCAAATGTCTCAATGAGCACACCCTCTTTCCCTCATAGCACTGGACCCTGAAACTCCCGCTTTCACGGGCCTGACCCCGCACCGGCGAGGTCACCGGCCCAGAGTCTTTTAACCAGAAGATCCATCTTGTTCTTGTCGGTGTGTGCGCATCCTGTTAGCTGTGCTGCTTTGCTGGCCCGACCCAGAACGAGACAGCCTGGACGGATGGACAGCCCGTGAGACACGGCAGGGTAAAGCGATCATGGATGCTGTACACAATGGTTTCGGAGGCACGACGTGCACGAAGTACAGGGCTGGGAAAACACTAAACAGCCATGTGATTTGAAGTAACGTTAGTGTACAGTAGATACGGTACACATCGGCTATTCTGCCAATTGCCGATCAAGAAACGGGGGGCCAACGCCACCCGCATTGGCGGACCGTTTATGCGGGCTGACAGCCTCCGGCGCCGAGTTGAAGTTGCCTCCAGCCCTAATTGATGAGCTCCGCCGCGTTGTTCAAATCAAAGCGGTCACCCGACTCAATACCCGGCCAAGGGGCGGGCTAACAATCGACAGGACGGTTTACGGACCGCCTGTCAGAGTCTCATTCTGGGTTGGCAATTGATTCAGGGACGGATGCGACTACTGCGAATGTCACGGTTGCGATCTTTGATGTGGTCGGGTCCCTTGATCTCGATCACGACTGTCTTATGGCAATTGGGAGAAATATCTCAACATGCCAGAAAACCCCAGAAATTTAAGAATAATTGACGATTTTACCATTTTTCCATGTTTTACCCTTTGCAACCTCGGTTCCACCGTCGTATTGGGCGCCGGATGACGGAGTCAACCGAGGTGTCACCTCTCTGGCACTGGTCCCTAGAGACAGATTTTGACAGACATCAGTCAACGCGCCCCTCGCCCCAATACCTCTACGTCAGTGAACCACAAGGGAAGCGAGCCCATCTGATGTGTCTCAACGGCGAACAACAACCCTTCTCAACCTCCAGTCTTCGCTACATAGGTGCGCACTCCGCTGTTTCTGTCCGGGTTTGCCGGCCTTATCCTATCCGTTCTCCAAAGCCGATGATGATCATCGGCTCTCTTGGGCGGCATATGTAAGGCAAACCCTCAAATAGCAGGAAGGCGGATATACGATATAGCTACACCGGATACCTCACTCAAGCCGCAAGTACCTCAGGTATATAGTCAAGGCCGAATAGAAGGTAACACCCCTTCATATCCCCAACCTGCCATTGTTAGAACAAGGCCAAAGACAGCCTAAGGCTATACCTTCGTATGTGTAAACCAGTGCCCGTGGCGGTGCCGATGTCGATGATCTGAGAAATACGTCCAGGCTCGTGAACCATAAACCCGGTGTGAGCAATATCTGCATGAGAGTGCGTGAGACGCAGATAATACAGACTCTACATGTATTGCACGTGCAACCCGTGATGCTCTTTACATCCCGCCAATCGAGGTTCATGTGATTTCGGGCAAGGCGAGAGCGCCACAGTCGTCATGTTAACCCCGCCCACCCCACCCGACCATTGCGCGACCAGCCACAACTCTCAAAGATCCAGCTGGGAATGGTATCAAGCGTGTGGGGGCCGTACACGAGATAATCCGACAGACAGAGGATCTATTTGTACCTTCGTACAAATTGCGTTATCTATCAAGCCCGAGCCGGGCACAAATCCCTATAAGGAAGGAAGAAAACAAAAGAAATCTGCAAATCTTAACAAGCTTACAAATTGGGAAAAACATCCTTCTGGGAGGCCACTGACAAGTTACGCTCCATACTCCGAACACCATAGGTGGCTTTACTACGGTAGTCGGGCCGGGAGGAGCTCTATGGACCGAGTGGAAGAAAATTAAGGTCCACTCAAGGTCAAGCTATCCTAAGGCTCCGCAATTTTCTAGAAAAATTCCATATGCGACGCGTCGCTTAATGGTGTAGATAGGTACCTTACCAGCGCTGTAATGTATCGTCCGCTTCTGTTTTTGACAGCTGCAACGTCAGGCTAGGGTCTGAATAACCGTCGGGACGGAACCGCGGCTTTTGGATTTTTGGGTTTATGTTGCATAGGTGGTTAGGTCAGGTAGGATTCAACGGTTGCACTTTGGGTGGAAAAGACCCATTTCTCAAAATACCCTACAACGCCAGGTCATGTCAGAATGGCAAAGTTTGACGCCTTAATTATTTAGTGTTGGATAGCTTCCATGGCTACAGCAGAGCAATTCCGTCTCTGCAACTCGACGTCTCTTCGCTTCAGCAGGGTCGGACTGTTTGGCGGAGATCGGTTAGCATAGAGCTTACAGAAAGGTAAGTTTCGGTACGTTGCTTAGGTATTGTACGAATTTCGAAGCACACAATCCAACAATCATTAGGCAATTTCTTATGCATGGGACGCACAAAATCACTGGATATACACTCAAGGTTCAAGCTCTCTTCAAGTCTGGTGGACGGAAGTTTAAATTCTCCGTGAAGAGTAGTCGCAATTGGTTAAGGTGTTTATATGCCGGGAGTGAGCTCTTACTCGTCGCGTGGTTCTTAGCTGTGCCTCTATCCACTACCGGATTGCTAAGAGTCGCTTTGCTGGGTTATGTGGCATTTCAACGAGGCCTAAGCGTGATGCACAAGTTTGCTGGTTCTATTCCAGTTCGACGTAAAATTCCAAAAACCAGTAAACGGCGCACCCGGCTATGTATGTATGCCGTCCGTTTCTCGGTGGGAATCCGCCGGTACGGATACCTTTTCCGGCTTACCGGTTCCCGGGTGGGGAACCGAGATCTCGCCAATCTTGACTCCGCACACGCGCGCTTGTCTTATAGTTCCACCCTCTGTACCGGCACGTAAAGTATTTGCGTCTTGAACCGCGTGCACTCTAGTGTATAGCTATCGAGGCATGGTATTGGTGGTGCCGGAAGCACCGCGAAGTTCCGGGCGTACGGTGTCCGGGCTCATATGTAGGCAAACTCTTGTACTGTAAGTCGCTGACTGTTTGGCAACGAGGCAAGCCGATGCCCAAGAGCCGATGCCGTCATCCGATTGAGAGCAGAAGGGGCAAAGGCCTCCCCCTTCAGCAAACAGCTCTGACATTTGTACGACTCCCATTCGAGATTCAACTCAGGGGCAAGCCCGGAAACTGCTACCCCTGTGTCGTACAGCATCCGCCTCGACATCCGAGATGCAGCCGCCTGGTGTGTGAAAGCAGAGCCAGCAAGCCACCGCTAAGGTAGTATGTATGTACAGTACATACGCACTAAGGTACAATACACGCGTAGATGTGATAGTGCTCATCGGCTACTGGCATGCGAAAACGCAGGGAAAACGCAGAAGAGACGAAAGGACGCGACATCCTGCAGGTGCAGGTCACTGTTAATTACCAGAGATGCGAGCGATTCCATGAAACCCCAAATCTGCCTTTCTTGAGGCTGCACATCGTACCCTTGTCTCGGTGCACCCGCATTTGGCACACTGGATGAATGATATTACATATGTACGAAGTATTCCCCCCCTTTTTCTCCCTTTTGCGTTTGCGATCCTGAAAAGGCAAACGTGGAGGTTTCACAAACTCCCTTCTCGCCGTCCCGAGACGGGTTTGGGGGTTAAGCTACCCCCAACTCACCCCTTCCAAGTTACATACCCCATTTCCGCTACAGCCTGCCAGCGGCACAGTGACGCCTCGACATGCGGAGAACCAAAGATCAAGGCATGAACCGACCCCTTGTTGGCTGCAATGTTTCGATTGCTGTTTCCAAACGCACCGCAGATCGCGTTCGCCAGTCATATCAGTACCAGGTAAAGCAGGAGAGTTTGCAAAGGTCTGGATTTCTATGTACATACAACTAACTACCTCCGTCCATACCTCCGTATACATATACGGTACTTTGTGCGCAACGTGACTCTTGGCGGCTCGGGAATTGGCTCCGTGGCGTCGATCACTGCAGCAATGTATGCATGTGTAGGCATTGCTTTTGGCGTGCATAGGTTGATTGGATCGGCTTCAGCTGTGCGATAGTTAATGCCCGTCTCGGCGAGGTGAGAGCGTCGTGGCACTTCAAGTTCGCCTCTCGTATGCAGACGTAGCCGTGTCAAACTGTCAATATCCATGATGATCGGTCAAAAAATATGAGATGGCTATCAATCTAGTGTCCAGCTCTGCCATTAAGGTTTATGTATTTGGCTACGGTCTATCACTTCTCACATCGGTTGGGAATCCGGGGACAGAGACCCTAGCCTTCCGACCGTGAGCTGGATCCATGGGAAGGGGCGGATCGACAGGGTCATAACGTTAGATACACGTACTCCGTACGAAGTACCACAGCAATGCAGTAGAAGATTTATTGTTTTTGCTGTGCGGTTTTCGTTCCCGGGACCGCAAGGGGCCAATTCCAGGTTCACGGGTAGGAAGGACAACTGCTGACTGGTTAATAAAGGATATCCATTAGGCCCACGTGCGGCTCGGGATTACCAATTGCCAATCGAATGCGCCGTTGATGTTGAGACCCTGACCTAAAGCTCTCACCGAGACCAGCTCTTGACCAGCTGTTTATGTCTACGAACGCTACCTCCGTAGGGTGGGGGACAAGCCCAAAACTTCGGGAAGCTGATCCCTAGTTACCTTAAGCCCTGCCTTTTTCTCAGCCCGTATTCCTCTGTATAGTGTAGTGTAGTTATCAGGGTCCCCATCTTGCTGCTTCAATGGACCTGCTAAAAAGCTTGAATACGTCAAGTGACTGGTGTGGTTACAGAGGTCTCCGAATGGACAAGGGTGTCAAACGTGGGGGAAAACCCGCGTTGAAGGACATGTGCCCGTGGGGCCCTCCGCCGTGCACGGGTTGATTGGCCACGACTTTTCCGACGGGACAGCGCATTTGATATGCTAGACTGTCATGAACATGATATTCTTTCTTGTCTTCAAGAGCCGTTACGAATGAGTACCGAGGAACACCAGGAAACCTCAGGACCCTGAACCAAGACAGCAGACGGGGGTCCAAAAAGCAATCCGGATATCAAAATAGTGCGCCTGAAGAGGTTTTCTCATGGCAGAGGGGTGTATCGGGACGGCCTAGATGGACCTGCTCGGCCGTGCTAGCGTCCCGGAGCACTGGATTGAAGCACCCGATCGAAAAGCAGGGGCTACGTTCCGCGGGGCTGGACCATCTCCAAGTTGCTTCTGGCAAACATCAACTCACATTTTCCAGCGTTTGGTGACTCTGAGTGACCCGGATAACAGACCTGGATGCATTGTTAGATCCAGAACGATTGGCTGACGCGGGTCAACGACTTGTTCGGCGGGAATGGAAAGCCCCCAAGGCCTCTCTCAGGCAACACTGGACCCCCAACCTGTGGGACAAGATCCCCTGCGAGCGATATCCGCGCAAATGCTCTGAATACGACGTTGCGTGATAGCTTCCTGGGAGCATGGAAAGGGGCGCAAAGGTTCGCCGGTTTCTTTTTGTATGCACCCCCTGCGCTGATGGGAAGCCAATTTCCTCAGTCCCAGTGCCACGGCTTCAACACCTGCCATGTCGCAGATACCGGGCGGACGGGAGAAACTGGGTGGGGGATTTTATGACAACCGGGCTGCTTCCGCGGACAAGGACCCTTGTGAGAAAATCAGACGAGTCTTGCGGCCGCCGGTTTGACGCTCGCACCAAACGCCGTTGAGATCTGATAGGGTGTCTGTCGGCGCAGTGCACGGCTCAGCGAGTCCTGCGGCTCAGCACGCCGACACCTTTGCCCGCATTCGTTTCGCGGTTTCGTCGTTCCTCCTCTGATAAATCCGCAGGCGGGCCAGTCCCGGAGAGGCAGGTATAATTCTGGTCATTAATGTTAGGGGACGGCTGCCTCTCAAGGGGCTGGCCGCCGGGAGAATCAGTCAAGCTGTGACAGCGCGAGCCTGGGCCACTGATATCTCATCTTGACAGCCGCTGTTGGCGGGTCGGTCAGTAAATCAAGATGGGCCGCCCTGTGACAAATGTAGTCACGGGACAAGCGCATCCCCAATCACCTGCCCCGGCTGACCCCGGCTGGCCACTTAAGATTCACCATCAGGGCTGTGTCAGCACAGGTACGGGTTATACCACAGTACGGCCGCCCCATTCGACCACAGCCCGTGTTGACCGACGAATTGACCTTCGGCTCCCGTCCGCTATCGCCAGGCGAAATTCCAGCAGAGCTCGGCGGCGCTGCAATTGGGCCCGGCACTGCGCAATGGCCGGCAGAGCGGTGGCAGGTAACTTTCGAGTCGTCATCGTCGCTTCGTGGCCCGCCCATTCGCCTCGCCTCGGCTCTGTTAAGACACCGGGCAGAGTCAGGGGCCGTCGTCTGTGGCACATAACTTCAATTAAACAAGACGTGGACTCGTGACCACGGGCTGATCAGCGACAAGCACGTTTGCGCGCTTCGAAAATTCTATGTCTTGTACACTACCGTACGTGTGTGCCGAATTGACTGGTTCCACTGAGCTGGTGCTTCAGCGTAGGCGACGGTGGCGATTTGCGGGGAAATGGCCTGGGCTTTCCTTCCCTGCTGCGCACCTGACTTCTCTTGGGAAGCGGCAAGGCTTGCTCCCGATTTCGTCGGAACAAGCGCCGTTTTGGGGAGCTCGTGAGAGAGCAGCCGGTGTAACGGAAGAGCAGCCGGTATGAATTCGTAAAACGCTGCAAGCGAGCCAGTCTACCGGGAGATTTCCCCGGTGTTTGTCAGCTCTGGCCTCTTTGGGAGAATGCTGCCTTTTTTGGCGCCTAACTCAAGGCCAACGTGACCTTCATTCCGTTCAGGGTATTTGCTAAACTTTCTGGGGTAAGCGGCCCTTCCTGGCTCGCCCATCCCGTGGTTTGCGAAACGCGCACAACCAATTTGACAAGCCGAGAGTTAGCCCGAAACCGCACGGAGGCCTTCCTTCTCTATATGGTTAGACAGCCTTTTGGCTCTATTGCCCTATTTGGCAATAGGGTGGACCTCTTTCGTTGCCGCTTTAAGCAAGCTATGGACCCGAGGCTTTTCGGTCCGTTCGTGCGAAGCCCCTTCCCTCCATGCCCTAGTAGATATGTACTGTACTGTAACACCTACCTCCATGGTTCTCCGCCTTGGGTTTGCGACTCCTTCCCCTTGGGTACCGTTTGTCAATTGTAAACGCGCATCAAAGATTCCAGAGCCAGCATCTTCTGCTCTACCAAGCGATAACAGGTTCCTCCATTTTGAAGGCTCGACAAAGAGGTTCTGGACCTGTAACGGTGGCTGGTGTGGGTGACAAGCAATCACATTGGTGAACACGCAGCTGCCCAAGGTAAGAAGTACATACCTTAAATACCTTTCTTTAGCCCTGAAATCCTCCGCCACCAACCGCTCCACAACGGCCCCCATCCCCCTGTCCGATACATAGGGGACTTGTGATGGCTTGTACTTTGTACCGGGGACCGCGACCGACAAGGGTGCCGATGTCGTGGGTACCTGCCCAGGTAATCACTCTTTCTCACCGCGCATCTGGCCCACAATCCCAAGCAGCCGGCCTTAGCCCTGGTCTCGGCACCCCGACAATTCCCTTATACATGAACATGCCATCCGCTCCCCACCACACCTCTTTTCCCTCCCCATTTCTGGTCTTCACAAAACGACCGACCGACAGATCGTCATAATTGATCACTTGCTGGGGCACCTGCAAGCAGTTTGACTTTCGTCGAGACACCACGATCGATCCGAGAAGCGACCAGATACCCAGCACCGCCTCGATCCGATCTATTCGGCCTGCACGAAGGCACGTCATCGAGACTTGCGAGCAGCAACGACAGGAAGGGTCGACTTGAGGCTGCAAGGTTTTAGTGGGAACAAGGGCGGTGTACAACACTTCCTCGACTTGGACGGAAAGCAGGCTCGCGGCCTCAATTCCGCCTTCGGTGCAGAGCGGATCCCCTAGGACCGCGCCTCAACTAAGCACCAACTTCACGCAGCGAAGCCCGACCTTCGCGATCGCCTCGCGAAATACCTTGACACAATTCCTGACCGCGGTGCAAAGCGTGCTCGAAGTCTCGAGCAGTCCATACACCAACATGCCGCTGTCTTTAGAGGCACCCGTCCTGCAGGTGGATACCAATGTCATCCACAAAGTTGACACAACCAATCCCGCCAATCTCTTCAGCATGTGGACTGGTGAGCTTATCCCGCACCACCGCTTTCAGTCTACACTCGCTGACAGCTTGTTCGAAGTGTTTGCAAGGTGTCGTGACTCGGTGGCCCAAGGCAGACGGCTTGAAAACCTGAGCTGGCGCCTATGGAATCGAGAAACATTTTGCTGTGAGAACGGCGACATTATCGTCGCGTCCTGCGCCACTAGCAAACCTCAAGACATTCAATATCCTCGCGGGGTGGTCGCAGAAGACCTTCCTCAGCTTTCTGGGAGTGTTGACTCGGTCGCAGACGAGGAAGCGGTCGATTTCACAGCAGAATCAGCCCCAATGGACATCTTACGGCCGAGGATACAGAGACAGGATTCGTGTGCCAGCAGTCGCAGCCGCGGCCGAGAGCGCCACATCACCTCGGATGAATTGGAGAAGATGGTAACGTCCATCATGGAGGCGAAAATGCCTCTCGATGCGCCACTTCCCTCAATCCCCCGATCCCCCATTGTCAAAGAAGAACCGATGGGTTCTCCAGAGCCCGAAGCTGAGCGGACAGGTTCCACCACCACGGAGGACTCTCCACCGACCTCAGAGAATACTTCCATGGAGTCACTTCACTCAGAGCCCGCCTCAAACCTGTCGATGCAGAGACAGACAATCGTCACCCGCGGCTTCTCGCCGTCCCAGATGCCCTTGAGCCGCATTACATCGCAGTCTTCAAAAGCTCCCTCTCCGAGCGCCATCCCTGCGCCGACCGAGGAGCCAGCGCCAAAGATGATCCAGCCCAAGAAGCAACCGGCCAAGTTCGCTCTCGGCGGCTCTTCGGGCTCCGATGAGGAATCCTTCCGGGACCGCCAGATGGAGCAAAGGAAGCAGCCAGCCGCGCAAACGAAGATGAAGATGTTCCAGGTTGGAGCTTCATCGGAAGAAGATGATTCCCCAAGGAACCCCCAGCTCCTTGAGCGGCCTGCCACTGCCATGAGCGGACAAAAGAAAACGGCCTCCTTCAGCAACCAGGTTGTTACGCAGACCTTCACCTCTTCTGCCATCAGCGACACCGATGACGACTACATCGATGAGAGTGCCATTGACGACGACGACGATGAAGAATGGGAGGAAGAGTCCGCCGAAGAAAGCGGGAAGTCGAGCATGGAAGAGAAGATTCAGTTCAAGCGCGTGGATTCGAGTGCCAACCTTACCTCACGACGGTCACTCATCACTTTGATGCTGGCCAACAACAACAGCCGCGTCCAAAGACTGGGTAACCCGGCGTCGCAGTCGACTTCAGCTCTGCCGCGCGCCCGGACCTCGCTCAATGGACCATCACTCTTTGCCTCGCCCAATGACTCTGATGAAGCGCCACTGATGATGAAGCGCGGGACCACCCGCGCGCCACCGATGCGACCCATCAACGAGATCCCTCGGTCCTCAGCGCAGCCTATCAATGTGGCGGCCACAGGCATCCACCACCAGGCTGCTCTCTCACCGCGGACGACCCGGAGAAATATGCTCGCCACTGAGTTAACAGAGTCGCTCCGAAGGAACCTTTTGAGAGAACGGTCACAAAAGTCGTCCACTGCGAATGCTGTTCTCAAGCGACGGCACACTTCGCATGATGTGGCGAACCTCAAGCAATATCCGGAGAAGCCGTTCATGAAGGACGGCGACTCCAACGCATCCAGCTGGGATCAGTACTTCAAGAACCCATTCACGGGCTACCACGCTCAGGGCTGGTAATATCCTAATTTGCTATCCACGATCCCCTCTACACTCCACGACTTAATACATCAGCATTATACCCGCATCAAGATACCCCCAGGGGAGGCGACAGCCGTGTATTTGGCAGATGGGAATAGCTGCCGTGTATAATTTTCGAGCATCGAGCGGCTACGGTTACGACATTATGCATGGGCTGGCTGGCGTTACTATCCCGTCCTTCAGAGGACACTCGGCAGTCTGGCTCGCGTCATTGAATGCATCAGTTTGACCATTAATACCCAACAGCATCTGGTCGAACTGTCCTCATGGTTTCGGTCTGGTATGGGCTGGCATGGTTGACCAATGTTTACAATGGCGGCATCACTGCCTCTTTGTTTTTGAGTTTTTGTTTCCTTTTGGTTTTCCATTATCTACATCATTGAGCGGTGTTTTGTGTTCTTTTTCATGATACCACTGTTTGCATTCTTATCCCTGTGCATAGGTCGTGTGGCTTGGGAGTCGTCGCTCCAGCCCTATCAAGTCAAAATTGAGGAAGGAGAAGGGATATTGGAAGTGTGCATGTACTTAGGGCTGAAGACAAACCAGGCTGGCGGGCGGGCGACTGCGAGGAGACAGGAGTCTCCACAAAAGCAAGGGGTTATGTCATTTTGGGCGATCAGAAGAAGTGGGACAGAAAACAATCAGCGTGCAACCAGCCGGCGCCCTTGCTGTTGGTCTCGCTGCAAAACACTAAAAAATCTGAAAACGGTCGAAAAAGACTCGGGAAAACAAATCAAAAGACAGTTTTAAAAACATATCAAGTTCCATTGTGTAATCCATGAGTGATGAGGCCCTTGTGACTGGGTGGTGCATTCCAGACAGTCTCCCCAATCACAATTACGAGCATGTCTATGAGGTCAGCCTACCCAATTGGCTACGGGTCCCCTCCTGAGCCCCAACCAGGTAAGTTGGATCGATCGATGTGTGGTTTGCTGATTTGCATTTGTGTGACGTGCTGGAATCTGGGATCTGGTAAGGCTAGGTAATTTGGACGATGATGACGATTGATGGTTTGTGTCCTGCAGGTTGGTTTGAGGTATTACTGAGCAGTACCGAGCATCTTGCTGAGGGGAAGGTCAGACTGGGAACCAAGAAACATTAGAACATTGCATGTGAAAAGAAAACCTGGAACTTGTACGACAAATTTGTTGACAAACCCACCGGCAGGTTTTTTTCTGCCTGGGATGAATTGCTTGTGACTGTGAAAGGCAATCGCGGTTTCCCCAATGGGTGGATAGGTAAGTTTGTTTGCCGCCATGGCTGTTCCTGTTTATGCTCTCGAGTTTTTCACGCGCCTTTAAGCCGTTTCTAGAATTTATTGCTAATTACTTGTTAACTTACACTTAGCCACGGCATTGGACATACGGACTGTATCGTATGTACATCCTGTGTCTAGCCTGCCTTCGGCTGCGCAGGTCGCTGTCCGCTTTATCACATCGGCTGTCGCCCTCATTGATCTTTCTGGTTTATCTTTAGATACGAGAAGACAATATGCCATCAGCCCACTCTCTCTTGGAACACCCTGCTGACAAGCAGCAGGGTCTAGATCGCTCTGGCATGGGTTTCAGTATCCGGCCGTCAGTCGCTTCCTGCCCTCGAGCGCCATGTCTAGATGCCGACGACAAAGAGCTTCCCGAAACTGCTTTGCCCGCTGCGTGGTGGGATCAAACGAGGTTGACGCCGGGTTGCAACAGCCGTCGAAGGCTCGAAGCCGATCGCCCATGGGCTCTGTGCATCATGAGGGCGGAGACAAAAACTGGCAAAACGAAGGTCAAAATAGTTGACAATGAAGACGGAGATGAAGCTGTGATGAAATGGCCGACGTGCAACCGCTCGACGCAGCAAAGAGCCGCGACGGCTTGTTCCGTTCGGCCCCCCGATCCAGGCACATCGGTCCCGAAGTGGATCGGATCGCGCCCGTGGGCGTGTCACGGCTTGTCGACGTCTTTGTCAGGCGGCCGCGCCTCCCTGTTTGACAAGTGAGCTGCCCCCTTTGTGTTGTTTGTTCGCTGCCACGTGAGATTGTTTGGACAATGTTGCGGGGGTGAGGGGTGTGTAGACGGTACATGGGGCAAAGTAGCTGGTATAAGGATCAGAAGTTGTGGAAGAAGCCGAGGGGGAGAGGCTGGGAGATTTACCTTATTCGCGTTGAATTTCTGGTTCTGGATCTGGGTGTTTGCGTTTCTGGCCATAAGATAAGTTACTTTCTAGGCGATTTTCCTCGATGAGAGTTTCAAGTAGGGGCTTTAATTGCTGTGGTACACTCCTTCGTCACGGTGTAAATGAGGATACCACCACCAGGCGCGATCGATCTACGAGACCTTTTTACGCCGTATGTGCTATTAATTGACCACTTCAACCGTTTTGCCGCCAATCCAAGCCTCGTGTCTCTCCATCCACCACACCCTCCCTCATCGTCGAGGCTCAAAATACCGTGGTAAGGTAGGCCCGATCATGCAACACCCGGTTGGGGCAGCACCGACCACTGCCGAAGTTCGCCGGTACCGCATCCGTTCCGTTCCGCCCTATGAGGGGTACCGGCCCGGCATTGCGACCACCCACCATCGTAAAATGGAGAGGGGTTTCTGGACGGACACCATTGACTAATTTTTTAATCTCATGCATATCGAAAAGCTCTGGACAGAAGAAATCGGAGGGGTACTCGAGCCGCACCTATCGCAATTCGCGATTCAGCTTGATAGCAGCATGCGTAGGGAGGTTGTCGCGTCATAGAGAGTAGTTGTTGACCGTACGGGGGGTTGTGCTAGAAGTGGGCGCTCACGTCATCCAAGTCTCGAAGAGAAGAGACCCCTAAAGCATCTGATTGATTGATGAGAGCTTCATCACGTGGGCCAGGATGATCAGATTTATGAGATCCAAAACCTGTCAATCATTATTTCTTCACACAAGTCTACTACTCATGTCAATTGTTACATGCATGTTTGAGCCATTAGTCATCGCCTGTTCGACCAGTGTATGTACATACAGTAAGCTTAGGACTTGCTACGTCAAACAACTACCGGTCCTGGGATCAGCGGCACTTGTCAAAATGCGAGATGCTATCTACAGCTTCATCTCGGGATGGGCCAAGCAAACCTCGTCTTGGAGCTCAGATATACTAACGACGGAGTAAGTTTTCCCTTTACCGGTAACTGAGGCAGGCGCGCATCGACGAAATTCAGCGCGGGACATGGCTGCCTCGGATCCAATCGCGAAGGGCATCACTAGCGCCCTGTTTGATGTCTGCCGTCTCCAGAATCACAATAGAGACTCGAAATGCGACAGGAAGAGCGCCTTTTGCGCAAGTTATATAAGGGCCTTGAACTAGTACGGAGGATTTACACCAAATCGAACGTATCTAGGATCGGCCGTGATCGTGGCTGGCTTGCATGTGGGTGCTTCTTAGCGCTTTATATAAGGGACACGGCTTTGGCGCCGCCGCCACAGGTGACTCGGTGCATTTCCTGAGCGGTCGCTTTGATGGAAACGCCTGTTTGACGCCCCCAGATTGTGCCCCCGAATTAACTGGTGAAGTGAGTAAGGCCAATGATGCCGTGACGGATAACGCGAGAGAACGTGGGGAGTCGTAGACAAGCGTGCTACTCTACATCTTCAGCCGCTTAGAAAGGCTTTGGTGGAGGAGGTTGAGAGATAGCAGATTTGATACTCCGTACATCTCAGGGGCATTGACATCGAGATCGGAAGCGGCGCGTGGTATGCTGGAGCGTCTGGATATGCTCCTATTCCGGGAGGAAGGCGCCTCAACTTCCCAATGAAGTTGGCAGTCACATTGTCACAACTCAGCTGTCGCCGTCACAACACGACCCCCTTAGGTGTATGTACTGTACTGTCAGCCGCGCTCGGCGCGCCACGGCAGGGCGTAACAAGACGCTGCTCCCTCAACAGTTGCAGTCTTCGGGTGCATCCCTATACCAGTGGTGAGGCACATGAAGATCCTGAGATTGCATCGAGTCGGATCTAGGTCCTACTGTGGTCTGGCTCGAGTTTGGTGTCACTTCATGTAGCCATGTATATGGATGTACTGTATCTTGGCGTGCATCCACTAACGTCACCTCAGCCTTAAGAATTTCAATCAAAGGACGCTTTTTAATTGCTAGAATATTTCTGAGGAATTTATGTCTATTAAACAACCTCGGGAGTCCAGAAATTGAGCCCGCTTTGTTGCAGCTTCCATGGGTCAACAACTCATCAGACATTATCAGAGCGGTGCAGCTGGTGCAGCTCGGTTGGCCCATGGCTTCCGCCGCGAGACACACCTTGATGCACGGCAGGAAGCCCCGCCCGCCGGAGATGGAGGGGTAGCTACCCAAAGCTCCCCTTCCCCGCCGTTGGTGAAGGTGGTGTTGGGTCGTATCGTGCCTTTGGTGGACCTTATCAAAAAGGCCAGAACTGCCATGGTTGCATGCCTGGCTGCGACAAGCTTTCCGCTTACAAGCAATCGTGTACAAATCATCGCGACCCGCGCCCACACCTGCTCACCGACTTTTATGAAGCTGCATTCGTAGCATGAAAGCTCTCCGCTCGCTCCGTCTTGAACCATGACGAGGGTCGGCAAGACTGACGTTTGAGCCAGTCTTTCCGCTGGATTTCCAGCTCTACCCGGGAGGCGTAGGGGATGTCATTTGTAATCAAACGTGATTTGGAGCCAGTCGTTTCTCTCCTTCTCGTCGTCATTGATACCCAAGGTGAGTTTTCACCTGGAGGCCCTCTCTAGTCTCTACATCGTGGGCCGTCATTTCCCGCAGAGGACAAGGCGTTTCTTGCACGCTTCGACGCCCAACCAATCGCTTTTGGTGTTAAGGGACAGATATTGTACAAGTACGATACCCTACCTTGGATAAGCCCGCTATCCCTGGTTTGCAGAAACTGTTGCACATTCATTATTTTTCTTACCTCATTTTTCACACTTATATATATCTTTTTTCTACTCAAACGTTCTATTCCCGGCCGGGACGGCAAGGGCCTTTTATACACCCCATGTTACTTGGCCGGGCGGCAAGCCTGAATTCCGGGTACCACCTGTCCGGTTCTCTGACACTTGACTCACGATGACGGGGAACTTGCAGTTGAGAGTCCCGCTTCGGTGTATCCGCCGGGCATCTCTGTTCGAGGGCCGGCAGCAAAACGGCATCTTCATCCTTGAAAACAGGCCGGCCCACGGCACCTCATTGGCGGCCTCACCACCCTCCAACCCTCATCCCACAAAGGCGAAGCCGCAAACTAATTACGGACCTGAACCTGCAAAACATAACCTGTAGCATTTGAGGGACAGCATTACGACTGTTCCCGCAGGAATAAGCAGCACGATGTCCAACATAAACAAGTCAGTACAGCAAACGTCATTACTATCAGAACATCCTTGCGAACCGCGCAGATGGCCCTGGTGACAGGCCGAGATTGGCTTCCGGACCTATCGATGATTTGCAGTTGGTCGGCGGAGTTGAAGGGGAGATATTCCCTTCTTTTCAAATTCAAATGAGGCATGGCGTCGATGGAGAATGTCACGTCGAGGGTAAGGGCCAACCATGTTGGGGGTACCTCGGGTAAACACCGTTGTCGTTCGGTGTATCCGCTCATGGTAGGGCTCGCAAACCCCGGTAACGGACGCGATGCGAGTGAGCGGTTTTCGACCGATGCCTCCACAATTCTTAACGTTACCTTCTGAAAACCATGCCTTACGATTGCGAAGTCCAGGGTAGTATCCTGTTTCCACACGGATTGGTGTGTTCGAGAAGGGGTGAAGGAAGGAGGGTATCGTATTGGGACGGCGTTCCACTGAGAGGCTCAAGAAACGAGCTGGAATTTGCCTCTACTTATGGACTGCCGAGAGAGGTTTTCTCCTTGTTCCTGGCCTGTTCAAGGGTTTATCGGGCCTTTGTCGGGCACTATCGGCTTCTCCGTTTCGCTCACTCTCCACTGGCGACACCGAGGGATCCACTCCCCGTGTCACAGGAATGCTAACAAGCAGATCTCTCGTTTAGGAAAGCTTCTAGAAAAATTCGCCGATCCGAGCTCCACCCCGACTACAACTGCCGGCTTGGGAACGGGGTTCTCGGGGGCCATTTTGACCTCTCACCGGTCGCACGGGTTGGGGCATGAGTTCGAGCGACAGGCTCGCTGACTCGCCCCCGGTGCCGTAAGCGCGAGGCTACGGGCATGAGAGCTGACCCCACTTTGGGGCTTGAGCCTGTCGGCTGCCAGGTGGCTGTGTGTATGACTCGGTGAAGGGCTTTGTGAACGGTACACTTGGGGCGAGGTAGCGAGTACCTGTGGCGGTCACGGCGGGTATCCTCCCTCGGTTTCGAATACTCGGCCACGTTGCTTGCCGGGGAGGGCTCCCGTTCGTCCGTACTTTCTGCGGATGTCGTCAAGCCGACCTAAGGGAGGAGCTAAACCCCCGATTGGCGCTGATGACCGTGATGGCGAAAACTGATCCACACAGGGACGTCGCGTCACGTTCTTTAAGCTGAAGCGTGTTGGATATGCTTGCCTACATCGCAGCCTACCCAGGATCACATCTTCGCAAGAGGCGGGTTGGAGGCGATGATCTCGCATCAGGTGGTCTGTGTCAGCATACCGCCTTCTGTTTCTCTTCCTCTGTCTCGGTCAAAAGACTCCTAAGACTCGGACCCTTATTCTTGCGGGAAATATCGGAGGGCGTGGCGAGAAGCGCTAGACCCTTACACGTGGCTCACATGCGAGGAAGGTGGAGCTTGTTTGACGTTCACGTCAGGACTGATTCACAGATCTGGAGATCTAGTAGGCGAAAAGGGTGCTGGAGAGGCGGACCCAATGCGTTGTAAATATGTAAGAGCTGGGACGGGAGAGTCGTGAGGTTGCTGGTGGCTAAACACGCTGCCCCTTTTCGGCAACACTGCTTGTGAGCTCGCGTCACCGTCCCGTTTCCCCAAGACTCTCCGCTCCTGGGCATCCGATCTTGCGTGGTGCTGTGATAGGGGGAGATGAGACGATGATGTCAAGGGGTGGCCGTGTGGTTTAAATTGGCTTACACCGAAGCTGCTGGCTGAGAGTGATTCGCGCCATTTGCTCCGGTTTTCTCAACCGACTTAACAGTTCTCTCTCTCTGGTAAGACTGAGCATTTGCTCCTATAACCCAAAATCATGATCCAAGAGTCCTGCATCGCGTGCCTAAGCAATCACGAGGGACCGCGCGCCATCAACCCATCCCATGTTTGACTTCTTCACATGGCTGGCAGTTGACAGAGGGTAAGATATAACTGGGTCAGTCAGTGTTGAAGCAACCTATTCGTTGTGCTGGCTGGATAGGGTTGAAGATGGGATTGAGGAAGAGGTGAAGTTGTTGCTTCTCTGCTCCCCTTGAGTAGACAGTTTGCTGGTGGCATGGTTGGACGTTTCGGATCCTGTTTCCGAGAGCATATCTGAACGGAATATTCGAGGGCATATTTACATCTTCTCTATATTCGATTCGCCGCCATTGGCTAACGCATCCATCCATCATCATGGTCCTCATCCGGAACATGAATGCTTGCAACTGCTCCGTTAGCTTTGTTGATGCCATAGCGGCGGATGCCGTATTGCCTCCAGGATTCCGCATGTTAAAATTGTACTAATAAGTATACTAGTCGTATGAGCCTTCCATTCCGCCAGGTAGTTGAGGCGCTCGAGCGTCAAGAACTTACCGCCTGGCATTTCAGTTTTCAATCATAACCATAGACATCAGTGCCGTTGGGACCGTCACTCCCACCTGTCTTGGTCTTGACAATGCCATGATTTTGTTCGACTGCCTAGGTAACTCTAATTGGACTAATAGTAGGTGCCAGTCGTTTCAAGCCGTATGATCGTGCTTAACAGGCTGGTTTATACTACTAAGCCGCCAATCTCAGGTATATTTACTCAAACTTGGCTTCATTCAGGCTTTCATTCTTGGTTTGGTTCGTTCTTTCCCCTCTGTCCGCTCTCGACAGTAACCTCAAGTTATCTTATGTAGTCTCCATTCAAAACTTGATCGCTCTGACCGAATTTGCGGTTGCTCAGTACAGCACGAAGCATTAGAACTCTTCACTTAGCTGGCACGGATTTGTTCCTAAATCATTGAGAAGTAATCGATGCTCCTCAGTGTCTCTAGCGAGACATGAAACTTGTATTATGTCTCTATCATCACTTGATACCTAAGGTATGGTTCCAGTTATCAGCTACAAATAACGTAGACCAAAAACCGAGTCTACGCGTAGTTGGGCAATTTCCCTTACCAGTAATACCATTCACAGCCGAGTCCGTCCAAAGCAAGAGGCAGCAATAACTACGGTAGTAACTAGATGGCGCTTTTGGGGCGGATTAACAGTTAGCTCGCCATGTTGCCTTTGACCTTTGCAAAATGGAAGGGCAACATCAGTCTATCCAGTCCACTCAATAGACCACCATAGGAACCTGAAGATTGTCAAGTAATCTTAATTTATTATAACTACCTAGGTAGCCTTAGATGTATAGTAATTACCTAGGTACTTAGAAACGGTCCCCCCTTAACCTTTTGACCAGAGCTAAACCGACACACGAGCTGATTAAGTCACCTTAAGTTCAGTTACCTCGAAGAAGTTGAAGTTCTACCCGGGGATTACTTCAGTTCTTTAGTCCGGCAATGTCGCAAATCAAGTCCTTCACATCGTCCTCGGTCCAAGGCCTGAGCCCGACTTTCTCGCTGTCATCCTCGTCCTCAGCCCACGGCTGGCCATACTCGGGCGCCGTCGAGGCACGGTAGACAAACGCATAAATGTCATCCAGACCCGCCGTGCCCTTGGCCAACTTCTCCGAGGCGACCGCCATCGCCTGCGCCGTGTCAATCCTGCTGACCTCCCACCCGTCCTTGCCAACAACCTCAGCAGCTAGCTCGTACAGGCGCTTTTGCGAAATGTTGATGTCCTTGACGCGCACTTCCTTCTGGCCGTTTGGCAATCTGCCCTCAAGAACGCCGACGACGGCCCGCCCAATGCTGGCCATGGTCGTCATGGACACGGGACGATCACCCTCGTCCCAGAGCGCAACCTTCTTGTTCTTGACGTCGAGCACGAAACCGTCCATTCCCCAGTCCAGGAACAGACCGACGAACATGAGCGCGTAGTCAAGTTTGCCCTGGCGGTGGTACGCTTCGAGGTGGTCCTGGATGACGTTTTTGTCGGCAAAGATGTTGGGGAAGTCGCGTCTCAGGAGAGGATGCGTGTTGGCCAGGCCGAACTCGGAGGGGATGAAGAAGCGGACCGACCCGGCGTCGACGGCCGCGTCGATGATGAGCTTCTGGGTGTCGACTGACTGCGTGGCGATGGCCGACACCACGGCGTCGACGCCGCGGAAGGCGGTTACGAGGGAATCCCGCGACGAGTAGTCGACTGTGCGGACGTGGACGTTGGGGCCGTGGATGTCAGATGCTGAGGCAGCAGAGCGGGTGAGAACGATGATGGACTGGAATGCCGGCTGAGCTTCCTGGAGGGCCTTGAGGATGAGGCGGCCGACATTTCCGGTTGCCTGTATGAATCAGTTAGCCTTGAATCACCGCGTGGAGGGTTTGTTGGTTGGAGGCTGACTTACACCGATGACGGCTACTGAAGGGAATCGCTGCCCGTGGCTCATGGTGACCGACGCTGCAGCTGTGATGATACTGATATACCAAAATCTTTAGGATCGGAAAGGCGGTTTGTGAATGCGAGTTGTTCAAGCTTTGAAGCTACAAGTCCAGCGCGCTGTGTCAAAGCTACCTAAGGTACTCTTACTCATGATCACAAAACTTACAGGTAAGCACCCTATGATAGCTTTATAGACACGAAATGTCCTTGGGCATCACTGTGTTCAGCCCCTTGGATTATGTAATGCTGGTTGTCGCTTGGGATCATTGTCGCGATGTTTTAGTTGAGTTCCATAAACTTCTACTTCATGTAGGTAAGGTAAGGTATGTAAGCAAGGACAAACTTGAATCCGTGCTGGCGCAACGAGTGCATTATTACCAATGTTACACCACCATTCATTTTTCCGCACTTCGGTGTACGCTACAGCTGTGTGATCAATCGTGATTTCGTGTTCTGCCAGGCTGGAGGCCCACCATTGACTCGTTGAGAATGAGAGGTAGTAGTATCCTTTTCTACGAGATTCGACTACCTATGCACCGTCACATCCCACTCAGGCCGCAGTTGTAGCCAAGACCGGATAGAGGGTGATGCCGCCCAAAACACTAAGTTGGACGGCGAGAGCGATAAAGATACGATGAGATGACTCAATGAGCAAAGCGTGAGCCTGCTCTATGCTACTAAGTACGTTCCTTCGGATTTCTGCTCTCTATCTTTGCCTTGTTCTCGAGATAGCATCATAAAAGGTCAGTTGTGTGCAATGTCTCATGTTCTACAGCCAACTGGGGAATCCTCTAGCAAAGGCTCAAGACACTTACTTCTTGCTGAGAGCACAGTGCACCAGGAGGTTCGCCGCCATCTTGACTTGGGTACTGCGCCATATCACCAAATTCAGGAAACCAACAGGTCTGGCCAGCTGTAGATAAGGTGTTATGAATAAGTTCTGGCTCGCTAAGCTAAGCTTGCTCGTTTCTTGCATCTTCAGCATATATGAGGCGTGGGATTGTCATGTCGGATTCGTCGGATCAAGTTGACAAGGGCGTGTTTGAAGCCCTGGCACCAACTGACGAACGGCGCAATCCAAAATGCGAGCAAGCAGAGAACAGCCAACTCGATTGTACATATAAAGTACGAGGCCTGAACTACGCAACGTGCTGATGTGGAGTTCAACCTGTCTCTCTCTTTGCTCCCTCCCATCACTCGAACCGAATCCGGCAGACGGCAGACGGCAGACGGCAGACGGCATTGTACTCCCTTAACCCTCCCCTTTCCATTGTCTCGGAGAATTAAGACGCAAGACAATCACTCTGAACAAAGCAGATTGTGTCAAGTCCTGTCCAGAGTGACCAAGCCTTCATCCACGAGGAAGCCCTTACAAGACGGTATCACATTCCGTACCCAACGACGGCCCTTCGCCTACTTCCGTCATACACCCCTCTCGGCCCTTTCCACTCAGAAAGCACCCAGACCTCAACAATCACAAGCGGCGGTGCCAATTAGCCAAGGCCAACAACACCAATTGGGCCGCATCAGATCCCTCGGTATGGATCGATCATACATGCACTCGCCGTCCACCGCTGGCTCGCACAAGTTTTCTACCGACCCCTCGAACCGTGGGGGAGCCGGAACTCACTAGCGTTTGCGTCGTCGAGTCGGCACTGACGGCTTGGGGTTGCCGGGGTGCGCTGTCCCCTGCTGTACGGTTGTGTCAGTCGAAGCGGCCCGCCGCCTGTTTCCCTCTGCAACGGAACATAGCATACCTGACCTATCAGGGAATCACCGCCTGGTTCACAGCTCTCGCACGCTCGCCCGGAGGGGCTTCTAAACCCCCCCCCCCGCGGATGGTTGAGAGCCAGACTTGCCCGACTGTGGGCTGCTGGCGGGGTGGGGGACCTTTTTCCCTCGCTCCTTACCTGGTTCACAGTGTCGACAGCGGCCCAGCGGGCGTTATATGGCCTCTTTTTGTCCATCCTAGGGATGTGGTGCAGTATTTATCAGAGATTAAAAATAGGTAGGCATCGGAGTGCTTAGCGACCACCAGGCGGAGCTATCTGCTGACTTCCTGAGGAGGCACCTGGGGGCGGAGACGGGCTCGAACTTGAGGTCGGGGGGCCTAGCCGCATCGTGGCCAGTCTCCGGGCGTAGTCCATTGGCCACTGGGCGTACTTTTTGTACTGGTCGGGCAACCCAGCGGCAAGGCGCTCCATCCAGGCGATGCACGCCCTCCTGCGGTAGGCGAAGCGAAACCTGAGGTTCCCCAGAGAAATGTGGCCGAGGGCGAACTCGATGAGCACAAAGTGGATGAGAAGGAGCTGGGCCGAGTAGTTTTCCGGATCCACAAAGGGCGCAAACTCTTCGTTGCTGGCGTGGTTGAGCAGGGAGTACTGGCTGGTGAATTCGGCAAAGGCTACAGGTAGGTTCAGTTCTAATGTCAGCTACGTTGTTTATGGCACGTATTGTATAACGATGCTCAGGGAGAGAACGGACCTTCGGCGGGGGATGTCTTGGCTATCTTGACGATGCGCTCAATGGCAGCCAAGAACTTGACCTCGAGGGAGCTGGTGCAGAGCGGCGCGAGAGCGCGCAGCGACTGGGAAAAGTCGTCAATCAGACTCCCCCAGTAGGCGTCGAGCCTGACCGGGGGGGTCCCGATGAGGCGCCTCACGCTGTGGGGGTAGCCTTCCTGGGCGAAGGCATAGAAAAGCGAGCCATCGTGGGTAATCGTGGCCGTGTTGGCGATGACGTGGATGCCCCTGGCCATGGACAGGAACTCGGTCATGCCCTCGGGCATGCACGAGGCTTGGAATGTCAGCGTGATCATGGCGGCGAACCTGGCGTCGCCCTCGGCAGCTGAACTGCAGGGCCGGCTGAGAGCTTGGTTCAGGGACTGGATGGCCTTGACGCGGTGGGCGAGCGCTTGCGCAGCACAGTTGCCGCCGTAGAGGTCCAGGTGCGAGGCGGCCAGGCCAAGCATGGCGTGCATCAGGTAGTCGTACTGGATCGTTTGTTTGCGGTCAGCTTGGGGATATGCTCAAGGTAGAAAGTCAAAGCGTAGGGAGAGCCGGGAAACAAACGCTGTGCGACAAGCATGCCACGTTCCTCCACAGGTCGTCGGCCAGGATGGGAAGAGGCGGGTAGGCATTGAGGAGGAAATGGTGGAAAAAGCGCATGTCGTCCGGAGTGAATAGGGTCGGTGTCGACTGGAGAGGTGCTGAGGGGGGTGAGACTACTAGCATGGCCGACATGGATGGGGCCGGAACAGCCAAGGCTGACGCTGACCGAGCACGGGTCTGGGGGTACTCGCATACGAGGCCGAAGCGGACGCAGTTGGAGCACTCGGGGAGGTTCTCTTGGCACTTGACCTTCCTCCGCTTGCAGTTGAAGCAGCCCCGACGTGACTTGGTGTGACCCTTTCTCGGTATGGGTCTGCGGCGCTGCCGGACAGCGACAGCGAGCTCGGAGCCGGATGCAGTTGGCGTTGGCGTTGGCGTCAACGACTCGGAGGCCGACTCTGCATGACCCGGGCTGGGTTCGGGTTTATCGGGCGGCGCATGCGAGTGCACATTGCCATCGCCATCGCCATCGCCATCGGTATTCGCCTGTGTAGTAGAACCCATAGTTAAGCCTGGCCGTGACTGAGCTAGGGATTGCTGATCTTGAATTGAATTGCCTATTGCTTGGTGCTACTAGTGTTACCGTTACCAGCCGTTGAGTCGTTGACAATAGACGCTGCGAGTGGGAGGCTGGGCTGGGAGCCTACATCGTTGCCCAAGACAAGAGACAAATGACCCTGGACTTGATTGACCCTTGACCGACTCGAGAGACATGAGAATTAGGCCGACATAATCTCGGACTCTGGCGGTGAGCTGACTTGTCAGATGAAACATGTGCCTCTTTACAGGATCACTGTCATCGCGGCTGCCTCAGCTGCTCGACCGCTATACGGACTGAAATGTGCTGCTTACAAAGTAACACCGGAATCACCCCTAACTTCGGTCGCGCCTTCCTAGCCAAGGCCCAAGGGTCCTGTCGTATTGATAAGCATCCCATTTTCCACCATTTTCCACTTGAACAACGTTACCCTACTGAAAGGAGACAAAGATGAACCAAGGCGTAAGCAACTCCACCATCAACGTTGTGATTGTGGCAATGAGTCACTCGGTGTTGCACAGGACTTGGTAAATTCCTGGCAGTACTGTAATGATCTTTCACATACATACGAGCATGTACTGGTGTATTACATACAATACAAGTACAATACATATACGCATTGAACAAAGAGGATACGGATAATTACAAATACATACGGTTGCATACACTTGGTTGTTACCGACTTACACCTCTTTCCCGCCAACGGATAAACAGTTTGTATTGAAGGGAATTGTTGAAATTGTAATTCTTCATCCTCTGTTCGAGTACAACCTGTTCTCATCGGCAAGAACGAGCATTTATGCACTCTGAATACCAAGTTCGCAACGAAATCCAAAGCCCGGCAACTTTACTCTGCTGTCGATTTAAGGTCCCTCCAGCTGGCGTCATCCCGTGAAGCGTAATTACCGTAAGCACTTAGTGTAACCGCCAAGGCATCGAATCTTGGCACCGGGAATCTCCCGACCCGCTAGCAGCCCTGCGATACAACCCCTGAAGGTGGTGCCGTCATCGTGCTTCTCGCAGACTTGAATTGTTGAGGTCATCTTTATTTTAGTTCCCCAAACAAAAGCAGCAGAGGGTCCAAAATATGGCGGGGGATTCTCTGAAGCAGTCGTATATCGACTGCGACACGGTGACTACGTTAGACATACACCAGATACGGCTTCGTTTCTCAGGCAATTTTTGCAGCACATCCCTTTGGCGCACAAACACGGCGCAATCAGAAGGAAGCAAGCCAGCGAAGTAAAAAAAAGCCCAAAGAACCGAGGCTCGAGGCTCGACAAACAGTTTCCTGCAAAGTCGCATGCCTCGGCACACGACAACCAGTCTACATTGTACCCTTAACTTGGTCTTGACTTTTAATCCCTTCCGAGGACGTCGGGACTTGTGACCTCTCGTCAACAATCACGACTTCGAGGCCTCAACAGCTCCCTCGCTGACATTTTGGCAAACATGTCGCCGTATATCACGGGGCCAACGCCCCTGCGCATCGTGCAGGAACCTCCCTTCACCGTTGAAGCCCCTGGCTATCAGCCTGTCGACGGCGAAACCATTCCACGCCGCCATCCCAAGGCTAAGGATGGCCTCATTGAACGCCCTGCTCCTGATGTCAACACCACCTTTGACCTGGTCAAGCGGAGCGCCGAACGCTATGCCAACGAGCCCGCAGTTGGTAGCCGGAAGCTGCTCCAGACGCACAAGGAGGTCAAAAAGATCCCCAAGCTCGTCGACGGCGAAACGACCTATGTCGACAAGGAGTGGACCTACTACGAGCTCTCGGATTACTCGTACAGGACCTACCAGGAGTACTTTACTATGGTCCTGCAGATTGGTGCCGGTTTGAGGAAGCTGGGGTTATCTCCTCAAGACAGGCTGCACATATTCGCGACAACAAGGTGGTTATCCCCCAAATCCCCCTTTCCCCCAGCGCTTGCTAACTCGAGCCATACAGTCCGGAATGGCTCGCCATGGCCCATGCATGCTCATCTCAGTCCATGACCATTGTCACCGCCTACGACACGCTCGGCGAGAGTGGCGTCGAGCACTCGCTTGTGCAAAGCAAGGCCAATGCCATGTTTGTAGATCCCCATCTGTTCAAGACAATTGCGAAGCCGCTCAAAAAGGCCCAATCCGTCAAAACCCTCATCTACAACCAGGCCACGCACTTGCCCGTATCCGACGACGACCTCGAGAAATTCAAGTCATCTCATCCGGAGCTTAGAGTCGTCTCGTTCGAAGAGCTGCGCGCCCTCGGCGAGGAGAACCCGACCGACCCGGTACCACCGGACCCCAAGGACACATACTGCATCATGTACACTTCCGGGAGCACCGGCCCACCAAAGGGCGTCCCCGTGACGCACGCCGGGTTCGTCGCCGCCGTTGCGGGCCTCTACGCCGTCATGGAAGAAGCCGTCTCGCACCGCGACTGCATCCTCGCGTACCTCCCGCTGGCGCACATCCTCGAGCTCGTGCTGGAGAACCTAGTCATCTTTGCCGGCGCCACCCTGGGGTACGGCAGCCCGCGCACGCTCGCCGACCAGAGCATGCGGAACTGCCACGGCGACATGCGCGCTTTCGCGCCGACCATCATGGTGGGCGTGCCGCAGATCTGGGAGACCATCAAGAAGGGCATCGAGACCAAGGTCAACTCGTCCGGCACGCTGACGCGCTCGCTCTTTTATGCCGCCCTGCACCTCAAGTCCTTCCTCGTCAGCAACAACCTCCCCGGCCAGGGCCTCCTCGACACGCTCGTCTTCAACCAGGTCCGCGCCATGACGGGCGGCCGGCTGCGCTTCATCGTCAACGGCGCCAGCGGCATCGCCACGCCGACCCTGCACTTCATGAGCCTGGTGCTAGCCCCGATGCTGAGCGGGTACGGGCTGACCGAGACGTGCGGCAACGGAGCGCTAGGATGCCCATTGCAATGGACGTCGGACGCCATCGGGCCCGTGCCGGCGGCAGTCGAGATGAAGCTCGTGTCTCTGCCGGACCTCGGCTACAGCGTCAACGCAACCCCTCCACAAGGTGAAATCCTCCTGCGCGGCAAGCCCGTCGTAACAGCCTACTTTGAGAACCCCGAAGAGACGGCCAAAGCCGTGACGCCCGACGGGTGGTTCCGCACGGGCGACATTGGCGAGTTTGACGCGAAGGGACACGTGCGCGTCATCGACCGCGTCAAGAACCTCGTCAAGCTCCAGGGCGGCGAGTACATTGCCCTCGAGAAGCTAGAGGCCATCTACAGGGGTTGCGGGTACGTGTCGAATATTGTTGTCCACGGCGACAGCGGTTACCCGCGCCCCGTCGCCGTCGTCGTGGCCAATGAGAAAACACTTGGCGAAAAAGCACGCCGCTTGGGGGTTGATGACAAGGACAAGGCCGCCATGTACCGCGACAAGCGGGTCCGCGGGGAGGTGCTCAAGGATTTGCAGGCTGTGGCTAGGAAGGAGGGGTTGAGCCCCATGGAGACGGTGGCGGGTGTGGTGCTTTCTGACGAGGAGTGGACGCCGGCGAATGTGAGTATCCCTTTCTTCCCATCGGCCCGGTTTCTTATCTTTTTTTGCCCCCTGTTTTAATTGGCAGTGTGGTGCTGACGACGGTTGGGTTGCGTATTCAGGGCCTTGTGACTGCAACGCAAAAGGTTAACAGGAGAGCAATACGGGAGAAATACGACAAAGAGATCAAGGAATGTTTGGAAGGGAAGTGAAATCTCTTGAGCATCACTGGGCTCACTTGGCTAGGCTCATTGCATCCTGTCTTGCATTGTCGTGTCTGTTGGGGCATACTAAATAGGGAGTAATGTACATTTTTGAGCTACGGTGTTGGGTACGGACATCTGCGAGTTTGTTTACATCTCCTTCTGTCTGGATGGGAGAACAAAAATCAACCACTGTTGGCATGAGTTGGACGGTAAAATGACGATATGATCAATAGACATGACATCTTGCAAAATGGTATCTCAGCAAGAGTATGTATGTATGTACAAGAGCAATATCCTCATTAGGAGCTTGAGCTTGCGCCGCCGAGCGCCATATCCCGCCACGTTCGTTTCCATGCCATTCGTCAATTAAGCTCGTTCCAAATCGTCGTGACACGGTATATTGTATGTACAACAACCTCATTACCACTCTCTCCCCCTTTCACTTCTAGCCTTTTAGCATGCATGTTCAGACACAAGAGAAAACGTAATTCCGGCTCTTCCCACACAACCCCGAAAACGCCAAAGCTCGTTGAACCCAAAAGTACGTAGTCAGCCATAAATCATGTCCCCTGCCGCCGATAATAAACCATGTAGGCCGACGCGTTGCGGTCCTGATACATGGTCTCCGTCATGTCGTTGGCGCTGCCGGTGCCAATCTTGACCCTATCCACCACGTCGTCGTTGCACCGGAACCAGTCGGTCGGATCCCGCGACTGCTCGTCCTGGACATAGGCGTAATAGTGCCCGCCGTTGATGCCCGGCCCTTCGTGCACCGTCACGGCGTAGCAGTCGTACTTGATGCGCCCCGAAAAATGCGGGTCCTTGCTAGATGACATATCCGGGTCTGGCTCGGCGCAGTAGCGCGTCAGGTCGAGATCGCGGATGGGAAAGCGCACTTTTGTGTGGATCTTGCCTGTCCTGCTGCTGCCGTTGAACCCGCCGCCGCCCGCGTTATGGAACCTGTTGAGGCAGAAGGCGAGCCGGTCGGGGAAGCGCGCAAACTTTGCTTTTCGCGAGCGGCCCGGCTTGTTGCACGTCTCGCAGACCAGGTCGGGAAAGTGCTCCAAGGTCTGGTGGGTTGCTAGGAGACTGTCGAGGTCCGTCGGGTCGTTGGCCCCCGCGAGGTTGAGGATCCAGATGTCGCAGGGCTGGAAGAGGCGGATCTCCTGCCGGCAGTCGCGGTTGTGGCAGCGCGAGATGAACACCTCTAGGCCGCGGAAATACTTATCCACAATGGAGGCGCTGGCACTAGAATAATCACGCCAGTAGTCCATGGCATTCTGAATGATGCTTCCGTTCTTAGGGGTGTATGGTTTTTCTTCCTTGGGAGGCTTCCTGTCGCGGCGGGTGTTTGTTTCGTCATGTATATTGTCCATGATGAACGAGTAGAATTCTTGGGCGTCTTGTTGGCAGGTGCCTCCGAATATCTCGGACTCGGGTTTCGGTCTGCCGTCAGCCGCCTTGGAATGTATATAATGAATATAATCCTGCGGGCCGTTAGCAACGAGATATATCTCTTTTCACGGTCTGCGAGGGGGCCAACATACCATAAACGTCTTGGCCTTCAGCGACGGAAAAGCCCCTTGGTTCAGCCAATGGAACAGGTTGGCCAAACTCTTAACCAGCAATTGAGGGTTATCGAGTTGTTCTCCCGGTTTCCTGGGCACCTTGTACGTCTTTTTCCACTCGCCAGACCAGATCTCACGCGAAAACCCCGGTGTAGCGAACATTGCTTGCAGGGAACTATTGGCGAAGCAAAAGACCCCCGGGTTTTGAAGCCCGGTGCGGCACTTTCGTACCTGTTCCACGGTGGCTTTGGCTGCTGATGCTTTCTTTGCCAACGCGACCGAGCTGTCCTCGGCCTCAGCCAATCCACTATAGCTTCTACGTGGGACTGCTGGTGGTGGGCGCGCCGGTGGCGGAGGTAGAGACGTGTATAGATTTTCTTCGTGCGAGAGGCGATATTGAAAAGGGCTTTGTGGTCTGCTCGTTGGAGAGCTGACTGGGGAGACCATGGATTCCTTATGCTCCGAAATCGAGGGAAAACGGCGCAGAAAATCCTCTGTTGTCCGGACGGGCGAGATCGCGCTCGCGTCTGCAAAGGTGTCTTCCCACCGCTTTGCCTCTTCGGCATCCTGAATAGGTCGTGTTATGTACTTCTGCCGAGTATTCAAGAATGAGCGCGTCATGGGAGTTGCCGAAGATTTTTTGACAGCAAGGGTCGAAGATGACTGGAGACTTGCATTGCCGACTAGACTGGTATACGCATCCAACCCCCCCTGAAGCAGCTTTGGGCCAGGCCTTTGCCCCAACATGTCAGCGAAGTCGTAATGGCTGAGGGCATTGAAGAGGCCAGAAACAGCCTTGGCTTGTCGGGTCTGGGGATTTCGAACGATTCGCTCGGAATCCTGATCGTAGAAAACAATGAGATCAAACTCATGCCGCTTCTCATACAGCAGCTGTTCTGTTGCTGGCGAGAGGATCAGACTGTCTGCAATCTGATTCGCCGAGATGTGCGGCCTTTCAAGGATCTCGGGCTCGATGCAGATGGTGGCCTGGGACATGATGTGGCCATCGTCGAATTCCTCCCGGCCTCTTATGTCAATAAGCAAAATCGATATATCCTTAGTACCCGCTCGCATGAACCGAAGGAGATCTTCGACAGATATAGTATCGCCGTCAGGGACCGAGAGCTTTGTTCGTTTGGCAGGGACGTTTGTCAGTCCATTGGGCTGGCCAGGCGAGGTAGGGCCATTAATAGAAGCCTTTGGATTTCTAGAATTCAAAGATGGCGTTGAGTTTGTCCTGGTGAACATGGCGCGCGGGGCGCTCGATGGAAGCTCAGCGGCTTCGCTCGAGACTGTTCCCCTCGGTGGATTATATATTGCTGCTGGGAGTCTGGGCATTTCGGAAAGCGCTCCGTTGGTGGAAAAGCTTGAAAGCGGCGCCTCCGGGGGCTTCTCGGTCCCTAGAGGCTTGGGAGATCTAACTTGTATTGTTGAAGCGCGCGGATCTTCTTGGGTTTTGGCCGTGGTTACCCGAAGATTAGCGAAGCGCTGAACGAGGTCCTGCGCCTTAGTAGACGAGATGGTTGCGGCACCTGGCTGCAGGGCATTCCCATGAAGATTCTGGGGTTTTGGGTGCACCACGGGCTTTGTCCTAGATGGAGACGGAGATGGACGAACCGGGGCCTCGCCATCCTCGGCCACACAAAGGCCGCTTAGTCTGCCCAGGTCTTCTCGTAACCTCCCAACCTCTTGCCCATTCGCGTTTCCGGACACAGTTCCCGCTGATGCTGGCCGACGGACAATGGGTTGGACGCCGGTTCTGGCATTGTCCGCCTTGATTTCTTGTTTGATAGCATCGAAATCGCTGTGTAGGGCGTCGACTTGCCGCAACAGACGCTGGTAGCGATCGTACTGCGCCTTGTTGTCCCTCTGCAACGACGGCCAGCCCATGTTCCTCTGGATGAGGCGGAGGAGAATGATACTGGCTCTCAGGTAGTCTTGCAATGCAAAATCGGGCCTGCCGAAGTTCTTTGAGGATTCGGCCTGGCGCAAATACATCTCGGCCGTCTGAATGATCTTCTCAATGGGCGCCTGCTCGTCGATGTCGATGGAGACGGAGATGATGTCGTCGATGTGTGGCAGCGGCCGCTTCGGTACCTTGGAGCCATCACGTCGTCCACCCAGCGCCCCTGACTGGGCGACCGCCCCATGGTCGAGCACTGTGGTCGAGCCCGCCATTGCGGGGGTCGGCGAGGTTATTATCCTTGTTTATGATTTCGACGCAAAGAGTCGATTCTGTGCAACGTGCAGTTCGGCGGAGTTGTATGACTGGCGGCGAATTTAAATGTCTGGGCTAGAGGGCAATCATTGCTTAGAATCCGATTTTCGATCGATCGGAATGCCAACCTTCAGCGGGCTGTTTAGAGGCGGAATCGGGCTCGGTACGGAGCCGGCGATGACCGCGGACAGGGCGGCAGCATGAGTGGCGGCTTTGTGTCTATTCACCAGCAAACAGATCGGGGTGGTGCGTTGCAGGTGCAAAGAGTGGTTTGTCAGTCTAGAATGTGGTGCATCCTTTGTCTGGAAAGATTACGCATGGAATATCATCCCTCCATGAGACGTGGTAGATCCCTCTGACATGTGGGGTCAAGGGTTCAAAAAGACAAGAGTTGTGACGAATGTGGTCGGGCGGCGTCAAGAGCCTTGGTGGTAGGCCTTGGCAGTGGCTAGAGATAGCGCACGGCGCTATTCGTTAGGGGCACCATCGAGCAACAACCTATAAGACTTCGTCGCTCAGGAAATCCTGGAATCAGAAAAACATACAAGACATATATATATTCGCAAGAAAAGGAGGCAAAGAGAAGGAGGAGGATAACCGCTTGGTATAGCCCATTGCAAGCAAGCTACCTGACATCCATGGAGGCCGTCTACCTAGCAGAGCAGCAGCCTCGCTACCTACTAATAACTGTCAGCCTGGCGTCGTGCACGGCTAGCTAAGGTGTTGTTACTGTACTGTACTGTACACAGTAAGCTGTGGCCATCTGGCAAGGGTAACGTACTCCACTGGTCCGCTTGGCAAACTTCCGGGAGCCAAGCTCCTGGTCCCTCACAAGGCCCAGCCGGCCCCTACGTAACCAACCGCAGGCAGCGGCATCACTCACTCATCTTTGCTGCATCGCAAACTTCCGTCCTATGACTGGCCAACGCGCACACACTTTTCCGTGTTTACTGCCGGCTGAAGATTATTTGCATCACTCTGCTCTCATCGAGTTGCAATCCTGCCAGAGAGCTGGCAAGCTGGCCGCGCATCGTTTGCAACCCTTCTCTGCCTCCCCCTCCAGGCTCGAGACACACTCCTCCAACAACCGGTGAACCGCGCAATCACAGTTTCCCATATCCGCCGCCAAGATGATGGCATGGTGGTCCTCTGGGGCCAACAGCGCCCTGGATGAGCAAATAGAGAAGGCCACGAGTTCCAGCCTGTACGATGCGTCGATTCCCCGCCACCGTGGTGCGAGAGGCTGACTCTGTTCCCGTCTGCAGTGAAGATATTGCTCTCAACCTCGAGATCTCCGACATCATCAGATCCAAGACAGTGCAACCCAAGGAAGCGATGCGGTCGCTCAAAAAGCGCATCAACAACAAGAACCCGAACACGCAACTCAGTGCGTTGAATGTATGGTCCTCCTGCTCAGTACCTCCAAAGACGTGACGGAACCCCATTTATCAAGCCCCGCTGACTACCGATTTTGCAGCTCACGGACACCTGTGTCAAGAATGGTGGATCTCATTTCCTCGCCGAAATCGCATCCCGCGAGTTTATGGAGAGCCTGGTGTCGCTGCTGAGGGCGGTCGGACCTGCTTCGGTTAACGCAGAGGTCCGCTCCAAGATCCTTGAGCTCATCCAGTCTTGGGCGACAGCAACCGAGGGGCGTTATGAGCTCGCCTACATTGGGGAGGTATATAGGACTCTGCAGCGGGAGGGCTTTCAATTCCCTCCCCGCGTCAGCGTCGCCAGCAGCATGATAGACAGCAGCGCTGTAAGTGGTTACCGTCTGGATCCTAGCCAAGTATGCTGACGCTCCTTCAGCCGCCCGAATGGGTCGACTCGGACGTCTGTATGAGGTGCCGGACGCCCTTCACCTTTACCAACAGAAAACATCATTGCCGCAACTGCGGAAACTGTTTCGACCAACAGTGCTCGAGCAAAACGTTACCTCTACCTCATCTCGGCATCCACCAGGCAGTCCGGGTAGACGACGGGTGCTATGCAAAACTCACAGACAAGTCTTCTAGGGGCGGGGGCATAGGACACGAGCGCTCCCCCACGCATATGTCGTTTCCCGGCAAGCACCGGACCTCTTCGATGCAACCACGAAGTGCTCGGGTGGATGATGGGTTCGACGAAGATCTGAAGAAGGCACTGGCCATGAGCCTCGAGGAAGTCAAGAGCCACTCGCGGCAATATGCTGCCCCGAAAGTGAACGTGGAGCCTGCCAGTCAACCGAAGGTGAACGGGCACGCCACGGCATCGAAAGTCGCAGAAGACGAAGATGAGGATCTGAAGGCTGCCATTGCAGCATCCTTGGCTGATATGGAGGAGCAAAAGAAGAAGCACGCGGCTGCGCTGAAGGAGCAAGCCTCCAACGCTGCAGCTCCTGCGGCGACTGCATCCTTCTCACTCCCGAAAAACGACTATGAACTCACTCCTGTCGAGGCCGAGAACATCAACCTTTTTGCTACTCTAGTCGATCGCCTCCAGACGCAGCCTCCAGGAACAATCCTCCGAGAACCACAGATTCAGGAGCTGTACGACAGCATTGGTGCTTTGCGGCCCAAGCTTGCTCGGACGTATGGGGAAACCATGAGCAAACACGGTAAGCTCACCGGCAGCCCAGTTGAAATGCCAGCTCTAACCCATGTCAGATACCCTCCTCGACCTTCACGCAAAGCTCTCGACGGTTGTACGGTATTACGACCGCATGCTCGAGGAACGTCTATCGAAGGCATACAACCAACACAGCATTGGGGGATACACCCTTCCCCCGGCCCGGCAGCCCTCTGGGCCGTATCCTTCACTCCAACCCAACGTGCCCAGTGTACCCAGCGCTGCCGGGCCAGCAGAGAGCTTCTACACTGGCGAACAACACCAGGACTATGGCCGGCAACTGGGTCATCCATCGTACCCACAGCCAACGCCCCAACCGCAATATCCGTCCTACGACAAGAGGGCCTCGGTTGTTGGGGCATCCAACAGCCAGTACCCTCCACAACAGATGCCGCAGAGAACAGGAAGCTGGAGTGCAGGGCCACCAAGCCAGACACCGCAGTACAACCAGCAACCAAGTTACCCTCCTAACGAGGCGCCTCAAGGACAACAAACGCCCACGCCAGCGCAGCTATCTGCTCAGACCGCTGGCGATTCTGTCGGTACTACTCCCACAGCGGATCCGAGCGCGTCCTTCTACTTCAACTCGCAGCACCAGCAGCAGACTCAGAAGCCACCTATTTCCCCGCCCGACCCTGCTATGTCACCATATCCCAACCTCAATCAACCTCTCCCTTCATACCAACCCTCACTCCCTCAAACGCCCGCGTCAGTGCCTGCTCAACCATCTCAGCCGCAACAGCCATATTGGCAGCACCCGGCTGCTCAGCAGACTGCCCTTCCGCCCGTCTGGCAGGCACCTCCGAGCACTGCATACCCGAGCTACAACCAAGAAGCGTTCCCGTCGGCGCCGCAGCATACCCCGGCTCAGCCGGTGTTGGAGGAAAGCTTGATTGATCTGTAGGCTCCCTGGGTTACGGTTCGAACCGAACTGGGACAGCCATGGCTTGGCGGGGAGTATAGGGGTGCGATGTTTTTGTTATCAAAAGGTAGGGTCGGCACGGCGTTTACAGGAGACACAAACATTTGTACATCAGACCATAGTACATAGATGACTGTTATACGTACAGCGGCCCGATGAGGTATGGCATGCGTCAGGCTGGCATTGTGAGGGCAAATTGCAACCGGTATTTGCAGCAGGAATATGACTCACTTTTTAATTGAAGAGCTTCCTTCTCGGTGAAAGTGGTGCTGCAGTTGCGGGATCGGGGCAGCTTTCGTAGCAGCTGACATAATGCAAGCCACCCGGTCCAATGACGGCAAATCGGGATCCCCACGGAGAGAAAGAGGGTCTTGTGATTGGGCGCCAGGTCCGTTCTCTCGGGCGTTTGCAATCCGGCGACGGTCAAAAGCTCCTCCGGACCAGGTCCGGTGGTGGAGAGGAGCCTTTTGCCCAGCAAACATTGTGTGCTGCACAGCCTCGTGACTCACGTCACGAGTTTCTCTGCTGGACCCCTTGAAGAAAGGAAACAGAGATCGAGTGATTTTTTTGTTTTCTGTTTCTTATCCAAGATCCGTTTGGCTACGGTGTCCTCGAGCCAACAACTGCCTCTTCGAAATCATTATTATATCCCCTCGGCTGCCGCCCATCTGGTCACTTACTTCAGCTTTACTCGACAGACGCCGCCGACTTCATTGACTCTTGCCTGACACGTCTAGAGCGCCGTTACGCTGCAAGGCAAAAGTCAGAGAAAACGGGAAAAAAAGTAAAAGAAAAAAAAAAAAAAAAACGTCATGCCCACCTACATCCACCTCGTCCGCCATGCGCAAGGTTTCCACAACCTCAGCCAGGCCAACCACGCCATTCACGACCCGCAGCTCACCGACCTGGGCATTGAGCAGTGCAAGCGGCTGTGCGCGTCGTTCCCCTTCCACGAGCAGATCACGCACCTCGTGGCCTCGCCGATGCGGCGCACGATACGCACCTGCCTGTTATCATTTGCGCCGGTAGCTGCCAGGCCCGGGATGAAGGTGATTCTGCTGCCCGAGGTGCAGGAGGTGTCCAACCTGCCGTGCGACACGGGCTCGCCGCGCGAGGTGCTTGCGGAGGAATTCGGCGACGCCGTCGACCTGTCGCTGCTCAGCAGCGAGAACTGGCCCGACAAGTCCCGCGACACGCCCTTTGCGCCTGTTATGGATAAGTTGGAGGCCCGCGCGCAAAAGGCGAGGAGCTGGCTGAGGGAGTTGGGGGCAAAGTATGAGAGGGAGAATCCGGGCAAGGATGCACATATTGTTGTGGTTACGCACGGCGGGTTTCTGCATCTGCTCACGCAGGATTGGGACGGCATGAACCCGGAGCGCGGCACGGGGTGGAGTAACACCGAGTGGAGGGCGTATCAGTTTAAAGGGGAGGCGGATGAGGAGGCGAGACTTGTGGAGACTCGGGACAGCCGGCGGCAGAGGAGGGGGAGCGAGCAGCCGTTGACTGAGACGGAGCAGATGGAGCTGCGCATGGCCATGGCGAAAGGGTTGGCGGAGGAGTTTGGCGTCGATGGGGATGGTCAGTCAGCGAACTAGTAAGGGCTGGGGAAGTAGGGGGTGGGCTTTGCGTTGCGATTGTTGCTGCATGGCGGTTGATCACGAACAACGGAGACGTCCAGACTTGGAGGCCTTCCGCTGTTCCGAAGATTTGGATCTTAGAGCTGCTCCGTGATACGGGTTGGTTACAATCCTGCTGCAAACTAGGTAGACAGGCTAGAACTTAGACCGCGGTTGCCAACGAGTTCTGCAGATCATCCTGGGGTAGAGAGTAGGATGGGACGACATGAGATGCGAAGTCATCTATGAATTCTTTGCACGTATGCCTCTCACCCCAAGCGCGCGGCAAGCATTCGCGGCTCTATCAGTCCGACAGCGATTGACGTTGATGTTGCCACAGAGAACGATAGCCACGGAAGACCTAGGTAGCTATCGGGATTATGCTCATCTCACAATCAGCCTATACAGCTTGCCGCTGGTGATCTGCCGCACCCGCTTCTGTGAGAGCCAGTCGACTGGAACTTTAGCAGGCCGATAGTCCCCACCTGTGCAGTCAAGAAGCCCGAATCTAACTTGAAGCTCAAAGGTTCCTTTGCAATGACATGTTGGCTTGCGGCTTGGTCAGCCACGTGCTACAATGTCGTGCAGCCGCCACTTGCCATTTGCTATCCGCATCTTCGGGGTTGGCGTTTCTCGTCCTTATCGCACCGACCTGACTGACTCTCCTGGTTAGCGCGATGTTTCAACTTCAGATGGAAGTAACGTATGCAAGGGCCGGATATCAGCCAACCAGCACAGAAAGCTTGCCTTCTGCTGCAGGGGCGGGTAAGCAGGGGCAGGCCTCACAAGAAGGTCTGGGGTTATACAAAAGAATCCCCCGGTTTGCTGAGGATTCCAAGTGCTCGAAAGAAAATTTCTGTCCAAACGGGAAAATCGGACGTTAGGTGGGCCATTCCCCAAAGCCCAAGATCCAATCAGCCAATCCTGGCTGCAACCAGATCTGGAGGCGTCGTGCAGACCCTTGTCCACGGTCCCTGCTCCATCATGCATGTCCCTCATTCCCCCTTATCCACGATTCCTGTCACAGGTTGACCCTTCCCGCTCTTTTCACTTCGTCCCTGGGGTTCCTCCGCGACTCGCTCGAGGCGGCCTCTACAGGCATGTTGTCACCATAGGGACCAGCCGTCCATCCACTCATTTACTGTCTGTACCATACGATTGACCAAACGATCCCATCCTTTGAACGTTGCCCAGAAACCAAAAAGCGCCGCGCAGATCATCCGAGTGCACTGTTGTCAGCCACCGAAATATTGGCGCGATCGCGGCTGCAGAGGCGACGACCCCGCGACACATCCTTTCCTCTTCGGTCGACCTGATACCCAGATACCCCAGAGATTGGAATCCCCAGTCCAGCCGATCAAACCTCGGACACGCCCGGCTCACGCTCTCTACACTACCTTACACTACAGTACTTACACATTCATTTGCAAGCCCGCGCGCTTACCTCCAGGCTATTGCCAGTCCTCCTCCCCCATCCCAAGGCATTGGGAACCCGACTCCATCGCGATTCGGTAGCGCGGGCCCCAGAAGACTCGGACAGCGGGCTCCCTGTCGCTCTAGTCGTTACTTGTACTCCAACCTTGGGGTCCCCAACGAGTTGAACGATGCGGTAGCAACAAGGACACCGCTGTTCAGGCCTCTGGTGGCCTTGGATCTATTCCATCCGACCCACTTCTGACGTTTCCCTCTTTCAACTCCCCTCTTCTCGACTGCGTCATTGCCGTCGTGCTCAGTCCTTAGCCGACGACCTAGTCTCAGTCGGTCTTCTTCGCGGGCGAGGAACGGCTTGTTGCAGACGGTTGGCCGCGACGTCATCAAGTTCATTCGATCATTTCCTTAAGATACCCAAACGACAGACACGTTGGCGTGCGTTGACGGCCTGACGGTCCTCCAATTCTTCGACGGCATCGACCATCGCATCTTTCTTCGATCCGGCTATCCGTTCTTGCTCCGCGCCTGGTTTGCGCCGTCAACAATATGGGCTTCCTCAGCCACCGCCGGCGTTTTGTTGATGTCCAGCCAGAGCAGAAATGGGACTTTATTGTGAGCAGTTACAGGGGAAGGGAACCCTAATACCCGTCTCGACTGCTGACTGTGCCCCTAGAGTCTCAATGACTTCAAGTCAACCTCATGTTTTAGTCCCTTCGCTTACGGCTATCTCTGGGTTACCCTCATCATTTCAGTGGCAGTCTATGGAGTGGACACCTTCACGGCCTACCAGCTGTTGGCTTTCAACAAGTGGTCATCCCAAATCGAACCCGCACAGATGATTCCGTTCGACGTTTCGAAATGGGTCTTTACCATCTGCATCATACTGTCCTTTGTCAACCTTGGCTTTGAGTATTTTCGCGCTGTGAGCATTATGCGGCGAGGTAGCGTCGCCGAATCATTTCTGGACAGTTTGGCAGCACGTTTGGAGTGTATTCGTATGGGCAAAGGCCGAGGATGGAAGCGTTTCCTGGTCTTTTCCGAGCTGGCAAAGAGTAAGAAAGGGTCCGAGTATATCGCCCTCTTTACTTTTTTCAGCTTCCAATGTAAGTTTTCCATCCCAGGGTCATGGCCAGCCCGCTGACCAGACCGCCAGCTTGGATTCGGGTCCTGCTCTGCTCCGGACCGCGCCAAGTCATCAACGGCCTGACGCTTTATTCCGTCTACATGGCCAGCCTTCAAATACAGGGGAAGGACTTTGAAAGCTCACTCAGCAACTTTTTCGATAAGATTCGAGCACTTGCGAGTGAAGAGCCGCGACAAGCTGTCATCCTGTCCGGCATGCTGTTCACTTGCATCATCTGGATCTTCTCGTTCCTCTCCTTGCTTCTGGCAGCCCTGTTTTTCGTTCTGTATTTATGGGGTAAAATTCCTCGCGAGGACGGCGGTCTGACGGGCTTCTGTGAGCGCAAAGTCAACAAGCGCCTCAAACAGATTGTCTCCGTCAAAATCAACAAGGCGATTGCCGAGGAGGAGCGAAAGAGAAACAAAGCCGGATGGAAAGCAGGCAGAAACGGTGAAGGGAAACCTATGGCGCTGCAGCCATCGCTCCCTGTGCTGAGCGATGACAGTCTGCCGGAGATGCCATCCTTACAGAGGGCCGACACTTTTGCATCCCTGTCAGAAAAGCCATTCCGTCCGGATAGCCCTGGAAGTTTCGAGATGAACTCCCTTGGACAGAAGCCAGTGCGTTCAGCAACAATGGCGACATCAAGAAGTGGGTATTCGTCCAAGTCGTCTCTGGTTAACAACGCAGCGGAACCGGGAATGAATCGTTCCGAGTCCCCTATTCCCACATTGCCGCCAGTCGATCTGGAAGGGTACTCTCCTCTTCGCACCGCCACTGGAGCATCCACAGGCAGCTCCAGGTCCGGCCCGGGGCTGCAGCGGATGGGTTCGAACGGCCCGGCTCTAGGTGCAGGCTACACGGCTAGTCCTGCCACATATTCGTCCGAGACAATGCCCAGTTTCCCGCCGCCTATACGGTCGCCGGTCAATGCTCCCAACGGTTACAGAGGACCCGGACCGAACCAACCGAGGGACAGGTGGGCGGGTTCCGGCGATAACAGGTCGCCCTTCGACGACCATTCAAGCGGTCGCGGCAGCCCCGCTCCGTCGACGATTTCGTACCGAAGCAATCCAATGTCACCACGCGGCATGGGGCCGAATGGATACCCGATACGCAGCGCGACCAACCCAGTGCCTCCGCGAGGCCCGCCTCAATTCCCTCCGCCGAGAAATATGACGGCACCTATGCAGCCTTACCATCATCCGACCGGAAGCAATGGATCCCAGAGGAGTATGCCCGGTGCGCCTGGGCCGTATGATCAGCCGAATCATGGTAACAGTTCACTGAGAAACGTCGTGCCTAATGGCAACTATTATCCTCAGGGGCAAAATGGCGGGGACTACACGAGTCGGCAAAATCCGATGACGGCCAACTACCCGAGAGGGCCGCCCCAACGGTTTGGAGGCAGCAATGGATGGAACCAAGACCTGGAAAGGGGTGGCGGGCCTCGGTATTAATTCTTTTCATAAGCTGTATATTCACTAGCGCGCACGGCGTGGTGGTATTTTTGGATATTCTGATGATCCCGGGATGTCATTTAGAGGTTTCACTGTCAGGGCGGAAACCTATCCGGGCTATTATCTACTTGTACATATTTGTATACGTATGAAGATGGATTGATGACCTGGCTTATGAGGCCACTCGATGATGAATATACTTCACTTCATGTCTTGCTCGAGCGTCTGTTACAGACAAATGTCGTGTCTCTATTTCGCCAACCCGGTCCTTTTTCAGTATCACGCTCACCAGTCGTTGTCCATCTTCTCAGCTGCCCGGACGTACTCTGACCCGGGAGACGGGACGGTGGCAGGGGGAGAGGAAGGGAGGAAGGGATGAAGAAAGAGGAAGGGAGGAAGGAGAAAGTGCTGGATAACACTGGAGAAAACACACCCACACCCAGAGTATATGTATGGCCTCTGCAGTTGTCCAACCGGGGTCTCCTCATGGCAGCCTCAAAGTCGTAGCAAGCGGTCACGAGCTGACAGTTTGAGCCCGAGGCCGGGCTGGAAACGCATGAAGTGAGCATAAATGCCCAGCAATCAGTCAACCCATCATCTGTCGTCAGCCTTGATATATCCCATGACATGTACTCCGTATTACGAACCTTATCGGCCTATGGCAAAGTGGTTGGGGTATAGTGACTTCGACCAAAACGACCTTGAACGGTTTGACCACGTCATTGATAGTCACATGGACCCCAGTCTGACTGAAGAGGCCGATGATCGTGAACTCCAACATGGACACGAGCAGGTACTTGTCAGATAGACTTCCGGACGATACTCCGATCCGCGGATGAAGAGACGATGCGCGAGACTTGAACGTGTGTCTATTTCTTACTCGGCACGTGCATGGGCATCCATCGCAATCGCGATCGTGTTCTAAGAGCCTGTCTACGGGGTTCAGCATGATGAAGGACATGAAGATAAGCCCCAGCCACTCGATCAAGACCATTGACGCCACCTTCACTGAGCACAAGCTCGAGGACGAGATCAGCGACCAACTACTACCGGTCCTTTGTATTATACACGCAGTAGGAGAAACGTCCATTTATCATCTTCGCCTCTGAGGTATATATGTAGTAGAATCAACACAGAAAACGACCAGGCCACCCTCTAACCCATCTTGTGCTCTAATCTCTCTTGCTGCCCCAGCACAGCAAATCTTCTCTCTCTCTATATATATACCTCTAGACCCAGCCTCCTCGTGTCTATACACCAGATTGAGGTACAGTACAATATGCGTTTCGCACAGCAAGAAAAATCAGCAAAGAAATTTGCCGGTCACGGCTGTCGCTCAACATGTATAAATATTCCGCAAAATACCCTCCCGAACCGCTCGCCTCAAAATAGGCGGTCACCTCCCAAACCGCCACCACTTCTTCTTCTTCTCCTTGTTCTCGTAACCTTCCTCCTTAATATTATGCTGCCCGACAACAGTGAGGAAGACCTGGTCCAGCGTGGTGGGACTGACGCTGAAATGCTCGACCCCGAGCGCGGCTCTATTCTCCTCAAGGAGCACCACCAACCTGCCGATCGCCGAGGAGGACGAGGGCGGCGGCGATCCTTTCCCGCCTCCAACCCCGGCCAAGCTGGACGTCGTGGTAATCTCATCTTCATCCTCATCCTCAATTTGCTTCTGACCCTCACCACCACCACCCAGGACCAGACTGGCCGGGATGCTGAAGCGCAGCTGGCCGTGGTACGTCTTCTCCTCGACGTCAGCCGATCCGCCAAACACCCTACGGACCCATTCCACCACGCGTTGCACGTCCTGCTCGCTCGTCCGAGGAGCGCCCCTACAGACGAGGTGGACATAGAGGCGGTCGCCGAACCTCCGACGGAGCTGGTCGACGCTGCCCATAGCGAGCATGCGCTTGGCGAGGATGCCGGCTCTGCCGGCCAGGGCGTCGGCCTCCTCCATGCTGTGCGTCGTGAGGAGGATGCTCCGGCCCGGCGCGGTGGTGGCGAGGGTGCGCCACATGCGGCGTTTCCCGGCGGCATCGAGACCCGAAGAAGGCTCATCGAGCAGAACCACGGACGGGTTGCCCATCAGCGCAATGCCCAGTGACAACTTGCGCTTGTTCCCCCCGGAAAGTGCGTGGGCATAGCGGGAACGGAAACTGCTCAGCCCTACCCCTACAAGGACTTCGTCAACGTTGTGTTTCACGTCCGAGACACCACGTGCTCGCGCGTAGAAGGCTAAATGCTCTTCGACCGTCATTTGATCCAGGGCGTCGAATTGCGGGCAAACGCCGAGATGCGAGCGCGCGGCGGCCAAATGCCGGGCAACCGAAACGTCCTCTACGAAAACGTCGCCGCCGGAGGGCTTCAGGTCCCCGCGGATCACGCTGATGGTCGTGGACTTGCCCGCGCCGTTGGGGCCCAGCAGGGCGAAAACCTCGCCGTGCCGGATGCCGAAGGTGACATTGTCGACCGCCGTGTTGGAGCCGAAGGATTTGATCAAGTTTACGACGCGCAGGCCGTCTGCCGAGTTCGGAGAGCGCCCGTCACGGGCCCCGCTGGCCGAGCTTTTGACCCGGACGAGCTCGTTGGCGACTTCTTCATCTCCTTGTTCCTCTTCGGCCGAAGCGGGATCACCAGGGTGTTTCGCGGGAGAGGAGCGAGTGAAAATGCGACCGAGTGAGAAGCCTGCACTCCCGCCGTCGACCCAGACCAAAACGAGAAAGTAGACAATGATCTGTATGATGAGATATAGGATTGGGCCACCGTACCGGACCAATGCGCTTGGGTCCGACCCGAGCTGGTCGCCGTCACACGAGGTCGCGAAGAGATTCAGAGCGACAAAAAGAGCGCGGGCGGCGGGGACTATGGGGGCCAGCGCGGACATGACAAAGGTAATGATCAGAAGAATACGATCGATGCTAGGGACAGGAGCATAGGCGAGGACGCAAATGAAGGCGATTATATAGAGAAGCAGGATGATGACTTGACCGGCCGCCGTAAACGCGTACGCTGACAGCTGATTGGCGCTGAAAAGGGAGACGTTGTAGGCAAGAACTGTCGAGGCAATCCCATATAAGATGAAGATCAAGAAGAGGTAGCTGACGTGGTACCATAGGTCAGGCGCCAGCCCAGCAAGGAGACCGACGGATATCGCGGCCCCTGCTAGCACAATGGCAAAATCGAAGAGTGTGTAGGCCAGCCATAGCGGTACCGGACGGACGCCCGTTACATATTGCAGGCTCCTGACATTGTGTCTTCTTTCCAGATTCGGGTACAGCGCGAAGAAGGCGGGGTAGGCAACTAGGGAAAGGCTGACATAAACAAGCAACTGAAGCGAGTTGCCGGTGCCAGGGGTGAATGGCCTGTCAAGGACGCCGTAGGTAGAGAAGAGGGTCGTGTTGGTAAGAAGCATATCCATGACCCACTGGCCAAAATAAGCGTTGAACATTTCAGCGCCGTTGCCTCTGTAGACGAGCGTGGGGCGAGATCCGTCATCGCCGAGCCAAATACCAGCGGGGGTAATATTCTTGCGGTACTGCACGATGGAGTTGGAAAACTCTTCAAAAGAATTGACAATCGTCAGATTCCGGAGCAGGTCGGCCGCGGTGCTGGCGGCCCCAGAAGAGGCGCCATCAGCTGGGTTGACGCTCCCGCTGCCGGTGTTCACGGAATTGAGGTAGATGGGTGCAAACAAGCGAGCCAGCGTCGTTTGAGACAACTTGTTCGAGGGGCCGCCGACGACGAAAAACTTGAGGTCTTCGAAAATGTTGCCGGCTGCCTCGAGCGAAGAGGTCTCGGTTGGGCTGCACCCAGCCAGCTGCTGGTCTTTGACAAACAATGTGACTAAACCAGCTGCGACAACTGGAAGTACGAAAGCGGCGACAGAAGGGAACCAGTTACTTTTGAAGATAACGCACCGCTTCCTGAAGAGCACCCAGCAAAGCTCAAAGAAGCCCACATGCCGCCCAGAGAGAAGTTTGAGGCCGCCCTTCTCAGTTCCTTTGGCGCCGGGAACGTTGGTGGCCGATTTCTCCTCTTCGGTTGAGCTGAGAACACCATGCTGGTCAACTTCAGCGCCATCATCGTCCTTGATCTCCTCGGCGAGCTGCAAAAACACATCCTCAATGGTGGGCCCAGAGAACCGATAGTCCGTGATGCCAGCGGCCTCAAGCTCCTTGATCATCATTGCTGCCAGGCTTGACGTAGAAGCAATGTACGCAGCCTCTTCTTGGGTAGCCTTCTTAGTAACGCCGGCAATCTCGGGAAGAAAAGGGATCATCTTGACATTGTTGACGTGGATCCTGTAACCACCGCCTAGCCGGTTTTTGAGCTCGACAGAGGTACCCTTGGCACGAAGACTGCCCTTGGAGAGGACTGCGATGTAATCGGCCAAAGCATCCGCCTCGTCGAGGAAGTGGGTTGTCAGGATGATGGTGCGCCGCCCACGCTCGGCCAGCAGAATATCCCAGATCTTTCTCCGGCTCAGGGGGTCGATACCTGAAGAGACCTCGTCACAGCAGCAGACCTGGCTGCCACCTGTCAGCATCATACCTAGCTGCAGCTTCCGCTTCTGGCCGCCCGAGAGTGTGCCAGACTTGGCCTTGATCTTCTTCTCGAGATCGACAGACAAGACAAGCTGGTGGATCTCATCCTTGGTGGCGTGGTTGCCAGGCGACTTGAGCCTGTTGAAGATGCGAATGTGCTCTTCAACCGTCAGCTCGTCCCAAAGCACGTTCTTCTGCGGTGCTATGCCAAGACCTCCCGTGCCGTCTATCGTAATTTTGCCGCTCGTAGCTGTGTTGATCCCTGCGATTGTGTCAAGAGTTGTACTTTTCCCGCTGCCGTTGGCGCCCAGCAGGGCGAGGATCTGGCCACGGCTAGCAGACAGGGTGAGGTTGTTGACGGCTACCACAGTTGTTGGCTTCGAGATGAATGAAAACATGCGGCGGACAATGCCGGGTTTGTAGATCTTTGTAAAAGAGTCCAGCTGGACGGCGCAGTCAGGATCGAGATGCTCCCCTCGCTTCTCACCAACAACAATGTGGCGGCCACCGGAAGTCGAACCGTGCAGCCACCTCTCAACCAGGGCTCCGAGGATCGGGTAAACGAGTATCTGGCCGGCGAGAAACACGAAGAAAACGACGCCAGGAACATTCCACGGACTGTTGGGTGGCTCCGCCACAAGGTCAGTAGGCCACTGCTCCCTCTCCCAGCGAGAAAGCAGTGTCATGAAATATGTAAAGTTGCAAGGCGTGAATAGAAGGCTCAGAACGATGACTGTTCCAGTGTTGGGCGAATTGACCGACTGAGCGATGACCGCCAAAAGAATGTAGAGAATCGTAATAGAAACGCCGCTAAGTTGGGATCTCCTGAAGAAAGCGGCGCCTAGGATCGTCATGGAGCCAAGGGCCAATCCGGCAAGTATGAAGTAGAGCAAGACGACCGCAACGTTCGTCTTGGCATAAACGCCTCTCGCTAGGATTATAGAGGAGATGACCCAGCCCGGCAAATACACAATCGAGAACGAAAGGTGGTACGACAAGAGCCGAGCGGCTTGGGGCTGCCAGTGGCCCTTCGTGGCCATCATGGCTTCTATCAGCTGAGACATGCCGGTCTCCCTCTCAGTTGCAATGAAGCCCGCCATGTGGTAGACAATGCCAATAAGACCGAGGAGGAAGGTGACGGCAAAAACGTTGATCAGGACACTCTGGAAGTTGACACGGATCTGGTCGGCACGCTCCTCACGGGTAAGAGAGGTGAAAGGGTAGTTGTCGATGGCATTGGGAAGGGCCATAGCGCCGTTGGTCCCGTTGTTGGTACGGGATATGGCCTTGATCAGAGCATGCTGTAGAGGTAGCAGGTAGACCTGCGAATCATTGTCGTCGCGATCGACATTGATGCGCCCGGCACCAAGCGAGGGATCGACTCGAATGGTGTAGTTCCAGAAACCACCACCCCCCTCGCTTGGGGAGCCACTGAAGACGACGGCAGCAAAGCAAGGAGTAACACCTCGAAGACTTGCCTGGCAGACATAGGCCAGATCGCTCTCGGAGGATAAAATGGTTGCGTTCTTGCCCGAATCCCTCACCGTGGTCACGAGCTCGTCAATGACGCGCCCAATCTCGCCGCCGGTGAAGCCATTGTGCACGAACACGACGTGTTCCCGACCGCTCCCGCTCGAGCTCGCAAGGGCTTCCGGAAGCGAAGGTATGGCGTGCGGAGAGCTAACCCCAAAGACTGCGGCGGGCTGGAACAGATTCCGGGCGAAGGCGAGGAAGGCGATGATGACAATAGGGAGCACCTTCCATAGCAATCAGTACCGTACCTAATTATGATGTAGCTTCCATCACATAGCATGTTGAAGCCATCAATCAATCACTTACAAATGCACGAAACACGGTTGCAAAGCTATGCCGGACAAGCACTATCAGCCAATTCTTCAACGTCAATGTCCATGTCTGCCGGAGGAGCGCCATTTTCCCGTCGGCGTCGGCCCGATCGGCGGCCCCTCCCGCGGAATGTCGATCAGCGGTGCGATGGCGTCGCGGTCGCGCAAGTCACAGTGCGTCAGGGCGTTATAATTAGGCTTTGATGGTTCAGCGATTGGGCGATTAGCGCAATCTGTTGTGCGCTCGGCGGTTTGTGGCTTGTTCGTCTGATGTTCCACAGCCGACAACTGGAAAGGCTGCCTTTTCACATCAAGGTCATCCAATTTCAGATTTTGGGATGGAAACCAGAAACCCGGAATCGAATTGAGGCTTAAAAGACACTCATCTGACGGAGAGGGGAACTCCATTAATGTATATTGAATTCTAAGCGAGGCTCTAGACAGTCGTATTTCGTGAAGGAACTTTGTACTTACGGAGACAGCCTAGCCAACGCTAATTAACCTCCATTCACGTAAGATTTCTTGGCTCCGACCCTCACCCAGTCGGAACCAGCCAAACTCCGCTGGCCCGTTGGAGGTGCCCAATCCAGGTCACCGGGCAATTGAGGCGCAGCGGAAGCCCCTGCTGATGCTGCTGTGACAGAAGGATATGTACTTGGGTCGCTTAAAAATTGTATGGAATTACAGTATGTACTGAACATACATACAGTATTGTAATGCCGGTACTGAACACTAACGGAATGATGTTCTAGCAGTGGCTTCCATCGAATAGACAGGGTCACCACTAACCAGCCCGATATTAGTTACCTCTATACTACTCAATACACTACACAACTTAGCAAGTTTAATCCCAATGCCGGCTATAGCTCTCGGTCTTCATGTAAACTTGGGCAGACATCTCTCGGGAACGCGTAGTTGTGTAACATACGTGTATCGAGTTGCTTGGCAAGGGCGCTTGTCCAAGAAGGATACCTTAGCTACCAGCACCTCCCAACGTTCCAGACTTCTTCCTGTTCATGTACCAAGTTTTACCGTGGCATAGATGCAAGTCGCAGTCCAGAAGCAACACAGTCAGGTCAAGCGTCGTCATATAACTCCTACCCGGTTTTTGCATCGTCATGACGAGTGACGTTATCCATGGATGTCACATTGAAAAGTCACTCTTGAGCCTGCTAGCCAGGACGAGAGTAAATATCATGAACTGCTAACGTTAACCAGAATATGACCCATGGATGCCTTTCTAACATGCGTTATCCTCAAGGGTAGTCTCCTCTATTTGTGCGCTGTAAAAACATTAACCCTCGAGTCCACTTTGTGGTTTTCGCTTTGAGTTGTCACTTACGAATGCCCTCCTCGGGGAGGGGCTGAGCATCGACCAGTTCAGCCGCAAACTTCTCCTTGGTACCTTGCTTCTCCTCCCGCAAGAACGGGAATGGCAACACTTCCCTGATCGAGTAGTTGTTGGTAATGAACTACCAAGGATTGTTAGCATCCGACATCAGCCTCGCAGTTAGCTCAGGAGCATTACCATGGCAAGACGGTCAATCCCAAGACCCCAGCCTCCGGTCGGCGGCACTGTATTACCAGTCAGAATCTACAATGCATATATCATACCGAGCTGGGGAAATGTGGCACTTACAGCCGTACTCGAGCGCATTCAAGAAGCTCTCGTCGATAATTTGACTGGCCAAGGGTCAGAATTGTTCAAGGGACCACTCTTCGGAAAACATACGCCTCATCATCACCCTGGTCCTTCTGACGAGCCTGCTCCTCGAACCTCAGTCTCTGGTCAAAGGGGTTATTCAACTCGGTGTACGCGTTTGCAATCTCCTTCTTGCAAACGAACGCCCTGAGGAACGGTCAGCGAATTGCACACATTCAAACCACGGTATGGCCGGCCTCATAAAGACGTACTCGAATCTCTCGCACAGACCTGTACGCCATTGGTTAGTCACAGAACCCAACGGGGAGAGCAAGGTAAACGAGTGGCATACCCTTCTTAGACCGATGATACTTGGCGAGAGGACTCATCATTTGCGGGTGCTCAACTGCATTTCAGATCAGTATACGCGGCAAGAAGTAGCCTATTGCCGATGAGACTCACGGATGAAGGTCGGGTTGATGCAGGTAGACTCGATGAACTCGCCCGTGAGCTTATCGATCATGCGGGCATTGGTGAGCGGAGGTGGGCATTCGACGTTCATCTTCTTGCAAAGTCTTTGCAAAAATTGGTTCGTCTCCTCAGTATGAAGCTCCTCGTAAGGCGGGAACTTCTCCCCCGTGGCCTTCTCGAGCTCCGGAATCATCTCGACTCTCCGCCAGGGGGCTTCCCAGTTGACCTCGTATGTCTCGCCGTGCTGAGTCGTGAAAGTGGTCTTGTACGAGCCAGTGAGCTCCTTCACCAGGGAAGAGACCAATTCCTCGGTCAAGGCCATCACGTCGTAGACATCAGCATAAGCCCAGTAGAACTCACACGACGTAAACTCGGGGTTATGTGTCAGGTCGATGCCCTCGTTGCGGAAGTTCTTGCCAAGCTCAAACACCTTGCCAAACTGGCCCACAATCATCTTCTTGAGGAAGAGCTCGGGTGCGACTCTCATGTACATGTCCACGTCCAGGTCGTTATGATGAGTGATAAATGGAAGCTGGTGCGCGCCTTAGTATACACGCACCACTCTGTAATGATAGAAGCGAAGTCGGCAGTTGCGCGGTCTAAAAAGGGGCACTTACAGCGGTGGCACCTCCCGCAATCGCGTGCATCATTGGGGTCTCAACCTCGATGAATCGTCGCTCATGGAAGACTGCACTCCATTAACCATGACGGTCAACTACAGACAGCGCTGAAACACTTACAGTCACGAATAAATCGAACCATCCGGCTCCGTTGCCAAAGAACCTGGCGGCTCCTATCGTTCCAGAGCATGTCAAGGTACCTCATACGCGCCCTACCAGCTAGGTCAGCATGCGCCTAGCATGAGAGCAACCCACAAGTGAGTGCCAAGGACAAGAAACAAACCTCTGTTCGCTATCCGAGAAAGGGAAGCGCACGCTAGGAAGCATGTGCAAGCAAGGGCTCAGCAGGACAATCTCGGTCGCAAAGATGGAGAGCTCTCCCTCCTTGCCCTCGGCGAGCCGATTTTTGGGGTTCGTCCGCCCCGCGTAGCCCACAATGCCGATGACATCGCCGCGGCGGATGTTCTCGTGCTGCTTCTCGAACGGGACTCCACCTTCCTTGACCAATTGGGCCTGGCAGACGACCTGCAGCTGGGTGCCGATGCTCACGGTGTCGGCCGAGGTGCGAATATCTTTAATACATCCCGTGTAAGCCAGCTGAATAGAGTCAAAGTGCAAAGAATAACACATCTGCTGGGGGTTTGCGGCGATTACCGTAAAAGATGAGCTTCGAGCCGCTGGCGCGCTTGTTGTAGATGCGGCCGGCGATCCGGAGCTCCTTGCCCTCGTCTGTCTCGCCCGACTTCAGATGGCCAAACTCCTCGAAGAACTTGGAATCATCGTATGTGACGTGGAACTTGTGCGGGTACGGATTGGTCTCGGGATTCTTTAGCACTGTTTAAACGACCAGGTCAGCAAAGTTGCTTGCAACTGCAACGTCCAACCCTCAAAGGAAGAACCAGGCCAGGTCAAAAAACATACGCTCATTGATATGCCGAGTGCGGATTTCGTAGTACTGGTTCGGGTTGAGGTCCTTCTCCTCCTCGCCGGCGGCATTCTTGGGCTTGTTCGAAGCCTTGGGCGGGGCGGCGGCCGCCTTGGCTGCCTTCTCTGCCTCCTTCTGGCGCTGCTTCTGCCGCTTCTTGAGTTCAGTCTTGGACACGCGCTCGCCGGTGACCTCGTCGAGGTGGAGGTTGGCAACCTCGTCCGTAGGAGGTGCTGGAGCAGTGGAGTCAGCCATGATGACAGTGTTCGTTCAGGACCTTCAATCGGAAGCAGCAGACGCCAGGGTCCAATGCAGTCGCTGGCCTGTTTTGTCGTGTGCTGCGATTGTTAGGTTGCTGTTTCTTGCCTGGCGGAACCCAATTCCGAAAATCTTAAAGAACCCCACGGCGGGGTATTTTTTCATCGCGTTGCAAATTGGCGGGGTTGACTCAGAGTGCCGGTGAGTCAAGAACAACCCCATCATTTGCTGTGGATGCCCTCAAAGCTACAACCCTAACCCTTTACACATCAGCAAGCCCCTGAGAATGTCAACAACTCTACCTCCGTATCCAAGTGCGGTGAACATAAAGTCAACGTACTCCCAAGAAGTACTATAATGTAGGAAGTGTTTGTTTTTGTATTAGAAACACTCAACTGTGTAAGGCAATCAGTAACACCAACAGCATGCCCCTATCTATGACAGAGATTCAGTGCCCGATCTGAATCTATCCGTTTATTAGACAATACAATTATCCCAAACCAATGCCTGGTTTGCTGTGTATGTGCGCCCTTCCCAATATGTAATCCTCTTTCTATGTGGCGGCCGGCACCGTTACGGAATCCGAGTGAATGCCCACGCATTCAACGCCGGCGTTCACGCTCTAGGCTCGGTATCCAAATAACCGAATGGATCCCCAGGCTCTGCTGATCCGGAGCTTGATCTGTACACATTCACCGGCTCGGCGTGGATCCATGCACCATGCGCAGTCCGGGGCGTGATACACGGCTACTGAAACTGGCTTGTCCCTGATTTAAGACCCTGCATGGCCATGCCGCCGATGGCGCTGCCATCTTGAACGCTTAATCTACCACCGCTCATGGCGGGTGGAGCACCCATCGATGACTCGCGAGTTTGAGGCATACTGAGCTGAGTCATTTGTTGTGACTGCGCACCCAAAGTGGATGTGGTGGCGGCTGCTCCGCGAGGGGTTGCCGTTGAGCTTCGGTGTAGCCGCCGGGACCCGGGCAATCCTCCATATCCGCATCGGCGTCGGCATCAGCGTCCGTTTCACCCTCTGCATCCCCTTCTGCATCAATATCCGCATCTCCGTCGGCATCAATGTCCGAGCCACCGTCGGCGTGTTCGTGTGCATCCTTGTCCGTCCCCACGTCTTGGTCATTCATGTCCTCATCATCTGCATGTGTGCTCACTGAAGGCGCCACGCTTGATGTTGTGGCTGCTGGTGGGCATGGCGGGGTCATTGCTGTCACGGCCGATGTGGCTGACATAGCGCGGCGCGGACTTTTGGCAATGGCTTTCGGTGGCTGCGGCATCTGGAGAGAATGCTGGCGACTCGAGACCGGCTGTGGTGCTTCTTGGAACCCTTGTTGTCTGCATGGGAATGATGGAGGCTGAGTTGTGCTTAGACCCGCAACTCCCTGACTCACGTCTGTCGTATCTGGCGCATTGAGTGGCCGTTGCGTCTGCAGACCAGTACTGACGGAGCGATTTGAGAGGATAACCTGTTTCCACCTCTCGACCGCCGCTGAAACAATCGTGTTCAAATCAGACTGGCGATCCGTGAGACTTAGGCCGACGATTCCTTTCCCGCTCGAGCCATCTTCCTGCATACGGGCGAGTAATCTTTCGTCGACAAAGACTGTAGAGGGCGGTGCAATCCTGAACTCCTTGGGCAGCTGTAGGCGGTGGGCCTGGTCGAGCTGTGTTCTGAGGTTCGCGTTGTCCTGCCTGAGAAGGCGTACCTCTTCGATCAGCTTGTCAACATCCTTCCGCCTCTTGTCCAAACACCGAGCGAGCTCTAGCTTCCAGAGATGTTCACGTTGCTCCTGAGCAAGCCCACTCCAGATCGAGTACGTAGCTTGGACATGCTCGTGGACATGTTTCTCCATTCTTTCAACTTCCCTCTCCACCTTGAGAATCTCTTCGCTCGCGTCGAGTTTGGTGGTGCTTTGGGAGGATGGATATCTCAGTTCCTCGGTAGCCGCTGCCGTGGCGGAAACACAAGCGGCCTTCCACTGCCTAAACTTTCCTCGGAAATAGGCGTGCAGTGCTTCGAGTTGGCTGGGTCCCGGGGGTTGAATTGACCACGAGGTGGCTGTTGGATGTTGTGTGGATGCGAAAAGGGTTGGTGGAGATTCTAGGCACTGGAGTGTCAAGGCAGGGAAGTCCAGGGATAACGGGTCGAACGTGAACGGTAGTGAGCTAATGTCAGCCTTCTGCCTACCGACGAGAGTCAGCAACAAGCAGCAACGGAAGCGGACCAGGGCCGGGCAAAAGAATGGCTCAGACACACTTGGTAGCTCTCAGTGAACTTATCAATTCACGCAATGCCAGCTCGGCGGCTCTCGCGGTATCCATGGCATCCTGTATCTGTCTCCTCAGGTCTAGCTGCTGCTTCAGCATCTGCCGGCTCACAGACCGTTGTGAAGGCCCCTGCCCCGGGCTTTGGCCAACTCCGTCTCCCACGGCAGCTCGACTGATTCCACCCTCTGTTTCCCGCACTGTTGAATCATTGACAGTCCCGGTGGTCTCCCGATGGGTAATAGAAGGGTGTCTCCTTCCAAGCCCAACCCTCAGCTGGGAGCTACCCAGTTGAGACACCGGTGACCCTGCCGCCGGAGATCTGGTATCTACGGAAACTGGGCTCTTCCTCGATGTCGTAGTCGGCGTTGCCGCCGAGACTGAGGCGGGTGTGCCCCATCGAGCCACGGCACCTCTGGGTTGACGGCGGGTAATGTTCTGCCTGATCTTTCGTATGGCCTCGACGTCGTGCACTCCATCTGGTGGTTTTGGGTTGTTTTCTCTAATGAAGACATCTAGGTGGCGGCCCAATGACGACGAGGTGAACGGTTGGTGGCAGAACTGGCATTTCTTGTCTTTGACTGTTTTGGGCGGGTTCGACTCCGGGGGTCGGCGTGGTGTCTCGGCCATTTCGTCGGAACCCGCGGCCGGATCACTCTGGTGCGAGAGCAAGGATCAGGGTTCGGATCATTATCTGAGTTCACCCAAGCAGAGTACCACAGCTGGAAGGTAACAAACACGCAGCAGCGTAATGGCACAAGGGGTGTTCGGTCCAAGAAGCGGCGCTCTCTAACTTAAACCCATTGGGATCCCTCCAGGAAGGGAAACGGCAGAAAGCTTCCAAGGAACCCGGGGAGGCAGTGCTTTATGGGGTCGACAACGTGTCTGGAGCCAGCAGATGCTTTTTTGGCTCTGGAGAAGTACCATCGACACGATAAATTGCGGAAGGGTACGCTCGGATTTCTGGCCCCTTTCCCTGACAGGGCAGGTATTGGCCAAACAGGGATTAAACCCCATGGCAATGGAGATATATTTGCTTGTTGGCTTGCGGCCCGAAGCCGTTGTGTTGATCTGTGGCTTCGAGAAAGTGGAAAGAGGTGCAGGGGATGTTTCTGGCCCAGTCATTGATTTTAGAGTTGCATCCGTGGATGCCGTACCTGCAGAAGAATTCCACAGTCCTCGCGTGGCAAGCGACAGAGCCTTTCCTGCCGTTCCTTCATCTACATAGGTAGGTAGTGCATCTACTCGTAGATGAAACACTGCATACTGACGGCCACCGTCTGGCTCTGAATATGGTAGGGGCTCATTGTTGTGCGATAGCACCGTACAGAATCGTCGTCCCATTTCGTTCATTTTGAAAATATTGAATGACTGGATCCATCCTTTCCAGAAGAGAAGACAAGGTGCAACTGGTGGATTCCAACGGTTGCAGTTCGTAACGCCCCTGTCAACACAACTTCTGCAGGTAACCCTTTAGTGTGGTGTACTGTATTTACATGTATTTACAGTACATCCAGTTTATGGTAGTGCTCCTGTATTGTACTGTATTGTATAATCACACTAGTGCCGGAAAGCCATGGAACCGGCTTCTGTCTCTGTTCTCTTCGCCCTTGGCTTGGTGCTAATCAACGGCCTGGACCGCGGGCTTGCATTTGATAATGCGCCAGGGCTGTTGTCGACGGAGCGTGGCATGGAACGTGGGTACCTGATGTCCTGTACAGTACACACACAGTACCTAAGGTAGTGAAATGCACTCAATACATTCAATACATGAATACACTTAAACTACATGTGTGTAATGCACGTCAACGTGCCGCAGAGAAGCGGAGTGGCCCAGAATGCCGGATCCGCCTCGGGATGCATTGCACGCATGTCCCGAGTGTCGTGTAGTTTGTGTTACCTTATTGATTAGCAGAACAAAGCGATTTTGTACTGTCATCCTCGCTAACGTTAACATCGAGAGTTGCGGTCCAGACGAACTATTTATTGTGATTACCGTACATTCGGTACATAAGAAATGTTCTTTAGCGGCTGTACTCCGTATTTCCAATGCATTGATATATTGCATGAAAGGACGGGATGTGCTGCTGCGTCGTAGTTATTCGTGAGGCTACCTTATTGCTTCTTTCAGGTTGACGTTCGTTATCCAGACAGCATGAGAACCTGTAGATTTGAGGCATGTGCTTTCCTTTTTGTGCGAGGGCCCACTGCCAATTCTATCCATGGAAAAGTACCCGATCGATCGATCGCTGGCCTAACGCTACTCGTCAGGGCTTCATAATCGCCATCTGTATGTCTGTTATATGCCGATTCTTGGCAGAGACGAAGCAGTTCGAGTGAATTTGGAGTGAGCTTCTAGCAGTGAATATTCCCTAACTCCTGAGACATTCCAAACGCAGTTGGATAATGCACTTGGTAACATCCCTAAGAAGTGTATTCATTCAGTCTTTCAGTCTCGGAGATGGTGTCATAGATTGCATGGTTCTTACGACCGATGATTGGTGGGGTCCATGAAACCACCTTGGAGTCTTTCTTTTCATTCTCGTAGGTAGTGGCAGACACACCAACTTCACAGAATGGAAACAAGCCCATTGTGGATCAACACGACTCAACCAGCATATTTGGAATGCTCTCAGCCTGGCGAGCAGAACTAATGTATCATAGCATGTACGTGTACGGAGGTACGGAGTAATCCTGCTACAATTTGATTCTTCTCTGTCGATATGAACCTGGGCTGGATGAAAAATATAATCGTAAGTTACACACACAGATACGGAGTACTGCTCGTACCAACTTTGTGTAAGTTACATATATATCACGAGATAGGTATAATTATTGTAAACTACCCACGGACCAAAGGTTCAAATTTATGTACAACAGAACCGTGAGTCCGTGACCAACAGCCGCCAAAATCACCGGTTGCACGTGACACATTTGCGCGCCTCGGGCTGCGATTGCCTCAGCCCCAGTTTTTCCGCGTCCTGGCGCAAACTCCAGCACTTCATTGCTAACCTCTGCATCTCGAACAGAGGCAGGAGCCACAGATTAGAGCTCAGTCAAATCAACACTCCTTCTACGGCACAGAGCTTCTTCTCATAGCATCAATTTTAGATACAATGCCGCCAGGTAAGCTTGATAAATCATTCACAATTGGCCGAGGAGCTAAACGCCGAGTCGCGGCTGATCGCGTCGCGTCGCCAACGGGTGTAGCTTGGGATCGGCCCTCACGGGAATTCATATAGCGAGCTGCATCTGACTCGTTGACACAAACACAGCATTCAGCGACGAGGAGGCGTCCGACAAGGAAGTCGACCAGCGCTCCAGCGCAACGAAATCCGGATGGGGAAGGAAGTTAGTTCAATACAAGGTGGAGGACCCCGAAGAGGAAGATGTTGTACAAGGCGACGATAAGAACGGCGATGCTGGCGAGGACGAAGAAGGAGATGAGGGAGACGATGAAGTGTATGGCTTCGGACAATGCCCCGGTATTTCCGGCACAAAGACGGCTTACACTTGTACAGTTATGTTGTGGAGAAAATCATGTCACACATGATTGACAAATCTGTGAGGCAATCTGCATCACGCTATCTGCTCAGCTCTAACCAAGGGAATTAGGGAAAACCGCTCTTCGAAGTCAAATGGGAAGGATATGAAAAGAAGTCGGATCGCACATGGGAGCCCGAAGAGAATCTGATGTACGCAACCCCGATCATTGCGAGGCCACGAGATTTGGACTGATCCGTTCTACAACAGCGAAAATGCGTCAGAGGCACTGAACGAGTACCTCGAGAGTATTGGCGGCCGCGAGGCCCTTATCAGAGAGACAGAGCAGGCCTTGAAAACTAAGAAACGTGGCAGGCCTTCCTCGTCGTCAACACCACAACCAGGGTCCAAGCGGTCCAAGAGAAATGGCGATCATCCAGCAGACTCAGAGCCGCCGCTCAGCGCTAGAGCGGCAACATGGAAGCCACCTCCGGGAAGTTGGGAGGATCATATCGCGCAACTAGACGCGTGCGAAGACGAAGAGTCGGGCAAGCTCATGGTTTATCTCACATGGAAGAACGGCCACAAGACCTGCCACGAAACTGGAGTCATTTACCAAAGAGCTCCACAAAAGGTTTGTTTTTTAGGTTACACTCCCGGCCAACTGACTGACCTTGTTTTAGATGTTGCAGTTCTACGAACGCCACATCCGGATCGTAAGGAGGGATCCAGATGCGGATTCAGTCACAACCCCGTAATGAATCCCTAGTACTTCACAGCCTTGTGGCCCTCGACAGATTTACCGTTGCTCGGTCTGGTTGTCCATCCCCGCGATCCACGCGACTGGCGTCTCGAGCGGTTCCATCAACGGGAGTTTTAGCTGGACTTTTGCCCTTGCATGAGAATCTGGTTCGCTTTGTAGGCCGAGCCCCTACAGCGCCTCGAATTCACAGCATACGCTGCGAGATATGCGCGCACATGGCTCTCAGTAGTTAGCAAATAATGGATTTCCGTTCGGTACTTAGAAATGAACAGGTGCAAACCACCGGATTTGTCCCTCTCAATCTCGTCTTGGTTTGAGTGGCCGATCCAGGAATGCTCAAGGCAGCGGAGCGGAGCACAGATCATGATGCAATCGAATCTCGCGGCCTTCCAGGGTTTTGGGAGAGGTTGGTTAGGATGGTCCGTGAGCACCCTGTCGGCTCGCAGGGGTGCCAGCGGGAAACGGCCGCGCTAACAGGCTTGCATTGGCCTGCCAGCCTTCCCTTTTATTGACTTCGCACAATGAGGTGGCGGGGCAACCGCCCCTATTTGACTGTGTGCGCCTGCATCCCGCGCAGAGCAGCGCCCGCCAGCCCAACTCCTGCATTTTTGAGATTCATGACTTTTCTGGAACATTGCTGAGCTGCTTAGCCTTGAGCTGCAATTGAGCCATTTGCTTTTCCGTGGTCTCCTGCCTGAGCTCAACGGACAAAAACTTCGCAACAAACGGACCACGGCATATGCCAGTCAGTTCTGTGAGCTCTTGCCCAACCCCGCAACGGTGAGCTGTCCTACAGCTCCGGAAGTCCCGTGTCTACCGCCCAATTACTTCAACTGTGAGCGAACGCTCCCCAAAGTCCGATTTGTTGCTTGTCCAACTTCCTTTCGCCAGCTAACAGTTCTAACAGACGGACTTGATTGTGTTGGTGTTACTTACACAGACACATACACACCGCTATCGCCAACGCAGCGCAAAATACTAGGTCCATAAGCTCAGCAGACCTGCGCCGGCGAGCTACCGTCAGCCTTGAGCAAGCGGTCATACACTCCCAGAGATCGATTGCACACGGCGGCCCTGTCTAAGCCTGGCCTGAAGCTTGCGAAACCTCCCTCCCAATCCAGCCCCCCCCCAACCACCCGATCCTCCCTCATACGCGCCGTACCAAGGGCATTTTGGGTTTGCTGGTCGACGACGAGCGGGAGCGAAAAAGACAAGACTAGGTTCAGCAAGCAAAGATGAAGCAAAACGACGTCATCGCCGTCATCGTCATTGTGCTCTTCATTGTGCTCGCCCTGATAGCATTCGGCATCTATCACCTCGTCAGCGTGGCGCGCAGGACGGTGCACGGAACCGTGACGACGTCGTCGGAGAGCAGCGCGAGCGACTTGGCCGATTGATCGACCCGGCCTCCTTCCCCCTAGAGCGATTCATCTTTCTGGCGCGGTCATGCTTGGGAGCGTACGATTGCTCGCGGACGGCTGAAGCCCGGCAGAGACGGCGGAGGCTTGCTTATACAAGTGCGAGCTTGCGAGCTTGGAGCCCTGTGATGCGGGTTAAACTGAGATAACCCGCAGCGCTGGAAGAAGAGATATTCTCCTTGGGATTGGGATCTCTTCCGGTGTTCCCCCCCTCGGGGCAGGGAGCAGCGGCTCGATGAAGTGTGGGTGAAGACGACGGCTGACGAGGATCTAATGAGGATATATGGGCGGGGCGATCTGTTGTCGTTTTCTGCAAGGTCATTGTATATCAAGGTCGGATGCAGTTTTTGGGCTTTGAATGGCGTTCTGGATTAGGTAGTAGACTCATGAGTTGGTTCAGCAACGGGAGGGTATGCTTGAAAGCTATGAATGATGAAGATCGAAAAGGGGCATTGTATTTTGAATTCGTATGCTTGTACATAGATAGATAGCTCTCTTTATGCGTTCATGTCCTTGGACAGAGCAGGCATAGGAAATATGCGGTTGAACTTGAGTCGCAACTCACTCCTATCACATGGGCCTGATTCAGCGGTGACCAAGAGAGCTCTCACGATTGATGACTTTCTCCTTTAAAGAATAGTTCCTATAATCCAAGAGAATGTTGCTTGACATATGTATTTAGAAAATTCCATGAGGATGGGAAGGGGTAAATAGAAAATGGCACAAAGGGGCAAAAAACATACAACACCAGGGATTCGCTGGTCGTCACCGACCCAACTACTAATCTGGCCCTTACTGGTTTATCTAGGGGAGAGCGGACGGGATCCCGAGCTTTCCAGTAGGTATGGTCGTATGTGCTAGTGCAGTACAAATTTGTGCTTGATAAGGTGGCATTTTGCTTTCTCCATGCCACAAACCAAAAGCACCCAAAAAAACAATCGAAGGATCATGACTCTACGTTACTCCATGGAGGCGGTGATCATGAACCTGAGCGTATTTTGCAATTCCAGCAGTACACCGCTCTAGCATGCTTCCTTCCCGTCATCCAGTTACCTGCACAAACCTTACAATCAATCAGCTTGCTAAGTATGGGATGTAAAAAGTGCGAGCTAGATGTAAAAGGGTTCTTCAAGGACTGAGCCATCGCACAACGTCAGCCCGAAACACATCTGATGTACGGAGTACGGAGCAGCCCGACCCAACCCCCCGAGCCAACGTGTCCCAGCGGGCTGGTAACGTTACAGTATCAGCCCAACTGCTGCAGGATGCCAGCATCCGATCACGATCGGCCACCGCATGCAGCAACAGAATGATCGTGCATAGCAGATCCTTGGTCAATGACCGCCACCAGCAATGATGTCATTTCAAGATACGGATACATAGCGCAAACCAAGATGGGAGAGATTGCCAACCTGGAAACGACGGGTCATGACGGGCATCAAAATTCTTGCGTCAAAGTCGATACTGCAAAGAGTATCGGTAGGTATGTCTATACAAGAAAATAAAATCCGGTTTGACGCCGATTCCCCAAACGCAGACCGCCTCTCCAAGGATCGATGGCTTTCCCTCTCGGTAGTAGAGCTTCGCTTTTCCCAATTCAAGCCGCCAAAGGGGGGTATTATGCTGAATGCATCGACTCTCGTAATCACTTTGGCCTTCTTTAGTGCCTCTTGCGTTCGTTGGCGCGGCGTAATGCATCACCGCCTCGCTATTAATTGCCGACCTCAGCGCCTTATTCGGGACCTCGGCTCTCGCGACCTTCGGGTCTCTCCCATAGTAAAAGCGCTTTTGAGACCCCTGTGCCCATTTGTAATTCGGACGCGTCGCTCACTCAGCCCTTCACAGGCTTCGTGTTCGAGGAACCGGGATCTCCATCCCCTGGCGTCTTGTCCTTTGATTCTCCCTGTGGCCCCTGGAATAACTGGTGCTCCTCGATGTACTGCTCCACGTCAGCAATTGCTAGCAACTCTGGGCCATCGGGATGCCAACCTCTACAACAGGATCTGGAATGAGATACCTAGGCGATGTCAGTACAGCAGTGGCAGATGGTTCATCGACGGGCTTACCGGACGCTCAGATCCTTCTTCAAAAACAGTCGGACCTTTGTGGAGCTGCCCGAATGTTAGTACCATGAATAGGTGGAGGAAGCACCTATACGGACCTGATATCGTTTTGAATGACCTGGCTGATGATCCAGATGTTACTCTCATACTGCCGCAGTGATGCAATGGCCTCATCAATGTCGGTCCCTGACCGCTCAATGATGAAGGCTCCGTATTGGCCAAGGATAACATCCAGATCCGACGGTGCCCACAGGCCCGGTTCCCCTAGTCCTGGTCAGTAGGTGTCGTGCAATTTTGCATCCGAGAGCCTTACCCATGGACATGACCAAATCTGCGCCTATAGAGTAACGATATTAGCATGGCGTCTTGGTGGCAGAACGGGGGAAACCGAAATCGTACCAGCAAGCAGCGCAATGCGGGCTTTCTTCATCTGCCCATCCGTGCCTTCGATGCCCCCGAGAACGGTGTTGATTTCGTGATCAAAATGCCGCAGAACCTTAGCCGTAGGGACGTATTCGGGCTCGCCATTCTCGTTGCAGTTCACCGTTTCGAACGGGTCGACCATCAGCCAGGTCGAGTGCTCGACGGCTCGGGAGCACATGTTGACTCGGTGGTGGCTGGGGGCTAGCCCCACCTTCTTGTATGCGTCGCTGACCTGCACATAAGCCAACATTGTCAGACGTTTTCTCGCTCGCGTGTTCCCCCATCGTCATTCGGCCGTCCATACCGGGGATAGGTATCCAGCGCACACTTCAAAGTCCGTGTTGAACCGGACAAAGTCGGACGCCATCTCGAACATGCGTAAATGGAGAAAAGTGATGGCTGAGGCGAAGCGCGCGTTAGCAGATGTAGCTGCCCAGAAGGGTGATATGGATGACAACTGACGAGAGAATGACCCGCAAGCCACCAGCACCAACGGCGTCTTTCCCGGTTGTGTTTGCCGTCGCTTTAACTTGTCGGTCGGGAAACGGTAGGGAGCGTTTGGTCCGCTAGAGGCGGGCTGGTCGGAGGGTGTGGCAGGGCCATTCGTCGCCGGGCTCGCTGTTTCGGGCGTCATGGTGGATTTGAGTATCGCGTATGGCCGTGATGTCTAGAGAAGGTAGAGGGCTGCAGGTGACGCAGTTCGGCAGCCCGCAGTTGAGTACCGAGGATGCGGGGCAGTCAAGTCAGCTCGGGCAGGGGACCCGAGCAGGCGGGTGCAAGGTGATGCCGAATCCAGTTGTCGGTGCCAATTGAAAGAGCAGCCGAAATGATATGAATGTAATGGCCTGGTCAATCGGGAGGGAATTGTGTTTAACTCCAGTTTCGGGGTGTGGATGCGACGGGCGAATTGATGCGGACCCAGATCTGAGATTGCTAGGTTTAAAAGGGTCTGAGGAGCTCTTCGCTTCTTCCATTATTCAGCCACCACGCACCGAGGCGGGGTTTGTGTCAGCGGCTCTGTTAGGCACGTTGACTGTGTCCCGGCGGCCGGTGTTTCGGGAAGACTAGCCTGGAAAACACGCAATCCAAGCTTTCATTCGCGAAAATGTCGGGGATGTGGGTTTCGGCTTCTCTCGATGCGCTGGAAGGGAGTTTGGGGGATACGAAGTAGGTAATCACTGTAGGTTGAGGCGCAGGTTAGTACTAACTGAGGAAACTGCAAACCATGGGCACGAGATCTATCTGTATCGCCCATTAATTATCACACGGCTCAATTGTGCTTTGAACTGGCTCGGAGGAGTTGTAATGTCTCCTGGATAGCCTTGCTCAAACACTGATTCAACTTGAACTGCAAATCCTAAGGTACTGTGTTACTAGGTAGTAGTCACATGTACATACTGCACCGTAGTATTGTGCGGTTGGGTTCGTGTTGACAGTGTTTCAGTGACTCAAGACCACTGACCACTGAGGTCTTTCGTGCTGAGCTGATGGCTTGAATCCGTTAGACCAAAAGCCCTCAATGAACTACCCGTGGGCTCCGAGCCAACGGGTAATGTTCGTCCATCCTGTTTAACGAACGTTGCCTGCAAGTGACATCTCATTAAGATGCCCCGACTTCGGAGGGGTTGAAACTCCACTGAATGTAATTACCTAAACTTGTTAGGTATTGTTTACTTTAGACACAATGAGGAATCAACGTCTTCTAACAACTCCCATCGACATCCTCATTACGCAGTACTCTACAGCAATCAGTACTCAAAACTCTCCGAGACAACCTCGCACCCTTCAAGCCAGCCCAGCACAACGTTCCGCATGCCGGCACTCGCGCAGACAAAGTATTTTGTCTCGAGCCCTCGGCTCGCATAATCCCCGTCATCATCCCGATCATCAGATTCAGCACCATGCAGCTGCAACACATCGGCCCTGGCCATCCGCCTCCTCTCAACGCGTACTCCCATCGCCCTCAACCTCTCCATCATCCCCTCCTCGTCCCCTCCTAATTCCCCACCAGTAACAAAAACCCTCGTGATCCTGCTCAGCCCCGCGATCCGCTCAAACACGTCAACGGCAAAAGGCAGATCCGCCGCCTTCAGACTCCACAGCACCTCAAGACGATGCGCCGCGGCGAGGTCCGTGTCGGCTGGCGGTTGCGAAGCCGATTGCGGTTGCGATTTTTGTGGTGATGAGGGTGCTAACAAAAGTGGTGCTTGCGCAAGGAGAGGCGTGATGCCCACTCCCCCGGCAACAAACACACTCCTCTTCCGCCGCCTCCCCTCACTGCTGCCGCTGCCGCTGCTGGCTAAGTCGTGGTGGTTGCTCTCAAAGCCAGGACCAGGACCCGGATGAAGACCAGGACCAAGCGGGATGCGAAAGCGCTCCTCTCCGCTGATGGCCAGCACGGGGATCTCGAGCGGGCTAATGTCGTGCCGGATGGGGCGGGAGAAGAGGAGGGCTGTGGTCGGGCCGTGTTTGCGGAGGGTGAGTTGCATTGTTGTCGGCTCCTCCCTTTCGGTATTCTCAGCCGGGTGTGGTGGTGGTGGGCTGGAGATGGTAAAGGTGCGGATGTAGTCGTCGTTAAGGCTCTGCGGGTCGCTGTCGTTCATGTGGCTCCACCCCATGTTCAGCTCGCGCGAGAAGTCGAGCGTGACGTGCTGCCCCGGCAGCCAGGTTAGGGGTTTGTTGTTGATGTTGTTCTCTGTGGAGTGTGGTGCGTGCAGTCGGAAGGTGAAGCGGGCTATGGTTGGGGTGAGCAGCTCCCTGCGCAGAAGGGTGGCCGTTGCGATGGGGGATGCGGTAGGCTGTTGTTGGCTGAAGGGTGCAGGGCATTCACTGGCTAGCCGCCGTACTGGTGGGTTGTAGGGGCTTGGCTCCCCCGGTGTGCCCCGGAAGGGGAGGCCGTCTTTGACGAAGAGCGCTTTACGGACAGTGACCCTGACCGCTAGGTTGGTGTGTGGCATCAGTGCTGCTGCTGCTGGGCCCACGAGGAGTTGTGTCTCGCCGGCAAGGTAGAGCACGTCCGAGGTCTCAAAGTCGGGGATGACGATACCAACGCGTGGGTCGGTGTGCAGGTTGCCCAGCGTCTGATAGAGCCGGTTACCGGAGTACTCTGGATACACCAGGACTAAGCCTCCATCCCCGTCAACGCCTGCATCGGGCAGATTGCTAACGACGCGAACAAAGCCGGGTGGACCTCCACGATGGTTTGTGTCCATCGTTTGGCCGTTGGTGGACGAGAGGAAGAACATGTCTGCCTTGTCGATCAGGGCCAGCGCTTCCGGCACAAGAGGTAAAGAAGACGATACCAGCTTCGGCGATGGGACATGGGCGCGGACCGTTTTCTTATTCAGATACTTTGGGCAGTTGCCCAGACTCTCGTGGATGAGCATGCCGACCTGAGCCTCGCCGGTGGTCTCGCTATCTGGACGGGCCACAACTGTACCGACCATCATCTTCCCTGCCAGCTTGACGCGGTCTCGGGTCTCGAGGTTGATGCTCAAGGCGCTCATGGCATTGCCTTCAGTAGGCTGTACTACCTGCCCTGCAGCTGCTTTTCCCAGCAAGGCGCGGACCACTGGGTCATTGGCCCTGTCAACCAGGCTTCGCATGCCGAGAACGCCATGTGTTATGGGTCGGGCAAAGCCAAGCTCGCCGCCCCAGATCGTGGTCCATGGTTGGCCTTGGTCATCCAATGCCCCTACGGCCACCAGCGGCGAGGCCGAGACACGGCGGGCATAGGAAACGGGTAGTCCAGCAGTCGTAGGGTTCTGGCGGTTCGAGGTGGGTACTTTAAGGAGACTGTGGATAGCCAGCTCTCCCGGGTGCCAGCCGTTGGAGTGGTCCAAGAACAATGCCATGGTGAGGAATGTGATAAGGCTGACGCTAACGAGAGCTCCTAGTGTACTATGCCCCAGAGACTCGGTGTTCGGGACACTGCCAGCTTATAGGTAAGAAGCAAATGATGCTCCAGATTGTGCGGAGCATGAATCACCCGGAGGAAGTCCCAAGAAACTAGGCCAAGATCGTTGTTGCTTGATTTCACTGCCTTCCATCTGTTTCTACGTTGCGGTGCTTGGTGCTCTATCTCGCAGTCTCGAAGATACGTTCCTTACCTTATATGGCTGGTCTGACAAATCCATATGCGTGTCAAAGCGAAGGGCGCCCGTGACAAATCATGTGGGAACAACTTCCGCCCTTCACCACTTCACCATCGACTCTAAGGGTCTTGGCATAACAGAAAGGGAACAACTCAAGGACATCATCCAACGTCCTTACACATGAGAACACACTATCCTACCAGCCACGCTTTTTGCTGTTGATGGTCTTTAGTCATACAACAGTATGCCCGTGCTTTGCCCCTGACGCCATCCCCAATCGTGTCGTTGTTTTGCTCTGGCGATTGGAGTTGTGCTGCGATATTCCTGCCCTTGGTCTGTCAGCTGGAACCCGACCTCCCACATGAGCAGGCGACGATGCCAGGCATGGATGATGATGGAGCAACTCTAAACAGGCTAAGCCGGTGGCCATGATGGCTCGGCGTTGCCGTCCTAGGTATACTTCTCGAATAAGGTATGCAGCCGCAACTGTCGCAACTGCAAAGGGCTGTCACTAATCGCCCTCGTGGCTGTCGGCATAGTCAGACTAGGGCCATTCCATGTGGTGTCCTGTCTGCCAGGGGGTTACAAAGCGGTGGGAGTACTGTATCTTGCTGCACAACCTTGGTTCTGCTGATACGTAACCACCTCGACGAGGAGCATCTCCCTATCTAGATCTGTGTTCGGACACCTCCTTGCTACAGCAGAGTACTTGAGTAGCATGAAGAATAGCAAGCACTCCGGTGTGCCTTCGGTAAGGTTGCGGCTATGATCGTCTTGCAGACTCCAGGGAGGGAGCCGGGCAGGCACCACGTTAAACTGGTGATACGCCTGTCCAGCAGTGGTTTTCGATTGGTGAGGGCTTTCCGGTGTCGACCGCCCTCAGCACCGTAGAACATGTCGGACGCCGTTGCCACAGCGTCATTTTTGAGAGAGAGGGCACCTATGATATATCGACTCCAAACGATGAGCGGTCCGGCGGCCCAGGGTGCCCGATTGCTATGTTGAGCAGGCTTGAGGAGACTTGGAAGGGGAGGTAGATGGGTTTTGGGCGTAAATTCCGAAGAAAATGAGCCGTTAGAGGTGTTGTGCCCTCCACTGTTGAGAGTTCCATCCCAAGTTTCTCTTGAGGTGGGCTAACGGGCTTGATAAGTCAACTCGACCTTCACACTTCCACCCCCCCAGGGTAGTATAGTAGAGTGGTAAAGATCCAAACTGCAAACAAGAGGTCCCGGGTTCAAATCGCCTTTTGACAGTTTCGCCAGCAAAAGACAAGATCTTCCGGTGACGACCCTTTGACTTTTCAACCAGCAGAACACAAGATCTTCCGGTCACGACCGTTTGACTGTCAATAGAGACCCCCCTCACCCCACTATTGACTGATCTCGCGACCTGACGGTTTTGAGCCGTTCCATGGAATCTCGATATTCCCTGACAGCCAGCTCCTTAGTTTAGAGGCTGGGCCAAACCTGATCGCCAGACCAGAAGAAACTTGTAAGACGTGATGCTAATGATATAGCCTTGTCTGTAGCGCAGAACACAATCTCCAGACGACCGTTTGACTATCAATAGAGACCCCCCTCACCCCACCAGCCGCAAAGACGCTGCCACCGCCGGTTACCACATACTGGCACAGCAGCCCATCGGTCTTCACCTGGTCAAGTTCACTAACAAGCGCGATAGCTTCACGACTAAAATTACGAGATGCCTGGTACGAACGGCGAGTCCAGATACGGCTGGGGCCCGAGCCAAGGGTCCAAGCGACGCCCTGGGAAGGACTATCATCCTCGTTAGGGAACTTAGAACCAGGGCCAGACACCACCATTATCTCACCTCCACGAAGGAAGAAATGGCAGACAGCGATGACAGATGGCCTCCCTCTTGAGAGCAGCAGGGCAGGTGGAGAAGGGACATGGTAAGTCCTGCTCTACTCCTTTCTCATGTTATCTCCCGCTGGAGTTGATTCCTAGTCGAACTGGAAATTCCGGTTCCAGCTCGCCGTCGTCAGCACCGGGCTCGTCCCCTGCTGGAGGCTCCCCACCTTTTGCGTCCAAGTTCTTCAGATGTGGGGGGAATTCGTTTCACCGTCACCCCCGGCACCGTGCCTGTACCTCCAGTTTCGGCTGGGACGGATGTCCAGCTGAGGCAGACGCCCTTGGATACCATCAACACCACCTCGCCGACGACAGAGCAGAAGGTGAATGAGGCTAAGATTCGAGATGGATATTGGCTCATACTGTAACTGACCTGAGTCACCGGAACACTCACTCCTAATCGCTCCTTTTTGTTAGATCGCGACCTGCCTCGCGAATGACGAGAGCTTATCGCGCAGTGGCCCCTAAAGTGAATACTACAAAGCATAAGCCAAATGGGTATATCCAACCATGGTTTCTTCTTGCTAAGTTTGACGTTCCTAAGTTCCCTTTCTCACGTCACATGGCATCATTTGGGAATAGAGGCAGTCAGACCTGAAGGAAGACGACAACGCCGTCTAGAAGAACACAGCAAGCGCCGTCAGGTCAATCAAAAAGTGGGCGTCATGTCTCGTGGATGAAGCAGCCCAGATGACCGAGTCTGGCCTTTCGCTCATTGTACGCAAGTATGCAACGGGTCTCCGGATAGACTCTTCTATGCTGCGCTATGAAATCCAGCAAAAATATACCCACAACATGGAAGGCAAGCGTACCTGCACATCTCTGACAATAAGACAGCTCCAAACAGATAACCCAACAATAATACCCCCTCCGCTCCCCATGCCACAATCATGACACCAGCCTCCCCTCCTCATCAATCCGCTCCCTCAACCAGTCAGCCACCCTCTCCTCCCCATCCTGGTCCAGCCCCGGCACGGCAGCCCCCGTCTCAACCCCCGCCTGCTGCAGCCTGCGCAACTCGCGAATCTGTACCCTCCGCTCCGCCTCGCGCGTCCGCGCGTCCTCCAGATCCACCACAGCCTCATAGTCCTCGTCGTTGTCGTCTCCCACCGTCCGTTCTCGGAACTCCAGCAGCCGCAGACTGCGACGCATCAGTCCCGCCAGCTCGTTTGCTTGGACCCTGAAGCTGTTGCGGCTTTTCTGCTGCCGTCGGCGGGCTGCGGAAGGAGCGTTGTTCCTGGCGCCAGACCGGGTACTGGTACTAGCGCTGATGCGGGTCTTGCTGCCGCCGCTGACGTGATCGTCATCGTCATTGTAAAGCAGCAGTGTCTCGGGCAGACGCAGCGTGGAGTACCGCGGCGGGAAGACCAGGTAGCCTTTCCGCGGGGGCCGGAGTTGTTTTGCCTGGTGCTCTGCGCGGGCGAGCAGGGCGGCGGCAGACTCTGGGTCTGAGTGGGAAGGCGAATCGGGCGAGGACGGTTCCGTGGAAATGGAAAAGGAAGAGGAAGAGGAGGACAGGGCATCTATGGCCTGGGTCCATTCTGGCGGCAGGAGGGATGAGTTTTCCGTGAGCGGCGTGGTGAAATCCTGTGGCACGTGGAGGTTGGGAGAGTGGAAGAACAGACAAGGTGATGCGAAGGGGTCGAAGAGTTGTGCGGGATCGGAAAAGAGGAAAGTGGTCTGGCGTTTTAGCAGGGCGAAGATGTCGTCGTCATCGGCTTCGTCCTCCGAGAGGGTGTTGGAGACGGGAAGGGGAAAGACCAGACCCTTTCGCCGCCTGGCCCTGGAGAGCTTGTGAATGGGGTGGTCGGGAAGAAACATGGTCCAGTTATAGATGCCGTTGTGCGCTATCAGACCGCGGACAGTCATGGGGCGGGAAGGATGGGGCAAGTGTGACTCGGTTAGGGCGAGGCTGGCGGCGAGGCTTGCGCCGAGGTAGGAGCCGTAGACATAGGCAGAGCGAGGCCCGGGAGAGGTGCCATCGGTGAGGCCGAGTTTGGACGAAAGCCAGGAATAACCGAAGAGGACATCATGAAGCGGCGTAGGCCACTGGAGGTGAACGTCTGGCCTCTCATCCTCCGTATGTGACCGCCACCTGTAGTTGATTATGGCGGTTGGGTGGTGTAGGAGGCAGGCTGGCAATGGCACGGCCGGTTCTGGGCCTGGTTGCGAGAATGGTGGGATAAATATCACCAAGGGCGTGGTGGGGTGGTGGTGAGAGACATTGTGCAGGCTATAATGGGGGTCAGAAGTGCAATAGGGGCTTCACTGAGCCGCTCACCTCACAGTAATGTCGCCAGAAGAAGCACACGGCACTCGGACGAACTCAGTATAATGCCGACTGCCGAATAGCCTCGTTTCGAGTCTTGATGGCCGCGTAAGGCCCCAGGCTTTATATCCGTGGAGCCATCTGGGCATGTTACTAAGCGAAGGCTATATTGGTGACTGGCAAAGAGGTCTGAAAGTAGACCTTGGCCTCATAATAGTGTTGATGGGATTCTTAGAGAGATATTCGCTTGATCCTGGAAACTTCATGTTAGTCTGTCTCCTTAAATTTCTTCCCATAGTCTTGTAGAGCTGGAAAATACAAACCACTTCGGAGTGTATCCGTACACGCATGGGAAGTGTACATAAGTGGAGGAGTTGAGTTGAAAGAAACTTGGAAGTTGAGCCAGGCGAAGCTGGAATGGGTCATGATCGCCTGGAAGCCACGCCCTGATTGGGGCGTGTGACAGCCATGGGCCAATCACAGCCCGTCCAGTGGAAACACGATCCCTTCAGGTTCTCTACTAGTAGCGTCCTCCTTGAAGTACCTGCTACACATACAAAGACATGGACCTTCCAGGTACTACTTGGCAGTCGGGCAACTTCCAGAATGCATCGATGGCCTTCTTTCCTTCCACTCGTTCATCTCATTCCGACAGATCAACAAAGTCAACTCGCCCATGGACGGCTGCCTCTCTCAAAGCCAAATGCTCGCCGTAACAAAACCGCTAAAGACCATGGTGATCTGTCGCTGCCAAAATGAATGACGCAAGCGGAGAGCGTATCGACGAGCATTTTTGTGCTGTCGAAGCAGATGGCGCAAAGATGCCGGCAGGTGCTGAGCCTTCTCATCCGCATCTTGAGCCTAGGTGAGTGATATTGGATATTGTATTGCACAAGTCCGAGATTTTCCAGCACTGGATATGTTGGCTGACACACCTGCAAAGTCGCTGGTTTTTTGCCTCATCCCTGCTGCCCATGGTCGCGGGCACCCTGGGCCCAGTTGCGTCCGCCTTCAGTATCTGCGCTCTTGTGCAACCATGGCGACAGCACCTACCCCCAGGGGCCGACATTGATACGGCCCCTACCATCAGGGATCCCGCCTGGCTCATTGCGATAAATGCTGTCCAACTCGCAATAGCCCTAATCGCTAATATGGCACTGCTCCTGAATATGACCCGGAGACTCAGGTTCGCCATTGCCCAGCCCGTGACCATCGTCGGCTGGTATGTCTCCTCGCTATGTCTGGTGGCCCTCACTGCGACCGCTTCCGGCCCTTTGGTCGTTGAGCCCGCCAACGAGTACATCTGGTCTCAGGCCTTTTACTACGGCATCTACTCGTCGATTCTCTATTTTTTGGTCGCCTCTTTCATGACTGTGACCTATATGGGTGCCAGGGCTGGCCATTATCCCAAAGACTTCATGCTCACGCCGAGCCAGAGAACCCTGATGCTCCAGACGATTATGCTTCTCCTCTATCTGCTGCTTGGGGCTCTGCTTTTCGGCAAACTTGAGGGCTGGAGCTACCTCGACGCGGTATACTGGTCTGTTGTGACTCTTTTCACCATCGGATTTGGGGACAATTACCCCATGACCACCGTTGGGAGAGCCCTTCTCTTTCCCTATGCTCTCGTTGGCATCATCAGCCTTGGTCTTGTCATTGGTTCCATTCGCAGCTTGGTGGTTGACCGTGGCAAACGTCGGCTTGATGCCCGAATTTTGGAGAAGAAACGACGCGAAATGCTGCGGAGCATGACGCTTAAAGGCAAAGATGACATTCTCGTGCCCGTCAAGTCGAGTGCATCCACGTTGGGCTCCGTTTCGGGGTTGACCGAATTTGAACGAAGAGAGCGAGAATTCAAGCTGATGCGAAAGATCCAGGAGCACGCTGCTCGGCGTCGCCGTTGGATTGCCCTCGCCGTCTCGGCAGGTAGCTGGTTTGTCCTCTGGGGCGTAGGCGCAAAAATCTTCCAGGAGTGCGAGGATGAGTATCAAGGATGGACTTACTTCGACGCTTTCTACTTCGCCTTCGTAAGTCTCACGACCATCGGCTATGGCGACGTAACGCCCGTGTCAAATGCTGGAAAGAGTTTCTTTGTTTTCTGGGCCCTTCTCGCCTTGCCCACCACGACTGTGCTCATCTCTAACGCCGGTGATACTGTCGTGAGGGGCATTCGGGAAGCAACCGACCAGATCGCTACAGTGACCATCTTACCCGGCGAGCGCGGTTTTAGAAAAGATCTCAAACAACTCCTGCGGACTTTGTCATGCGGCTTTCTTTTCCATGAGGAGATTGAACAGACACCACCCGGCTTCATCGGCCAGACAGAAAAGGACATCGACGACGCTGCTGGCCAAGAAAACGACGTAGAAGGCTCAGCTAAACGGGACCAGGCCGACCTCCAAGCAGAACGGGGCGGCGCCTCAGAAGCCAACAAGAAAGCAGACGACGAAGAGGGTGAAGAAACCCACTTCAAACGAGTCGAGGCAAACAAAGCCGAACAGCAGGCCGGTCAGTTGGACAAAAAAGTCAGCTTCCAGAACCCTCCTTCGACACCTCACCACCAACACCACCTCGTACGAGCGCGAACCGACGGTGGCCCGCATCCCCAATACCCCGTCTCCATCCCGGCCCACAAACCAGACTACCACCTCACGCTCATTGAAGAGATTGGCCGCGTCATGCGACATCTGAAGCATCACCCCCCGCGCAAGTATACTTTTCACGAATGGGCTTGGTATCTCAAACTGATCGGCGAGGACGAGGCCGACGCCGAAAGGCACCGCCAGGCAAACCCGCACGTCAAGAGGAAGAAGCTGCTTGAGCAGGGGAAACGCACCGGTGTTATGGAGGGCCAGGCCGGAAAGGGGGAAGGGGAGGATCCAGCGCCGTGGAGTTGGGTTGGGACCAGAAGCCCGCTGATGGGATCCCAGGAAGAGGCCGAGTGGATTCTGGAGAGGCTAATCGCGAGGCTAGAGGAGAAGTTGAGAGAAGTGAAAGAGGAGCGGAGGAAGGAGACTAGGAGCAAGAAGGATGAGTGATCTCCCATGAGCGGTGCATTTTGCATGATTTGATTAGAAGGTTTTGGGGAAGGTACATTACATCGGGGACTGCATGTTAGGGTCGAGGACTCAAGGTATACCACAGTAACGGTGCATTGTATTCTGGTTAACAGGTCTTTTGGTGCTCTAGTTAAAATATACGATACATCATGGCTTACCCAAGGCTAAATTTATGGGCTGATGAGTCGAGTTAACCTCCTTAATTTGGGTCCTCTGCTCTTGCTGGCATTGAAGGAGAGAGGTGAAGATGAACTGCTCCAAGCCGTACTAAACGACCATGATGCGACCACCTCAAAAGGATTGTTCCTTATCGGTACGGCAATTCACTGTATTCACCCATCGAACCTGTGACGGGAACACCGTCGGGGAAGGACCGAAGAGAAGTCCAACCAACTGCTTCTGGTGAATAAGGTGTTGTGGAGACAATCGTTGAAGCCACAGCGTTACTCCGTCGTTTTACGTGACTCGGCCACAGCAGGTGCGATGAGAACGGAATGTCGGTGCGGGGAAGCCCGATCAGAGGAAAGAGCAACTTCACCGATTACCTATTAAAAGAGCAACATAAACTGACTCCCACGACTCGGGCTTGATCTCTTCTCGCATTGAATGCATCTGAGGAGGTCCCAGCTGCTTAACTTCCGCAATCTCTCACTGCTCTCTCTTCTCGTCCTGATTCTGGCCATATTCTTCAACATCTCCACACTCCCCCGCCTTGGCCTCATCGCAGGGCATTTCATCCGCCGCCCGGCCATCTCCTTCACCACTCCAACCAGCCCGCCAATGGCTTCCAACTACTTAAAAGAGCTCGAGGTGGCTCTGCTGGCCGTGCAGCGTGCGGTCCGGCTCACCAAGCGGGTCTTCCACGAAAAGGCCAAGGGGACCGTCTCCAAAGACGACAAGTCCCCCGTCACCATCGGCGACTTTGGCGCCCAGGCCCTCATCATCAGCGCTCTCAAGGCCAACTTTCCACATGACGAGATTGTCGCCGAGGAGGAGCCTGCGCAGCTGCGCGAGGACGCTGCCTTGCGGGACCAGATCTGGGAGCTGGTCAGGAACACCAAGCTCGACGACGCCGCCGCCGAGGGCCTGCTTGGCGGCAGCATTCCGGATGTGGACGCCATGCTGGACCTGATTGACAAGGGCAACAGCAAGGGCGGGCCGCGCGGCAGGATATGGACCATCGACCCCATCGACGGCACCAAGGGGTTCCTGCGGGGCGGACAGTACGCCGTGTGCCTGGCCTTGCTGGAGGACGGGCAGGTCAAAGTGGGCGTGCTTGGGTGCCCGAACCTGCCGGTCGACGATTCGGCGCCGTTGACGGCCGACATTGGCGCCAACCAGAGCGACGACGAGGGCCGCGGCGTCCTGTTCTCCGCCGTGGAGGGCCAGGGCGCCATGAGCAGACCGCTCGGCACGGGAGGTCTGTCGGAGGGCAAGACCATCTCGATGAAGCCCATCACCAACATGTCCGATGCAAGCTTCTGCGAGAGTGTGGAGGCGGGCCACTCTAACCAGTCCGAGTCCGCGCAGATTGCGCAGAAGCTGGGCATCACCAACCCCAGCGTGCGGATGGACTCGCAGGCCAAGTATGGCTCCATCGCCCGGGGAGCTGGCGATATTTATCTGCGTCTCCCGACTTCCAAGACTTACCAGGAGAAGATTTGGGACCATGCTGCAGGAGACTTGATTGTTCGGGAAGCCGGAGGCCAGGTTACTGATACCAAGGGGGCCCGCCTCGACTTTAGCGTTGGGAGGACGTTGGCGAGCAACAGCGGTGTGGTTGCAGCGCCAGCGGTGGTCCATGGGCAAGTTCTTGACGTCGTTCAACAGGTTTTGGGTCTGAAATAGACACTATTCGCGATGAAGCGCCCCAGTATTGTACACGTTTATGGCATTGGTACAGGAAAAAAAGCGTACAGCGGCAAAAAAGTAGCTCTACTATGTTTACAAAGGCCCCGCGAAGCCTCTATTTGATCTTCTTCTGCTTCAGCTTGATCGTTTGGTCGTTAATGAAGATTCCCTTGCCTTTGTAGGGCTCTGGCGGCCTCCACTTGCGAATATTGGCCGCAAACTGCATGATCTGGTGTTTGTCGATACCCTCGAGCAGCACTCTCGTCGGCTGCGGGGCGCTAGCCTTCATACCTTTAGGAAGGCCCAGCTCGACCGGGTGCGAGAAACCCAGCTTCAGACAGACAAACTGCTGACCGGGGTACTCTTCCAATGCCGGCCGCGGCTCAACCGTCGCTCTGAAACCAATACCCACTAGTCGTAGGACGGCCGTGTGTCCCTCGGATACACCCATAATGTGATTGTTGAGGTATGACCACTTCGTTCCTGCAGAAGACTTGTCAGTTGCTCTGATCTCGACCGACTTTTTGTTCGTCTGGCAGACGGTGCCATACCCCACATCTCTCTCTGTTCCTTCTCCTCACGGTCTCGCACGCTCATCACTACCCTCCTCGCCTCGCTATCGTGCTCGACGCTCATGTATTCGGGTATCTCGAGGTCAAGGCTGCCTGCAGGAAGACCAAAGTCAGTCTTCCGGGCCTAATCTTCGATCTTGTCCGACTCAGGGGCTGTGTGCTACTACCCACCCAACGGCCCCGACACCGTCACCGTCCTCCTAGGAATCCGTCGCCAATCGGTCATGTCCTTCTTGATCCATGGTTCGCTGACGCTAATCTCCACGCCGGGCGGGATCGAAATGGGCGTCCTCCCGAGCTTGGAGGACCGGTGTGTCGTCGCCGAGAAATCTCGTCGGGAGGAGGGTGCAGGTGAGGTTGTCTGGAAGGCCGGGACGAGAAAGCCGGGTAGTGTGGTTGTTGAGGGAGCGGAAGAGGAGGCAATGACCCTTTCTAGAGCCCGCCTCCCTGTTCTTTGTGCGAACATTGTGCCGTCGGGGGAAGTGCGCAGCAGACGCTGCAATTCGCGATACGCGGCAGCAACCGGGCAGGATGTGAACTGCTGCGTGCTGAAAAAGATCGGGGTTCCGGCGAGCGCTGGCTGATTGGCTAAGGGACTTCGGATGTGGGGCAAAATCTTAGTCAGCCAAACAAGAGCTCTTCTAGTTCTTAGAGTTCAAACTTCAGACCGACATTCATTTGTCAACCCATGTCAACATTAGAGCTAACAAATGTGTGCATTTTCCGCAATTGAGCTTAACTCAACTCCATAGCTCACAATTGCAGCATCCAAATGCTGTAATCTCGTGCGAAAAATTCTTCTGGAATGCACGCATGTATGTACTCAGTTGGGCTGTGAATGGCATCGAAAGGGGTGCTCTTCACCAAGCTTCAGAAAAAGTCAGCGGCTGTTTTAATCCAGAGTCCAGGTCAAAGGCCTGAGCAAAGACAGCGGACAATATGAAGCAGCCAGAATTACTTGGGTGGGCAGGCGACGGGCCGAAATTGTTCCTGCTTTCAGATGAAATCTTGGAGGTTGATGTGAACCATCCGACGGTTGGGCAACTCGATGTCTTTGAAGATAACGCAACCTGACTTCGTCGACCGAGACACCCCTTAACGACACCTGGGCAAATCGCGATATTCGTTAGGCGACATGCCTGTCTCCAAATCGTCGGCGCCGACAGCCCTCGAGCTCCGCAATGCGAGATGCTCCTTCCTTTTCCTCCATATAACCAAGAACCGCTGCCTGCTTCCTCAGGTTCTACCTTCCTCCTCCTCTCCAATGGCCGCTAGGTCGGTTCCAGAATACTTTATCCTGCCCATCGCATCTTGATCTCTCCAAATCTCTAAAGAGCGGCCAGGAAAGCTCGAGTCCCTCGCCTTTCAATCACTATCGTTCAATAGCATTGCCTCAACCGCTCCTCGTTCGACACTACGGCTTCTGATAGCCAAGATGCAAGCCCACGTACTCGTTCTGGCACTTTTGGTGTCTTGCATCAACGGTTTCTCCTGGGGCGGCGACAAGAGAGCTGCAGAGTGTCAGTTTGCTTGCGACCGAGAATTCGAATACCAGGCTAATGCGCTCTCACAGTTGTGCCCGTCTCGAAGCAAAATTCCAGGCTTTCGAATGTCTATGCTTCCGCTCTCAGCGAGCTCCAGGAGCTTGAATCGGAGCCTCTCTGCCATCGTGTGGCCGCCCGGCTCCTGGTGAACAACTGCCAGGTCCTTGACGGAAAGGACGAAGCCACGGTTCTCACAGATAGTGGGCGACAGGTCCGGGACTTTGTCGACTCGTATGCCGCTAGCCTCGCAATTTGCGACCTTGAGCGAGGCGGCTTTGCGATACCGGCAGACTGCGCGAAGTTTCGCGAGCCGGCGCTCAGTCTCCTCGTCATCAGAAATGAGCCGCGGCTACACGTAAGCCTGAAAGAAATCAAGCAGTGTCTCTCGGCACTGGGGACATCGGATGCCGCATGGAGTACGTGGGTGAGCTATCGCCACAAGGCGCTGGGATTTTGCCAGGCTGCCCGAGCGGATATTGAAAAAGGTGGGTGCATGAGTTCTCGCTGCCGGATTAAGACTGACGATAATCCAGATCAGCATATTCTGCTCTACCAACGACTCACCAAAATTATTGCAAAGCTCACCGATAGCGTAGAGGCCGATCTGCAGAAGCGACTGGAAGAGCTTGACAATCGCGCCAGGCAGTCGGTCGAGAAACTTGAGCGGCTAACACCACAGGTTGATCACCTCAGCGAGGGGCTGGCGAAGGTGCAAAAATATCTGTCGAGCGATCTGCTTTCGGCATTGGGAAGGTCATCAGAATCCGCTCGCAACGGTCTACGACTTGCAGAGAACCTACAACAACTTGTGAACGTCATGGCCACCAATGCCCTGGACAGCAACTCTCAGCTGGCTGCTGCCCAAGAGAAGTCACAGCAGGTGTCAAAGAAGGTCAACGAAGAAATGGAAGCTCTACTGGTCGTGGTTTCAACGGCTGTTTCGACAGCCATGGTTTCCTCAAATATGGTCCAACAGCAGATAGTAAGCTAACCGTAGCAATTATTGTGGCCGAAACAAGACTTGCTAACGCGCCCCAAGGAAGCTTCGAACCAACAAGCTGCATTGCTCGCGCAACGCCAGGACACTCTTGAGCAGGGAATGAATCGACTCCTCACAACCACCGAGGCTCTATCCACGAAGCTGGAGGACCACTCCAGCATGCTGAAGCAGGCCAATAACATCACAAACGACATCTTGAACGGACTCGAGGATACGGCCAAGGCAGCGTCATCGCTAAGTGGATCCCTCTTCACCACTGTCACGTCGCAGAGCTGGTGGCCTTTTGTCGTCTTCCCGGCAGCTTCCCTGGTTATGGGATCATATGGGCTTCCGCCTTCCATCTTTCGAAACCTGGGTCTCTTGGCGTTGGGTGAAGCCATTGGCGTTGTGGTTTCGTCTTACCATAAAATCTCCAGCCACTTATTCCTGTCTGCGGCAGGAGTCTCCTTGAACAGTACTGCATCTGCACTCTGAAGATATGATGCAATACCATTTCATCTTCATCATTCTCTTGCTCTGAGACTCGGAATTCCTAGATTGGACTTGGGGTACGGGACAGTTAGCTGCATGGGAAGGCCCTCTGACATCACATTCACGGCGATCACGATACTTTATCATTTTATTTCTCTGGGGTTCGGGGTTCTTGCATGGGAATTGGGGGTTTGGGACGGTTAGCCACGAGGAGGGCCTTATGCCTTTACATTCACGAGGCCTTGGGATTCTTGCATGGGCCTGGGGAATTGGGACGGTCAATCATGAAAGAAGGCTCTCTGCCATACATTCACGGCGAACACAGACGTACACGCACATCCTTTGCTAGCTATTGCTATCATTAGCTCGACGATAGTATAGATCGTTATATACGTGTGTTTCTTTCTCACGGTATCTTCTATCAGACGCCGTCAACACCAACTGATCCCACTACTGGATCCGACCTATGTGGATACAGGATGGTGATAGCCAAGAGATTGTTGAGAATTATGCCATCCGATGTCTAATATTAGTAGGCGGCAGCTTTAAGTTGGAACGTCCCATCGAAGCAACTTGATGTAGCCGGAAACATCATTTAAACCATGCGGAGATGGGCTGAAGCAACGAGATCAAAACTTCCATGTCAAATGACCAGCAGTAGGTAGACAAAAAAGACGAACACTGGATCTTGGAGGGAAAAAGATGGGATAACCAGGAATCGAACCTGGGTCCTCTCGGAAATTGTGTTCAAAGCCACAACGAGAAGTACTGACCACTATACTATTATCCCGATATGTTTGTTTATGCAAACATTAGGGCTGATAGGTGAATACTGCTGGATGCCTTGCATGGTCAATTGCACCGAATTCTCTTCCCACTGACAATTTCAGCTCGACATCTACCAAGCCCATCACAACTGTTTACAAGATTGCAATTGCAATTCATTCATTTGCCATAGTTTCTACAAAGTACATATTATTTTCCCATTCTCTGATCGTATCCAACCCTCTAGCATCAGCATGGACAAGATAATCCCCTCGGCCAGGGCTCAAACGCGCTACCTCAGTCGTACCAAATCGCATTCATGCCGAATCCGGGCTCAGCAATCCTGATCCTCGCAACGCGGTGCAGAAACTCGTCCTGCCACCGGTACATTTCCAGCCAGCCCTCCTGGTCGTCCGTGATGGCCAGCCACTCGTCGCTCCAATCACAAGGGGACACAGCGTTGCTGTGGCCGCCGCTGGTCGGGGTCGGGTTGAGGCAGAGCTGGCGCTCGATGCTGCCGCAGTCGCGCAGGCGGAACGCGGCCACGTACCCCTGCAGGTCGAAGCGGTTCGCGCGCGACGAGGCAAACATGTACCGCCCACTGCACGTCAGCGCCACCACGTCGGCCCGGTACAGCCCTTTGCCCGTCTCGCGATCCCGCGAGGGGATGCCCGGCGGGATCAGGGGAAAACTGTGGTGCGTGTACACGGGCATGTGCGTGGCCGGGTCGATTACATACTCGCACAGCCGGTTCCCGGCCTCCATCAGCGCGTAGAGATAGTTGCCGCTCGGGTGCATCGCTACCCACCGCGGGTGGTCGTCGGGTGACGGGGCGTCCACGCTCCCCACCAGCTCGACCTCGCCCGACGGCAGCTTGCGGTGCGTCCAGAGCTTGTTCGCCGTCAGGTCCGCCGAGTAGAGGTACGTCTCGGTCGGGTCGAAGACCATGCCGTGAATCCCCGTGTTGGGTTGGTACGGGTAGTTTTGGATGTTGGTCTCGAGCTTGCCCGTGTCGGAGACGGAGAAGACGTTGCCGTAGCCGGCGTGGTTGTAGAAGGGGTTGGCATAGACGGCATACGGTGGCTGCTTGGCCGCGAGGAGGAAGATGGCGCGCGTGTTGGTCTCGGAACTGTTGGCTCTGGCTGGAACTCAGGTAAGGTATGGGTCAGTTGAAGCTGCTTCTTGAGATAGTCAGGGGCAGGAAGAACTCACGGTCGCCTCCCATGGGATGTGACGCCTCATGGACAATCTCGGTCGGGCTCCGGACGGCGAAGCTGGACCATTTCTTCATGGCGGCGCCATACAGGTTCTTCTTGGCATGCTGTCTCTACGGTGAGCGATGTGCTGCAAACGGTAGCGGCCGAACCCAATTGGCGTCATACGTCAAAGGTCATCCATGATATTGGCTCATCGTGGGGGATCTCGGTGCGCTTCACCAGCTTCAGCGTCAGATTCTCATCGTCAAACTGCACCGTGAAGATGGCCCCTGGCGGGGTCCATGTCCCAATCATCAAGTGGTGGAGGGGCATGGTTGGAAAATGACGTCGGCTGCTGGCACCGGGACCTTCCTGAGGGTCGGGTGAGCAATTGGAATGCTGAAGAATGGGCAGCCGCGAGGCAGACACAGATCGTACGATTCTCAAACCGTGTTTGTTCAGAAGAGGAATTAACATTTCTCGGCTCAAGCTATCTTTCTTCTCTTCTGGCGACCCCTTCTCCCGCCCACTTGCTTGCGGGAGCTCGGGACATCCTTCTTTGCAGTGAATGCACACCAGCTTGGCGGGCTCATAAATCGGAAGGCACTGTGGGGCCGCAATCACTTACAGGGTCTCGGTTGCGGTGGCGGTAGATGGAAGGTCACGATTTCTGCAAACATCCCGCAGAACTCCTGGACCTCCCATATCCGACGGGTAAAGGCTCATCCCGGTACCAAGGCCGTGGAGGCATGACTCGAGAAATCGAGCTCCATATTCGCGCCCATGTCTCAAACCGAGGGATAGAAAATCGGCCAAAGGCAAGCCCACCTGGGCTGCAATAGGTGATTACCCCTGAAACTGCAATTGCAGTCACCAACTACGGATAGACCTAAGCAGATCCGGTCGTTGGCCTGCAGCGCAACGTGACGGGCTCGAAAACCAGAAACTGGCGGCAATTCCTGAACCCCGAGCGTGACTCGGAACTGGAGGATGTGCTGTCAGCTTGTCAGGCAAGCCGTTGCAGGTGGTAGGCGTTCGGGATTGGGAGCCCCTCTGCAGGGGCTGCTATGCTTTACAGCAGATGTGCCGCAATTTAGCGCTGAGTTGGTGAGTGGCTTCGGCTGGGGAACGGGCGTTCCCTGCTTCTGCCGGGGCGCTGGTCGGATCTGGTCGCAGGGCTAAATTTCTCCCGGGTGCACGTCGCCCCGTCCCCACTCCCGCCGTCGTGGTTTGGGGTTCGGGAAACCTGCCGTGACAACAGCCCGACGGCTCACGGCGGGGAAAATGGAGCTTGACACCATTTTGGGCGGGTTCTAGGGAGCCGGGTTGGCCCACGTCCTATCATATGGGCCGGATTCACAACCTGCAGCGATTGCTTCATGCTGAGGCGAAGTCGCTGGCTTGGAGTCTATTTAATCTGAACCTTTCCGCCCAGATTCCAGTGCAGTGTCTTCTTTGATCGCATCTCCGAGACATCAAAGGGACATCTGGCCACAAGTACCTAAAGAGTCAATACATATATATAGATAGGCCAACACCAACACTCGCCCCTATCTGGCCCCCCTTCTTCGACAATCCTTCCACAATGGCCTCCGAGAAGCCCTCCCACAGGTTCGACCCTGACTTCACCAGGTTGGTGATCGAGGGCATGGGCCCAAACACCACACCCCGTAACCGTCAGGTCCTCGGTGCCCTGATTCGCCACATCCACGACTTTGCCCGTGAAGTCGAGCTCACCATCGATGAGTGGATGGCGGGCGTCAAGTTTGTCAACTCACTTGGCGAGATCTACGCCGCCAGCAATAAGACCCGGAACGAGACACACCGTATCTGCGACGTCATCGGCCTCGAATCGTACGTTGTCTCTATCCAGTCACCAAACTCAAGCAGCTCGTCAGGACTAACCAATTTCCGGCAGCCTTGTCGATGAGATTGCCCACAAGATCGTCTCAGAGGGCAAACTTGACCCCACCTCGTCCTCTATCCTGGGCCCTTTCTGGTCCCCCAACGCTCCGTTCCGGGACATGGGGAGCGTCATCTTCCAGGACGGTGTCCCCGCAGGCGGCCGCGTCGTCAAGATGCACGGCGTGATTCGCGACATTCTCACGGGCGCGCCCATCCCCAACGCCGTCTTCGACATTTGGCAGGCGTCGTCCAACGGCAAATACGACTTCCAGGACCCGGAGAACCAGACGCCCAACAACCTCCGGGGCAAGTTCCGCGCCGACTCCGAGGGCCGGTACTGGTTCTACTGCCTGCACCCGACGGCCTACTCCTTGCCGCGCGACGGGCCCTCGTGGCAGCTCCTGACCCTCATGGACCGCCACCCCATGCGGCCCGCCCACATCCACATCATGGTCACCCACCCGGACTACCAGGGCTGCACCACCCAGCTGTATCCCAGCGACGACCCCTGGATCAAGAGCGACACCGTCTTTGCGGTCAAGGACGACCTCGTCGTGGACTTCAAGCCCATCCAGGGCGACGACAAGGCCACCCTCGAGCTCGAGTACAATGTCAACTTGGCCCCGAAGGGCTACAAGGGCAAGATTTGAAGAGCTGCCTGGGCGGTTTATGATAATGCGCTGATTTATTCTGTACATATGTCAACATCAGGTGTATATACCCAGTTTTGGATTTCTTCTATTTTCGGGCAGCGCCAAAGTCAGAAGGCAATTGGGAGGAAGGATTTTTGTTTTTGGGTATGTCCTTCCGGCGCCGCCATCGCGCAGAGCCGGATAATGCATTGGTTTACTCTTTCCTGGATAGTATGGTTGTTTGCTGTTAGCAAGTATTTGTAACTCACGTTGCTTTCAGGAGGTGCCTTGCTTTGTGAAAGTCTCCCTCAGGGACTCCCCCAAAGGGATCCCAAGTACATCGAAGTTGGACTTTGGTACAAAATGGCATAGCCTAACTTGCCAGTATATATTTCAGTGAACACCTTTTGATCCCATTGTGCCAGACACATGATCATGATGTCGGTGGAAGTAGCACGGCACCATCGTCCAGCCCGTGAGAATCCCTTTACTGTCACTCATTACATCGAGGTGAAGCAAAATGCGTGGAAGAAGTACCCTGCAGCACGGTCTGGGTGTTCCTGGATGCGCTGCTACATTGGGGTGATAGCACCAAACGAATCTGCTAGGGAGCTAGTCGATGCCTACCTGGCACACAGCGGCGGTGCTCATTCCACATATCGGTGCCGTCGGCAAGTGATAACTGACAGTCAGCTCTTAGCCCACATTAAGCTGGGCCAATTGGAGATCCATCGGTCTTTCGAGATCGGTCACTTAGTCCCATAGGCGCTGCAGTCTTCTCCATAAGCGAAAACGCCAACCCTTACTCCAGACCGAGCTGATTGCATGAACAACTTGTTGAGACAGGTATTTACAACGGCCTCGCGGGCTGCGTCTATTTCTTTTCCTCAGTCTTTTCTTCCGGTTTTGGAGTCGGTAGCTTGAACGTATCAGGTGTCCGGTCTACACCAGCACCGACCTGCTCCCAGGCGCTGGACCCCCCTTCAAAGTTGCGGAACGCCTGGGTGAGCTCAAGGGGCTCTGTAACAATGCGCTTCTTCTCCTCGTCGTACCGAATTTCCGTGTAGCCAGTGAGGGGGAAATCCTTCCTCAGTGGATGCCCCTCAAACCCATAATCTGTCATGATGCGGCGCAGATCAGGATGGCCAACGAAGAAGACGCCAAACATGTCGTATACTTCACGCTCGTACCAGTTGGCACCGTCGTAGAGACTCGTGATGCTGGGCACGGGCGAAACCTCGTCGGCATACGTCTTCACCCTAATCCTCGCATTATGGCGGACGCTGAGAAGGTTGTAGACAATCTCGAACCGTTGGTCGCGGGTGGGGAAGTCGACGGCGGTGATGTCGCTGACTTGGGTGAACTCGGCAGCAGTATTGTCTAAGATGGGTCAGTCGCCAGTCCAGCTAGACCGATGAACTGCGCGTGGCAGAAAAGCCGCCTTACACTTCAAAAAGGTGAAAACGGGGATGACGCCGGAGGGGCAGATGTAGATGGTCAACTCGTCCTTCCAGACGGAGAATTGCTGGATGTATTTGGGGAGACAGCCCATGAGCCACGAGCCGTACTTGTGCAAGTCGTCGGCCTTGGACTGGTATTTGTCGGCCGGGTTGACGAGAGGCGCCTTCAGTGTGCCGACGGAATCGCGCGGCGCCGAGCGCGGGTTCTTGACGTCTTTGGGGACTGCGACATGATTGCGAGCAGTGGTCGCGAAACACCGCACGACGGCGGCCTCGTTGCGAGCTGCCAGCGACGGTTTAGCCGGCCGCAGCGCCGAGGCCATAGCCCTGCTTCTGCAGAGCTTGCTGGCCATGGTCGGAATTGGGAGGGCAATGAGCCAATTGATCGAGAATCAGCCAGCGGCCTCGATCGAAGATGGGCGTTTCGGAGTTCGAGCAGCGCATTGACGTCGAATTGAGCCTAGCTTTCAGCTCAGAGAGCAGCACGTGATGAGGCACGTGACGAAGTTAGAAACGCTGTTTATTCATTGTTGTGGACTAGCATAAAAGGCATTTTCTCCTTGGTCGAGGTAGGATCAAAACTCTTCTGTACTGTATCCTGCAGCACTCAGCTCAGAGAAACCTTTTAAGGTTGATTCTCCATCTTGCACTTCGCTTTCAGACTGTGCAGTGCTTCGCGTGGCACTTACGCGTGGCAGCTGCCATCAGGTCGTTCTTCCCGAGGCTAACAATTATTGAGCCATATGTGGGGCGACACGTGCAGAAACACGCTAACCTAAAATGTCCTAGCGACTTCCCAGAAACCTCAGAAACCTCTCGCTGGAAGGCTCTGCGTTGCCTTCTGTTCCTCTTTCTCAACACCAGCTGATTCCCCTCGCCTTTTCCGACATCGAGCACTTCAGATTATGCCGCTGTCTTCCTGTAATCTCTAACGGCGTTGATTTAAAAAGGACTATTTGGGATTCTCTTTTTTTTCCGTTCGGGCTAGACACGACCTGCCTGCATTGCAGCCGATCTCCATTAATCATCATCGCTCCCACCGCCCTCTTCAACTTGCCGTTCGACTCGACTCGTCTTTCCTTCCGCGTCTTCGCTCCCTGGTCGTGAGAACCGACCAGCAATACAAGCGTAGCCATGGCGCCACAAGACACATACATCGACGATGAAGAGGACTGCTGGTATGGCATCCCTCCATCCCTCCATCCTAGGCATTTCGCCTCGACGCGTTAACCTCTGGAAAAAATCGTCCCATCGTCGCTTTTCGTGCCCATCTTCCTTCAGTCGCGCTAACAGCAATGTGTCAGCCCCCTTTGCATCGAGGAGTTCGATCTCTCCGACCGGAATTTCCGACCATGTCCTTGCGGATACCAGGTACGGCGATTTGTGCTCGACATACCGACCGCGCTGCTAACGACATCCTGCAGATATGTCAATTTTGTTTCAACAACATCCGCAACAACATGAACGGCCTGTGTCCAGCATGTCGGCGGCCATACGACGACAAAACGATACAGTGGAAAATGGTCACTCAGGAAGAGTAAGCTACAGCAATTTCCGCCTGCGCAGTGCCGTGAGCTGACAACCACAGGATTGCCGAGTTCCAGAGGAACATACAGAAAAACCAAAAGAAGCGTGCTGCCGAGCAGCGTCAAAGGGAGGCGCAGAAGCGCGAGGCCGAGAAGGAGAACCGCAAGAACCTTGTTGGCGTTCGGGTGGTCCAGAAAAACCTGGTTTATGTGACCGGCTTGACACCCACAGTCCGCGAGGAAGAGTTGCTCAAGAGTCTCCGTAGGCACGAGTTCTTCGGACAGTACGGCAATATCCTGAAGATTTCCATAAGCAGCCGCAAGGGCAACGACGGCCAGAACCAGTCCCTCGGCGTCTACGTTACATTCGAAAAGAAGGAGGACGCTGCGCGATGTATTCTGGCCGTTAATGGCTCCCAGAACGGCGACAGGATCCTCAGGGCCCAGCTTGGTACGACCAAGTACTGCTCCGCATGGCTTCGACACGAGCAGTGCACCAACCGGCAGTGCATGTTCCTGCACGAGTTGGGCGATGAGGAGGACAGCTATAGCCGGCAGGATCTATCTTCCATGAACAGCATCAGTTCTCAGCGCCCCATTCAAAATCCCGGTACCTCCCGTTCTGCTTCAAGGCAACAAGCTCACCAGTCGCCCGCTCCTGCCCTTGCGCAACCCATGGTCAGGAGCTCTAGCAAGGACGGATCGGATAATGGCGATGCACCGGCCCTCCCGCCCTCCGCGAACTGGGCTCGCAACCCGCAAGTACGCAGTCGTCGGGGCAGTCATGCCACCAGTGGGGCAGCACCGAGCCCCGCCATCTCAAGCGCCTTACCGGCCACTGCAGAATCCGCTGTTGAGGAAGCGTCAGCTGATTCACCCGCCGCTGGACCTTCGACCAAGGCTACCCCGTCCGCAAACCTATCAAAGCCACCAACTCCACCTGCTCAGAAAGCCAAACGCGCCTCGCAGGATGCGCTCAAATCTCTTCTCAAGTCACTTGAGAGCTGCTCTCTCAAATGGCCGAAATTGGCGAATGAAGATGAACTGTCTAAGCTATATCCCCCACTCTTCGACAGCCGTGGCGGGATGCGACGGAGAGCCATGCGCGCGGCCGAAGATACGAGCAGCGTCGGCGATCAACAATCGGGTGGCGCCCGAGAGGCTTCAGAGGGTGAACCCGAGAGCAGCGGCAGTCTTGCGCTCGGCGGCGAGCCCGAGGACCGCGACCATAGCCGTGACCCCCACAGTTATGACCCGCATCGAATCGCACAACCCCCCATTCAGAGGAGCAACACAGAGGGGCTGTTTGGTCAGGCCGTCGGCGCAAGCTTTACCGCCCAAGCGACTGCGAACCTTGGCTCGGTTGGGGCCCGGACCATGACGCCGCAGCAGCCTGCATTCATGCGCCAGCCCGGCGCATTTGTCGATCATTTATCTGCGCAGGCAAACCTGTTTCAGGGCCAAGGTCACAACCGTCAGGGCTCGCGCTTCAGTTTCGCCAATGACGGCAGAGACGCGGCATCGGCCACCTCGGTCAAGCTGACCGCCAACCCCCGCATCATGGCTCAGCAGTCTTCGATGATGCCGTCCTCCTTCCACAACCAACCAGGCAGTCAGTACTATGCCTCTTCTATGCCGGGCCCTCCACCCGGGCTCAAGTCGACGGGCACGCCGCCGGGCGTGTTTGGTCAGCACGGTTTTGGATCGGCCGCTTTTGGCGGTGCGTCTAAGGACTCCAACGAAATTCTGCAGCTCTTTGGCCGTGGGCGAGCTGCTGGCACTCAGGCTCATGAAGCCGTAAAGCGTGAGTTGATGTTCTATCCTTTTCCTAATCAGTACCCACCCTCTACTTCCTCCACCCCAGCTCCTGCCTCGAGCCGCCTGGCAATGCTCTACGGTTCTCAGCCTGGAGCCTTCCAAGACTTGGGTTCAAAGCAGAAGAAGAAGGGGAAGAAGCACAGACACGCTAACACTTCCTCCTCTGGGGGGAGTGGCTCAGCAGATCTTGCGGACCCGAGTATCCTGCAGGCGACGAGAATGCAGTCTCAGCAGCATCTGCAGCAACAGAGCAATGCCGCACTCGGACAGGGCCTGTTCGGTGGTCAGTCGCAAGGTGGGTACAACAATCCCGGCATGATGTACAATCCAGGGGGTTACCGGGCATGGTGATTCCCTCCATGTCAACGTCTTGTTTGCACAGCGGCTGTTTTCTCTCCTATCCGTCATTCATGAATTCTCGATCACACTTCTGGGGAGGGGCAGCATCTCGTTTGTTCAACTATATATGACGGCGTCTGGCACAGGGGAAATGAGATTTCTGATGAGGGCCATTGTTGGAATTGCACTTTATCCCGTTGAGCATTGCAAAGGCATTGTCCGGAAGGGGAATCGCCTTGAATTGGCGTCATCTGCATTTTTATTGTTTGGGGGGGAGCAAAAGAGCATTCCTTCGGGGAGTCTCGGGGAGTCTCGCGAATTGCGGGCGCGCTGTTGCTGCGTTAGACTCTTGCTCGGGGCCTTTGCATCGCTGGATTTGTTGGGGTACGTCAGGCAAGCTCTCATCGTCTTCCTTCTCGGTATTCCCCCATGTACGTTAACTTGGGCCCCAGGTTTCGGACCGACGGGGTTAAGGTCTTATCGGTGGTCAAATAAAGCATTTTTTACCTGCTTTGATGAGCGATTATCTCTCGGAAGACGATGATGGTAGCCTTGACGTAACCCCAAGCCCTCCTGTACATAATGGCGATGATGGCTTGCTCGGTTGCTACTCCCTTTCGGTCCGGCTCGTGGCGGGTCTGGGTTCTAATCACTTCACTGCACACACACACACACACACACACACTGTCTTGCTTTGCATCAACAATGGATGGATCGCTAATTTGGCTTCTGCAGACGATGATCTACTTGCTATGGACGAGGTGAGGACCAGCATCGAAGCGCTAGTGGCGGATGAGCCAATTGATGCCAACATCCGCCAACCTCCTGGAACGTTCGAGCCGTTTGGCCGGCTCAAAACGCCTTCGGTTCCTCCTGGACTGGGGCTTCCAAACGCGCATCCTTCGCCAGCCGTCTCGCATTCGTCTTTGCAAGCAACGAGTACTGGTCGTCACACGCCGCCGGTAGCCCTCCCCAAGGTTCCAGTCAAGCCTCCAGTGGCCACAGTCTCCAGTCCACTGAGTGGAAAGAAGACGATTGCTCAACCCGTAACTGAGGCGAAAAAGAACATCAAGGCGCTTGCTGCCGAAAGCGGCCTGTCGAAGGAAATCAATTCAAAAGCGAAATCGCAGAAACTTCTGCAGGACGAAGAATTTCCCGCACTTGGTTCCCCGAAACCACAGCGGGCAGCAACACCGGTCGTCCAACCTAAGGCACCAGCGGGTAAAGCAGCCTCGGCTGGAAGTAAGAAGCCAGCTGAAAAGACGAAGGATGTGGATACAGCGAAGGAGGAGCCCGTATCTGCACCGGCCAGGGGCGAAACCCCGAAGCCTGTGGCACGCGCTGCTGAGAAGATTCCAGAGAAGACAGCCGAGAAAAAGGTGGAGAAACGACCAGTTCCTGGCATCCTGAACATCGCTGCAGCTACCAAGGCGGCTCAGATGAAGAATGCAGAGGCGCAATCAACGGACAAGTCGGCCGCGGACCGTGACTCTGCGTTTCCGGCTCTCCCAACCCCGACGGCCGCGTCCGTTTCTTCTCCCCTGGCGCGAACGGCCCCAAAGACGCTGCGAGTGGTATCCACGCCGAAAACTGAGACGCCGTCAACGCCAGTGAACGGTCCCGCTTCGATCCTCGCCGCTCCCGTTGCACGAGCAGTCGCAGCCGCCGCCATCCGACCCGAGACACCAGCCAGCGAACTCATATCCGATAGTGCATCCATCATCTCGGCTTCCATTTCGGCATCGCGAACGAACTCGCCCCCGCCGTCAAAGATCGGGTCTGCGCCGATGCGGGCCACCACCAAAAGCCAGCAGCGTAAACAGCGCAAAGAGGCTTTGAAGAAGGAGGCCGCCACCATCTCGGCTCAACCGGCCAAGGCAGAGCCCGCCGAAATCGCTCCGATCATTGGCCGGAAGAAGAAGCAGAAAAAAGACAAGCCTAACAGCCGGAATGCGACACCCACGGAAAGCAGCTCGGAGAATCCGCTAGCGCCCCAAACCATGCCCGCCGACGAGGTTAAAGAAAACGACGAGGTCAAGGACGCTAAGGAGGTTAAGGAGGTAAAAGAGGTCAAGGAAATTAAGGAGGTCAAGGAGGTCAGGGAGGTCAAAGAAGAGTCTTCGACCTATCGGTCGACGGCAAACGAAACGACCACCCTGACTGACGAGCCGCATAACAGGTATGGCGACCTTAAAGGAAAGATGGCGGAGGCTAGAAAGAATTTGGACCACTCGACGACACCACGGATCATGCCGACCCCGGCGGCGGTCCTGCGCGATCTTCAAGAGGCCGGGCTGGTATCTGGCAACATTGATGACCTAGCCTTCCTCAAGTCGGTGAGCGCCCAACTGGATAAGTGGAAGAACGACCCCAACAACGCGGGTCTGCGGGATCTGGCAGCGAGGAACACCATGACGCCGACAAAATCCATCGTCACAGAGGATGACCAGACAGCCCTCATGGCTGGAAACCCCGTGCGCAAGGTGGTTGACGGCGTTCGCATCCTGCTGACACCCAACGGCGACTGCGTGCGCAATCTTAGCCCGGAGGAGGAAGACCGCTTCCTGGAGCTGCAACAACTCGTGGCCACGTCCATCACCAACCCGGCCGCTTTTGTTTCGCCGCGCCATGAAGCCGGCGGCGGCTTCAGCCTGATCAAGGGCCGCGCGGTGCCGAACGGCCCTCCAAGCTACTTCCCGCCTGGGCCGGGGGCCTACCCGTCTGACCCGGTCAACAAAATCCAGCGCGAGGAGGCAATCTACTACATTAATCAGTACGTCTTGCCGCGGCTTAACCTCAATGCCAGAGACATGAGTCTGCCGAAGGCGATGTCGTCGTGGACGACGGATCCACGGGGTACCGCTGCTCAGGCTGCCGCCAACCTCAGCTCAGTCGCGCCTTGGCTGTACGGCGGTATTAGCCCGTCATCGCACGGCGCGGACGTTGATGTTGACGTCACTGCGGATGCCGCCGCTCCGGAACTGAACTACCCGGGCCCAATTGGCGCGTTTGCTGACCCCCTCCATCACATACCGCATCACCTCCAGCCGCATTCTCACCCGCACTTCCCTCATCCTGGCTTTGCTCCGTACCTTGACCTGCCGAACGGCAGTCCCGGCTCACAGCCTCCTCTCGCGGACGAGATCCGTGACAGCTCGGCCAACAGCGGCAACAACACCAATGCCAGCACCAACAAATCACCGATGAGCTACCACTCCCCAGGCCCCTTTGGCAACGTCCCACTCATGTCCCTCGAGGATGCAGAGCAGGCGCTCGCCGCGGCGAGGAAGGAGACGGAGAAACTGGAAAAGAGCCTCAACCAGCTCATGAAGAAGAATAGGAAGCTTCTGCTCTCCATGGCCGGCGGCGCTGCTTCGTCTGCTTCGCCCACGGCGACGGCTGTCCTCGCGGGCGGCGCCGCTTCCGGTGGTGGGGGCCATTGACTATCCATTGTCCCCGGACGGCGGCAGGGGTCTGGGCGAGGGTATCGCCACCGGGATGCCATCGCTGCCGTGGTGGTTGCGGTCGCGCTCGCGCGGGTACTCAGGGGCTTGAGCAGCCTGGGAGAGGCCGTCTTTGCGGCGGTGTGGATGGCTGTGTTGCTGGTTGAGAGCGTGGTGGCGGTTGCGGCTAGGGGGGTGGTTGGTGGGGTGGAGGTTGTTTGTGCGGTGCTTGATTGGGTCGGGGCGGAGTATTGAGTTTATTGCTGGGTCGGTTAATTCAGGGGTTCGGGAGATCTGAGAACTGGCCCTGAGCCCGCTTGGCGCTATCCTATCCACATGCAGCGGTCATACGGGATTTTGATGCATGGGGTTTGCGTTTGCGTTCTTGGTTGGGTCGCGTCTGCTCTCTACTTGGTCAAGTGAGCAAGCGGAGGGTAGGCTGGCGCGATCTCTATTTTCGTTGCCTTTCTCGTTACTGACAAGGGGAGCTGAGGTGGATCTTGCGTGAATTGGAGGAAATGGATGCATGGGGAAAGACGGATTCATCATTCAGCGATGCTTGCTCTTCAGGGATAGAGCGATACCATTATTCGTTTTGTTTGTGGGATATTGAGCAGTTGTCAGTGTATAGCGGTAGAGTGTACAGTACAGTACAATACAAGCATCGAGCGTTGTCATGATTACTTGGAGCCTTGAGATACAGGAGTATACAAGCATTGAGCGTTGTTATGATTACTCGAAACCTTGAGAAACAGAAGTTTGAGAGGAGGATAACACGGAGTGAAGAAGATACAACTCCTCAGTTCCTTCTGCTGTATAGAGCATAGATGTATACAATACTGTTAGCAGCGCAGTTGAAACAGTCTGGTGGCATCGTACTCCTGCTAGAAAACTCCTGTCTGTATAAGATCATACTTTGCTGCTAGACACCTCCCTGAATCCTGGTGGGCTAACTTCCCTTGTAGTATGTCCCGTACATACGAAGGTACTAGCCCCTGGATTGGCTTTTCGAGGGCACTCTATGGCTTCCACATCATCATCGAGGCTCTCCCTATTGTGTAGAAGTAATGACGAGGCAACTATTTACCCTGCCTTTGGAGCCCCTGCTTATGTCCCTGCGAGGACGCTCCAACTGCTCTGTTACGGTACTAGTAAGTCAGGGGTTGAACCTGTTTTCAGAAATTGTGTACTTGGACAAGCCGCCTCGGCTTTGGTCTTTCTTACTAGAGTGGTTGGCTGGTACTGACTTGGACTTTATCTACCTAGGTACTCCGTAGGAGAGGAATATGGTGTATATACTAAACGTCTATACTACGTTAGTTTGTCCAGCACAGAATTAAGCAGCTATCAGGGAATATGGTCTATAAATGCCGTAACGTAGCAGCCACGCTAGCCATAACGTTGCTACTAGGTATGGCAACAATGGAAGTTGTGACTGGCTGATTGGGGTACTCATGGATTCCATCCCCAGAAAGTGGCCGTGATAAATCCGGAGGTGTCTCCGTTTTGGTTGTGAAGAAGCTGAGGTATCTGGACCGATAGGCCTCCAAACTGGCTGCTGGACTGTTACATGGCGATATTCAAGCAAGCAACGGAGTGTTTCTTCGCTGACTTGCCAGTGGTCTCAGCGTAAGTACTTGTACTGTACATACGCATCACGGATACCCGTCTAGGTAGTAATGATTCTGGGTTTCCCCATCAGCATTCCGGTGCACCCTGTCTGATGGTTCCGCACCTAACAATAACATCATGCCGCCGCCCTCCGGCGAGCTCTGCGCTTCTTCGCCTTGACCCTGGGCGGCAGATCCCGATGGCTGAGGTCGATCTGCCAATCCGGAGGCCACTCTCGCCTCGCCAGCTCCTCGGCGAAGGCCACGCTTCGGTGGTGGCCGCTTCCGCACAAAGCACCCCACCCGCAGGACGAGAGGGTCCGGGTCGTCGTCGGCTTGGTCCGTATCCGAACGACGGTCCATTTCTTTGTCCTCTGGCTCGGTTGACTTTGTTGTCTGCTGGCTCTCGGCAGCATCATCATCACCGATCGAGGAGCCTGCCGTCTGCCTTGAACGCTCCATCGCACCCCTGATCTCGCGCTCGGCTTGCTCGAGTTTGGCACGGAACCGTGGGTGCTCCAGGAGCTGCGCGCGGAGCGTCCTGGACAGACCGGTGTGTCTGTCGCGGGAGACGATGCGAAGTGTCTTGGATCGGCCTCGTGTCATGGCCAAGAGCACAGCAGCTGCAGCCTGCAGGTAAGAAGGGGCCCTCGGTTGTCACGGTGTATGTATCGGATGATGGTCGTTGAGCATGTCTTTGATACAGTCGGTGTAACAACATTCCTACCGTATATAGGCAGTACGTCGATGAATCGCTCCCCAATGTCATAACACAGTACGCTCCAGTCTGGTCATCGAGCATTGAGAGCGAATTCCATGACATCATTATCATCATCGTCATGGTCCGCTCATCTCTTTCGGATCTCCTTCTCTGCGATTGGAAAGTCATCGTTCCCAGAGCAATATGGCAGCTGCCATGGGGTTCGTTGCACCATTATTACTAACGGCTCGAATGCAATCCTTTTCGCGGAGCCTGGGAGTCTCTTTGGATTGCTTGTTTGTGCCGAAGCGGAAACCTTCTTCCTGATGGGAGCAGAGCCAATTTAGCGTTTTGCTTTGTCACATGCCACACCTGGGGAAACGCTGCCATTGAACACCGGCCGAACGAAACGAAAATTGGCAAAAAGAAAAGAAATGTGACAGAACATGAGCTTTATACGCTTTCGTGACACTGGGTCTTCAATTCCCTACACTGCAAAAAGTGCGGGGCTGTCCGGGGATTGAACCCGGGACCTCTCGCACCCAAAGCGAGAATCATACCACTAGACCAACAGCCCGTGTCAGATGTGGGAAAAAGTTGCAGTTTTTCGGTCTATCTCGTGAGAATGCTGCTGTCCAGTTGATTACGGATGGATTAAAGAAAGGGGTTGGAAATGAGGGCGTTAGGTCAAGACTTCACTAGAGTTGGCAGCAGTTAGAAGATAGCTAAGTTAATGAGCACACTACTACTTTGTAAATTGGTGGAGAAACGCACATCAAGCCCAACACACAATCGAGGCGGAAGGGCCACGGGATGAAAGCAAGTTGGGACCAAACAACAAACACAGAACCTGGAAACGATCAAGCGGAGAAGAGTGGCCCTAACAAAACTCGAAAATACCACTATACTACTATTGGAAGCAATATATCCCATAGTTTCAGAGGCCAGCACTGACTAGCAAGAGACGGCCATACAACCCAACGCCCTGAGCCAGTGGAGAGCAGATAATGAATGATTGCCTAAAAAACTACAACTCCCTCTTTTCCCCCAGCCGTGAACCATAAAGGTGCGACCGAGAGCTAATTATTCAGCTCCTCACCTCGGCTTGAGGAGAGCGAGCAACAACAATACTAACTCCCTGATAATCCAGCCCGTGATCCAAGGGAGCAGCATGCCCAGGTTTAGTACTGAGGCTACGTAGCGATGCCCGCATTGGAGGAAACTATCAGATATCATTGAGTCTTGGAATTTGAAATCTCTAGCAGTTTATAGGTTAGAGTTCTATGAACATCTCGAAAAAAAACATGTTGTAAGTTTCCGCCATATCATTGTTGCTCGGAATTCTGTAGGGGGCTCTTCCCATAGATGATGGGAGGTAGAGAAGCAGTCTACAGTACAGACCAGCCAAACTAGTACATCCACATTGCTCGGTTACCTTTACAACGAACAGTAAGTAATCGCGTTTGGTCCAAGCTGGTCGTCTCTTCCCGCAGGAGTATACTAGCAAGTGATTCGAAATCGCTAACTTCTGCTAAAACAGAAAGGTTCTTGCCTCATGATTCCGGATGAACTGTATCTCCAGTGCCAATCCGCCGTTTATTGCACTTCAAGTAAGGACTCAGCGTTTACATCTCGTGATGGTGACTCAAGAACGGTTTCACCTCCTGTGACATCCGCCCATCCCACCCCCATTGCAAATCTCGGCCGTTGACCGAACCTAATGTCTAGCTACGGCATATGTACCTCTTTGAGAAGTGAGAACACTATCTGCGTCAACCCAGGGTTTGTAGCTGGGTAGGTATCTTGCAACTTTAGAGGCAACTCGAGCTGCCTCGCTCGGTTACACGTTCAAGAGCCCAGTTCCCGAGTATAACCTATGGTTGAGCAGTCTAGAAGGGATAAAAGCTGATCAAAATTGCACATGTATGCTCAGTCGAATAAATGGAATGGGATGCTGGGAAGTTCACTAACCATAACACAAGTGTATAAGGGCCTGGCAAAATCCCAATCCAGTTCTATGCCAGGTAAGCACGTACCTCCTTTAGACAGGGGCAATACGAGACGTTAGACAGACCAACCTGGAGTGAGTCATCCGTTCGTCCGCGGCTTTTGGGGGAAGAAGGGAAGAGCGCTGTTGGGGATGTTAGAGGCTCAAGGGTTGAGCAGCAAAACAAAAGGGCTTCGTCGGGGATCGAACCCGAGACCTCGCACAAGCACTTATTTCAAGTGTGGGTGTAACCCGAAGCGCGAATCATACCACTAGACCACGAAGCCGATGTTGACGTAAAATGTGAGAATATCCCTAATTCAATCAGGATCTGCTGGGCTGCTGAGGTGGCTCACGCTGGATGTTCTGGTGTTATATGGGAATAGTTGCATAGAGTCAATTGGTGCGGTGTTGCATGGCGTAGCGGGGCCGACTGGGTGTTTTCAGTCGCTGATGCGGGTCTCGTTGAGTTAACAGGGGACGGGTCCGTCAAGGTCCCTTCTGCGGTTCAGGGGCTGGCGATGACTTCGCCAAGTTCAGTCCTGTCTGCCTGCGTTGCCCAAGGACCGTATTGATAGCGGAAAGCTCGTTTTCACATTCACCAACTTGCGGGTGATCCGGGAATCTAACCCTGTGAAACAACAAATAGTACACATAAAATACACATGACTGCCGTTCCTCCTTGCAATGGTATCTCTACTCCGAATCTCGACAAAACCAAAGTCAACCCAGATAAACTCCGAACGCTACTCACCCTCGCCAGCAGCTGAGTGCGACGTCCCAGGCCTACTCCCGGGCTTGCTCAGCCGTCTCAGCTTGTTCCCCGCCTTGGTATTGAACAAGCTTTTGACCCTCCTCAGGCGGGACATCATATCCTGGTCCTTTTTCTTCCTCGCCTCTTCGTCCGCCTCGTCATCCTTCTGCTGCATCTCTCCTCCCTCTATACCATCCACGCCCGCCGCAGACCACCCGCCAGCCGTGATTGGCCTCCTGTCAGGCGTCTTGGGGGGCAGCAGCTCGCCGTCTCCAGTCCCTACCCCACCACCATCACCACCACCACCTCCTCCCACCGCCGAAGCACCAGCACCAGCACCAGCACCAGCAGGAACGGCAGCACTCTTACTCCTCCCATGCCCGAACCCGAGCCCGGCCCCTGCCGCAAAACCCTTCCCTTTCCCTCCCCCACCCCCACCCACACCCGCATTGACCTTATCCCGAATAAACGCCTCATTCCTTAGGACGGTAACCAGCACCTCCCAGGCGGGCTTGTCCTCCTCACCCGGTGCAAGGGGCCGGGTGCGGCCCGGGTTGCGCTGCGCAGCGGGGTTCCGCCAGGGACAGAAGAAGCGGTGCTCGCGCACGGGGTCCAGGTGGTCCATGGGCGCGGGGACGAGCACCGTCTGGGTTTCCGGGTCTACCTCGCGCGACCGGAACATCCACAGCCCCAGCCGCCGCAGGCACGTGTGGCACGACGCGCTGTTGGGCACGGGCGCGCCGCCCAGCCGCGTGTTGGTCAGAGACTGCCAGCCGAGAAGGGCCAATGCCAGGGCGGGGCGGTTGATTTTGGTACTTGTTGGGGTTGCGGGGTTATTGGGGTTTTTATTGGTGGTGGTATTGCTGTCGTTGCTGTCGTTTGTCGTGCGGTTGTTGTTGTTGTCGTTCGGAGGAGGGTCGGTGAAGAATGTGCTGGGGAGGTGGGAGATGACTGTGTCGAGATTGAGGTTTGGCGGGAGGCGGATGTTGAATTCATAAGGGAGAAAGGGGCGGCGCTCACAGAGCTCGTCGTACCGTTGGCGGAGAGTTTGGAGGGCGACCTTGGGGTTGGGAAGGGGCAGACGAAGGAGAGTATCTGGGATTTTGTTAGAAACGCGGCCTTTGAACAAGATAGGCTTCAAGGAAACCATGCTTACCGTCGCACCCCTTCTTCCTCCACAAACAGTCCTCGGCATGCGACTCGATAACCAGCTCGGCATACTTGTCCACCACCGATTGAGCAATCTCGGATGCGATCAGCACCGGAACCTCCGCCCCATCCACCTCCTTGCGGTTTACCCTGACCACCAGTTCGCGGCCGCACAGCGTGCACTTGACGCGCTCCTTGCCCTGGCACACCCAGCCGCGCTTCGCCCACTCGATCTCGTTGACCCGGTCTGGCTTGGGCGTCCAGTCCGTCAGCTCCTGGAAAGTCGCCAACCGGCGCAGCAGCTGCTCGCGGTCGCCAGGGCAGTACTTTGGCGGCGGCGGCAGCTCTCCTCCTTGTCCGTCGGCAGCCCTTCCTCCGGGGCTGGCAGAGCCTGGCGTCCATTTGCGGAGGGTGACGTTGGATATTGTCGTTGTCGGGCGTATGCTAGCGGGGGATGACTGCACAGACGACGACGTGCCATATTTTGTCGGGGTAGACATGGGTCCGCCAACGCGGCGCTTTTTCTGGAGTAGCTCGTCATTGACTATTCTGAGCGAGGGATGCGGCGAGGAGCGCTGCGAGGCGGGCGATGAAGCGGGATCGGCCATGCTGTCGTCCATGTCGGCGCTGTGCTCGGAAACGGCGGGCGAGGGCCGGCTGCCGATGCCTTGGAGCAGGGCATTGAACTTGCGTTTGACGGTGGCGTTCATGCTGGGGCCGGTCTTTTTCAGGCGAAATGTGATTGCTCTTTGCCATGCCGCCGCGACGGCAGTGGGAAAGAGTGAGGTGCAGCAAACAGTTGTAATTGTTACCAGGGTGACCCGCGCCCCACTATAATCAGTCTATAGGATTGGCGATGATTAGCGTTGAGATGCCAGTGGTGGCCTACAGATAGATCTTCCTGGATTCCGAAGTGAAGAATTACAGGATTCGAATCTCAAGCACCGTGATCGCAGACAGCACTTGCCTTGGTTTGTTGCGGAATATGTTCCTGCCTTGGGAACAAAGCAACTTTTAGTGAAGCAGACCGAAGTCAGTACAATCAGTACATTTCTTACTGTATATCGGCTGTAATTACAATCAGGACCGCCCTGTATTTTACGTTACATGTATTTTATGTAATTCTTTGGTACATTCCTGGCGTACCACGCTGGAGCCTGGACTAAGTAAGAGCACGACGTTGACCGCGGCGACGATTGCCTTGCCCCTCGACATAGAGAGACATGCCCTATAATCAGGCTCACATCAAAGAGCTATGAGCTTGGTATGTAACAGAGGTAAAATTAGACGATGTATATCCGGGTTGTTGATATCACTACCACTCCCAGTATGCCTTGAACTTATTCGCATCCTCTCATTAAGAATCTCGTCATGTAGGACACCCCTGACTACCCAACCCAGACTCCCAAAGACCAAACCATGCCTACCTACAACCCATTCAAAAATGAACTGCCATATCGCGGGTATAATCTATACTCCCAATAACCACAGAGCCCCAGGAACACCAACTCACACCCCTATAAGCCATTCTCTCCTGCCATTCCAATCCACAGCCACACCAGGTCTCCCCTCCCCCCGCGGCCAAGGTTCAGTCACAGGAGCTCCTGATCACAGCCTCCGCTCCCGAAACCCAACCCACCCACCCCACCTAAGCATCAACGAGCTCACCACCACACTAATACTGCTCAACGCCATAGCCAGACTAGCCCAGACAGGATCCAGACGGACGTGCTCGCCGTCCCCAACAACAATGGGGTAAAACACGCCCGCGGCAACGGGAAGGGCAAGGCAGTTGTAGACGACGGCCCAGCCGAAATTGAACTTGATGCGGCGGAACACGACGCGCGACAGGTCCAGCAGGGTCAGAACGCTGCGCAGGTCGCTGTTGAGCAGCACAAAGTCGGCGCTGCTGATGGCCACGTCGGCGCCCGACCCCACCGCCACCCCGACGTCGGCTGTTGCTAGTGCTGGCGAGTCGTTGATCCCGTCCCCGACCATCGCCACCGTCGCGCGACGGGCGGTTGATTCCTCGCTGTTGGTGGTGTTGGGGTGTGCTGGTGCGTTTGCTTTGAGGGTCGACTGCAGGTACTTGATCCGGTCGGCTTTCCCCGTCGGCAAGACCCCCGCCATGACCTGATCTTGCGGGATGCCCAGCTGCAGCGCGACGGCTGACGCTGTGGTCGGGTTGTCGCCTGACAGCATCCACACGCGGATGCCCGATTGTTGAAGCGCACGGATGATGGGCGGTGCTTCGGGCCGGATGGGGTCCGAGATGGAGAGAGCGGCGGCGAGTGTCCAGGTCCCGGAGGGAGAGGCGGCGGTTGCGGCAAGGGCGATGGATTTGGATTCACTCTTCCATTGTTGGAGAACTTGCGCTGTAGACGAGGGGATAAGTACTGAGAGGTCTTCCATGAGCGCCTCGTTGCCAACGGCAATCTCGGAGGCCGCTTCGCTGCCGGCCTTGCGGTAGGTCGCTTTCATTCCTTTCCCAGGAACTTCTTGTAAGCTGTCGATGGTCACTTTGGATGTCGTCTTCGCGGCGCAGAAGGAGACAATGGCCTTCGCGATCGGGTGGCTGCTGTTCTCCTCGACTGCTTTGAGTGCCGCCAGGATCGAGTCTCTCTGGGCCTCATCGTCAGCATACAGCTCCGAGTCGGTTATGCTTGGCTCTCCGCCCATAGTCAGCGTGCCGGTCTTGTCAAAGACGACACAGTCGACGCGGCTGGCCTTTTCGAAAGCTTCACCACCTCCCTTGGCAAGAATGCCATGCTTCGCGGCGATACCCCCACCCACAAAAATGGCGGTCGGCGCCGCAAGTGCGAGACCGCAGGGGCATGCGACGACAAAGACGGAGATGGCAAACTGCAGGGAAAAGGCGACCCAGCCGCCAGACGTAACGTCCAAAAAATGTCCCGGAATCCGGCCACTGGCGCCCAGGGAAAGCCACACGATCCATGTGAGGATAGCAATGAGGGTGACAACAGGGACAAAGTATGAAGTCAGCAAATCGGCGATCTGCTCGATTGGGGCTCGCTTCGTTTGGCCCTCGCGGACGACCTTGACAATCTGGTCCAGAAGCGATTGACCCGGCGCGCCAGTGATCCGCACCAGCAGCGAACCGCCGTTGTTGACTGTTCCGGAGAAAACCTCATCGCCAGGGGTCTTTTTCACCGGTCTAGACTCGCCGGTGAGGCTGGACTCGTCAAAGTTGCTCTCGCCAGACACGACAATGCCATCTGCGGGCGGCGAGGCGCCATGAGTGACACGGACAACGTCGCCGAAATCGAGCAGGTCCGCCTTGACAACGACATCCTCTGCTTTCTCCGTTCCGTAACCCTCGACCAGGGTGGCCGTCGTTGGGCGGAGCTTTCCCAGCATCTCTACAGCGTCGCCGGTTCTAGATTTGCTGTAGCTCTCGATCAGCCTGCCGAGAAGCAGGAAAAAGGTGAGAAACACCACCGAGTCAAAGTAGAAGTTGGAGTCGTTGGTCTCGGCCGGCCGGTGTACCGCTGCCGCAATCATTTGCGAAACCGACGAGATGTAGGCGATGGTGGTGCCCAGCGACATGAGCGTGTTCATGCTGCCAAATCGGTAGAAGCGCTGCAGCAGAGGCACCCTGCTCCCTCGCCGCCATAGGGTCATGATCTCCTTGAAGGCTCGCCGGTGAAAGAGGTCAGCGGCAAAAAAGTACACAGGGGTGGCCATGATGAAAAGGGCAATCTGGGCCCTGCTAATTCCAGAGGTCCACGGGTGCATCATGAAGTGCTTCGATTCGCTGTCAGGGAGCAGGCTCATGTACAGGATGCCGATAATGAACGACGGAATGCACACGAGCCCGGTAAAGACAACGCGGTAAAGGATTTGTAGCTGGTGTTTTCGTTGAATGAGCCTAGACCGCTCTTCTAGGCTTGGCGGATGGTATATTGACGCAGTGAATTGTGGATCACTGGCCTCGATGGCGGCTAGAATTTGCCGGATGGTGAATGCTGGTGCGTCCGCGACATAGGAGATCTTCATGATCGGACGCTGGAGGGTCGGTTGGTTGATGACGGACAACTGTCGCCTAAACCCTGCGAGGCTGTTGGTTACCCGGGTAGGGCAGTGCTCGCAGTAGATGCCGCCAATCCTGATTTCTACCGTCCTCTCGTGATTTTCGGCAACCTCCTGATCAAGGCTGACGACGGCATCGAGTGCTGCATCGTACCCAAGGTCCTCAATCGCCTCAACCACCTTGTCAGCATTGGCTCGGCCTTGGAATTCGACAGTCGCGCTGTTGGAAAGCACATTGACAATGACATCCCGGATCCAATCCTTCTTCTTCAACTCCTTGGTGATTGTATTGGCGCATGCGGCGCACGTCATTCCCCCAACAGCAAGCGTAGCCCTCCAGGTATCTGGCTTAACAACGCCCTTGGCCTTGTTTTGCTTGATTTCGGTAACGGCGTCCAGCGTTGCCTCGTAGCCGAGGTCCTCGATAGCCTGGATTAGCTCGTCCGCCTTTTCTTTCTCGATTAGGTCCACAGTCGCACTGTTGTTGAGCAGGTTGACCGTGACATTTGACACCCACTCCCGTTTGCTCAGGTTCTCGGTAATCATGTTGACGCACGAGGCGCACGTCATGCCCCCGACTGCAACTGTGGCTCTCCAGAGCGGTCCTGATGAATCCTGGTCGCTCTCAACCACAACAAAGGGTTTGGACGGCGTCAGTGCTTGAGGGCCCGAACTGCCGCTACTGCTCAAGGCCAAATCCGAGTACCGCGACGTGGTCTCCAGTATCTGCTTCTCATCTGGCGCTGTGCCGGTCTTTCCAACACTGCTGCGGCATTGTCCACAGTTTAGGAGGTGAGCGTTGGTCCTCTGATGGTGAGACGCCCTAGGCCCTGAGGAAAGAATCCATTGACTGAGAGCTGTAGCCACCGAGCCATTCCTGGAACTTCTGGGGCGGCTGCTGCCCTCCCCGTTGGGCAGGCTGTCGGTCATGGCCATGTCGAGGTCAGATACGTGTCCGGAAGAGGTTGTGGCAGCGCATACTTCGAAGCCGCTCTCCTCGAGTGCCTCTCGCATCCGCTGGAACGATGCGGCCGGTGTGTGCTCGACCGTCACTACGGACGTGACGATGTTTGGCGAGACCCACTTGACCTGCTCACCGCAGGACTCTTGCAGGGCGGTCTTTATAGAAGAGACACAGGTGGGACAGTGGAGATTGCCGATGAGGAACGAAGTTGTGACTGTGTCAGTTGCCGCGGCCGGCGCTGACACGGGGTGGAAGGGCGCCATGGGGGGCAATGTGGCCCGCGAGAACCGGGTAGCGCGGCACCTGGGAGTGCTGCTTTTGGTTCCGGCAGACTTTTCTGCCCAACTTGGACAGCGGCGAGGATGCGAGAGGACGCGAGCTGGGCTATTGTCGACTGCCACGGCCGCAGTGCAGCTCGTTTAGATTAAATGACTGTCCCAGAAAGGAAGTGCGGACCAGCGTTGGCGATATAGCCGAGAGGCGCCGAGACTGGGCACCGATGACCGTCTGCTAGAGGGGTGGGTAACGGGCAGCGTCTCCGATGGCTTGCTTCTTGGACAGTTGTGTGTCACCCACAACGAATATCGTGCTAGTGGATAACTGGATAGGGCTTCAACCGAGGTGCGTCGGAGGTGTGCATCGTCGGAAGGTGACGGAGTGAAGCACCGGTTCATGGGAGAGCCCGTGGTGGTTTTGTAGTCTAAGAGGATTCCAGTATTCGTAGTTGAGGTGGACTAGAATAGAAGCTCATGAATTTATTCAGCCCTTTCACGCACAAGTCGCGCATCTGGGGACGGAGCAGTGCTGGGGCAAGTGCAAAGTTAGCATCACGAATGGAGCCTGGCCTGGGCCCTTTCCCAACTCAACAGTGCAGGTGCCAGCAACGATGAATGCGCAAGGGTTGAACGTTGATCCATCACACCGACAGAATACATTACAGGTCTTGGACGCTTTGGCACGGTGGCAATTGCCGCTAACGGCCCCAAAACGGCTTCTTTGTCCATGTGTCCTAAAAACAAGAATTCTCCTTGATGAGCAACGGTAAAAATTTGATGAAATCTGGCCTAAAGACGAAGAAATTGAAGGAAGGAACGGTATGTCGTCACTGCAGAATCCAGGAGCGTTGGCGCCAAGCCCTGCAAAAGCAGGGTTGCCACTTGGATTCACACGGGTCAAGCCGCACAAATGCCGCAGACCCTTCCGGAACGATTACGGCATCCCCGACCTCGCGGATCGGCTTACCAATGGCTTCGCCGCTCCCCTCCGTCTCCGAACCCGGGCTGTGGAGCGCACCGGATCCGGATCCGGATGACCGGCGCATTGCCGGCTTTGTTCCCTCTGCGCCAGGAAAGGAAGAACAGAGAAGCTTCGACATGCATAATTAGGTAACCACGCAATCGCGGCAGACCGTTGACTCATTCCCAGACTGTCGGTTTAGATCGAGGCACAAAGTTCAGGCTGTGTTAGCGGGACTAGTGCGCCGATTGCAAGGTGCAGTCAGCCCTGCCCAAAGTGCACGCCGTTCAGCCTTGCCTGAGTGGGAAGGTCCTCTGGGTCGAGGCTGCGATGAACGGTTCCCAGCGTCGGCCCTAATAATTTTGGTTCCTTGGAGAGAGTTTTGAAATGGAAGGCAAAGAAGAGGAGTCTGCACGTGATAACTAAAGGTGTGAACTGCTGACATAAGATGGAAGGACCTTGGTCCCCCACACTAAGTCCCGATCCGGCTAGCGCAAATCACGCAATCGCCTGCCATCAACGCGAGCTCCGAATCGAGACGCCTTCAGAGGCTGCAAACCACTGCAAAACCACATCCTGGGTCATAGTTTTCCTAGCTCAGGGTGCGGCACTTATTATTATGGGTAAGCGACTCCGGCCTCGGTTCGAGGGATAATGTAAGGTAGGTGGCCATGTAGATTTTCCATCTTGGTGATTTTCTCTTTTATTTTCTGTCTTCCCTTTTCCCCATGCCTTCACTTCGACTTTCCCGTCGTCCAGACCATTGAAGCCTTTTCTCGCTGGCTTCGTTGTTTCTCTCAGTTTTCTCAGTGCGCAAGCGGTTCGAGGCAGTCCCTGGGCCCATTTGCTCTCTATTGCCTCGATACTTGGCGAGCGGCCGAGTATTGGCTCTTGAAGACGCCTTCAAGACCCGTTTCGTCTCTGCCATTGTAGACTGTGGCAAGTCGCCCAGCCCAGGAATCGAACCCAGAACCATGCAATTGAAGCACGAAGAGACCACGGGTGGCATTGCGCCGACCCCTGACTTCGACGCTCCTCCCACCGTCGTTGGCGAGAAGACATCCGGGCAGACTGTCCCGCTCGGTTCCATCTTTGGCCCGACCTATGTCACCACTCAGCTCCTCGTGCAACAGACGGCCTACAAGCTCTCGGACAAGATCTTCTCCTTCTCCCCTGAGACGTTCAACCTCGATGTGGCCGTGAAAGACTGGTCGCGCGCCGGCGAGAAGAACGCACACGGCGAGAAAACGACCGTCGTGCCGCTTCAAACACGCGCCGGCGCAGGAACGCTTGCCCTAGGCTACATCTTCTCCAAGGACTTTGATCTCAGCAAGCGACACATTCCCCAGTCCCTCTTGGCTCCCTCGCTGAGCCTCCGCCACCTGCGGTCAGCTTTGGATCAGCTCTCACTCCTCTATGGCGTGGCCAGCCCATTCGTCGCCCACGTTGCCGCTGCCGATTACTCAGCTCAAGACGGCCTCATCCCTGAGTATGAGAGCGCCCTTCAGATCGCCGAGGATCTCGGTTTGGGTCTTGTCTCGAGCGCCTCTGCCTACGAGGCCCAGCACATGTCGCTCCTTGCGACCCTTTTGGCTGCCTTGCTGCCTACGGTTCACGTGTATGACGGACTCCGCGTTGCGAGAGAGACGCTGCGAGTTGTGGATGCTCTGAGCGAGACCAGCATCGCCGCGGTGTACAAGCGCATCTCCGCCCAGGTTGCCACCTTGAACAAGAGGCTGGACACGGCCGGAAAGGTTGTCGAGCTTCTGCGCCTGTTTAACGACGAGCTTGGCACCGCCTATGCCCCTTTCGAGTACCACGGCCATCAGGCGCCCGAGCTCGTTCTCGTCGTGTTTGGCAGCATCGAGTCGCAGCTTGCCAAGCAGGTCGTGAACACGCTGGCGGCTGAGGGCAAGAAGGTTGGTGCCGTCAATGTCCGCATTTACCGACCCTTTGTGGAAGAGGCCTTCCTTGAATGCCTCCCCGAGTCGGTACGCCGGATCGCCGTCCTGGGTCAGGTCCGCGACGCTATGGCCGTGGATGATGCATCGGTGCAGTCTGTGCTGTTTTCGGACGTTCTCACTGCCGTCTCGTTTGCCGATCAGTGGTCCCAGGAGCCGGCTGTCGTTGATGTCAAATATGCCGCGTCGACTCTCCACACGCCCAGCTCCATCGCCTCGATCATCCATAAACTCACCAGCAAAGACGGCCAGAGTGAGGTCAGCCTGATTCTGCGGTCTCTGGAGAAGGCCCAGCAGTACACGTTCTGGGACATCGACAACTCGGCAGCAGTTGACTCACCTTCGGCCCTCGGTAAACTGCTTGCTCGCGAATCCCCAAGCAATGTCTACGTCCATGAGACATACGACAATCTGATCCAAGGCGGTGTTGTCCGCACTGATATCAGGAGTTCCGAGAAGCCCATCGAGGCTCCCTTCGCTGTTGAGGAGGCCGACGTCATATACGTTGGCGAGGAGAAGCTGCTCAAGGATGTTGCCATTGTGAAAGATGTCAAGTCTGGCGGCAAGCTGATTGTTCGGCTGCCCAACTTCAAGCCGGAAGACATTGAGAAGCGGATTCCTGCACCGGCAAGGAAGGAAATCCAAGACAAGAGAGTGGGACTCTTCGTCCTCGATTCTTCCTTCTCGCCCGCTCTGGAGAAAGAAGCCAAGCTTGTTGCCCAACTTGCATTCTTACAGGTCGCGCGACCTGAGATCACCCAACCGCAGCTCGCCAAGTTTGGCGAGATTGCCCAGGATCAGGTGGCGCTGTCAGAGTACACCGACGCTCTCAATCAAGCTCTCCACAAGGTTGAGGTTCCCGCCAGCTGGGGCGAGGAAACAACGGAAGTCCTTCCTGTCCACGCGCTGAAGCCCACCAGCTTTGTCCCATTCCAGAAAGATGAGCCGGAGCCGGCACTCAAGCTGGATAGCTGGCAAGAAGCTGCCAAGGGCCTAGTCTTCAAGGAGGCATACGGCACTCAAAGCTCGCTGCGTCCCGACCTTAGCGTCAAGACGTTTACGATCCACGTCAAGGAGAACCGCCGTCTAACGCCGCTCGCCTACGACCGCAACATCTTCCACATCGAGTTCGATCTCGGCGACTCGGGTCTTACGTACAACATTGGCGAGGCGCTGGGCATCCACGCCGACAACGACCCGCAGCAGGTGCTCGATTTCATCGACTTTTACGGCCTCGACGCCAACGACCTCGTGCAGGTGCCGTCGCGTGAGGATGCCAGCGTTTTCGAAACGCGCACCGTGTACCAGTCGCTCGTGCAAAACGTCGACATTCTGGGCAAGCCGCCGAAGCGCTTCTACGAGGCGCTCGCCGAGTTCGCGACGGACGAGGCCGAGAAGAAGAAGCTCGAGTTCCTCGGCGGCAAGGAGGGCGCCGACGAGTTCAAGCAGCTCTCCGAGGTCGACACGGTCACGTACGTCGACGTGCTGCAACGGTTCCGCTCTGCGCACCCGTCCTTCCCGGACCTGGTGCGCATCGTGGCGCCCCTCAAGCGCCGCGAGTACAGCATCGCGTCGGCGCAGGCCGTCACCCCGACCTCGGTGGCCCTCATGATCGTCGTGGTCGACTGGGTCGACCCGCAGGGCCGCACCCGCTACGGGCAGGCGACGCGCTACCTGTCGCAGCTGAAACCGGGCACGCCCGTCACGGCCTCGGTCAAGCCGTCGGTCATGAAGCTCCCCGCGCGGGACACGGCGCCGCTCATCATGGCTGGGTTGGGAACCGGGCTCGCCCCCTTCCGGGCGTTTGTGCAGTACCGCGCCATGCAGAAGGCGCAGGGCAAGGAGATTGGCGCCATCCTCCTGTACCTGGGCAGCCGCCACCAGCGCGAGGAGTACCTGTACGGAGAGGAGTGGGAGGCGTACCTGGATGCCGGGGTCATCACGCTGCTGGGCGCGGCGTTTTCGCGTGACCAGCCAAAGAAGATTTACATCCAGGACCGCATGCGCCAGACCATGAAGGATATTGTCAAGGCGTATATCCGTGATGAGGGGTCGTTCTACCTGTGCGGTCCCACATGGCCCGTGCCTGATGTTACGGCTGTGCTGGAGGAGGCGATTGCTGTCGAGGCAAAGGAGAGTGGGCGTAAGGTGGATCCGAGGAAGGAGATTGAGCGGTTGAAGGAGGGTGGGAGGTATGTGCTGGAGGTGTATTGATTGATTGGGGTTCCTCGAGCGAGCGAGTCTTGTAGATGGATGATTGGTTAGGAGGTGCTTGTTTCTGCGAGTTTGAACTTTGAACAGAATATTGTTATGATTCCCATTGTCGTTGCTTGAAGCGATTGTGTATGCGCGCAAGTAATGTCTGAATTTGGATCTGATGTGCGCTTTGTTTCGATGCTATGCGGGGGTTGGTTGCTCCGCACCGACTTGTCACACAGCAGCAGTTCCCCCAATGCCGAGAGTCTGGGGAAGATGTGCGGTGGCCATGCCAAGCATCTCGGACGCGGGGTTACAGGGGCTCAAGAACCGATGCTGTGCCGGGGGGTGGGGTAGCTCAGGGCCCGAGGTATGTATTATACCTGGGCCGGAGCTGAATCTCGGTGCTAGATTGAGGGGCGAAAGGGAAGCATTCTGTCTGAGCTTGCCTGCCTCATTGTTCCTCAAATAATCCATAGCTGGGATTGTTCAAAGGGGTGTCACTCGCCCAAGTTGCCCTACACCTTCTTCAACCTCCTCACGTATTCACCTCGATCTCATTTCCCCCGCTAACATGTCGGCCGCAATCCGCGTCGTGCCCAGCGTAAGTTCCCGTCCCGTCCCCTTGTTCTCCAGCAATCCTCTAATAACGTGTCTCCTCATGGCCATAACAGCGGGCAGCAAAAGCCACCTCCCTCCTGCGAACAATCCAATTCTCGCACCCCCCATCCTGTCCCTGCCACGGCAACCCCTCCCATCACCATCACCACCACCAAGTCCAACATAACCATCCCTCCTTATCATCCCCCCCCTCTTCTCAAAGCATTGTCTCCCGCTATGCCAACCGCCACCACCCATCATCATCATTATCATCATCGTCATCATCAAGGAGGGGATATGCCACGCCGCGGGACCCAGCGCAGCAAAAGGAGTACGCCTTTGAGATGGCGGCCTCGTCGATCCGGTTCGGCCCCGGCGTGACGCGCGAGATTGGCATGGACCTGACCAATATGGGCGCGCGCCGCGTGTGTGTCGTTACGGACGCCACCGTGGAGAAGTTGGAGGCTATGCGGCAGGTGAGAGACGCGTTGGAGGCGGAGGGGTTGGAGTATAGGGTTTTTTCGGGGGTGAGGATTGAGCCGAAGGATTATTTGTAGGTTTTGCGTTTTGTTTTGTTAGTTTGTGTTGGTCGGATTGAAAGTGGCTGTGGAGTTGGTGGGGGTAAACCACATAAAAGGGGACATGCTGACCGGAAGCCAACAGCATCAAAGAGGCCATCGAATGGGTGACACCTTACCAGCCGGATGTATTCGTCGCCGTGGGCGGCGGGTCCGTCATGGACACGGCCAAGCTGATGAATCTCTACTCGTGCTATCCCGAGGCCGACTTCATGGATTTCGTCAACGCACCGCTGGGCAAGGGACGGCCGATCGACAAGAAACTGCGGCCGCTCATCGCGGTGCCCACGACGGCCGGAACAGGCAGCGAGACGACGGGCACGGCCATCTTTGACTTGGCCAGCCGCCGAGCCAAGACGGGCATCGCCCACCGCAACCTCAAGCCCACGCTGGGCATCTGCGACCCGCTCAACACACGCACCATGCCCGCCGCCGTCAAGGCCAGTTCGGGTTTGGATGTGCTCTGCCATTCGCTCGAATCGTGGACTGCTATTCCGTTTAATGAACGCGTGCCGAGGCCGAGTAACCCGATTCTTCGCCCCGCGTACCAGGGCGCGAACCCGATTAGTGATATCTTCTCGCTGAACGCGCTCAGGTCGACGGTCAAGTACCTGCCGCGGTCGGTCAGGGATCCGGAGGATCTGGAGGCGCAGAGTGAGATGTTGCTTGCGTCTACGCTGGCGGGGGTCGGGTTTGGAAATGCTGGGGTTCATCTTTGCCATGGTATGTAATCCTTCTGCTGATCAAGACAAAGGTCAGCAAACAAACAAACAAACAAGGGGCTAATGAATGAACACCGTCTAGGCATGTCATACCCCATCTCCGGCCAGAACCCAGGCTACAAGCATGCCGGGTACGAGGTCGACTCGCCCATCATCCCGCACGGCGTGTCGGTGGCCGTGTCGGCGCCGGCCGTCTTCCGCTTTACGGCGGCCTCGAATCCGGACCGCCACCTTGCCGCGGCCGAGGCGTTTGGCGTTGATGTCAGCAATGTCAAGCGGGAAAGCGCGGGCGAGGTCCTTGCCGACGCGCTCACCAAGTTCCTGGCTGACTTGGGCGACCAGCCGGCGGGGCTGAAGGCGCTGGGTTTCGGCCGCGAGCACATTGAGGAGCTGGTCGACGGCACAATACCGCAGGCCCGCGTGCTGATGCTGGCCCCGGGACTGGCTAAGGAGCTTGAGCAAGAGAGGGATCAGCTGCGGAGGCTGTTTGAGGATGCGTTGGAGCATTGACCGGGCTGGGCTTGGAGAGGGGAATGGGTGGTGAAGGTCACAGTGCATGCCGAGCTTGAAGTATTGTGAGTTATTCATGTGAGCTATGGTCAATGGTGGGCAATATATGTGGACCAAGGCCGTCGACGGACATACAATAGGGGCACTGTATGTAGACAACAGTACACCCTTGATCTGAACGTGTAAATAAGAATACATACTATTGATCCCATTCATCTCTTCAATGTGTTATCTGGCCATTGTGTTGGCGGCACTCCTGTTGGGATCATGCGGCCCATTGTGTTCTGCCCAGTGATAATATATATTGCTGAGCTTCTTTGCTTCTTTGACGGAAGCACCCTCTCCGTGTATCACCCGTGTCTCTCGAGCGAGGTGCCTTGCGGCTCTTTACAGATCTAAGACAGCCCAACAGTGATCACCACTCTCTTGTCATACAATCACAATCACAATGACTTCTCGGTGCTTTATTCCTCTGGAACCTCCTTCCCGCGTGGAAACTCACCCTGAGTCCAGCAGCGTGGCCCGTCCGTCCTCAGATACAATCCATCAACTCATCTCAGGTACAAATAAGCTTGACCTGTCTACGGCGGCATCGAATAAGGGCAGCAAAGAAGACAGATTCGCTCACGACGGCGACACCAACATGCATAATCCTTTTTGGCCGCCAGGCCATGGACCGGCATACCCAGCCCCTGAGCTCATCGCAGCCAGCACCGGATACGGATACGGATTTAATCAGCTCCCAAGCTTTACCCAGCCAGCCATCCAGTATCAGGACCATGGAAATACAAACGGCATTCTCGACTTCGACCATGGGAACAATGTCGAGTGCAACTTTCAGGAGTCGTACTACGGCAACGATTACATATGGCCCGAGGGGGGCCACTACGGCAGCGAAATTGAGTTTCCAGAGGAGTACTACAGCAGCAACAGCAGTGACGAGGACGGTTACGGTGGAAACTGCTATCACGACGAGTCGGACCACGAGTATCAGGCGGACGACGAAGACGAAGGGCCGGGACAGGAAGAGGATTCGGACGACTATGATCCCGATTTTGATCCCAGCCCGGGCCAATTCCACGATGCTTCAGAGTTCACCCCTGACTCAAATCATGCACCATATTCCGATTTTGAACCCAGCCAGCAGTATGATGCCTCAGACTTCTACCGTTCCTTCATGTTGCCCGGCATGTACTTCAACTTGAACTCCCATGACAACAACTCTGGAGCAACCACCCCCACTATGTCAGCCGACGCGGCCCGTGAGCTTCGAGCCTGGTTCGAAATCCCAACCCCAGACGCCAGCTCAGACGAGACAGAGCGCAGCCAAGCCGAGGACTACAATCCCAATTCGGACTACGGCCAACAATTCTACCATGTTCCAGCCTCCTACCCGTCCGTGCCAGTCCCGCCCTTCTACTACAACTCCGCCTACAACAATGCACCAACCATCAACAACCACCGCCCTACAGGCCCCATGATGATGATGACAATGACCCCCGAAGCCGAAGCCGACCTCCGCGCCTGGTTCGACATGCCCGAAGCCGACTACGTCACCACCGAGTCTGACCATGACCACGGCGACGACGCCTCCTCATAGGATGGGGACGCCGACTCTGACTCTGACTCCGACTCTGGATCATTATCATCGACGGCAGACAGCGAAATTCTTGGCTTGCAATCCCCCGCGTTCGACGAGGTCTTGGCCGAGGATTGAGCAGCTCCTGAGTCGGCTTGAGGACTGGGAGTGGGATGTGTTTATGGGGTTGAACACGGATTCGGAGCCGGATTGGGATGACTCGGATTTGGATTTTTGGGATGGGGGTGGTGCCGGTGGGGGGGCAGGCTCGGAGTCGGGAAGTGACAGTGACAATGAGAATGAGAATGAGAATGAGGAGTGGTAGTGGCGGAGGGTAGGTGAATGGTATGATTCCAGCGCGATCTGTGCTCTGAGCGAGAGGGGAGTCTGGAGGCCACCGTCGTATGCCCTGTCGGGATGGATCAACACGGGGCAAGGGGCAAACTGTACTGGCTGGCGACATGGGCAAGGACACTGACACGGTATTGTACTGTACATGTTGGCAACCACTGGCACCTACAGTCTTAGGCACGGATTAGATTGGACGGTCAGAAAACGAAGCTACGACATCTCCCTTCATTCCTATCATCAATACCATAATCATACCGTGACCCCAGTCACGGTTCTCTTTTTGGTAAAAGTTCTTCACCCCGTTTCAGTGGCTCATCCTTACATCCATACTAGGTAGCTATAGTAGCTTTAGAACTTGGCCTTTCCACAGCCTGTAAAGCCGGAGAGATGTACTGTATCAAGGGAGGTGCGTCAGGGGGAGTTGCGTCAGGGGAAGCTGCTTTAGACATAGGGTTGCCTGAGGATCATGCTCAGCCAAACTGGAAGTGTCGGCAGTATCTAAGCAACCTAACACCTTAGGCACTATTCATCAGTGGGAAAGATGGGCGGAGAAACCTTAGGGCTCCCTGAGACACTAGGATGATGCTCTTAGAGAAGGGGATCATGACTACCTTAGCTCAGCACAACTGGATGGTCACAAGCTCATCCCCTACCTTAGTCAATGATAATACTTACATACCCCTAGACAAAGCTACCCCTTTAGCCACAAACCCTGATCCTTGGCTGTGTTCACCTTGGTGAGATGGACTATGTATGGTACCCGAAATCTAAAGCAACAGAACAATCACCCCAACATAACCCGTTCGGCATACACATGCAAGCAAGGTATAAAGTTTCTATCCAGCACCTCGCACCCTCCACCACCAGACATCAAGCCGGCTCCGGCTCAAATGCATCACAATGACCGTACAACGTAAAACTACCATACAGAGCCAAACGTAAGCAGAACAGAAGCGAAAACATGATATATACTACCACAAGCGGTTGGTTGAACCAACAATCCCAACACTGGCTGCTATACGACACACAAAACTTGAACTCAAACCCCCACGCTCTTTCTGAAAACAACCCCCTGCCCCAAGTATGTACTCATTAGGCCCGTTACCTCCCACCGTGACCGTGACCATGCCCAACATTGGCAAACGCAGCCCTGACCTCAGCACGCGGCCATTCAAACAGGACATCCCCACTATACACATCCGTAATGACTCTGCCAATGCGCATCTCGACATCGCCATAGAACCGCTCACACTCGCGCAGCACCCGGTTGACCAGGTTGACGTTCCCCACCCCACCACCACCACCACCAGCAGTTGTCATAACGCTAGCACCACCACTGCCCGTGCTGTACCGCACCGACGCCGACGACGACGACTGGCCCGATGCAGCACCGCCGCCGCCCCCGACTCCGAGGGAATAATCCGAACCAGTATTCGTAGTAGTAACATCTTCATTACCCCCACCACCAAAGTGTTTCTCGACCCTCTTCCGGAGCGTCTCAATCCCCTTCCTGACTTCGCGCGCATCGTAGCCGCCCAGGACTTTGTTGAACACCGTCTTGGAGTTGCTCGGCTGCGCGGCGACGCTGGCGGGGGGTTTGCCGCTGGCTAGCTGGGCCTCGACGTTTTCGAGGTGCTCGAGCAGCTTGCCCAGCGGGCGGCGCATGACGGCGTTGAGGTACAGGCCCATGTGCTCCTGCAACTCGCGCTGGGCGGCCTCCCTCCAATCGTCCAGCACCTCGAGGCCGCGCGGGTTGTCCACCTCCTCGAGGAAGTGGTTCATGTTCTCGATGAGGAGGATGTGGAAGTTGAGCGCTTCCTTGTCCTCCGGGTCGGCTGCGTTGGCGGAGCCCAGGGCGGTCGACGCGCCCCCCGCGCCCATGGCCGGGTTCTCGCGCGCAATGACCTTGAGCGAGTCGAACATGGACTTGAGGATGCGGTCGTACTCGCGGTCGACCATGCGGCGGACGCCGAGGGTGGGGTCCACGTTGGAGAGCATGTTTTCGACGGCGGTCGTAAAGTGCGGGAATATGCGGATGAAGTGGATGACGCCCTTGCGCTTCTTGATCTTGACCTTGGTCTCCTCGATGGCACGGACCTGGTCGTCGACAAACTTCTTAAACTTGGCCTCGAGGTTGCCGTGGAGTTTTTGGAGTACGTTGTTGAGGAAGTCCTGGTTGGACTGGCTCATCTCGGCCATCTTGCGTTCCAGCGTGGCCAGGATGCCGACGCCTTGTCTAAGGGTGGGTTAGTACAGCGGTGCAACATGGTTACGGTTCCTGGCAAACTTACAAAGGATCCATGCCCAATGTCCAGTCCATGAGCTGCTGCAGACTCGACTCCAAAAAGACAAAGATTGTCTCCATCGCTTTGGTGACCTTGCGTGCTAGCTCGCGGTCTGGCTCCATCAAACGGTGCCGCTTCAGGTCGCCCCCGCGACGGTCGCGAGGCCGTGAGCTCGCGACGAGATCCGGAAAGTCCGACTGCTCGAGCGTCGTTGCATGGAAAAAGTCGACAATGAAGTTTTGCTCCATTTCCACCAACGGAAGTAGGTCATCCAAAACGCCGGCAAAGACCTCGTAGGGCAGTGACCTGCCGTCCGGTGTCTTGTCCGCCAGGTTCGTCCGGCTTCCGTCGCCCAATGGAGATCGGAGGCTTCTGGCCAGCGTTTGGCTGCGCTTGACGGTGAGCTTCCGTGCCGTGGTCGCGAGACCTTCTTCCTTCTTTTCCTGCTGCGATGTGAACAGCAGCTCGCTCTCGTCACCCGTCATCTTTCTCGCGTTCTTCTTCCACGCCTCCATGGCATCCCTAAACTCGGCCTTGTAGATGGGATGGCTCTTGTCCTGGTAGATCTGCAAGATCCGGTTCCAATTGCCGACGTCGACATCCCGCGCATAGAGTATAAAGGGACTGTACATCCATAACAGGTCCCGCCCCACATCGTGATTGCGGGCATCGGCCTTCTTGGAGAGGGCTCCGTCGAGCGCATTTTTGGTCTCGCGGAATGCTTCCGAGAACTGCCGTTCCATGAAAATTACGAGCCTGCGCATAAAGAGTGAGCTCTCAGCCATGTACATCTCCTTCTTTTCTCGGACGATGCGCATCTTGCCGTAGTCGCTGTCGAGGCCAAGGGTCTGTTCACCGGCCCCGTCTTCGCTCTTGCGCGCCTCGCTGGTGCCCAGCGTCGGGTCAATCTTGACCATGGCCTTGAACAGCGTGACGAGAGCGGCCTCGATATCCTCTACGCCTGACGGGTCTTCGAGAGGCGCCCTTTTCAAAGCTTCTAGGTCGGATTCACTGATGGCGCAAGTCTCCAGCAGGGATTCGAGTTCCTTCTTCAGAAGCTTTTGATTTGCCGCTTGAACCTGCAGACCCTGGCCTTGGGCTTCGATGTACGCGATATCATCTGACAAGGTCTGGAATCGGGTGAGCGCACGGCCAAAAAGTTGGAGAGAAGGCCTAGACTTACGGATAACTCAACGCTATATAGGGTAAGCAGGTTGTCGAGCTCCTCACATTCATTGATGGCAAGATCGATTCCCTTTTTGATGGCTTCTACCCTCTCATCTTCCTCCTGGAACCGGGCGAGCCAGCCGCCGGCTTGGGCCTTGGTGAGTTCCCGGTCGATGTCGGCCCGCATCTCATCAAAGGTCTTGGCCCGCATCTTTTCACCCGGGACCCAGCCGAAGTAGTCCAGCCACTTGGCGAACTCGGTCGTCCGGCCGTCGAGGATGGAGGGGTCTAGGCCGAGCGTCGTCAGATATTTTACATCGTTTCCGGTCACTATTGGCCGCCGAGGCTCTTCAGGAATGGGCTCTTCCGCCTTTTTTGCTCTCGCAACTGCTTGTCCACCGCTTGGTTTATCGGCAGAATCGGACTCTGTGATCTTTACCTCCGGAATCGCCGATGCTGGGCTTCGGTCAGCTGTTTTAGGTGGGGGTTCCACGACGGGAGAAGGCTCGGGTGGCTTCTGAACTGGCGCAGGTTTCGCGGGAGCCGGAACGACGGCGGTAATACCATCGGGCCCGTCATCGACTTTGTTTTGGTTCTGGCGTAAACGTTCCGCTGCGCCGCCAGGCCTCGGCTTGAACGCGCTCGCCGCCGCTGCAGCTTTCCAAAATGCGCCTGCGATTTCGCCTTTTGACTTCTTGGACTTGATCATAGGGCCGAGCCCGGGCCGCGTCTCCTCCGGCTCAGCCGAAGGTTCTGATGGGCTTTCCTCAACCGAAGGAGGCAAAACTGTTGACGCGATGGACGTAGGGGTCTCGACTATAGGGCTGACTATACTCGCACTGGCTGCCGTGTTTGGCCTGCTAGAATCGTTTGGCGTTGAGACGCTGTCGCTCCGAGGTTCCGAATCATTTCGCCGGTTAACAGAGTTCTTACGGGACGACACCCTCTCTACGCTCCGTGGCGGTACCACGGGCTCTCGGCGCATGGCCGGGCTCATCAGCGGCGCGGGTATCAAGTCTCTGTCGACCTGCGCTGGTCGCAGGGGATCCATAGGGGGGCGTCGTCGTTCGGGAGGTTTGTCCTCGACAGGATGTGGGGTAAGTTCCGGCGTAATATAGCTTGGACTCGCGCCGGGTCCATTCCTCGACCTTGGACGGAGGCTGTTTGCATCATCGCTCCTTGCCATCTCGCTCCTTGCAATGGACGAGGCAGCTACCGAGTCTTGGCTCTTGTTATTTAGCGCCAGTCGTCGTAGCGAGGATTGCTCCTGTGAAGGCCGTCCAGAATCGATACTGCGTGCGGGCGAGGACGTTCCGTTGGGCACGAGCGGGCTGCGCGATGGCATCCTTTCCGGGAAAGGAGGCGCCGTGGCGGGTGGGGCGTTGTAGGAGCCATTGTACGCAGATGCGGCGGATACGATCGACGCATTTGTACTGCTGGGAGCAGTGTCGAGGGGAGCCGGTCGGGGAGGCGGTCGCTCAAGCCTCCGCGGTGCCTGTGCTCCGCCCAGCACTTGCTCAAGCTCGCGCTGGTCAAAGCCGGTTAGGGTGGGAGTTCGGCCGCCGGTATACTTGGAGTAGATCTTGATCAAACTGGCAATGAAGAACTTTTTCTCCTTGTCGGTCTGGGCTTGCCAGTAGTACGGCTTGCCGAGGGTCACAATGAAGCCCACATCTCCGGCCCATGCCTGGTGGTTCGGGTTGGCTGTCGGGCTCGTGAAGGACTCGATTGCTGTCAGGTCATCGAGGAACCATGTCTTGCCAATCGAAAAGGTGCCGTTGGGGTTTTCCTTGGACTTGTGTACACGCACACGGCCCGACTTGCGCACAGCAACGATGATGACGCGTGGCTTTTCGATCTGAGGTGTCCGGGCTTGTGGAGGGGCCGGAGAGGTCGGATAGGTTTGGTATTCGGTGATTCTGATGTGGGTGATGTATGTTTCGAGGGCTGCGACAAGGGGTCAGTAAGGGGATCCGGACGAGGCAAAGCGGCAACGCGGGAGGGATGATGCTGACTCGAGCCGTCGTCATCGCGCTTGCTGAAGCAGCTGTCAATGATCCTCCTCTTCTCGTCCTCGAACCTCTCGGCCCTGGACATGTCGCGGCCGTTCATGGCCATGGCGGCGACGGCGGCGGCGGGGAAGCGCTCCCGTCAAGCGGAGGGCAGGGGTCGCAGTTCATGAACGATCGGGTAGCGGCCGCGGACGGTGGGAATGGCGGGTCATGTTTTGGGGGGGGATATCCCCGCTCACAATTTTGATTTCTGGATTGAACGGGCGGTCGAATGTCGGAGTGTTCGTTGAGCATAGAGCAGCTAGATCGCCAGGATATTATACACAGTAATAAGCCGTTGTGCAGCTGTTCGAATCAAGGTCCAGTGTGGAGTGTTGCTTGATTAGGTTCCAGGTTTCTGGAGTTGGATGAGGCTTGCCTTCCCCTGTGATGGAAGACAGTTTGGCACAGTGTGCTCCGGAACTTGAATTGAAGGCCCGTGCGGTCTCACTCGTGTCCGGGTCAAACAATCCCTGCCATGCACGCCAAGACTCCTCGATAGACTGCATCTTAAATCTACGAAAGCTCTGAACCATCACGATGTGTCTTCTACAACTTTTGGAGCGGGAGTTAGAGTTGGCTCAGTTGACGTTCCAAATTTTGAATCATACCTGACCCAAGGTTATTATTCTACCATCTTAAAGACTTGACATCTTCCGACGCAGAGGGGTGCTTCGAGGCCTACGGAGTAGTCCATCGATCGCCCCACACAAGCGAGTTGGCTCAGTCACCAATATACCTACGGATACTTGCAGCATCAGTGTAGACTTGGCCCGGTACTTGCATTCCGCCCGATTCGGTGTTTATTGACAGTCTCTCGCTTTATTTTCTGCTCCTCCTCTTGAAGGTTCTGTCCTAATTGATACCGCAAGACGTAACGTGCAAACGCTTTCCCATCATAGAGTAAACAGTCCGCTCGGTAAATGAAACATCTCTCTGCGATGCCAGTACCGGTATAACACCTCCCATGCCAGAGGCATTCCCGTAGCCTGATCTGAGTTCCTAGACAATCCGTATGCTACCCACGCAACGCCTTCCCAGCGGAATAACCGTATGTGAACCAGTGCAATCCCGTAGCCTCTTTGCTAGAAACACACTCAATCCCAGACCTCCACCGCAAACCACGGATCTTGTGAATACACCCGACTACGCTGCGTCCTCCTCCTCCTCATCCTCCTCAGAATCCCAAATAACAACAGGCGGCGGCTGCCTCACCTCCTCATCCTCCACCAACAAACTGTCCGGCGGCAAGAGAACCGCCTGCGACGACGATCCCGCAGTGGGAGGAGGCAGCCGAATCAGGCTTCCATCCTCGTCCTCACGCATCACATCCAGCAGCAGATCCGGCAGCGACGGCTGACTAAACGGCGGCCTAGGCACCGACAACGCCATCACAGAAGAAGAGGAATAAGACGACTGCTGCTTCTCGGGGGAAGAGTAAGAAGGCCGCCCAGTAGCGGGCGGGCTAGACGAGAGGTCGCTTGCTGTTGTGGCTTGAGAGGGCCGGACAAAGTTGGCCCGGAGCCCCATTGAATGCTGGCTCTGGCGTTGGCTTTGGCGCTGGTTGCGGATGCGTTGGCTCGCCCGGACCGGCGGTGCTGAGGGGCGGGCAAACACGTCCGCGTCTTTTGCGGGTGATTTGGAAATGCCGCCGGAGGGGCCGGCCCGGCGTGATGACGTCGGCCGGTCCTGACTCGCAGGAATCACCTCTTCCTCTTCCTCTTCATGAGGATACCACATCTGCGTCGACTGGATGATATCGCTGCGTAGCTGCTCCTCCAGTTCCTGCGACGTCGTGGCACCCGCCTCCTCTTCATCCCCCTCGGCAAACAGCGCGCACCGCAAGTTGGCCATCAGCTGTCCCACAATAGCCGGCGGTAGGTAACGATATCTGTCCGGCGGGCCGTTGCCCAACCCGTTGTCGGGCATGTCGGCCAGCGGAACGGGGTTGTTCAGCTGGTACACCTGCAGCAGCTCGTACGCGAAGTTGCAGTTGGACGTGCCAGCGTTGAATTGGGCGTTGCCCAGGCCGCTGGCGCTGTCAATCTGTCCTGGCATTTTGGCCGGGCCGAGCGTAGCCATGTATTTCACCTCGTTTACTGGATCCGTGACGTAGATCCAGCAGCGTAGGACCTGGATGGGGAACTTGTACGAGCGGAACTCATGGTCCCTGGTGCCTTCAACGATTTGATCGACAATCTCCGGGCCAATCGAGATGAGGATGTCTGAGCGGTCTGTCTGCGGGCCGAGCGAGCGGATGACTTCCATGGGCACCCGTTGGCTCTCAAGGCCTTGACTGTAGAACTGGGATCGGCCCTGGGTGTGGCGCTGGAGAATCGGCGAGGATTTCTTGGCTGGCTTTCTGGGCGTTTCTTTGTAGACCTCCTCGGTGTCAGGAGACGGTGGGACTTCAATTCGAACCTTACGTGCTAGGGGTGTTGGCGTGCCATGTTCATTTCCTGTTGCTGATGATTCCGACGTCAAGACTTCAGGTGTTGCCTTGCAATTGTTCCGAGTGACCTCCCGCGCTGGTGAAGCTTTCCGCCCCGCCGGTTTTGGAAGGATCTGAGTTGGTACGGTACGACCTTCATCCTCGCTGGCTGTCATCTCTTCTAAATCCTGAGGTTTGGGGGTGGACTTGGTATTTCGTCCATCTGCACTAGCGACACTTGTGCGGCGTTGCGACCTGGATTTCCTAGTCGCTGCTGTCGGAGAGCTGGGTGCTTTCTCTTCGTTGAGGAAGGGATTTCCGGTCGCAATATCCTTGTTCGAACCATGATTGGTCGGTTTACTTGTCCCTCCAAGCGATTGGGACGATGCGATCCGAGACTGAGATCCAGTATTCCCAGTCCTTTGACTTGCCTTGGCCGCCTGTGACCTTGTCTTTCGCATTGTCGGAGTTGGGGTTCCGGGGCCTTCCTCCTCACTGGCAGTCGACTCCTCATCATCATCCAGGTTCAGAGGGCCCGGCTCATTTTCCTTGTTTGACTTGCCCGTGCTCGGGACGCTCTCATCATGCGCCCCTGGGCCAGTCTGGGTTGGAGACCCAGACTCCCCAGCCATTCCGCCTCGTGGCGTCGAGCTAGGGTCGCTGGCTATCACGAAGTCCTCGGCATCTCTCCGCTTAGATGGCGTCTGCTGTGTAGATAGCCCTTTGAAAGGCGTCGACCAGTTACTCTCCAGCTCGGCATCAGAATCCGGAATTTCGGTGAACACCCTTATCCCCCTAGCGCCTCCATTCCTTGTCGGTGTCTCTACCTCCTCCCGCGGAGAGACCCCAAGCTCCAGACTAGCCACCGGTATCTCACTTAACGGCTCTCTCTTGGGCCGCTGTTCCACCTTGGGGCTTGTGCCAGCGGCAACCGATGATGACGAAGGGAGGGCGGCGCTGCTTCCAGAGCTATAGCTATCCTGAATGACCAGGTTCCTCGGCCGTTTCGAAACCGTTTCTAGAGTGGGGAGCGGCGCATCCACATTCGTAGACTTCTCCTTGAGCGGCGACCTGGCGGCATGGAGCGGGCTGTATCCCAGCATGGGTGTGAAAGGCGTCGGTTGTGAGGAGGGGACCTCGTCGAGGTTGACCTTGATGCGCTTGTTGCTTGGGGTGTGCGGGTCCATGCCTTGGGTGGGCGATGGACGCTTGCTGCTAGCAAGCTTCGTCGGGGTTCGTCCTGAGGGCAGCAGCATTTCACCATCACCCTCCTCTCCTTCACCTTCAATTCTCAATCCGCGGTCAATTTCTCCCCTCCCTCCCAGAAACTGTGTTAGTGTCTGGGTATGGAAACTTGACCTCGACGAGGAACTCGGCTGGGCTGGCGTATCACCCATAGTCTTTCGTCTCCTCCCCTTCGCCTTGGTTGAGGCTTTCGCCCCGGCCCGTCCTTGCTTCGGCTTCTTTCCCTTCCCATCACCAACCCCATCATCATCCTGAAACAGGATGCTAGACCCCTCCACATCCCCAGTATCTCCTGGGCTATCCTGCCGTTCCTCTTGCTCGAATAAATCTTCATCTTCTAGCTCCTGGCTCCGCACATACCCAACCTGAGTCAACGTCTGCTGTCTCAATCGCCTCCTCGCGTCCACCTCGGCTTGCAACCCGGCTAGGCCTCCCGCAGGCAAGGACCTCCTGGTGCCGCGGGCACCATAAGTGCGCACGACGCGACGGCGAGCCGGGAAATGGACCTGCTGGGGCACGGGTGCCGATTCGTAAACTTTTTGCCGTCTTGTTTGTGGCGCCATCTTTTTGTCCCTCTCTTAAATGTTTTGGGGGGATTAGTCTATTTTTTCGTTGCGAAGTCGTAATTGCGGTCGAGTGAGCAGTGGCCCGATGTAGTCGCTGCAAGTTCCCGGATGGACGTTACATGTCTCGATCCAAAGTGAGTGGGCACGAAACGGAAGAAAATGGACACGAATTGTTGGTTCGGCCGTTTCGACTCTGTTCACTCGGATCGGCTGAAATATGTGAATGATAGAGGTGATCACCGCCGTTACTAGCGATGCTCAATTTAGTGGCAGCGGTGGATGAAATTACACCACAATGGCTAAAGGTTAAGCTAGGTTGAGGTGGGCGTCGGGCCATTTGCGGTCGAGGCGCGTCACAGGCTCACAGCACACTAAGTCGACGCGTAAGTGGGGCGCGTGCCTTCTCTTTTCGGAAGTTTGTTTAATTATCTACACTATGTACTGACATCATTGGTTTGCTATAACTTGAGACACAAACTTAGACTTGAGACTGCTGTTCGCTCCGGCGTCAACCTGCTTGGCCCTCATTCTCTACGCAGCGCTCCTGCATATCGAGCGGAAAGCTTTGGTCATATCAACTGAGTCAAGCACGCCCCTCTCACATCCTGAGAGAATACAATACAAGGCAGGAAGAGACACGCTGTTCACCTGTTGCGTGCCTGCCTTCACAAAATCCAAAATTTCCCCATTTTGATTCTGAGTTCAGCCTCGAAAAGTTCGTCATCAGATTGGACCAGGATCAATTGACCGAGGCCTAAACTCGCTCAACAAGATGCTACTCAGCATCGTCGGAACTTGCTCGGTAGAAGCAACTGCACGGCCAATCTCCCTCCCTGCGCCTGCGGCAAGGTTGCCAGGCGTGTCCGGCAGTAGCCGGCAAACGCCCGCCTTACCGTGCCCACACTTCTGTTCGGAGATTATACCCTCGATCTTCTCACCGTCAATCTCCTCGAGAGTGATGGTAAAAGAGACCCCTACTGTCCGTTCGCCCGTCTTTGCTACTACCCGTACCGTGCTCGGATGGCGTGATGTGAAGGGTGACTCGGGTGGCTACGGGCAAATTACGAGTACCTGACAGGAGGATTATTGCAGTCCGTCCTCGAGAAAGACGCCATACTAATGTTCGCTCCGGGAAAGCAGTGGGTGAGGCTCAAGAGTCCGGGACTTGGAGCGGAAGCATAGCAGAAGAAATTTTGATGGGCTACAGAGATATCGCTAACTGCCAATGTGTATAGGAGCCCGCTTCGTCGATGGTTGAGTCCATGGCGGAGGCCATCTACTGCGGAGCGGAAGGGTTGTCATTGGTTGGTGCTGTCACCCCTTATAAGGGGCTCGCCATCACTCCAGCCTCATCAGCATATTCCGCCTCGGCCGCCCAAAGTCATGGCGGATTTTGACGTCAGCACCGAGCCAGGTGTTCGCACTTGGCTATGTCCTGTGCAGTGATGCTGCCGGTGAGCTGCTTCGCCGACTGGCACACATTCATGCGTCGGCCAGCATGCTCACCTCAGCCCTCCAAATCTTTGGGACCTTCGGTTCGGCTTCGCTTTGGTCTTGTTGTCAATCCTAACTACCTGCTGAACGCCTACGTCATCTATGCCGCGTCCGTGAGGCCCTGCGGTCCTTCGCCACGGCGTTGTGACTCTTCGTGTCTAAGATGTACGCCAGCCTCGGCATCTACTACACCAGCTCCATCTCGGCCTTCCTGGCCGTGGTATTTGTGCCCTTCCCTTTATTATGGTTTTGAGCTCGTTGGGCTTGCTCATGAAGGAAGGGTTGGTCGACCGAGTTTCAGGATGCCGCGGAGACCCGCGCGCAAGGCTGACCCAGACAGGTATCTATTTGTATGGCATCGAACTGATTTGAAGCCATGGAGATGGTGATCTGGCACTCAGGGTAGTGCATACTGTACTTGATGCTTCATTGAGAGAGTTACCGTGTTTCACATTCATGTCGGCACTGTAATTGCTGTGCCCATTACAGCGATTGTCAAGCGCATCGAGATATTGCAACGCAAAAACAGGACGGCTCGGAAAATAGGTGAGAAATGGAGGAAATCCAGGGGCATTGTTTACAGCGTATAAGTAGTACTGTACCTCGTACAATACGGAGTACTAACGATTCATCTTAACTTCCTGTGTCTCTTGGAGAAAAGAACCTACCGGTAACAGAACGGCAGGAGCATGAACACGCATAGTGGGGCCGCCGGAGCGTACTGTATCTAAAGCACTCTTTTCCTCGATTGCAGTGATTTGTTGCTTGAAAGGAAAACCTCGTACTAATTGTCAGCAGGGCACCACTATCTCATGTCGCTTCGGCTTTCCGTACAAATTGAGAAGGCAGGGCAACACGAGACCGAGAGACAGCCGAGGCCAATAGCAAACAGGTCGCCGTCAATCGGGGCGTCGAAAGAGAGATCGGACGCCCCACGAAGATCCGACAGGGATTGGGAATAGGCAACTGAACGTTTCTGCTGTGTTGGTGCCATGTGCCTGTCCCTGTTCCTGTTCCTGCCAACCATGGTTTCTCAGCGCAAAGGTTGATAAAGTCCACGTCTGCTCTTGTTTGCAACTCTCATCACCGGTTCCTGTCGCATATATTGTATACTTGCCCAGCCTTTCTCATTGCACAATTTGCACTCATTTGCTCCATACACGATCAACAAAATAAAATCGACAGCATAGTGTTCCAACAAGGACACAGAACAGGTTGTGATGCCACCTCGAACCCGGAAATTCCTCAACGGCCCAGAGCCGTTAAAAGGGTACGATATACAAGATAGCAGTAACATCTGCGATTGAAAGTGCTAAGTTCTAACTGCTGTGTGCAGCCCGGATATTCCTTACCAGAATGAGCGGAAAAGCAATCCTGCCCTCAGAGGCCGTGTCCTCGTTGCGGCAGCATATTTGTGAGCACATGCCCCGGCTGAACAATTGACCAGCATGTGCTGACGGCAAGCATCAAGTATGGAGTGGTTCCGTTTCATACGGGAAGCCGTTTGGCACAACACCGGATTCGGGTCACTGAGGAAGATCATTGGTTACATCGAGACTTACGAGCCATGGTTCGAGCCACAGATAATTCCTTTGCCAGAGGTCGCTGAAGAAGCCAGCCAGGACGCAGCCACAGCGCCTGAAGCAGAGGAAGAGAAAAAGCCAGACCCTCCCATTGCGCATTATCCTAAAGCCGAATATTACTCCGTGGCCGACTACCGCAGGCTATTTCTGTCAGGCGCTCTCACGCCAACAGACGTTGCCGAGGCCTTGCTGCCCCTGATACGGCGGGACGTTCCTGGCCCCACCGAGCACTCCATTGCCTGGTTTGAGACGCAAGCCGACAGGGTCCTCGCCGCAGCACGCGAGTCGACTCAACGGTACAAGGAAGGGCGCTCCCTTGGGCCCCTGGACGGGGTGCCCACGGCGGTGAAGGACGAATACGACATTGAGGGCTACCGCACCTGCCTCGGGTCACGCAATACGTACACTTCCCCGGACGAGAAGCACACGACGTCGTGGTGCGTGCAGAAATTGGAAGCCGCCGGCGCAATCATCCTAGGTAAGCTCTCCATGCACGAGTTCGGCCTCGACACGACAGGCAACAACCCGATCTACGGCACCCCGCGCAACCCCCACAACCCCAACTACTACACCGGCGGCTCGTCTTCAGGCACCGCCTATGCCGTCAGTGCCGGGCTTATCCCTGTGGGCCTGGGTAGTGACGGAGGCGGGAGCATCCGAATACCGTCCAGCCTGTGCGGCGTGTTCGGGCTCAAGCCGACGCACGGTCGGCTCTCCTTCCGGCCCGGGCCGAACCACTGCGCCACCTGCGCCTGCCTGGGGCCGATCGCAGGGGACATTGGGTCGCTGGCGGCTCTCTTCCATATAATCTCTGACCCCCACCCGAGCTCGCCTTTCCCGCCGCTCCCTCGCCCCATGCGCCTAGGCAGCGGGCCCACGGCAACAGACCCCAAACTGCTCGGCATCCCGACAGACTGGTTCGCGCGCGCCACGCCGGCCATCCAAGCGCTCTGCAACAGCCTGATCAAGCGACTGGTCTCGGAGCATGGGTACCGCACGGTGCCCATCACAATCCCGTTCCTGCCCGAGGGCCAGCTGGCGCACGCCATGACGGTGCTGACCGACGCGGCCACGCTGCTTCCGGACACGCGCAACCTCACGCCGGCCAACCGCATCCTCCTCGCGCTGGGGCGCGTCACGCCCTCGACTGACTACCTCCTAGCCCAGAAACTGCGCCGGCTGCTCATGCAGCACCTCGCCTGGCTGTGGCAGGAGCACCCGGGCATGCTCATCATCACGCCCACCACGGCTTGCGAAGGGCTGCCCATCATGGCGGGTGACGCCGAGCTGCGCTTTGGGGTCAACGACGGCGACCGGACCTTGCAGAGCATGGAGTACGTCTGGCTGGCCAACTTTTGCGGGCTGCCCAGTCTGTCGGTGCCGGCCGGGTTTGTCCAGGGGCGAGGCGGTGATGTGCCTGTTGGCTTGATGGCCACCGCCGAGTGGTGCTCAGAGGATCAGCTCTTGCGGTTTGGGACCGTCGTGGAGGCGGTCGGGGCCGACAGGAGGAGACGGCCGAGGGCGTGGGTGGATGTTCTTGAGCGTGCGAAGGGGTTGATCGAGTAACTCGGAATCTTAGCTGATGGCAAGACTCAGGCCTACAAAATAAAGCTGCGCTTCGCTGACACTGGCTTTTATTTTGATTGGTTCCTTCATGTGTAAGATGGCGGTTACATGCAGAGAATCAGTCACAGTAGAGAAGGACAGGCGCTAAAGATACTTGAGGGTGATGGGCTGAGACTTTCCTGGTGGATTTCCATACCTACCATACCTAGGAATTATAACATAGAGGCTTGGTGTGGCTTGGAGTGTCTGCCTGGAGATCTGGCAGCATAGCTTCCCGCCAACGGTTTCCTGGTTGGTTCCGTTGCCAAAAGATTGGCGTGAATCATGCCGTCAATCCAGCCTGCCTCTGACACGGCTGACCTGGCTCGAGCCTGGTTAGCTTGCCACCACGCATGGAGAAAGTGAAAAAATTAAGAAAACAGCCCCTAGAGACTGGAGATCGGAGTCCATGACACAGCCGAAGCCTCCGAAATGGAACTTCCAAATTCATGCTTGCGGGCCATTATTACCGACCTTGTAAGCGAGTGATTCGTCAGGTTAACGGTTGAAGAGGGGAGTGGTTGCAAATAAGCCAGGAAATCATCCCTGGAAAAATGTTACTTCGAAGCCTGCCACTTTGACCTGAACAGACAGCAACATTAGCCGTCATGAATGCAATGGTAATAAGTCTGCCTGCCTGGCAGGTGCCAACGGGTCATCTGAAATCGCACACAGAAGTTGCGTGAAATTGTTAACGTTAATGTTGGGCTGGAAGCGAAGCGACAAAAAATCCCAGCACAAAGACTCCAACCCCTGACTCTACACGCCCCTTCCATGCACTTTTGCGTATCGCAACGGAAAAAGGAGTCACGGCCCCTGAGGCGTCCAGCACTCCGAGGTGGCTCCTTACATTAGGTTGTTAGCCTAACCGCCGCTAAATTGCGAAAGATCCTAAATGAAGACCATTCTACCCTAATTCAATGTTACGGTACTTGGTAACCTTGCACGTGACGGAGGTCGGTGTTGACTGCTGCGCTAATGCAAAGGAGGGAGATGCGCCTGATCTCGACCCTCAAGCCACAACCCCCCTGTCGCCCACCCAGACGCCCGCTGAATGACCAAGTGGGAGAGGAGAGAGCATCCTTGCAACCCATGCCATGCCTGTAATAGCCCATGCCCGTGCCTCCCAAACTTCCTACTGTACGCCATTTAGGACATTTTGTCCAACGTTATCGCCGTACCCCGGAGCACAGCAACGACGAGGCGGCACGTTAGCGGCACGAGGCCTGTCGCGAGATTTGATCCCGGTGGGAGTTGCTAGCGAAGCGCAACGAAACGAAACGAAACGCTCTCTCTGGCCAGAGCTAGGTGGCATTCGACGGCTTTGAACTCTCCCGCCAGCGATACATGGCACGCTGATAGGAACGCCCACCTCCTCGAACCTCCGATTCACTGTCCGTGATCGCCGGGCCCTCTCCGGGAACGTCGCAACATTGTCCGCCCAACGCCATCATCCAGTGTCCCCTCTCCAGCCGAGGTCTTCCTGCTCTTCGCCCATGGTAGATAGACGACACGTTGCCCGCCGCGCTCGACCCGCCAAAGTAGCAATTCAACGTGGTTCGTCTGGGGATCTAGCTCTCTCAGGGGCCCAACAACAGTGTCCTCGATGATGGTGCGTCATGAGTTCCCAGAGCCCTTGCTTTTGAGGCCCCTGTGCTCGGATCCCGGCTCCAGCTGCACATCCACGTCTGGACCTGAGAGTCCTCGTGCGTCCGGAACTGCGGCAGGCTGTGCATGGAGAAAAAAATATGGGTCCCTGTGGACCACGGATTGGAGTTTGGGCAACCGGCGACTAACACCTCTTCATCTGCAGACCTCGACCCGGCCCCGTGATGTTGGCGGCAGTTTCGCAAGCCGCCGCGGTCACGGCAGCCAACTGTCAATATCAGACCCCAGCCACCACGTCACCGAGGCGATAGGGACAATGTACGGCGAGGACGACGACTCGGGGGCCGAGGACATGAGGCCGCTGAGCTTCATCGCGTCTAAGCCGGAACAGCCGGCCGAGGAGCGTCTGCGGCTGATGCGCACCACATCAGATCAAACGAGCACCTCCATTCACGGCATGGCCCACGTAAACGGCATCAATGGCGGTAGCGGTCTCAAAAAAGCCCAAACGTTTCCTTTAGAGCCAGCCAAGTCTCCCCTTCCCCCACCGTCGCCGACAACTTCGCTTCGAGAAACCCAGGCATCCGCCTCAGCCTCACAATTTCCCTTAACAAACATCGATAATGCAAACGACATAGCCCAGGAATTGAGCAATCTACAAGCTTTACGGCGGATGTCGATGGATGTCGGCAACACTACCGACCCGGACCTTCTTCCTTTTTCAGGCGTGTCACTGATGGCGATTCCCTCAATTGCACCAAAAGGCGACGACGACGAGGCCGACCCTTCGCGATTGCTATGGGTGCCTGCCAGGGTACATCCAGAGCTTGAACCCACTGCCTTCAAAAATTTTCTCGAGAACCGAGTGCAGACGATGAAGCGGCGGTCTGGAGAGTCGTTTCTCTCGGTAGACGGGCTACAGCGGAATAATTCAGGTAGTTTGAGGAGAAAAAAGTCAATGCTTTCACGTCAGGTCAATACCAGCAGCGACGGCGTGGATGAATATGTTGACGGCGCTGAGAAGCTGGGTCGGCAACGGTCTCTAACTGACCACGCAACCCCGGAGCTTAGCCTCGACGAGCTAGTCAACGACCCTACAAAAGCTGTGCAAAAACTGGCACAAGAAACGACTGGGGAGGGTGACAGTCCGATTCTCCCGGTGGCCCCGGGCATGGGTCTCCGGCGTTCGACCAAAACGACTTATAGAAAAGGTGGCAGTCAGCGCTATGGTGAACGTGTACCCTTCTCCAAGCGTGTCACGGGCAGGCAGACCGAGAAGGAAAATACCGAGGAGGTTCCCCCAGTGCCGACATTGGATGCATCAATTGCGAAGCCCTTGATGAGGGTCAACTCGGAGCCGATAACGGAGAACTACTCGCGCCCTACTCGGACGGTAAGACGGCAGCAAAACTTCTCAAGAGAGACTCTTTCTTTGGGAATGGATGAGCAAGCCCAAGATGGCAGCGGCGATAATATTACATCCTCCTCTCCGTCACCGCAGTCACTTCCCGTCAGGTCCTCGTCCACATCGGCAGCACATGGCCCCGCCTCACCAATTCCCCAGATAGTTGAAACGCCGCCTGCCGAGGAAAGCCCACAAGCAGCCCGAGCATTCCCCGAGAGATCATCCTCACAAAAGACGTCACAGCAGGCGTTAACTGAGCAACCTCCTGTGGATGGTCCCCCAGCACGCTCAGCCAAGCGCCCAGGTCCAGGAAAACTGGTTCAGCCGCCAGCATCTGCGCCCAAGGCTAGCCTCAAGGAACGTGGCACACCGAACGAAAACGCCCTCAAGGAGATCAGCCACCCAACCGCGCTGCCTGGAAGCGGTGGCACCACTACTAGCAGTCTAACCATCATTCCTACGTTTGACACGATCGAAAGGAAGTTCGATAAAAGAGGGAAGGAGAAGGATGACAGCGACAGCATCTCGTCTCCGAAGTCAACTTCAAGTTGGAAATGGTTCAAGAGCGATGACAAGGATAAGAAGAAAAAGGAGAAGGAAAAAGAGAAGGAAAGAGAGGAGCAAGCCAGGAAGGCAAAGGGGAAGACGGGCGACAAGAGTCACGACAATGCGCGGCTGGATGTCCTCCAGAGCTCCATCGACAACGTGCCCAAAGGCCGCGAGAGCCTGCGCTTGGACCGTGACAGTATCGAGGTACCCCATGAGGAGCGAAAGAAGGAAACGAATCGGAAGTCAAGCGATAGCAAGAAGGAGAGGGAGGGGTTCTTTGGCGGCTTGTTTGGGGGATCCAAGAAGAAGAGTGATAAGGAGTCGAGTCACAAGAAGAAGGAACACCGGGCTCTCAGTCCCGAACCGCCACCGCGGCAGCTGCGCCCGGATATTGACTACCCCTGGACGAGGTTTCAAATCATAGAGGAACGGGCCATCTACCGCATGGCGCACATCAAGCTCGCCAACCCCCGCCGCTCACTACACAGCCAGGTACTTCTCAGCAACTTCATGTACTCGTACCTTGCCAAGGTCCAGGCTATGCACCCCGGGCTGCAGGTGCCTGCTTCGCCGCAGCAGAAGAGGCAGGAGGAGGAGCGGAAACGACGGGAAGCTGAGCAAGCACAGCTGCAAATGGAGCAAATGGCCCCGCAGGCTGCCCAAGATGGGAGCTTTGATTTTGAGTACCATCGAGTAAGTTTGGCCCATTACCATTCTCTAACCCCTATCCGCTAACTTGTCTCCACAGTCCGGCAACCAATATGGCGATGCTCCAATTCAGCACGACGGCAGTGTTCAGTACATAGACGACGCCCAGATCTTCGAGTACGAGCATGGCGGCGACCCGCAGCAGCACCACGGCGAGAACGGCGGTTACCATGCTCAGGATGGTTATCCCCCAGAGCAGCATGTTCCAATCCAGGGACAGGGGCCCGGGCAGAAGCACGCCCGGCAAGGCAGTGTTGGCGCTGGCCAGGGCAAACCCCAGCAGCAGCAGCAGCAGCAGCAGCAGCAGCAGGCGGGCTACTACTACGGCCGCGGCGACACCAAGCAGTTTGACGATGACGACGAGAACAGCGACATGTGGTAGCACCACTGGAATCCTTGTGTCATAGGATAGTTGACGTCTTCTCTCATTGCGGGGAGTTCATGAAGCAGGTCACTACGGCCTCGCTTCAGGGGCGTCATGGGTGATGGGTGCGAAGAGCGGTAATGCATAATTACCCACCTAAATGGTTTCAAGGTTCACAAAAACATCCCAGTGAAGGCAGAGACAGAGTCCGGCTTTGGCAGAGGACTGGATGAGGTTGGCCGATGGGGGGAGGTCCGATACATACTTATATATAGGGAAATAAGGTCGGCTGCAGCAAGCAGGCAGTCCTGTTGTACTAGCAGTCATGCAAGCATGGATTGAAAGCAAGCAAAGGAAGCAAGCGAGCGCATTCGGGTTAGGGCGTTTCAGGTATCACTCTTCGCTGTCACTGTTACTGTCACGGTCATGGTAGACTTTGTCAAAAGGTTTATTATAGCACCAGGACCAGCACTACGAACATGGATTATCATTGCTGCTACCGCCACTGCCACACGTCTTTGTGCTATCATACGAATTCCGGTGTTACATACATACTTTGGTCAGGATTAGGTATCATTTTGTCGTGAGGCGGCTTCTCTAGGAGTGGACGTTCGTATAACCTGGAAGTCTCTCAGGCGAGGGGCAATGATATCAAATGGGTGAAGCCCGCTGCTTTGAGCAGGACTGAGGGCTCTGTCCTGTGCTTCAGTTTTTACTTCAGCCCAACGCCCTTACATGTCCCTTGAATCGGGTATGACGAGGTTGCTAGATGATGGGTTACATTACCGTGGCTAGCCTCTGCGCCATCTTGTCTGCCCTCTTGTTGCTGGGTAGGTCAAGGCTGTGAAGGACGGCTAAGGGATGTCTGCAGTTTTGACAGGATCTTCCACAGCTGAGGTCATCAGCATGCTGGCTACGTTAAGCTTCTGTGCACATCAGGACGCGCTCATCTTGATGGAGGTCGTTGTACGGCCATGCCAATTTAGGTTTATTGCCCCCAGAAAGCTCTGGGTAGAACTCATCACCCTTTGACACCTGCCCAGGTGATTGAGGCTTTTGATCAAGGTCCGTCAAGGAGGCATCAGCCCAGGGTGTCTTTGGGATTGCTAGGCGTCCTTTCCATTCAGCGTAGGAACCTGGAAGACCTGTGCCTGATCAGTGGAAGGTGCTGTGGACTGCGTTAGCTTAGGTTGTTGTGGAAAGTCCGTCTAGTGAACAGCATCATTCCAGGCAGGCAGGGCACGGATGAGCACAGTTTAGCGCGACCTAACCTAAGGTGCCTTCTCAACCTTGGGCAATGGGAGGAATTAGCACCTCATTGCGTCTTTGTTCAACTCCCACTTTCCAACACCCATTGTGGCCCAGTTTTGGATCTCTTGCATCCCTCAACCAAGTAACCCTTTCCCCCGTTAGACCATCTCTCCCAACGTCTGCACCTGTGAGAGCATTTCGACAAAAGCCATCAAGATTCCGCGGACTCCTCACAGTTCTGAAAGTCAAAGGGAGTGAGGTGCAGGGTGGCCAACCTGGAAAGCACGCCCTGGCTTCCTAGACGCACAAGCTCACGGATACATGTTTGAGACTCCGATTCAACGGTCAGCGAGGGTACCATCTCAATATCCGTCTTGAAATCGTGGGGAGGCGTATCAACATGCGCCGTGGACCGTATGGAGGAGGCTGCGGGGCCTATGGAAGTGGATGGCGCCCTCCTCTCGGTTTGAGTCCTCCTGAAGCTGCTGTAAGTCAACTTTTTCAATGCCATTTCTTTCTGCTGCCTGCAAGTGCCTGCACAGGATCTTCGCGGGGCTGCGACTGCCCGGTGGGTCCGTGTTATTTGACAAAGGCGCTAAACCAAAAACGTCACCCAAACGGGCAACTCCCCTGCCGCGCAACTGGCTGAGCTGCCAGTGCACTTTGAACTCACTTTGGAAGTTTCTCAGCCATTCAGCAGATTCTTGAAGCTCGTGCAAGGGCGACTTTGAAAAACTTCAAATCCGACCGAATCACGAATTATCCCACGGCCCTTCTCCCCTCCGCTCATCAGCAGCGACCCGCTACCTTCTCGATTTTGTTCGCGTCACCTTACCGGGCGCTGTCCCTTTTCTTGATACCCATTCTGTCGCAACCAGCTTATTTGGTTTCTTACCTTCCATTGTTTTTCTCTCTATCGCCTGCGAGCATTGGCCGCCGCGCCTTTGGACATAGAGCCTCTTCTCTGCTGATCCACTGGTCACCTCCACTGCCCTCAGTCGCGTAACCTGTCTACCTGCGGGATGGCATCTGTGAGCTCCCTTTCAACAGCTTCACAATTTCTCCGTTGTTTAGTTTCTGGTTTCAGTACCTCTCCTGCGTTACCGTTGCTCGTTCTCGGTTGAGTCGGACCAGAGCTGCCACACGCGGTTTGATATGAGCTTGACCATGTTCTGCAACTACTTTTCTTGCAACTATATGCTAACACCAACTACGCATTCCAGCAGCCTCGTAATCCCTACAACCAGGGCTACCTGCCCAATGGCGGCGCACCTCACTCCGGCCCCGTTCCTGGGGCTGCCCCTCTGCTGCCGAACCAAGGTCGCATCATCCAGACAGGCCCTATTAGAGTTCTCTGCATTGCCGATGTTCGAGGTATGAGAAATCTGTGTGCCGATTTCCTTGTCTGTCAATAGTTTGCTGATGATGGTCCGACGCAGGCAACCTTCGGTCCCTCAACGAGCTTGCCAAATCCGCCCGCGCCGACTACATCATCCACACTGGCGATTTCGGCTTCTACGACGAGACGTCTCTCGAGCGCATCGCTGAGAAGTAAGTTGGTGTTATATGTACCTCATGGCACTTGCTGACAGTGGCGGCTATTGCAACAGGACCCTGAAGCATGTCGCGCAATACTCTCCGCTGATTTCCGAGGCAACGAAAAAGGCCATTGCGCAAGGGGTTCCCGGCCCTGTCAAGACCCGATTCCCGCCGAGCGAGCTTCCCCTCTCGGAGCTTCCCCTTCTCATCAGCGGCGAGCTGAAGTTGGAGGTCCCGGTGTACACTGTCTGGGGTGCATGCGAAGATGTGCGGGTGCTGGAGAAATTCCGGTCCAAGGAGTACAAGGTTCCCAACCTCTACATCATCGATGAGGCGCAGTCCATGCTGCTCGAAATCGGCGGTGTAAAGCTTCGCCTGCTTGGATTAGGTGGTGCCGTCGTCATGCACAAGCTGTTTGATAACGGTGAGGGGCGGACAACGATTGCCGGTGGCCAGGGAACCATGTGGACGACCCTGTTGCAAATGGGCGAGCTCGTTGACACCGCGAATCGCGTTTACGACCCGACTGAGACTCGCATCTTCATTACACACGCCTCGCCGGCTCGCGAGGGCATTCTGAACCAACTCTCGGTGACTCTCAAGGCAGACTTCTCTATTTCGGCAGGCCTCCACTTCCGATATGGAAGCTCTTACAACGAATTCAGCGTCAACCCTACCCTGGATCACTACCGCGGGAAGCTTGCGGCGTCGAAGGCGTCCTTCAACGATGTGTGGGAAACTGTAAAGGGAGAGGTCGAGCCGGCTATCCAGCAGAACGAGGCCCAGCAAAACCTGCTTAAGAATGCACTCGGAGTTGTTGAGAAGATGCCCACTACTGCTGCTGGCGGCAATCCGTTTGGTGGCGCAGCTGCCGGCCAATCGGCGGCTGCTCTTGGCCAAGTGGATGAGAGCGCTTTCAAGAACATGTGGAACTTTAACCTGGCGGATGCTGCCTTTGGTTGGCTGGTTCTGGAAATCCAGGACGGAAGAATTGGCACAGAGATGCGTGCTCAAGGTTTCAATTTCTCGCACCGCGGCGCAAAGCAACAAACCGGAGTTCCGTCTGTGCCCGTCACCGCTGGCACAAGCCCAGTCGGCACTGTGCCTCCTGCTGCGCCATCCGGAGCTACTCCCGCTCCCGCGGCAAGAGCTCCCCCCGCCCAGCCGGCCAAGTCGGCTTCTACGACACCTGCACCAGCCCAGGCCAAACCTCCCACCCCAGCCCCAGCCCCGGTACCTACCCCTTCGCCCGCGCCTAAGGAGGAGAAATCGTCGGCCAGTAACGGAGCTGGGAACGCGCCCGAGGCGGCTCCATCTCCCGCACCCAGGAATCCCGCGGACAACATCATTGGTCTGTTTGTCATGAATGCGCAGAGCGATGAGCAGGTCCGTGATCTCTTCGCCGATGAGGACAAGGCCAAGATCCTCAAGATCGAGAAGTGGGGCGCGAACAACAAAGTGGCACAATTCAAAACGACAGAAGATCGAGACGGTGCGATGGAGCGTCTTCCTGATGAAGTGAAGAACCGAGCCCCCGGCCAGGAAGACCGCTCAAAGCCGCTGGTGAAGATCTTCCAGCCGCCTGCCCGACAGTTCTCACGTGGCGGCGCTGGTAACTGGGGAAGCAGCCGGGTTGGAAGGGACGGCTCTAGCTCTCAGAGCGGATACCGGAGCGCTGGCGGCGGCGGTGGTGCTAGCGACAGCGAGGGTGCTGGTCGGCGCGGCGGCCGTGGCGGCGGCCGTGGCGGCCGGGGTGGGGAGCGCGGACGGGGGTCACGGGGACAGCGGGGCGGTATGAGGGGCGAGGGCGGAGGAGCCAGCCCGGCTGCGCCCGCGGATTCGTAATGGGATGGCCCTCATACAAGAAACCCAGCAGCGGATGGACAGACTCAAACACACCCTTCGAATTCCTACACGTGCTCACGTCATCACAACCATGGCCCACTTTCTATTGGGCCCACTTCCGATCAGGACTTTCAAACGCGAGCCCAGAAGCGCTTAGACTCCTCCACGAGCGTGCTTTGCTCTGATGATCCGACACCGTCCAACAAACCGCCCGACCGCACCTCTTTTCCAACCTTCGTGATACTTGATCCGGGGCCTGTTATTACTAGGGCCAACTGATCCTCCCCTTTTACCTTTTCTTCTTCCTTCTTCCGGAGAACCGAGGCGATGATGGCGGCTTGGCAGGGGTTTTGGGGGAAAGGGGAATCTGGCTTCTTTGTGCCTTAGCTTTTCTCTCTCAAATTAATTCAGTTCCTCAGGAGACAAGATATGGCGGTTCGGGAAAGAGCCGAAACGATGATATTGGGCTGCTTTGTGACCTAGAGTCGCGCAGGAACTTCTCATGAATGCAAAGGGAAGGACAGGGAACGAGACAGGCACGTACAGACGGCAGGCCGAGTTTCTAGTCAGACGTATTTAGAAATTCGTGTTTCCCAGTGTCTAGTCTCTTCTCTTCCTCTGTCTTGTGTGTATTTCGATGCTTGCTCTTGCTCCGTTGCGGTCCTTTGCTACGGCGGGATGGTTTGCTTAGGGAGTTTCGCTCTCCCAGGCATCACACACAACCCACTATCCCTTTCACTACCTTCCCCAGGCCTTTGCTTCAGCTACCTTACCCTCATTCTCATTGCCGATGCCCACACCGTCATGAGTGGCCAAGATTTTGGCGGACCAAGCGTCTGATGGGGACTGTGGTGACCGGCCATGTGCCCAAAGTGTTTAGTTCATCTGGGTTGGACTGGGGTTGGACTGAGGTTAGGCGGTGGATTCTCAGGTCAGTGCTTCTGCGTGGACTTGTGCTGCAATCTTGTGTGATGGGTGCAATGTGTTACATACTGCTGTGATGAGGTGCCATGTATGAGTGAAGTTGAGGGCACGAGAACAGGGAAAGTAGATGGTACTAGGCCGGCGGCCGGTATGCCCTATCTTTTGCCCAAGCAGGGCATGTCATCCACGTCCCTATCTATTTATCCATGATATACAGGTACAGGTACTAGTACAGACGCCTGGCTATTTACCTACTCTTACACTCCCCCGACGAACCCGTCCATTAGAACCCACCGGCCTCATGCCCGTGGCTTCATGCCCTTATGAATAGCCGCCACCCCGCCGGTGAGGTCCTCGTACCCGTCGCCGGCAACTACAAAACCAGCGTCAACAATCATGTCCCGAAACTCCTCCTGGCTCGGGAACCGCTCGATGCTCTCTACCAGGTACTGATAGCTGTCGCGGTCGGCGGCGACGAGCTGGCCGATGAGCGGGATGGCGCGGAACGACCACTCCTTGTACAGCGCGTTGAACAGCGGATGCTTGTCGGCCTTGCTGAACTCGAGGCAGGCGAACACCCCGCCGGGCTTGAGCACGCGCCGCGCCTCGCGCAGCGCCGCGGGTATGTTGCTGAAGTTGCGGATCCCGAAGGCTACTGTGTATAGGTCTACGCTGTTGGAGGGGATCGATGAGGTTGCCGTGGCCGGGTCGAAGAAGGCATGCTTGGTTGTTGCCTTTTCGGCGTCGCTGAGCGGCTGCAGCGGCCGTGTCCGCGTCAGGTCTTCGGCGTTGGCTTCGACGAAGGAGAGGGCGGCTTGCTGGCTCGCGGGCAGTGCGGAGGCGCGCTGCTTGCCCACTGTGAGCATGGCCCGGTTGATGTCGGACATGGTGACGCGCACAGAGGGGTTGTTGTTGAGCACGTGGGCCGTGTGCAGCATGCGGAAGGCAATGTCGCCCGTCCCGCCGGCTATGTCGAGGATGTGCTGCGATCCGCGGGGGTCGGGGCCCGCGGTGAGCGGAGAGAAGCCTGGGTTGAGAGAGGCGACGAAGTGGTCTCTGTAATGAGATATGGTTAGTTGGGTACTTTGTAATTTCGGCTGAGGTATGGAAACTGAGGATACGCACTTCCACACTCTGTGCCAACCAAACGACATCAGGTCGTTCATGCGGTCGTACGACTCTGCTACGCTGGTGAACACGCCAGCCACGCGCTCCCGCTTTTCACCCTCTGTCACTGTCTCAAAGCCAAAGTGTGTCGGCCTTGACGGGTCGGGAATCGCATATTCGGGGGTGGAGGAAGAAGAGGAAGATGATGAAGAATCCAAGCGTTGAGATGGTAGACTGGTAGAGAATAATCTCGTCAATTGAGATTTGTTCTGGGGATGTACTTGTACAATGGCACTCCGTATTGAAGGGAGTGCCCGTCTGAGAGCGCCTGGAGCTGCTGCCATAGTGAGTCCCTGACAGCACCAAAAGTAGACTCTGAGGAGGTGAGATCTGTAAAGGGTCGCGATCAGCTCATGCTAATGCAAGCAATGTTCAATCTGCATGTGATGAAAATCGGGTCGGCCCGGCAGAGTGTGGCTGCCATGTGTGGCTTGGCCTATGATGTCTTCAGAAGTTCAGCCTTGATTGCGGGGTCATTTTCGCCAAGATCGAAGGGAAGTGGGGTGATTGCTCGATAAGCACCACCTCTCCGAAAGCCCTTTCCTCAATCGTGGATTTTTTGTCTAACATGACGGGAATACGGGGAGCGACTGGCAACTTACGCACCGGGTTGTTAGACTTCGGTGTCCTGTGACGACCCGTGAGCCTGGTAATAGTGTTGTTTGACCCATTTAACCCCAAGAACGGCGAGGATGGCAGTGAGGCTCAAGACAATCAGCACGACGATGACAATCTGGCCTGAATCAGTCATGGTGTCGAGAGCGGTGGCTCACAGCAACTAGATTCAGTGGGGAGTATGAAAGGATTCGCAATTGGCGTTGCTAAGCTTGGAAAGATTGTTTGTGGTCGAGTTCGGTTCTGGAAATTGGCAGTACTGAATAGCTGTTCACGCGTCGCAAACAACATCTGCTCTGGCAACCGGATGGCCCCGGATGGCCGCGTCAACTGGTGCTTCCCCACGTCCCAAGTTTGCAAGACACCCCCAAGTCTCGATTCGACTCAAGTCAAATTCACCGCTCCATCCGCTCGCTATTTAACAAGGCTGTCCCTCCCACCCTCAAAATCGGCTAGGTCGTACTCATCTGGGTATCTCTCTAGCTGACTCTTTAGCTCGCTCATCTGCTTCTTCAGATCCGGTGTCAACTGTTCGTACACGTCCTCAAACATGGTCCGGAGTGGTGGCTTCTTCTCCTTTTCGGCCTCGGAAAACGCCTTGAGAATGTCCCGCCTGATGCTGTCACGCGCTTCCTTCTCCTTATTCTCATCCCAGCAACCCCGGGCCTCCATCCACTTGCGCAGCCTGGCAATCGGATTGTCCCGCCGCTTCCAGTCCTCTACCTCAACCCTCGCTCGGTAGGCAAACGAGTCGTCCGACGTGCTGTGGTGGCTAACCCGGTACGTCATGGCCTCAATCAAAACAGGCTTCCCACCGTCTTGCAATGCTAGCTCGCGCGCCTTCTTGGTCGCTTCGCGGACCGCCCAAAAGTCGTTTCCGTCCACGCGAATGGTCTCGATACCGTAGCCAAGGCCGCGACTAGCGATGCCATCACCACGGTACTGCTCCAGCGTTGGTGTAGAGATCGCATACCCATTGTTGCGGCAGATGAAGATGACCGGGCAAGATCTTGTAGCTGCAATGTTCAAGGCGGCGTGGAAGTCACCTTCGCTAGCCGCGCCTTCGCCAAAGTACACCGCAACCACCCTCGGCGGCACACTGGGGTCTTGCATCCTCTGTATCTTGAGCGCATACGCAGCCCCCGAAGCCTGCGGTAGCTGCGTCGCAAGAGGCGACGAGATGGTATGCTGCCACGAATAGTCAGCTATGCCGTTCATTGAATCAATGCGACAGATCACGCGATAGACCACGTACAATGTTCAATTCCCTGCTGCCGTAGTGCACGGGCATGTTCCTGCCCTTCCCAGGATCCTTGCGATTGGCAAACAACTGGTTCATAAAGTCATTCAGCGTAAACCCTCGCTGTTTAAACACGCCTTGCTCGCGGTACTGGCAAAATATGACGTCCTCTTTAGCCAGCGCCGACGCCGTCGCCACCGACACGGCCTCCTCCCCGGCTGATACCATATAAAAGCTCAGGCGGCCCTGGCGCTGGGCGTCAAACATGATCAGGTCCATGATGGACACGGCGAGCATGTCGCGGTACAACTTGACCACCTCGTCGTCGCTGAGGTCGGGCGAAAAAGAAGGATCCACGACGACACCGTGCTGGTCGACGATGCGATACGTCGGCAGGGCGGGGTACGTCGACGGCTGCTCGAAGCGCATCGTGTTGCTGAAGGCCGACTTGAGCGCGCCGGGGAACATGACGTGCTTCGAGTCGGGCCGCTGCGAGATGGACGAGCCATGTCTGGGGTGCTGGTGTTCTGCTGGGGAGGCTGGGAGAGACACTGGCGGCGTCGCCTGTATTTGTAAGAGGAGTGGTGTCTGTCGCGAGCGCAGGAGCGTCCGATGCGTTCGGGAAAGACACGCTCGCTTCATTGTGTCCCGTTCTGGTGATGTCGCTGCAAGTGTCAGGTTGGTGACCAAGGGATCATGGCTTCAGATCGCCGGCAATTCAAGTTTGGAGGTCCTTGGACATGGAAGGAACTCGAAGTGAAGTCAGCTGGGCCGGGATTGACGTCGATTGTGCCGATACAAGCCGCCATGTTGTCACCGCGGCCTTGGCACTTAAACATTTCAGGGGTAAGTCGCCCAAGGCCCAGGTCGGTGACTCGGCAAGTGCTTGCCCGAGTGAATGTTTCGCAACACGCAGTTGAGCTTCCAAGGGAAGACGAGGCAAGCTCGTCAAAACTCTACTTTTTGCACACAAGAAGCCAGGTTATACTTTTGATCATGATCAACTTCATTGGGCTCGACGGGTACTGTACCCTGTACCCCGCATTTTGTAAACCTGGGTCCATCTCTCGGACATGTTGGCTGACCGCGACGGACGTCGAGACCACTCTTAGAAAATCCGGCAGGCTTATGTCTGGGAGGATACGACACACGTACCTATTTGTTCTAACCGCCAACTTTGGATGCTGACTCGGGGGAGTTCGCTTGGACAGGCCCACGCTCTATGGCTTGGATTTCGTGCCGTAGAACAAGCTCAACTGTCCGTATGCTGGACCTGGAGCACAGGCTGAACCAGATAGAAACCTTAGAAGAGCAGTTTTTGCTATAGTTACGTTTGTAAGTAGGTACCTAGAAAGCTAGGGTATCTAAGTACCTAAGGAAGCAATGGTTGAGAACAGGACGAGCCCTTGGGGTACCCACCATGAGTCTCAGGTTGGCGACTGGTCTTCTACATTATTTACATGATTAGGAACCTATATCGCTCTTATAGTGGGATTCACAGCCAGATCAACATTAGGTACTTTGACTTGCTATATACCGATATCTTCGTGCCGTCCATATCATGACCAAATCCAACAGGGACCCATTCGCAGTAAAGTAATGTAGTTCATAGATAGCTAGGGAGCCTTAAGCGACAAGAAGTCCTAATCCTTCACCATGTCGTCTCCCAGATAGTAGTGTATAGGGGTGGGAAGGAGAGCGGCGAGGGCCATTTCATCCGATGTCGACGCGCCACGGGGTATATGATCCAGTTCCAACGCGGTAATTTCCAAGTTAGACTCACCACGGGGCCGACGTGGTCGAGCGGAATGAGGCGCGCCACTCAACCACCTAACTATGAAATCGTTCTGCACGGTTTCGTAGGCCCGGGAGGTCGGTGGTTCGAACCACTGTCTGGTCTAGATTCAACATCTATTGTCCATCTGTCAGGCGGATTGAACTCTCGATACCTTCCGGGCTGAGCTTTATGCCGGTTTATTCTCCTGGAAATTTTTTATTCATCTTGCCCCCTTAGCAAAGAGTTAGGCTCCAAGGTAAATGGGTTTGTTGACTTTATGTTATAGTGTGTGCTTATTCTAGGTATTGGGTGGTCATATGGTGTTATGTGACAAAGATTCCGAATGTTAGGACGTTTGAAATTGGATTCGTATAATATGATTTTGGACAACGAGATCGATTACAGAGCAAGTAGGTACTCACTCTAGTACACTTTGTTCATTTTGTTGTTGCTGAGTTAACCAGAAGTCCAGAAGACCATGATCTCCGCTAGGTATCATCAACTTTAACAGCCTGAGGACAGCGCCGTCGTACATATTGGACGAAAAATGGTGATGGAACGGAATGGGGTATGTTTTGAATACCAAGCAGGCTGCAGGAGACGCCAATATAACAACGGAGAAAGAAAACAGCAGCGCCGCTTGGAGACAGACCGGGTGTAAGGTAGGCTTGCAATGCGTACATGGTACCTAATACGAATCACTGGATGGACTGTAGATTTAGAGGCTCCTCGCCATTCGCATCCAGTCCGAGTCCTCTTTCAAACGTTCCCAGTTTCAACTTCATATCAAGATAAGCATCAGTGGTTTACTTATCTATTTCCCAGACACAACTCAACCGACGAGCCCGACGATGCCGTGTCTATACCTACTCAGAAGAGGGGTGTGAACCTACCTGCTAATACGTTGACATAGCCATGGTACACATATGGGGAGGTGCGCCTCATATGCCCCTGTCACCAGCTCGACGTCGCCATGTTCAAGTGTCTGATGAATGGGGTGCTGAGTCCGTCACTTCTTCCCTCCCTTCTAAGATCCAAGTTCTACGAGCATGAGTTCATTCTTCAATTGAAGTTCAATACGGGAGACTCAGTCTATTTAAAGCCCACTATTGTGCTTAGCTTGATAATCGGGCATGGCCAAGTCTGATTGTGCTGTTTGACCGCAACAAGTTGTTTGGCTTTAGAGTCGTTAGTCACGCCTTGATGGTTCCGGTATGGCATTTGTATTGTACCACGGGCATAGGTAGATAGGTACGGAGTACAGGTAATTGCCATATACAGGTGGTATAGCAACCAACCCAATAAGTCCAAACTAGGTTCACTGTCATCCTAATCAGGCGAGTGCTGTAGATGTCGCCTTGAGAGATTCTAGACTACTTGGCAAGGTTTGAAACTGAGTGTTCAGAGGAAGCCCTCCCACAAGTCTTCACTGCAAGCATCTCAGGTATACTACTGGGAGTTTGGTGGACCGAAGTGCTTCAGTTACTACTTACCTATTCAAAGCATGAGCAGTCAGGATCTTAGGTCTGGTACTTCATCGCTTGTACTTGACTGGAAGGCTAGCCCCTTGTTCGAGAACCCGATAGCGTTGTCCACAGGCCTCACCAGATGTACGCTGTAGATCTCAGCTCACTTTCAGTTTCTGTACGGATCGTAACTTGATGATATCGGATAAAATCAACAAACTTCCTGGCACCTTGTGACTCCGTATCACCTTGCCTGGTAGGCCACAGGTGACCTGCCATGTCGAGTCTTTGACTCTTTGGCAATCTGCAGATGGTGAGATTGATAACAAGCAGCGTGTGCAACGAACAGAGACCGCCCCATTGACATGGTTTTTTGTGGCAAAAGAGGGTTGAATTGAGTGTAGCTACTTCGATCAGATACTGGAATGGAGTCATGGACTGCTCTCATCGTTACCACTTCCAATACTTTTCATAAATCGGGAAATCGGGAATCGTGAGAGCACGATAAGGATTGACATTAGATAAAGGGGGCTCGGCGCGTTGTGCATTTATCTTCATTGGATGGTCTGTGCACCCAAGCCTGTGCCAACCCCGAAGCCAGTCAGCCAGTGGATTCGCCAGCCTCAGCCGAAGCCGGCACAGGGATCTTAATTGGGAGAGAGCCGCCAACGAGAGCGCACTGACATCAAACCAACGGGTCCCAGGGTGTACAGTCCAACGCACCATCGGCCTCAGCATTTCGAGTCGTCGAAGCATCTCCACCAAGGTCAACCACCTCTGCCTGATCAGGTCCGCCATCCATCCATTCGAGCAGTCTTCCCGCACTGTAGCCGCCATCAGCCACCGCGACGGCGTCCGCAATCGATCCATGAGCGAACATTTTCTCCATCTAGCACGCCATCTTCCATCCGAACCGCCGCCCGCAAGCCGCCTTCCCATGGCGTAATCCATGGCAGAACGACGCTCTGCAAACCTGCGGTCCAGATCGGCTCTCGATAACGATCCAGCGCGCCTGCCTCCGTCATCATCTCCGGCCGCAACTGCCTTCTCTCCACCACCTCACGATTCTCCCAACAAAACAGCCCCTACTGGTACCATTATTGGTAGTGCATCCGACCATCCTCACATTTCCCCTCCTGCAAGGTACGGACGCCCTGCTTCAACTCTTCCCTGGTCCTCTATTTTCCTTTCGCTACTTCCATCTCCCTTTGGTGGCTTGTGCGGGTAGCCCAGAAGAAACCGACACATGCCGTGCACCCAACTTCACTTTGTCGATCCCGTCTCTGCTGCCGACGAGTCCGAGGCCCGCCTCTGCGTGAAACGACGACAAGTGGGAGACGACAAACGAAGAAAAGAAAGCAACCCGCCCCGCTGCTATGGTCTGGTCGATGGCCGTTGATGTGTGATCGAGTTGTTGCACATGAAAGGAAGTCGAGGCCTGGTTCAGGGTGATCGTACTCCACAGGCTTCCTTCACCAGTTCCCGTTGGCAGCCACAAAACCTCCACACAACATCGGACCGCAACCTCCTTCACAACTGCCAGCAAATCTTCTTCAGTTACCCATCGAGCCATCCTTCTCACTTATCCTCCAAACTTTCCATTCTCTTCCACCTATTGCAACGGACCGCATGCCGTGCTCATCTTGATCACAAATATTTACTCATGTCGTCCAGGGTCACCCGCTCGTCCGCCCGTCAAGCAGCGAGCCAAGCAGCCTCATCAATCCCGTCCGCCGCCTCGCTTCCTCCGGCAGCGGCTCCACCGACCACCACCCAAGGCTCGAGCACGCGGAAACGCAGAGCCGCCGATACTAGCCCCGTCCCCGCCGACGCCGGGTCGCCTGCTCCATCTCGCAGGTCCAAAAGACAACGTGTAGATAAGACCCCGCCACAAGCCCAACCTCCTCCGGTGCCAGCTTCTGCTACGGCTTCAGCGGTGCCCCGTAGGAAGCGAAAGGGCCTTGCGACTATGTCGAGCCCAGAGTTCGTTGGATTCAATTACCATCGCTGCCAGACAGGGTCGGATGCTAACAAGTGCTACAGGACGCGCGCAGCTCCTGCCAACCCTTCGGAAAACCCGTCCTCAGCGTCGTCCAGCCGGCGATCCAGCCGAAACAAGAAGCATGGCCAGGGTCGAGGTACGTCACAGCCGCATCACCTGCATTATAACCAGAGACTTGGCTGACCTTGTATCCAAGATGACTCAGCCGTTCCGGCTGCCAGCTCGAGCCGGCGATCGAAACGTGGTGGCAATAGCGATGCTCAAGACCAGGACGTCGTGATGAGTGGTACCGATGAACATGAGAAAGCCTCAGCTCCTCCGCCGCCGCCTCCTCCCGAGGACAGATTCCCGGACGACGACGATAGTGACGACAACGACGACGACGACGACGACGACGAGCCCCTGCACCATTATGACGAAGACGATGATGTGGATCCGTTTAGCGCCTTCGGAGGCCCGGGCGGACCGTCGCATGGTCTTAGCAATACCCTCCGAACTCTGACCGGGATGGTTTCGAGCATGTCTTCGAGGCTTAAGGAGACCCTAAACAGCCTCCGACAGAAGGATGATCCCACGATGCAGCTCATCGCGCTGCAGGAGCTCTCGGAAATCCTGCTGGTGTCTAACGAAGATAACCTCTCTGGCCACTTCTCGCCAGACGCATTTGTCAAGGAGCTGGTGTCACTGATGCAGCCAAACGAGCTGACGGGAGAGGAGAACCCGGAAATCATGCTGTTGGCGTGCCGCTGCCTTGCCAACCTTATGGAAGCTTTACCGGCCAGCACAGCCAACGTCGTCTACGGATCTGCCGTGCCTATTCTGTGCCAGAAACTCCTTGAAATCTCCTTCATCGACCTTGCCGAGCAAGCCCTCAGTACATTGGAGAAGATATCACTCGAGTACCCCGGCAGCATCGTCCGTGAAGGCGGCCTTAATGCGTGTCTCTCCTACTTGGAATTCTTTGCGACCAGCACCCAGCGAGTCGCCGTCACCACGGCCGCCAATTGTTGCCGCAACCTCGACATCGAGAATTTCCCTGTCGTTCGAGATGTCATGCCGATTCTGCTCAACGTTCTGGGGAGTAATGACCAACGAGTTGTTGAACAAGCGTCGCTTTGCGTCACCCGCATTGTCGAGAGCTTCAAGTCGCACCCTCGCAAGCTGGAGGAGCTCGTGAGCGTCGACCTGCTGAAGGCTATTCTCCGCCTTCTCTTGCCGGGCACCACCAATTTAATTGGACCTCATATCCATACCCAATTCCTCAGGGTGCTCGCCTTTATCGCCCACGCAAGCCCTCGTTTGTCGGCCGAGCTCTTCAAGATGAACGTGGTAGAGACCCTGTATCAGATCCTGACAGGCGTCTCCCCCCCGAGCGGCACCGATGATCTCGCCTCCAAGCTTGACAGCGTTCTCATCATGCAGGCCCTGATCCACCGGCCCAGGGAACAGATCATTGAGACGCTGAATTTCATCTGTGAACTCCTGCCGAACCTGCCAAAATCGGCCGATCCCGTGACTGGCCACTTTTTTGACATGGCTTTAGCAGAGCCGATAACCCCATCGTCGCACGGCTCTCGCCGGAAGACTACCAACGAGAAACGTATGGAACTCTTGGAGGGTTGCAAAGATGAAGTTCGGCGCTTTTCCATGATTCTTTTCCCCACTCTTACAGATGCGTACTCGAGTACTGTCAACTTGAATGTCCGCCAAAAGGTCTTGACCGCTCAGCTCAAGATGCTGTCCAACTTGGACGAAGCGATCCTGGTTGATGCTCTGAAACCTGTTCCTTACGCCTCCTTCTTGGCTTCCATTCTTTCTCAGCAAGATCACCCTTCCTTGGTCATGTTTGCCATTCAAGCCACAGAGCTACTGATGAACCGCTTGGGCAATGTGTACCGGTATCAGCTCTACCGAGAGGGTGTCATTGCGGAGATCACCAAGCTGGCGACCCAAGAGCCGGAGCCCGAAGCGAAAATCCCGGATAAGCAACCTACAGAGCCCGCCGGCGGACCAGAAACAGAGGCTGAACAGGAATCTGACAACCGGTCCTCTGCTGAGCCTGCCGAGAGCCACTCTGACGAGGACGGCTCTGGTGCCGAGGACGAAGGAAATGAAGAAAATGAGGACGACGATGACGACCGTTCTCACCGTTCCTGGGATGATGACGACGATAACGAAGACCATGAGGACGATAATGAGGACGACGAGAACCGGGACGATATGTCAGGTTCACCCGTCAGCTCCGAGGGGTCCACAATGTCTATGGTTGGCCCTCCGGGGCGTTTCCCCTCGGACTTGCTGTCCATGAAGACGAGGATTGCACAGGCTGCCAAGAAATTCTTGGAGGTGCACGAGACAGAGAAGGAAGGGAAGGTGATGAAGAAAAAGGCAACCGAGATCCTTGCCAATCTCTCAGCCTTGGCGAACGACATCGAAAACTTCTACCTTCACCGCACCGCGTCGAACCTTGCGCCCCGGAGCGGCGTTGAGCTCTTCAGAGAGCTGGCATCTTACTTCGACTCGGACGTGTTGGAGAGTGTTACCAGCGCCGAGCTGCTTGCCTCTGGTGTAGTCCGTGTTCTCGAGCAGGTCTTCAGTAACCCGGATGACCAACTCGCAGTTGCGGCGCAATCAGCATTTCTCCAGGTTTTTATGGGATATACCGTCAAGTCGAAGCCCAAAACTGCCACAGCCGATTCCCCGGCTACCCCCCTCAGTGTGCTAATTCACAAGCTCCAAGACTTGCTAAGCAGATCTGAGCACTTCGAAGTCATTACCGTACATCATCATTCATTCGATGGCAATCGGAACAGCGCGGCATCCATGCTCGCAAAGCAGATTCGCCTCAGGCTGGTAGCTGATGATGATTCTGGCATTCCTCGGCACTATCGTAACATTATGGTGTCGATCCATGCCATCACAACCTTCAAGTCTTTGGAAGACTACCTGAGGCCGCGAATCAGTCTCTCTGAGCGGCCACGCGGATCTAGAACATCTAGAGAAGCCGTTTCAAGAGCCTTGGCTGCTATGGCCAGCTCAGGGCTCCCGATGAGCGCGGCAGCCGCCAGACTGATGGAGCAAGCGCTGCCGCCGTCCGGCCACTCAAGCACAGGTCCTCCACCGCCGCCGCCTCCTCCCGCTGGCTCTTCCCAGCCGTCTAGCTCACGGTCAACGCGGAGGTCGAAGTCCAAATCGCAGCCTCGAAGTGAGCCTCCTGCTACGCCTGAAGCCCCTTCGAGGGATAAAACTGCGTTACGCCGGTCTACACGCCGGCAAACAGCGTCGGAGGACGCGCCGTCTCGCCCGCCTCCCGACGATGATGACGACCTTGAGGACGCACTCGAATGCGCGGATGAGAAGCCAATATCAGATAACGAGGAGGCTGGCGAAGATAGCGCCCTCGACATGGTGCGCAGTTTGGACGAGTCTATGACCGACACGCCGACACCAGATCCCTCTGCAGTGAATTTGGAGGTTGCAGCCGGAGGCAGGATCACGGCACGCAAAGAGGACGGAACCCGCGTGCCGACGCCATCCCAGAGCCGCCCGGCAACTTCGCTCCCTAGTCGATCTAGCGCATTAACCGCCGCATTGCAAGGATCGCCGACACCCTCTACGTCATCGCGGCCGCAAATGTCTTACGCTGCAGCCATTCAATCTGTGCCGCAAGATTGGCACATTGAGTTCAGCATTGATGGTAAGGTCATTCCAAACGAAACGACCATTTATCGGGCTGTCCACAATTCCGTGATGACGGGTGATGATCATTTTAGCCGGAACATCTGGTCGGCCGTGCATACTGTTAAGTTTTGGCGTGCGGCTGGTCCTCCTCCCCCCGAGTCCACTGTAGCGTTTGGCAGTACGACAGAAGCGGGACTCGAGGCTGAAGATGGTGGTGCTCCCGGATCCCTGTCCAAGTTTCCCACTACGGCATCTATTCTTCGCCTGCTCAAGAAGCTGCACGATCTCAACGCAAATATTGACGATGTTCTTGTTGAGAACAAAGAGACTCTCAAGGTCAACGTTGAGCCGCTGTCACAATTCGTCAACACCAAGCTCACTGCCAAGCTGAACCGGCAGTTGGAGGAGCCGTTGATTGTGGCAAGCAACTGCCTCCCGAGCTGGAGCGAGGATTTGGCAAGGCTGTACCCGTTCCTGTTCCCCTTTGAGACGCGCCATCTCTTCTTGCAATCCACGTCGTTTGGCTATGCCAGATCTATGAGCCGCTGGCAGAATGCCCAGTCCCAGGAGGAGGCTCGGAGAGACCGCCGGGACGAGAGGCCGTTCCTTGGCCGTCTACAACGGCAGAAGGTTCGCATCGCCCGTGCCAAGATTCTCGAATCAGCCATTAAGGTGATGGAACTCTACGGCGCCTCGCAGAGCATCCTCGAAGTCGAGTACTTTGACGAGGTTGGTACCGGGTTGGGCCCTACGCTCGAGTTCTACTCGACCGTTTCCAAGGAGTTCTGCAAGAAAAAATTGCGACTCTGGCGTGACAACGATCCCAATGGGGACGGCGAGTTTATCTCTGGGCCCAATGGGCTGTTTCCCCGGCCCCTCAGTGAGGAGTTTGCGAAATCGGAGGAAGGCGAAAAGATCCTTCAGCTTTTCAAGATGCTAGGCAAGTTTGTCGCGCGGTCGATGATCGACTCTCGCATCATTGATCTCAATTTCAACCCGATATTCTTCCGCATAGGCAACGAGTCCGCCGCTGTGCGCCCGTCCCTCGGAGCAGTTAGGTCGGTTGACCCTGTCGTGGCGAGGTCGTTGATGACCATCAAGAAGTTTGCCCTGGCGAAGAAAGAGATCGACGAGGACCCGAACCGCAGCCCAGCGCAGAAGGTGGTCGATACGGCCAACATCGTGGTCGACAAGATTTCGATTGACGATCTGTATCTCGACTTCACCTTGCCTGGCTACCCAGAGATTGAGCTGGTCCCCAACGGGTCCCAGATCAGGCTGACCATCGACAATGTTGATCTCTACTTGGAAAGGGTTATTGATATGACTCTGGGGAGCGGCGTTCGGCGACAAGTGGACGCGTTCCGGGCCGGCTTCTCTCAAGTGTTCCCCTACTCGGCATTGAGCGCCTTCACGCCGGATGAGCTCTGCACGCTCTTTGGGCGAGTGGAGGAGGATTGGTCTCTAGAGAGTAAGCAACTCTTCGTCTTTATATTTCTTGTGCGTGCTGCTAACAGTCTTATAGCACTCATGGACTCGATCAAGGCCGATCACGGGTATAACATGGACAGCAAGAGTGTCAAGAATTTGTTGCAGACCATGAGCGAGCTCACTCCGAGCCAGCGACGCGACTTCTTGCAGTTTACAACGGGAAGCCCGAAGCTTCCTATTGGTGGTATGTTTTCTTCCCTTGCGGCAAGCTAGTTGATGGATAACGACTAATGCGACCAAAATAGGATTCAAAAGCCTCACGCCCATGTTCACGGTGGTGTGCAAGCCTAGCGAGGCACCTTACACGTCGGACGATTACCTCCCCAGCGTCATGACCTGTGTCAACTACCTCAAGTTGCCTGATTACTCCAGCATTGATATCTTGAAGCAGCGGCTCTTCACTGCCATCAAGGAAGGCCAAGGAGCGTTCCACTTGTCTTGAGGCGAGAGCTAGAGTGGGCTATGGTTGTAGGTTCATGTACTTGTTGCGATTGGCTTGCGTCCGTATCCAGTCTCACCCTTGACAAGGATGGATAGCACGGACGGCGCGGTGGTGATTCGAGGAATCTTTACGCCGGGGAAAAGTTCAGGGTGCATGATCGATGATTTCTGGTCCCTGCTTTGCTTTGAGGTGGAGGAAATGGGGAAGATCGATGGGAAGGAGCCTGATGATGAGTCCTGCAACCCCGAGGGATCTGTGGAGAAAGAGAATGTCCGGGTTTTGTTTTGGTACCATGACACTGCTACCCATTTTCCTCATCATTACTAGACTGGCAACTGGAGTGGTTAGACTGAGCGGACGGGTTCTGGGGGATGTCAGTGTTCTATGTTGTCAGCTTTCAGCGATGGCGGGAGCCTGGTGGTCCGATTCGGACTGGCAAGAGCGTATATATTTATCCCGCTGCGTTCAGTTCTGCTTTTCGATGTTTATTTCTCTTGTCCTACTTTGCGGTAATGCTCGGATGGGCAGATTGCGGTTGCCAAAAGTCTGCTGCTGTTGGCTTTGCTTGTAGTTACCTAGGCAGGTTCATAGGTGCATTTGAAGGGTTCCAGTCCTAGGACGACCGATAATCGCACTCACTCGGATTGTAAGTTAGATTCTGAGTCGAAAGTTGAACTGATTCTTTGAATTGTTCCCGTTATATATACGTTGTTTTGTTGCTAGAGTCGAGTGAATCGGCACATTTCATCATAATGGGATTATATGGAGGTGTATGGAGGTACGAAGTACAGTACCTTGTTCTAGTCCACCGCGTTGGACTCGATTCACTCGAAGCTTTGTCGCCGACTCACCCTGTCACCGTACAACATGGTCCGTGCGCCGCTGTGGAACACAGAGTCAGAGACCCACACCAGACTTTGCCCATCTTCCACCCCACCATTGATAAAAGGTAGCTTCGTCATTTCAAAACCGAGTCACTCAACTCCCAACCGATTTGCCTTCACCCTATTCTAAAATGTACTTACACATCCGTGAGCTATGTATCTGATTAGCAGCAAGCTGTTGCAGCATTTTTGGCAATATTCTGTCCGTCCCCTTCAGCTACACAAAGGCAGGAGAAGGGGATGAGTGCGCTTATCGACGACCCCGCCAATGCCAGCGGCGACTGTGCTGAGCAGAATCGCAAGAAGCTTCTTGTCCGTCACCGTTGTTTTCTATGTTAGGTTCATTGTGATGTTTTTGATCACAGGAGAGCGAAGGTGCAGCCTACTGATGCGCTCGATCTAGGACGAGTTTGGATCCGTCCTTGAAGAGTCTCTTATCATTTCAATTACCGACGAGCGGGATGTTGTGAAGGAGTACGATGAGATCAGGCATGTCTTGAGTCAACTGGCAGAGACTGCCCGTGCCGAAGCCGCAACCGGCTTTGACCCGTCGGGCCTTGGCTGCTTTGCAGACGTTGACGTTGACGTCGAAGCGCTGCGCATTGACGGAACAACGGGCAGCGGCACCGGCCTCTCCGGGGATTCGCTCGCCGAATATGCCACCACTGTCTCCGACCTGTCGGACCATTCCGACCAATCGGCATTTACCGGCCAGCCAGGCATGAGCGATGCCAATAAGGTGCAGGGACTGAAGCTTATCTTTCAGGACCGATTCAAGGACCACACTCTTCAGTTTGTGCTGAAGGAGAATGGCGGCAACGTGGAGCGTGCATTTGACGAATTGCTCACACGGGATGTCCTTGAGAAGGAGGGGTCGCTGCCAAAAGGCATTGATGGATTTCTCGAGCCGGATCGAGAGGGTCGATCTCGTAAAGGAAAAGCCGGCCGTACCAAGAAGCAGAATCCCAAAGGCCAGAAACTCACCATCAACTACAAGGCTGTCTCGCCGGCCATCAACGATGAAGAGCTCGAAGGAGCAAAGGACTTTGTCCAATCACCCCGCGCAAAGCGCTCTCCGGTGATGCTTTCACCTTTGACCCCAAAGCTTACCACACTCTCCCCACCACCAGCAGCAGCAGCGGCGGCGGCCTCGCCATCACCGACACTGACCGACTTCAACGCCGCTCACCTGCGCGCGGCGGCCGCCTCTCTCAGACGGATGGGCCCTCTGGGACGGCAAGGCGCGGCCGTGTACGCGGAGCGGGCGCGGGAGGAGACGCGGGCGCTGGCGGCGCGGGCGTCGCTCGAGGCCGAGGCGCGCGTCGCCCGCCAGAGCAGCGACTCGAGCGTCGACCTGCACGGCGTGTTTGTGCTGGACGGGGTGCGCATCGCCAAGGAGCGCGTCTGGGCCTGGTGGCATGGTCTTGGAGGCGAGGGCAGCAGCAGGGCGGCGGCGGCTAAGAAGAAGGGGTTTACGATTGTGACTGGTGTTGGAAAGCATAGCGTCAATGGTGTCTCGCGTCTGCGCCAGGCTGTTGGTGCGTACCTGAGGAATGATGGGTGGAAGGTGGAGACGTTGACGGGGAGTTTTTATGTTACGGGGAGGGTGTGAAGGGGTGGAGGTTTACGAAGTATTTGGGTTAGTTGTATACCTGCCGGTTTGTGTGAGGGAATTAGTGGTGGGAATGTTGGACATGTGTTGGACGCCAAGCTGATGGGATGATGTTATGGACTGGTTGATTGCGAGATACCCGATCGCGGTGTTTAGATGGTGTTTGGATTGAGGCCATATATCGATAGAGAGGCAGTCATGGCCCCTGAACAAGGAGTCATATTGTCGAGGTGTTTGAGTTTCTGGTCTAGTACTCCGTGCAGTGGATATTACAGTTATATAGAGTATGAGGGCGTCAATTCATTTTGACCTGCTTGTGCTTACCATCAATGCATCTGTCAAGTTCAGCGTCACATATGAAGTAGTTACCTAAGTAAGTAGCAGATTTCTCGGTCTTCTGGTAGGTTTTTATTCCTTAGGAAGTTCGCTGTACACTTAAGTATGCACAAATTCGGTGTCTCAACCTAACCCCTATGACCTCAGTACCTACCTGAGATATTGGTGTAACCCCAGCCGCCGGCGGGTCCTGCAGGCCAAAGCTCCCCTGCTTTGCCCCGGACAGAGCGGCCAATCAGCGCTTGCTCACCACCTGGCGTTACACATGACGCATGACAGCGTGATGGATGGCCAGTGACCTGTTTTGGGCCCGGGGCTCTTTCCGCCTAACATCCAGTCTCCAGCCACCGAACACCATCATCAAGGGGAAATCGCATTTATCGCAGTTGCCAGAGACAACAACAGTCCTTTGCTTGAAAACCTGGTCACCTAATCGGATTCATCTGTCGGTCGCGCGCCGCTGAGCGGCTTGATTACCGACGATGAAGAAGCTGGCCGAGCTCTGCACATCGGGCGGGCTCCTGCTGTCGACGCTCACGACTGCCGCCGCAAACGTTTACACGCCCAAGCACGAGGCCGGCCGCTGCGCCATCCGGGGCCAATGCGGATCCAGAAATATCTTCAGCCCCAAGCTGCCCTGCGTCGATAATGGGCCAGCCGAGGAACCCGACGATAAGCTGCGGCAGCAGTTGACAGATCTCTGTGGCCCGAAATGGAGCACGGGACCCGTCTGCTGCGACTCCGAACAGGTCGACGCCCTCAAGTCAAACCTGCAGACGGCGAACCAGATAATATCGTCCTGTCCCGCGTGCAAGGAGAACTTCTTCAACATGTTCTGCACCTTCACCTGTTCTCCCGACCAGTCGCTCTTCATCAACGTGACCGAGACGATGGAGAAGGACGGCAAGACGATGGTGACTGAGCTAGACCAGCTTATATCAAAAGAGTACGGAGAAGGGTTCTATAATAGCTGCAAGGACGTCAAGTTTGGGCCGACAAACTCGAGGGCGATGGACCTGATTGGCGGTGGCGCAAAGAACTACACGCAGTTGCTCGAGTTCCTTGGCAAGAAGCGATTCGGAGGTTCTCCCTTCCAGATCAACTTTCCTACGAGCTACACCGAGCCGGGCATGAAGCCGCTGCCGATGACTCCCAAGAAATGTAACGACGATGACCCGAACTTCCGCTGCGCCTGCATCGATTGCCCGGAAGTTTGCCCGAAGCTCCCAGATATCGAGGAGGCCGGGTCGTGCCACATCGGAGCTTTGCCCTGTCTGTCATTCGCATCGATTCTGACATACTGCTCGATGTTGTTTTTGTCTGCTGCTGCCGTGGTGGGGCACATCGCGTGGAGGAGACACGCCCGGCGTAGGAGCGAGAGGCTGAGGCTGCTCACGGATGCCGCCCCCAGTGATGACGAAGACGAGGGCGACCTCACCGAAAATGGTGCCATGTTTGACCGTCCGCAGAACACATACATCATCAATACCTGGTGCGATACCGCCTTCGCAAGGCTGGGGCACATGGCGGCTCGATTCCCGGCCCTAACCATCGCCACCAGCTTCCTAGTGGTGCTCATCCTGAGTATCGGCTGGTTCCATTTTGAGCTCGAGAAGGACCCGGCCCGCTTGTGGGTAAGCCCGAGCTCACCGGCGGCGGAGGAGAAGGCCTTCTTTGACTCCAACTTTGGGCCCTTTTATCGAACAGAAAAGGTGTTTTTGGTCAACGATCTCAACGCCACGGGACCCGGACCCGTGCTGGACTACGACACCCTTATCTGGTGGATGGGAGTGGAACAGGGCATTCGCCAGGTCAGAGGAAGCAAATTCGGCAGCACGCTGCAGGATCTCTGTCTCAAGCCCACGGGCGATGCTTGTGTTGTGCAGTCGGTCTCCGCCTATTTCCAGGATGACCCGGACATGGTTGAGCGAAACGGCTGGAAAGCTAGGCTGCGGGAATGTGCTGACACGCCCGTCAATTGCCGCCCCGAATACGGCCAGCCTCTAGAACCCATCATGATTCTTGGCGGCTACCCCGAAGGTGGCGATCCCGCTCAGGCATCGGCGATGACCGTCACTTGGGTTCTGAACAACTATCCGGAGGGATCCCCCGAGGCAGACCGTGCCATGGACTGGGAAGAAGCTCTCAAGAATCGCCTGCTGTCGCTGCAAGACGAGGCAAGAGGACGGAACCTCAGGCTTTCCTTCTCAACCGAGATAAGCCTGGAGCAGGAGCTCAACAAGTCCACCAATACGGATGCGAAGATCATCGTCATCAGTTATATTGTCATGTTTTTACACGCGTCCATTGCACTGGGCTCAACCACGCTATCGTTCCGAGATATCCTGCGCAACCCCGCCATATCACTGGTCCAGTCCAAGTTCTCACTTGGTGTTGTCGGCATTGCCATTGTGCTCATGTCCATCTCGGCATCTATCGGCCTGTTCTCGTGGACCGGCCTCAAGGCCACGCTGATCATCGTCGACGTCATTCCGTTTATTATCTTGGCTGTCGGCGTTGACAACATCTTCCTCATCGTTCACGAGTTTGAGAGGGTGAACGTCAGCCATCCGGACGACATGGTTGAGGTTAGGATTTCAAGGGCTCTTGGCCGAATGGGCCCGTCAATTCTCTTTTCGGCTATTACCGAGACCATCTGCTTCGCGCTTGGCGCTTTCGTCGGCATGCCGGCTGTCCGCAATTTCGCCGTATACGCTGCCGGGGCCGTGCTCATCAACGCCATTCTTCAGGTCACCATGTTCGTCTCGATTCTCACACTCAACCAGATCAGAGTCGAAGATTGCCGAGCAGACTGCTTCCCGTGTATTCAAGTCAAGTCCGCGAGGGTATATTTGAACGGCAACAGCGGGAACGGCGCCCGATACTACGAGGAGCCCACCGAGAACTTTCTGCCGCGATTCATACGCAAGACTTATGCTCCAAGACTTCTGGGGAAAAAGACCAAGGCTGCCATTATCACGCTCTTCCTTGGTATCTTTGCAGCTGCCGTGGCGCTACTGCCCGAGGTTGAGCTTGGCCTGGACCAGCGCGTCGCCATTCCCGACGATTCGTACCTGATTCCCTACTTCAACGATCTCTACGACTACTTCCAGGCCGGACCGCCTGTATACTTTGTCACACGCGAGTTTAATGCCACCGAACGGGCACAGCAACAAAAGATTTGCTCTCGTTTCACAACATGCCAGCAGCTATCCCTCACCAACATTCTCGAGCAGGAGCGGAAGCGGGAAGACGTGTCATACATCTCTTCTCCGACAGCCGGCTGGTTCGATGACTTCTTCCAGTGGCTCAACCCCGAGAACGAAAAGTGCTGCGTCGAGGGACGCCGGCCTTGCTTTGCCAGGCGAGAGCCCCCTTGGAACATCACGTTGGCCGGCATGCCCGAGGGCGACGAGTTTGTCCATTACCTTAACAAATTCCTTACTGCCCCTACCAACGAAGACTGCCCCTTGGCGGGACGGGCGTCATACGGGTCCGCCGTGGTTGTTGACTCGGAGCGAGACACCATCCTGGCGAGCCACTTCCGCACCAACCATCGGCCCCTCCGCAGCCAAGATGACTTTATCAAAGCCTATGCCTCTGCGCGCCGCATCGCCAACGACGTCAGCGTCAGCACCGGCCTGGACGTCTTCCCCTACAGCGTCTTTTACATCTTTTTCGACCAATATTCTACCATTGTCTCCCTCACCGCAACGCTGCTCGGCTCGGCGATAGGGATCGTCTTTATAGTATCTACCGTCCTGCTCGGTTCTTTGCTCACCGCTGCGGTGGTCACGGTCACTGTCATCATGGCCGTCGTGGACATTATCGGCGCCATGGCCGTCATGGGCGTCAGCCTCAACGCCGTCTCTCTGGTCAACCTCATCATATGTGTCGGTATTGCCGTCGAATTTTGCGCGCATATTGCCCGCGCCTTCATGTTCCCCTCGCGCACCTTTATGGAGAGGGCTAAGAATCGCTTCCGTGGCCGCGACGCGCGCGCATGGACGGCCCTGGCCAATGTGGGCGGCAGCGTCTTCTCGGGCATCACCGTGACCAAGATGCTTGGTGTGAGCGTGCTGGCGTTTACCAAGAGCAAGATCTTTGAGATTTACTACTTCCGAGTGTGGGTTGCGCTCGTCGTGTTTGCGGCCACGCACGCGCTCGTGTTTTTGCCCGTGGCGCTGTCGCTGTTTGGTGGCGAGGGTTACATTGACCCCGAGAGCGAGGGCGGCCTCGAGGAGGACCTCGCCAGTCGCAGGTACCGCGCGCTCATGCCCGACGGAGATAGCGATTCTGAGGACGAGGACTAGAGGCCCCGTGGAGAATCACGGAGGGATTCTACCTGGTGGGGGAGCTCAGGCCCCCAGGTGATTGTCCAGACTTGGTCTGCTGCCGAGCCCGGTCGTAGAATAACCCCGTCAGGGGTGGTTCTGTCGCCTATCTTGGAAGAGAGCAGTCGTGCTAGCTCTTTGCTTCCTGAGGAACATGGGCGAGGCGAGGGGAAGCGCAAAGCTGTTACGGATAACGAGCTATGATTTGTTAAGTTTGTCCTGGCGTCCTACTTGTGAAGGAAGTAGCGCATAGAATTCGTTTGTTTGCGTGCTGGGAGAATAGCTCTATCGGTAGGGAGAGGGGACAGGATGGAACGGAACAGCATCTACTAACTTGTACCTTATGCGCTTGAGTTACCTTACTGTGTTCATCACGGATGGAACGGAACAGCATCTGCTAACATGTACCTTACAGGCTTGAGTTACCTTACTGTGTTCACCACGGATGGAACGGAACGGATGGGAGTATTGGTTAGACATTTTTATTTGGACGATAGAGGACCCTGTCTCACGATGAAGAAACGGGCCAAGTTTGTCTCTGCCGGACGAAGAAGTGCAACCAAGTTCCAGTTGTGTACAATACCTACCTTACCATACCTTATTCTCTTCCTGCCATCATGCTCGATAGATCGGCGGAGTGCGCTGTATGGTACCTGCCTCGTGTTCCCGTGTCTGCCTCCATGCTTGCTGTCGTGGAAACCTCCTGCCTGGAAAAGGGGATGCCAGGGAAGGAGGGTCCCACTCAACGGATTACATAAGCGACTTGGCTTGTGTTGGTGATTCGACTCGCGCTCGCCTTTCACAAGAAGCCCAAAAACCATCTGCCGAAGACTTCCAAGAAATTCGAAACCTCAGCATTGCAGCACGACTAGCTCCACGCGCAAACCGTCCCTCGGCATATGCTACTAAGGAGATGCCCCTTGAACGGATGCGTAGAAGGCTTTTTTTTTGATCGCCTTTTCGAGCATTGCTGCGCTTCGCTGTTCACTTTGGCCCAAGTGCGTGACCAGTGGCGTTTTTTTATCATCTTCAAGCTCCAGTCATGTCTTGTGGTTATGAACTATGAACAGCAGCTCCAATCTATCTCGTTGGGTCTATGCCAAGCTGTGGTTTGATCTTGGCCCAGATTTCATATCTTCTTTCGCGCCTTTGACTCATGGCCGGCAAAGTACGACGATTAGGATCCGTCTGTTTTTCATTCTGCCTACTGGCAATTCCGGGAACAAAACACATGCATCACATCACCGCTGCGCTGCGGCTCCGTGCTATCAACGTCGGGCGCAGGACTATACAGTTGTCCGGGCATGCTTCCCGGTGACCGGTGCCGATGTTACCTCGCCCCTGTCCGTTCTTTCCCTGATCATCGACAACATGACTTTACGTCGGCATACCGCTCGGGACTCGGGACCAGGGATCGTCAAACCGCAGCAGGTCTGAAATCCAGTGACTCGTCCTGCTGCTGATCACCAAGTACCAGGGGAATGGTAAATGCTGCCATTTCTAAACACATTTGAGCCACACTCTCACTCCACCTTCAAGATCCCATGGTACAATACAGATACAGATACAACAGCCACCTCTAAAGTCACCGCACCTCACTGCGAGTGCCCCCCGGTAGGATTACCAGCTGACATCGTTTTCAGGTTGTTGGGTAGAATTGGCGGGTATAATGCCACCACCAGGCAATGCCAAGAAGACGGGAAGTCCATGTGGAGCATTGAAGAAGTTTCGGCCTCTATTCTGCGCGCAAGTTTCGTACTCTGGTCGCCGTGATCCTGCCTGCCAAGGCCAGCGCAAGCTCGTGGCCAGCTGTGCGGTTATCCGGACACTGGTTGCAATTTGGCTGGACGATTGGATCTGACATCTGCCGATGGATATTGGGGGTGGCCACCACATCGCCTCCCCCTCAGTCTGCGCTCCACGCGCCCCACCACAATGGGCACCCGGCAATAGAGTTCCAATGGAGAGCACCGCCCAATACCTGGGGAAACTGCGCTGCGCAGTCCTGTAACCTCCTGTGACCCACCAGGCAATGACGTGAGCCTTCTTCCTCGCTCACCTTTCGCGTGGCGCGGGGACCAGACGTCCCGGTTAGTCACACCTCAAGCAGTTCGAGAGCTTACCGAGGCCGTGCCAGATTCCGAAAACCGTTGTGATGACATGCGGCCGGCTGTACAATACCATTTCAAGTCTCTACGAGTGCTGAGCTGCCACAAACCCCCTCTTTCGTCATGAGGCGAGCTTGTTTCCCCCGACTCTCGGGATATCTCATACTCTGTATGCTATTCCGGCTGGGCATGTTGGCAGTACGAGGGGTGTAACGGCCAGCTGCTAGTGGCTTATGTCCGAGTTGCACTAGCCCGTTTGCAATATCTTCCCGCCATGTGGGATGCCGGGGATCGCCCCGCGGAGGACCGCCAGCCAGGGACTGTAGCACACTGCCCGTCAACATGGGGGACCGAGATAGATTAGTCCCCAGCGGACCGAGCTCGTGCTGCCTCGCTCCCGGCTCGCTATTTGACGCCTGACCCCAACCTGGTCCCAATGCTGTCTCGGCACCTGTGGTGACCCGCTCAAGGGGGTTTCCCCTTATACATAATAACAGCCTCGCATACACTCCCTCGTGCCCCGACTGTAGACTACTAGAATACCACACACACCCTTTCCTTTCAACACTCGGAACTCGGAGGCGGCTGGCCTAAGCCTTTTCAACAAGGAAAGCGTTGCGGATCATCCGACAGCTAGCTGGGCACAATGATTACAGATCAGATAATACAGCTGCTGGGACAACACTGGCTGGCCGTGGTACTCGTTGTCATCCTTGCGTGGCTCGTGAGGAACAGGTACCACAATGGGTTGAACAAGTATCCAGGACCCTTCTTGGCGTCCTTGACAGACTGGTGGAGGTTCTTCGACGTGTATAAGCGTCGGCCCGAATTATCACACATTGCGCTTCACAAGAAGTACGGACCTGTTGTCCGGCTGGGGCCGAACACGCTATCGTTTTCAGACCCCGACGCTCTGAAGACCATTTACGGGCTCAACAAGGGGTTTATCAAGGTGCGTTTGGGTGTGTCCGGATTTGGAAGATCATACTGAACCTATCCTCCAGTCCGACTTCTACGTGGTCCAACAGTCTGTGGTGAAGGGGCACGCCCTTCCGTCGCTGTTTAGCACTACAGACAATGACTTCCATATGCAATTTCGGCGCTGCGTCAACTCGGCTTTTGCAATGTCGGCGCTGGTGCAATACGAGCCGTTTGTCGACAACACGACCAAGCTGTTCCTGAAGCAGACCGAGCGGCTCTACGTCGACAAGTCCAGCGCGTGCGACTTCACCCGGTGGTTGCAGTTTTATGCGTTTGACGTCATTGGCGAGATCACGTACAGCAAGCGGCACGGGTTCATCGAGAGGAACGAGGACGTCGATGGCATTGTGGCGTATCTGACAAAGCTGTTCCTCTATGTTGCGCCGGTATGCTAGACCCTTTCTTTTCTTATCACTCGCCGTCTCGACAAGCTAACCCCTCTAGATTGGCCAAATTCCCATCCTCGACCGCTTCTTCTTGAAAAATCCCATCTACCTCAAACTCTCCGAATGGGGCTTCCTGGACGCCACCTTCCCGGTCGCCAAATTTGCACGCGCCCGCATGGCCGAGCGCTTGCCCGAGCTCGACGACAAGAATCTCACGGCCACGGAGAAGCGAGAGAAGGAAAAGGAACCCCTCCTCCCGATGTCTGAGAAGCCCCCTGTCAAATCGCCGGACCTGCTCTCCAAGTTCCTCGCCGCGCGCGAGGCCCGCCCAGAGTTCATGACGGACACGCTTGTGCAGACCATGGCCGTGTCGATGGCCTTTGCGGGCTCCGAGACAACAGCCATCTCTTTGTCGGCCGTCTTTTACTACCTGCTCAAGAACCCGCGCACGCTGGAGCGCCTGCGGCAGGAGATTGACGAGGCGGCGCGCGAGGGCCGCTTCAGCGACTACGAGACGGGCCTCGTCACCTGGCACGAGAGCCAGACGCTGCCCTACCTCGACGCCTGCGTCAAGGAGGCCTTCCGGCTGCACCCGGCGCCGGGCCTGCCCATGGAGCGCATCGTCCCCAAGGGCGGGCTGGACATCGCCGGGCGGTACGTCAAGGGTGGCACAATTGTTGGCGTGTCGGCATGGGTTGTCCACAGGGATGAGAAGATCTTTGGGGAGAAGGTGGATGAATTTAGGCCGGAGAGGTGGCTTACTGGTGGCGAGGAGGTCAAGGCTATGAATGGCACTATGCTCCAGTTTGGCATGGGCAGCAGGACGTGCATTGGGAAGAATATCAGTCTGCTGGAGATTTATAAGTTGGTGCCTACCATGTTGAGGCGGTTTGAGGTATGTCTTGTCTTGGCTTTTATTCTCAATTCTATGGTACAATACTGACAAAAACCGGATGCAGATTGAGTTCGATGACCCTAACTCGGAGTGGGAGATTGTCAATGCTTGGTTTGTCAAACAGCATAACTTTGTGACGAGGTTTAAGCTGAGGGAGCTTGTTATGCCCGAGAAGAAGGTTGAGGCTGGGTGAATGTATTATGTATGGCATCCTAAGGTACTCGCAGGTCGGATTGCATTGCATTTGGGGGGTTGGCCTGGCTTAGATGGTTGAGGGAGGGTTATTCACAAAGCAATTTGAATTGTGTTCTGTTCAATCAGTTAACTGTGACTGTAGGTAAGGCAGGTAGACTATGAGGACGACTTGCGGTGCCGATCGCTTGTCGAAATTGGTATCAAGTATTCCATCTGCCAGATTGTGTTCAGAATAGTCTTCGTCTGCAAACAAATCACCAACAGGGTTCAAACAATATCATGCTCCTTGGGCTGGACAAGTCTATAGCGAAGCGTAGCCTGTGCCTCGATATTCAAAGATCTAGAAACAAAGTGTGTCTAGCCTGTTTTCAAGGGGTTTGTTCTCTAGTCTCCTAGACTCTTGTGAACACTCCACTACAATGGAATATATTTGCTTTGTTCATCCTCGACAGAGGAATACAAAGCCATTAAGGCGACTACAACAAAGGGTTGTTCTCGGACTCCGAGGCATCATAGACTTGTATATAAAGCCATCAGCGTTCGACATTGTAATGAACCTTTATACAAGCGCGATAGCATCAACAGCAAGTTTGACTTGAGCTGTAAGCCTTTTCTTACAGCCATCATCCACTTGCCTTGACTCAAGCTTATCTCCTGACCTACAAACAACCAACTCTAAAACATGGCTGCTGGGGGCAGTCTCGGCGACAAGATCTGGGCCGCAACCAATACCGGCTGGCAGTTCGACCGCTGTTTCCACGAATATGGCGCATCCAATGAGTGTATAGCCGTGGTTTCTGTCCTGAGCATTCTTGGTGCTGCGGTTCTTGGTGTGATCATCATCGCCTGCTGGTTTTGCTGCAGGACGCCTCGCCGTGCAAGACACGAGGAGCAGATTCAGCTTGAGGCCGTCTAGGTCTAGATAAGGTAGGGGTTGAACGTAGCGACACGCTACCACGAGCAACTACTGCTAACCTCCGGGCCGGATGAGATATCAGCGTCGACAGATTGTGAACTACTTACCTATACAGCTGGTATCCGTCCCCGGTGAGTCACTCCTTACTTCCATTTGATAGTCTGATAGCAATTTCATTAGGTAAGTCACTGTCCTACGAGGTAGGCACAGATTCAAAACTCCAAGTTCCCTTTCACTGAACATGCTGTGAACATAATAAGTATCTGTGTATAGTACAGGGCCCAATGTAGTAAGTTGGTATTTTGACAGGAAGATAACTAGGATATCTGCCGCCTCCTTTGAAGCCTTCATATTCGGCCACAGTCTAGACGGCTCCACTCGAAACACAATCACCGTAATGGCCATATTCACACAGTGAACTATGTCTTGGTCACCATGAGCAGAACAGCTGAAGACAAAGGTACCCGTTTAATATTAGTAGTAATCCATCTCCCCTCCCGACTCCTCTTCCGAATACGATCTGCAAACTGCAACAGACCATACGAGCGAACGACACAGAAACATAACGACATGAATCCGAGACTTCACCACGACCGAGACCAAACCTTAGCTTTCCCCGGCTTCCTTCCATTGTCCGAAGAAGCGGTACAGCCCCTGGATATGACGAGGCGAGACGCCAATCATTTGGAGACTCCGGCCATATCCGGTGGTAACAATGTCCCTGGCGTCTCCCTAGCGAGCTCTATTATCCTATGCCTCGCCACTAGTATTCTAAGGATCATGCTCTCGATCTCCATTCTCATTGTTCACGTTCTCACGATGCCTGCCAAAATGTGCGCCTGGTGCAGGACTCGTAATCATCATGGCCAGGATCATCGCAGCGATCATACCTCGGGCAGATCACGAATCCACGGCGGCTTAAGGCGCAAGCCAAAGCGAGCACATGCAGCCGTAAGTACTGGTGCTCTTGAACAGTTGACCCAGCTAGTAAGTCTGCTGGATCTGAACGTGATCAGCGTTCAGGACTTGGCTGACCAGCCCAGCCACCTCAGCATAAGCCGTAAGGCCAGAAACGCCAATATCAGAGTTGACACTCTGTCCGACCTCGTACGTCAGCTGGACCTGAACAAGATCAGTCTTCAGGACTTGACTGATGAGCTCAGCCGCCTCCAGGTAAGGTGGCGTGGAACAGAAACTTCAGGAAGTGCCGGGATCAGCTCTGTAAAAGAGCCCACGCCGAACGCCCAGAACAGGGAGCGAGAGAAAAGCGGCACGGACATGCTAGCCCTGAGCGACCGTATCGAACTGCTAGTTCTTAGCGCCACGGGTACTAGTATCGAGGACTTGGCGGAGGAGGTGAGCGGCCTTGATATTGACAGTATGTGGAGTTGCCTTCGGAAACTCTCAGATGCCTTGGACCAGCTCAAGCTGGAAGGGTCTTCTTGAGACTGGCTTAGTTTTAGCTGCCCGTGAGGGGAAAGAGATGAGGTTAAGGAGGACTAACGTGAAGGAGTGAGTCTGGCTTGGTGTAACTAGTAGGGGGCAGAAAATAGAGATTGTTGTAAACCTCCCGCTCTCCAAAATAGAGACAGGCGCACGTCCGGGGTTTCTGTCAGAGAATAGCAGCCGTAGTGGTTATTGGTATGAGTCTGAGCTATGGGCCCGGATGTGAGCCAGTGATGTAGGCACCCGACCATTGTTACCGCTGACCATGCGGTCCATGCCGGGTTGCCACTGAGGGAATGACGTGAGCGACTGAGCATCGGTACAACGATAACTCGAAAATCTTAGCTCTGTTGCTATGGGATCTAGAGCTTGGTGATAATTGGGAAGAAGAGAGACTGCCAGTGAGGCTCTGGATTCCTGGAGGCACGCTCAAATAGGCGTTGAGTGTGTTTGTCCCAGTGCTAGTCAAAGGCACGTTGTGAGACAACGAGCTATAAGAAGCTCTAAGACTCAAAGAGCTCTACCAACAGTTGCTGAAAAAGGAGATGGAGATGGCCGACAGTATGACTGGTAGGATGTGGTTATAGGGTAGGAGGGTGTTTGTCCCAGTGCTAGTGAGAGGCAGGTTGTGGCATAAAGAGTTCTAAGAAGCTCTAGGCTCAAAGGCATCCTCAGCAGTACTAATGTACACGTCATCTCCAAGGGGATTGGAATGTTCAAATACAAGGAACAAGACACTGTGCTTTGGCATTCAGGGGCTATTGCATACAACTAACCCTAACCCCAAGCATGCTCTTGATAGATCGCATTTGGGATGAGAATGCTCGTCAAATGGCAACGTGCCAGAGTGGTTAATGGGTACGCCTCGAAAGCGTATGGCTTCGGCCGCAGCGGTTCGAATCCGCTCGTTGTCGATAACTTTTACTTTTATGTCAAGAGCCTTCCCCTTTCCCACCACCTTCAACTCCAACCGCAAAATCCTCCTCACGAATGCCCGATGCCTCACAGTGTCACACATACCTCTAATGAAAGTGGCAGTAGAGGGGATCATTTTGCGCACAAGTTTTTGGCTACACTAATACAACGCCATGGCATTCGACATGCAAATACGGTGACAGGAATCAGGTTCCGGGCCTCGTGTTAGGAACATAGGCAGGTATTACCCTTCGGATGAGTAATAAAATCTGCTGTGAGTCAATTCAACTGCCGCTTGAACAGATTGATAACTTCCTAGTATACAGACTGGACAGTGGTCAAGATATATCATGACTTATAAACAAGTCAAAGACTAGATCCCTCAACCTCAGCCTCCATCTACCTGCTCTCAGCTTCATCCCCATCCGCTGAGGCGCTCAGTCTCTTAATTTCGAGAAGATGAACGAGCACTTCGCGTGCGCTAATCCGAACATCCGGCCGCCAAGCCATCATCATGAGGAGCAACTTCTCGAGTTTCTCCCGCTGCCTCCGATTTAGATGCGGCGCCCGTAACGCAAGCTCCCTCTGGAACGACAGCGTAACCTGCTTCCTCGAAAGGTCAAACCACTCCGCCGGATGAGCCTCGCGGGGGGACAGTTCTCCCGTCTCGGCGTCCCTGGTCCCGTACTTGCGGTGCAGGAACCGGTTCCGCCAGTCCTGCGGTGCCGGGCCGAGATAGGCGGCGATCACGCTGATCAGGAGCTCGTAGCTCTCCGAGGACCCCATGTAATAAAAGGGGGAGACACCGGTGTGGATCATAAAGATGAGCATTGCGAGCTGCCACGTGTCGGCCCCGCGCGAAAGGGGATACTGAAAGCAGTACTCTGGCGGGGAGAAGTGGACTGTGTACTTTGGGTCAGGCGGCGGGTCGCCTTCATCACTTCTCAGGCAGAAAGCACCGCCGAAGTCGATGATCCGGACAGTGGTGAGCTGGGAGTGGTCCAGGCCATGCCAGCCCTGGCACGGCTGGTACACCCTTCTCGGGCCGTGCTTGGGGCGGGAGCCGTCAATCTCTTGCAGTTCTTCGTAGATTCCCACGCCGAGAAGCTTGTCCTCGAGCTCTCGTTCGGACATGGACTCAAGTCCGGGGATTTCGAATGCCACGTTCTCCGGCATGAGTCCTAATAGACATTAGTAGGGACTCGGAGGGATCATGATGGCTGGACTCTATGAAAGCAACACGGGGTAAACTTACTGCCGTGGCACATATACCGACTCTGCATGTAAGCAACTGCGCTCGCAAGCTGTTGACACACACTGTGCCGCGTGGCAGCCGACAAGCGGTCCATGACCACATTCGCGAGGGTCGGCCCAAGCAGTGGAAAGACCAGACAGAGATGGGTGCCATTGGGACCGGTATGGTAGAAGAAGTCCTCCTTCTGGATGATGTTTGGATGACCGCTACCGGGCTCCTGGTCAAGAAGATGGAGCATTCTTCCCTGGTGGCCGCCCCAAATCTGGAGAATGTTGGCGCGGTAGATCTTCAGGGCGTGGTATTTGGGTTTAGGAGCGGTGTTCACGGTAGGGTCCTTGGGCCTCCACTTGACGGCCCAGACAGAGCAGTTGACGCTGTGGCTGAGCTTTTGCAAGACAGTGTAGATGTCGTTTTCATATTTGTTCTCGATCTCGTCGCCCAGGTCGACGGGGTGGTGTCCTTCGGGGAGATAGTCCCATTCGATGTCTTCGGGGAAGATGGCTTTTCCTAGTTTCAGAGGGCGATAGCGACGAGTAGACTTGATGGCAGCCGCCTCTTCAGCCGATATCAGTACCATAGTGATTGAACGAGTAGTCAGAAGTGTGCGAAGCTGGCTTGACTGAGACCGACGTTGTAGGCTGGAATGTGAAAGTGTGAAGGAGTAACACTAACGGCTTAGGAAAGCTGGCTCCATACGAGATATAGATGATGTTGGCGATTCACACTACTGTCATCAAGTTTGCTGACCAAACACTTCCATCTTGTGGTCTTATATGATGGGTACCCCGTGATCTAAGCAAAATGTGTTTCGTGCAGCATCGCTTCGTTGGCCTGTTCGCCCAACCCGTCGCGCCGAGATGGCCGTCCATGATCAGGTTGTATCATTGTGTTGGTGAAGGTCAGTCAAGTAAAAGTTGCCATCAATATCCACTTCACTTCTTTTGAGCGTAAAAGTCATGACAACTAACCAACCGGGTAATTGGGATAGCAACCAACACCTGTCACCCTCCTACACCTTTTGCCCCCGGGCCCGACCGGGCGCTTGCGCTCCGGCACGGCACGGCGCTTGTGTTGCCCGGCGCTTACATCCGAGCACACATTCCTATCCCACAATCAATGAATTTGAACTCGCTTCAGTACTGCAGAAAGCAAAAGACTACCTCTTCGGCGCCTGCTAGGCGCTGGGTAACCTTCGATGTAATGTAAAGAAGGCCTAACCATCTGAGGTCCTGGACTCCTTTGTTCTTTGACCATGCCCAGGACGGGGGATTGCACTCATATTCGGACGCTGAACTTGAGGTTTCTACTCGGCTTCCTTTTGAAGCAAGCTGAACGTCATGCCAGGTGGTCCGTCAGCGAGAAAACCATCGAAGTCGAAATCGTCCAAGGAACCGGCGTATTACGGCGGCGTAGTGTTAGTAAATTCGAAGGCAACATCCCCCTCAGGAGCAAGTGTTGGTGCCGCATTAGGCCCTGCTCCCTCCTAGTCCTTGCGCAGCGTATACCCATAATGCCACCCCTCGCCCATCATGTCCTTACGAATCTTGTACCCTTCCTCAGCAAGTCCAAGAAGCCCAAAATCCACCTGCACCACCCTAACCCCTTCCTCTCCAACCCCCATCACCACTGACACCCCCTCAGCCCCCTGCCCCCCACCGCCACCACCCGGCCCGCCGACCGCACCAACCACCGGCATCACGACCTGACTCAACCCGCCCGAGGCAACATTACAGTACACCACGGCGGCGGTATTCTCAAACGCTCTGGCGACCAGCACACTCCGCAAAAACAGCTGCTCACACTCCTGGTTGACCCTTACCCGCCGCGCGAGGTCTGCATCCCCAGGATCGTCCTCGTCCCGCACGAGCCAGAACGACGGAATAACAACCACGTCCGCGCCGTCGGCCACCAGCGCCCGGAACGCCTCCGGAAACGCCAGGTCCCAGCAGATCAGCAGCCCCGCGCGGATCGGGCGGTGGCGGCCGGCATCATCCCAGGTTACTAGGGGCGTGTCAAAGGCCGTGTGTGGTGTTTCGACGGTGCCGGCGGTCAGGTGTGGCCGTTCCGGGTGCCAGAGGTTCTTCTTTTGGTAGCTGCCTAACAGGGAGCCGGCGGGGGAGATCCAGTAGGTCATGTTGCGGATCTCGCTATCCTTAGTGGTGGTGGTGGTGGTACTGGTGTCATAGGCCGGGTGGATCTCGCAGATGGTGCCGGGGACAATGTTGATGCCGAGCTCGCGGGCAAGGGCTTGGTAGCGAGCCAGGTAAGGGACAGAAGCCTTGCATGCGGCGATGAAGTCCGGGTGGTCCGGGCACCACGAGGTGAGGTGGTATTCTGGGAGGATGGCGAGGTCGGCCCCCTGAGCAGCCGCCTCGCGGATGTACGACTCGGCTTTGGCATAGTTCTCTTCGACGGCGACATCCTGTGGTGGGTGTAAGGGGTAAGGATCAGGGGTCTTGAACACTGTCGTGTGTATCCGACGGGTACTTGAGAGAATGATATCATCAGCTCACCTTGGGCTGCAGCTGAACGATGGCGAACTTATATACTGGTGCCATTTTCGTCTGATATGCGCAGAGGTTTGGCGATGAAGCGATATCTGGAAGTTATCTGAGGCAGATTTGCGGGGAGGATCAACACTCATAGAATGTGGCGGGCTCCTCATGTAAATAGCAGCTTCCCCCGCCCTGGGTGGACCTCCGAACGGGGTAAGTCCTACACCTATTGTTCAAACTCCACGCCGCAACACCGAGCGAGAGAGATGGACACACGGAGAATGGCAGTGAGATTAATATCATTTCTCATTGCTCTTTCTTCGAGTTGCTGGATCTACTGGTGCCACCCAGCTCTAATCCTTTCCACCTATGGCGCAGAGTCCGGCCATTTTTCGGTGCTCAAATGCAACTGCCACCCCTGTATCATGTAATGATGACCGTATCTCCATACCTACCCTTCAACCCAAACGCCGTCTCGCCATGCCATTACCTAAAGAATCGTGCCAAACCTGGGAACACGTGTGAGCAGCCATCAATGGACACACGGGAAATTCAACTTACCCAAAAGTCCTCTTGATGCTCCGGACGTAGTACTCGAGCCAATTCCGCTTTGTCACCTCCTCCTGGCCAATTGGAACGCCGGTCCACTCTACGCGCATGACTGTGACCTTGTCGACGTCGTTCTGGTCAAACTCAATCTGCAGCCTCGAGTAGTGGTTCTTGGGCCACTGGTCTAGACGCCAACTCTGCACAATCTTGGTCGGCGCCTCCAGCTCCAAGTACTCTCCCGAGACATTCCCACCAAACAGCTCGAATTTCCCGCCCTTCTTGGCGCCCTCGAATACCTTCGGCGGCGCACGGGTAAATGCTGCCAACCGCTGGGGATCGGTGAAGGTTTGGTAGAGCTCCTCGGCCGTGGTGCGGAACTCCTCGTTGTCTGTCACGGTGGTGGTGTTGACGCTGCTGACGCTGTCCGTCTTGGTGGTCGAGCTTGATAATGCGTCCTTCGCCGCGGTTCCTGTCGGAGGATGGTACTTTGGCGTCGAGAAGCCGCTCGAGGGGTTTGACCCGGGAGCATGCTGGATATCTTTGGCATGCTCGGCGATGAGAGCAGGGGCGAGCTTCATGAACTCGCTCCGGAGTTGCGGGACGAGCTTCGATCGCACGAGATTCTTGACTGGCTGCTTGTCCTCAGACTCGGAATAAATGTCGATTTCGAACTGTCGCGGGCGTTCGATGTGAGTCAGTCATTGCAGGCGATGATTGTAAGTGCCACTTACCACAAACTCGTCCTCTGTGAGCTCGTGCGAGAGCTCGGGCACGGTGATGGTGCCCGAGACATCGTCATCATCGGCAGTGGAGCCTACACAACGGAAGATTTAGCCTACAATTGGCACACCAGGAACGCAAAGATGAACAATCCAACGCAAAGAGGCATAGTGATGGTATTCTATAGCAATACGTACCTGTATACTCCAATATTAACTTCACATCGAAAATCGTAATAACTTTGCCCTTCCGCTGCGCGACGTCGACATCTCCATTCATGCTGATGACCTTGTTGATCTTGGCCGCGACATCCCCTTCCTTCGCCTCCAGCTTGGTCAGGTTGTCCTCAAGCCACTGCTTTGCCCATGCTGAGGCATCCTTGTTGACCCAATGCCAATTGTTGGGGTTGTGCAGAACCATCTTGGCGCTTGTCGGACGAGTAGGGCTATCTAGACGGCAGAGTGGGCTACGCGGGTTAGCGACGGTTTCTCGTGGGAGCTATAAATCGCGTGTATACACAAAGAATCGGTGCTCGATCAGAGTTGGCCTGGTGGACCGCAGCATCTGTCATCAAAGGAAAGGAGTACAAGTCGCCCTATGACTGGTGCCAGCTGAAACAATCATCACGGAACAGCGGGTTTGGCTAACGGAGAAGAAGACGCGAAACCATATCGAATATACATACCTGAAGTTCGAAGCTCCCAAGAACAATGGCTGTGCAAACTGATGTGTCGCGAAGAGCAAGGCGAGCTGGAAGTGTCAGGAGATTGGGCGGACTCGCCCAAATGAAGAAAATGCGGAAACTGTCAGCGACCGGCCTGGAAAGCTCTAGAAAACTTGCAAGGCTCCAGTTAGGCGGAGAGGACTGGCAGTAATCCTCACCGCCTTTGGTGGGGTAGTTAGCTTGGTAACTTCCATGCTCAGGTTGGAGCTTCCATTGATATGATCAGCAGGAACGCTCGCATCAGCTCCAGTAGGCCCGGCGTTAGCTGCTTCGACAACACCTTGAAGACCCTCGCGCGGCTGTTGGTCGGTCTAGCTCAGACTGCTGCTGCCAGACCGTTTACGTACACGTATCGATGACCTGATGATCATTTGAGGCTCCTACCTCGACCTGGCAACGGAGACACGACGTGTTTTGATGAATGGCAAGAACCGACCTAAACATACGGATACCGAAACAATGGTTTCGCATGGCTACACATTGAGCTTCTTCAGTACGCTAACGGGTTACTCGTGAAGGAGGCTAGGATGGTTGGAGCAGCCCAAGGCCTACTGGTGCAAGCTGCAGCCTCATCGGCGGTTATGATTGGATTGGACGCATGAGATCGCTCATGTTGCACAACGGCCAAGGGCATTTGAGCGAGTTGCTTAGCTACTTGCATGCCGGATGCAGAAGCCTTTTTTTGCTTTGGAAGCCGTACCTCCATCGCCTGTCGAAGCTGATTGCTGACAAGAGCCCGGGCCGACCCGAGCTCCCCATTCACCTCGGACCGTAGCCGGGCTGTCGGCTAGGTATGTGCACTCTTCAGATCGTCAAACCTGGTTCGAAATGGTGACACTGACGCTTGTGAGGTGCGGGTTAACAGCTAGGAGCTGTCAGTTTCCCGGCAGCGCCGTTGCACTTGGCTTGCCCAGCTGACCCCGCATCCATGGGTGTTCTGCATTCTCTGCATTATGCCCGAGATTGGGGGAGCCGCTTCTCGGCAGCAAGTTAAAGCCAAACTAATGACCCTACCCAGCACTCAGGTTCCATCAACGAACCGGAAAGCTCCTGTTCCGATCAATTTGTGGCCACGCAATATGTCTGGAGTCATTCGCAGAAAGGGAGGGCAGCGAATTATCCGGCAACGATCAGTACGGACTGGCATCGCGCACACTGGTCGAGCGGCAGGGCGTGGTTATTAATATCGTGTCGGTTAGACCTCCTTGAAAGGTAAAGTCTGGGGAACGGCTCCGCAAAGAGCAAACAAGCATCCTGGACTACAGCAGCGAACAACAACGGTAATGGTACTTGTACCGGATGGAACGAAGCCTTGCCAAGGGAAGGGTAAGAGCCAGAGGAGACAGTAATCACGGCGTCAGAGAGGTGAAGAGCCTGCTTGCTTGATTCAGGAACAGAGATTCTGCCACTAGTATCTGCCCTGCTCACCCAGCCCATTAGAGCTAACACCCCGATTGAAGAGGTTGAAGCAGGTGCGTGATGGTGTTTGCGCGATAGCCAGGCACAGAAAACGATCTCGACCTCCGTCCCTAGCATTTTTTGTACAGCGACTTGGCATGGAAGGATTCCCAGCACGCTAGGGGTGCATCCGCTAATGCAGAGACAGGCGGCAGTCGAATCATATCGCGGGAACGAGCAGGGGTCTAAGCGCCGGCAGCGCATCACCGACAGAATGCGCAATCGTTGGACGAATAAAGTTCATTCTCTTGAATTTTGCCCCAATCCAAGAATAGCTTCGACGGCACACCGCACCCTAATCACGGTCGCGTCTCTTGTAGGGGCTAGGTAGTGAAGTGTAGATTTTCTTGTCACTTCATGATAGCAGTCCAGGGTCGACGGAGGACAGGTAGGTAGTACTTTCAGTGGCTACATTATTTACGACCCGTTGACGGTGCGAGTCGAAGTTGCATCCACCCGCCTTTGCTGCCACCAGGCTGGAAAGGGAGCCAAGAGCTCTAGCTCCGAATTCCCTAGGGGACACATGCAAGTCCAACACCTTATCTGGCCTCCCGATCTGTGGAATGGAATGAACACCGGAAGCATTCGTCGCCTTCCTCTCTTCGTGCAACCTTTGGGCGCGCACGCAGTGTAATTACACAACAGACGGGTCGCGGACTCGCGGTATCACTTGCTGTGTGCTGGTAGATTGCCGGCAGGCCAAGTCGCTCTCGGAGCAAGACCCCTCCTGGAAGAAGGCCCGTCTCGGAAGACAGCTGCAAACCGCCAAGCCCTCCTGCACCTATAGGCACACCAAGCAAACGGGAGGCGGGCTCCCGCTTTTTAATGCAGGTTCAACTTTGCCAGTCTCGCCAGTCAACCAGGGTGTGAGTGGGTTGCATCACAGCCAGTTCTCGTCTTCCCTGCGAGGCATCCTTATCCATCTTTTATCTCTAGGATAACTCAGGCTCGCCACGGTAATTAGAGGACACCCGGGTCGCAGACGAAATCGCCGAGGGACGCTGGCACTCATTTTCCAATGATGGCTCGCACTTGACCTTCAAATCACTACGATACGATCCGACATAGCGCCAGCTGTGAATGGAGCGGTGACGGTGCCGACGAGGATTGCGTTTCGTGGTGCGGGTTTGAAACGGCTAAGCGATTGTGAGACTTTGGGACCCTGTGACGGCTTCGCGAGTGCGCAAGGACGGGGAAAAGGAGAATCAGGTCCCGCAGCCTGGGCAGAGCATCGAACCGGCCGACATGATGAATTCGTCACGAGATTCTACCGCGCGACTCCGTGCCGGATTAAATCCCCTATTGACGGCGTCATTGGGCGTCTACCACGGTCACAATTCCAACAGCACACCGCTGTCGGCCATGTCTGTCAGTTCTCACGGCGCCTTCTCATCTAACCAGACCCCCTTAAGCGCCATCCAGCCCTACAACCCGCAAGAATGGGTTTCTTCTCCGATTGCTGGACCTGGTCCCGAACGGATGCAGCATGCCCAACCCACGCAACCTTTCCAGGAACCCCAAGGTGAGTTTTCCCCTTGGTTTTTTTTCTTTGGCATTGTTTGGCTGACAAGCCGAAGCATCACCTCCGCCTCCACCCCCGTACTCGCCTCCCCGCAACCGTCCGATGAGCTTGGTGTTCGACCAGGCGCCGATGGCCAATGTGTCCGTTGCCAGAGCACCACCCCCACCGACTCAGAGGGTTACTCCCGATGCCCCGGTCGCTAATACGTCCTTCCCGCCCCCTCCTGGCGCGAGAGGTTCCTCTCGTGAGAGGCGATTTGGGCTTCCCTCGCTGGGAAGACGGCGAGAACCGGAACAACCGAGCCCGGCCATGGATTCATCCCAACAGTCGCGCCCTTTCAGTTTGATATCGCGTGTTATGCCCGGCCACCAAGCGCCTTTGACGCTTCAAATTCCACAGAGAACCGATTCAGAGGCAAGCCAGAACATGGCACCGGGCGCTCGACGAGCAGTCTCAACCCCCGCCGTTTCGACACCAACCTCAGCGCGATCGCGCTCCTCGTCCCAAGTTCGGTGGGACCCTTCCATGCCTGTCCCTCCCCCTCCCCCAGGGCCGCCGCCTTCTGCAGCCAGATCCCAGAGTGCTCAACCGATGCCGTCCGGGAGCGACCCGATTGTGTCACCGCCGACCCGGAGACCGCCTCCCAGCGGGGTCACTGCACTGGGACCGGTACCTCGCACGCCGGCGAATTGGAGCGAAGGTGATAGCATGCCGGTCTCCGTCCCGGGTGCGGACTCGGCCGACTTGGCAGCCACCCCGGGGGCTGAGACGTCGAGTATGGCAAGCTCAAGCACTGGCCTACCGCTTGACTCTGGTGTATCCTCGACGAGCTCAGGGGGTTTGACGAGAAGCCCTGCCGTCCGTGGCGAGAAGACGCTACTTGAGCGGAGGAGCGAGAGTCGGACTAGGGGAGGGAATCACGGTTCAATCGAGGCTTCAAATGCGCCGCAGCCGCTATCTGATATCGTGATACCAGGGTCGTCGGGGCTACAACGGCGCCTAACTATCGGCCGGGGTACGCCCCGGGCTGGTAGGAGCGGTGAGACTCCCAGGACGGCAGATTCGCACGAGAGCGGACAGGAATCATCTAGGACACCACGCGCCGCGGGTTCAACGCAGACTCTGTCCGGACAGGTGACACCAACCAGGCCACTACAAAATGCCCAAACGCTCCCGGAAAACCATCAGGCGCTTGCGCCTAAAGCGCTGCCGACCCCCCCAACCGGGAGCCGGTCTTCCTCATCGCACCGAGGGCTAGTTCACGATAATTCTCTTTTCACTCCCCTATCACCTTCACAAGCATTGACTAGACAGACAGTCATTACTCAGAACGTCGATCAATTTGCTATGGGAACCATTGAGCGCTTCACCGCTTTCGCCCAAAAGGAGGCATCAGCGCCGAATGATGTTGAGCGAGTTCGCTTGTTTGCGGAATTCTTTGTTAGCGAATCGCGGATTCGGCGGGAACGCTATGCAGCTGCTATCGGGGCCATGGGTTCCGAAATTCTCGATCTGACACGCGATTTGTTCCGGCCAATGCCCTCCAGGAGGGAATCGATTGCCTCAGCTACTAGCGGAACCGCCGAGCTAACGCCTCAGTCATCGGAGCCAAGGTCGCACCGTGGATCGATGGGGTCAACATTCGGCGGGAATCATGGACCGACACCCTCAACACCGGCTTCGTCTAGCCAACAGGCATCTCCTGCGACAGGGGCCCCGCCCAATCAGAATTGGCAGTCAACTAACTACATGCCATCCTTATCTCCTATCCTGAGCATGAGCGTTAGCGACGCAGTGGATGAGGAGGATTCACGAGGACGTCCCGCAAGCCGTTGGTGGGAAGCTGACTCCAGTGGAACCCCTTCGGCGAGGTTGGAGAGGTCAAAAAGGGAGTCGAAGTACATGGGAGTCCCGAAAGAAGCTCGCGAGGCTCTGCAGTGGATCGACGAGCCGCACCCTTCCCCGAGTGCAGGATCAAGCAAGCATGCATCAACAGGGTATCCGGCGGAAAAGACCGGATGGCACGACCAAGACCCGTCGACCACACCACAGCCTCTCTCACGCAACTCGCTCGCTTCCTCGTCGACGCCGAATACACCGAACCCGAACCACCTCGATGTATCACGCCTGGTGACGCTTCCTCCGCCCTACCCGCGCCATCATCCGGCTGTTAACAATAACCACCCCGAGTTAGCACCGATAAGGAGCGCAGTCCGTGCTATTAGTGACATGGCCGAGATTGAAAAGATCAAGGAACGCTTCAAGCAAGGGAGCGCCAAGCTCCGTGCCGAGGCAGCCGAGGCCGCAAAGCAGCGCCGCCAGGCGCTCCGTCAGAACCTACAGCAAGAGATTTCTACCGGCGCCATCGGGTACGCCGAAGCAGCTGCTATCGAAGCAGATGCTACTGCAGACGAGCACGCAAAGGTAAAAGAGCTCGAGAAGCAAGATTTTGACGGCTTTCAGGAAACCGTTGTCATGCCGGTCAACGAAATTCTCCAAAGCCGAATCACCAAGGCGACCGAATTATTCGATTCCCTCCGCAGCCGTCTCTTTGACGAAACTCACGAATCCAATCCCAATCTCCCCCAAGAAGAAGGCGACGAGCAGCCGGAACTCTTGGAGAAGTTGACACTCCTCAAGTGGATTTTCGAGGCGCGCGAGATGCTCCACCGCGCCCTATACGACCTCCTCTCGGACCGCAACGACCGCTACCGGGACATGGTGCTTGTTCCCTACCGACTGGCTAACCAGGACGACAAGGTCGCCTCGGCGCAAGCCTTCTTTGTCGAAGACGCGGGCAAAAGGGCACTGGCATTTGCCGAAGAAGTCCTCCATCGCACGCAGGAGTTCCGGGACGTGGTTGAGGAAACGGTGGTCCGCGGCGTCGAGGTGCAGCTCAACGCCTTCTGGGACATTGCGCCGCCGCTAAAGCGATTGCTGGACAAAATCCCTGCGGGAGACCTCGACGGGTTTGCGGTGCAGATCCCCGCAGCCGAGTTCGCCGAGAACCCGAGCTATGTCGACCACCCGCTGCAGTACCTCTTCAGCCTGCTCCTCCATGCCGAGAAGAGCACGTACCAGTTCATTGAGAGCCAGACGAACCTGCTGTGCCTGTTGCACGAGGTGAAGGAGGCCTGCGTCTCGGCCAAGGCCAGAGTCATGGAGTGTGACGGGAGAGATGCCGCACGCGTCGCTGAGATGAGGGCCCAGGAGGGCAAGAGGCTTACCGACGACCTCAAGGAGAAGGTCCGTGTCGTCCAGGACCAGTGGAATAGTGCCTTGGGCGAGACGGTTAGTGGAGTCAAGCAGCGGGTCGGGGGGTGGTTGCTTGAGACTGGGGGGTGGGATGAGAGCTTTGAGGAGGGCGGTGTTGGAGGGGTTTGACCTGGCTGGGTCAGTGAATGAGTGAGTGAGTGACAGAGAGTAGCTGCGGGGTGATTTGTGATGTTGTTGCGCTTTTCTGCCTTTTTGGGTATTGCTGGAGGAAACAAGCGGGTTGATGAGGGCTTGGTTTTTGTGGAGGTGTTATTCTTGATACCCCCGTTATCCATATCTATCTCCTCATTCTCGGAGGCAGAACACACGCTATGTATTGGATCGAACTTTTCTGGCAAGATGGAATCATCAGAGAAGGAGGCGGCTGCTTTGACATCCGGTTTGCTTCTCTTGGTTTATATTGTCTCCTTATGTCAATACCATTTACACAAACATAACCCGTCTACAAATAGAGCATGGCAAGCAATATATGAGATATGATCAGTCCATTACCGGCCATATAGTGTAGTCTCTGAAATGCCGTCGTAGTGCTATGCACTTGAAATCGCTTCTCATAGCTGCGATAAAAATCGTTGACCGGGAAGAATATTGAGTGGCTCTATAATCTATAGCGAGGTGTAAGCGGGCGGTGTAAATAAAGTGGGTGTCTGAGCAAACAAGAACAAAGGGTGGTTGATCGAGGAATCGAACCCCAAAAGAGAGGCAGGCGTTCGAGCCCGGGCAGCAGTCTGGGACAGTCTTTCGTCGACCAGAGGCTATCTAGGAATTTTCTCAACGCCCACGCTGGAACCGCTACGCCAAATCGCCATTGAAATGGTTCAACGACGTACCGGCTCCTGTTGATGACCTGAAGCCAAAAACTTCCCTATATACCCCCACCCGCCACCCAAGATGGATAAGCAGATGTACGCCATTCCGCTTCTCATCCCATCTCAGCCATTGATTTCAGATCCTATATGATGATTTGCAGTGTCCATGGTTAGCGTGCGGCAAGGACCGGTATCCTGGCAGGCGACTGTTAGGAATAATTCTCCTTATAGTGTTCTGGTGAAGATTGGTATATAGGGTTCACTCACCAGCCCGGCAGTTCCGCCAAAGGATATTCACTTGTACGATGTACAGTAGTAAGACATGTGCTGTATGTACGGCCACCCGAACGCCATGCCCTGTTTCTCTAGCTTATGATGCCTCCCCAAACCCATCTTCCATTCGCAACCCGCCAGTCGAAAAGCTCAGAAGAAAAGCACAACTTTTCTTTCTTCCTCTAGTCCTTCCCCCCTCGGGCAGTGGCACTACCCGTCACCTGTCTCTTTCTTCCCCGCTTTGCCCATGGTCATGCTCATGCTCCGAATCCCCGCCGTACTCCCTAGGCAGGTCCATGCCGACCCGCCGCGCCGTCAGCCGCACCCGCTCCTCCTCGTCCATGCCCATGCCCGGGTTGTAGCGCTCCAGCAGGGCGACGTAGGTGCGTTGTGCGCGGAGGTAGGCGAGGTATTGCTCCGCCTGGGCGAATTGGATGTCAGCTGTCGCTACTGGGGTTGATGTTGTTGGGCTGAAGTTGTCGCGCAGATGCTGGTGCAGAGGTGCGCGCGGCGATGAGAGGACGGGCCGCGCTGGCAGCTCGCGGAGGAGGGAGCGGTACAGGGACCGTAGGGTTGCTGGTTGCGGTGTCATTGCTGATGGATGGGAGGATTTTGGGCTGTTGGGTTGGTGCTTGGGCGAGGATGAGAGGGATGGCTTGTACGTGGCGAGGGTTGAGGTTGAGAGTTGAGAGTGTGAAGTTGTGAACGGCGCTGGATGGTCTGGAAAAATCGAGGTTCGATATTCAACCCTTACCCGTATCGGTGCCCTTCTCCCGGCAGGCAAGATAAGATAAGATTCTATCCATAACTTCAGTCCGCAATTCGTTTTCGAATTTAACACTCCCTAACGCTTACTCCTAAGGGCTCTGCGACGCCTATCTCCTGCCATGGCAACATTGAGACCACTATCTGCCGTCCTGGCAACACCGTCAACCACCTCCCAATTCATCCGCCATGTTTCCACGAAAACAGCGAAATCCAAGCCAGTCAAGCAGCCAAAACCGCAAACCAAACCAACGTCCCGCAATCCCACCGGCACCACCTCAACAACCCCCACGATAGACCCAGCCACACTCTCCTCCGTGTCCTACCTCCCGACACCGTCCAACAACCCAGAGCAATCCGCCCTGGCCGCGCCCATCCCACCCGTGGCCTCGCTCAAGAGCACAACCGCCCTCTTCACCTCCCGCAAGCCGCACTTCCTCTACTCGGCCGCGCGCTTCCTGCACCTGCCACAAAACAGCCACACACCCGAAGTATGCCTGCTGGGGCGCTCCAACGTGGGGAAATCAACACTGATCAACGCGCTGGCGGGCGCCGAGGGGGCGACGGCGCGCGCGAGCCACGGCCTGCGGGCGCGCGGGGCCGGGCTGGCCATCACCAGCCGCCGCGCGGGCAGCACCCAGTGCATGAACGGGTATGGGTTTGGAGTGCCGTGTAAGGAGCAGTACCTCTCCTTTGCGCAGGCCGCGCAGGAGGCGCCTAAGCGGGCGAAGAGTCGGTCTGAGAGGAGGAAGGAACATAAGGAAGAGCCGCCGCGACACCGGCTGGTTATGGTGGATATGCCTGGCTACGGTTTGGGGTCGCAGGAGGCGTGGGGGGTGGAGATTCAGAAGTATCTTGCAAGGAGGGCGATGTTGAGGGGGGCTGTGCTGTTGGTAGATGCTGTTGCGGGGATTAAGGAGGCGGATAAGATGGTTTTGGGTATGCTGAGGGATGCAGAGGTCCGTACTGCTGTGGTCCTGACCAAGGCGGATAAGCTTGGTGGTGGGGAGGATGGTAGGAAAGAGAGGGTGGATGAGGTTTGCTTGAGCGTATGGGAGGAGCTGAGGAGGGTGGAGCAGGAGAGCTTGACGTGGCTGGAAGGTGCTGAGAGGGGATGGGAGAGCGAGATTTGGGTTACTGGCGCGGGGGATCCGGAGAGTGGTGGACTTGGTGTGGCCGGTGCGAGATGGGCAATTTGTCGGATTGCGGGGATTGTGAAGGACGAGAGGGTGTTTGATGTACCTGGGGTGGTTCAGAAACCATCTGCTCCGAGGATTGTGTCCTTTGACGAGCTCATGTGGAAGGCTCCTGCTCAGCAGCGGCCTTCTTTTTAGACGTGGCAGCAGCTTTGTACATGTTTGTGTAATATATAGATTGATACCCCTTAAAAGCAGCGCAATCGGTCTAGTTGGTTCCTGGGTATTAGATGCGTTGTTCCACCCCTCCTTCGCTATGCCCATAAAATTCGCCAGCGTTTCCTACACCCCCTGACTAGGCCAGGTAAATCTTTTTAGCTCTCCTCTTCTTCTTCAGTCGAAGCCTGCTCTCAGACACGGGCATCCGCGGGTCCCGAAACATGAATCCCGGGACAAACACATCCAGCAGATTATCCCAGAACCCAATATCATATAGATTCTCCACGTCCTTCAACCTCCAAACGGCCTCCCACTCACCCACACCCGGCAAATCCGCATCTTGCGCAGGCGGCTTCCCATCCACGGTCCGCACAAGCACCTGCTCCGGTTCAACCGGCCACCTCGTCCACGCGGGCTCGATCCTCAGATCCTTGGCCCTCCCCTTCTCCATCCTGCGCTTGAACACAAACCCGTCGTCCATCTCGGCCTGCCAATCCGACCACTTCATCGACTCGTTGGTCGTCGTCCCACAGTACACCAGCCACACATGGTACCCCAGCAGGCCCCACACGAGGGGGCTGGTCATGAGGGCGAGGAGGGTGACGGCGGCCATGGCGACGCCGTCGTGCATGCCCCAGCTCCAGATGATGAGCCACTGCTTCAGGGGCATGCCCGCGCCGGCATTGGCCCGCCAGGGGAGCAGCGCCCAGTAGGGGAAGCGGGCGCGCATCTTGCTGGACATGATGTGCATGCCCAGCAGGCCGCCGTACAGCGTCAGCACGGCGGTGGAGAGCAGCAGCAGGATGAACCAGTGCTGGTTGCGGGCGCCGACGCAGTTGTTGATGAAGATGCAGTGGTGGTCGTTTTTGGCGATGCACCGCTTGCACACGGAGCAGTGCTTGGAACGCGCGGGCTTGAGGAACCGGCACGTCGAGCACTCGTTGCCCGGGTGGAACAAGGTGAAGTCGTACGGGTAGCGAGCCATTTCAGGGATGTGGTTCGCGGAAGTGACGTACCCCGGGTCGGTGAAGGCTGAGAGGTAGAGGAAGACATAGGGCAGGAGGATGGAGATGGTGCCCGTGATTTTGGTGAGCGTGCCGATCTGCGGCCAGGCTGTTGGAAGGTAGAGAAACTCGCTCCCGCCGAGGAGGACGAGGAAGAATATCTGAAAATGGTAATAAGCAGGGGTGTGGGCGTCTAGACAGAAGGCTGATATCGTACCAGGATGGTTGGGTGCTTGTCATACATCATGTAGTTGAAGAAACGCGTGCAAGAAGCCGTCACCCTCCCCTTGCTGACCACTTGATCGAAGCCCAGGACCCCGTTGGGAATGTGCACCCATATTAGGCGATGCAGCCAGGCTATTGGAGTGCGTCTACAAAGATGTGTCAGAATTATGGCCAGTTGCTTGATAGTTTCACATCTTGTCACTGAGCGGATATTTGCTACCTGAGTGCAGGAAGACGGCCAAAGAAGGTCACAAAGACCATAAACGAGATGCCGAGGACGACCAAGGCAATTGTTGCGATAGTGCCCATTCTGCTGATGTGTGCACAAACAGACGACCCGATGCATCCTACGCTGTTGCTGAAATGGCCATCCAGAAGCCGGTATTTTGGAGAGTTGCGTGTTTCTAAGAGATGCGATTGAGGTGGAAAACGCGCTTCTCTCAGGTGAGGCGAGCGGGTGAGCTGTTGGCACCTGCCGCTGCGTTTCAGCCCACACAGCGCATCATTCAGCGCTATCGCCCAGGGTCACACACCCAAGGCGTTGGTCCCCCGGGGCTGACGCCTTAGGGAAGGATCCACCTTTAACGGCTAAGTTAGGCATATATGCAATTAAACGAGCTTGTTCCCTTCTTTTACATATGGAATTGAGTCCCGTGAGAGCGCGACACGTTCCCCCCCTAACACATATCTGACACGTGAAAACGATCACGCCCAACGTAAGGTTCACGCGACTGGAACTATTCCAGGTCGTGGCGGAAAAACAACAGAACATTGATGATTTCCTTCTAAATAATCGCAACTAATACTTGATCCGGCGACAGCAGTCTTTATCCAGCGATGGGGCAAAGAACCTCCATGTTTCCAGCGCATGAGACCTACGCTACAGAACAGCCCCCACAGAAGCCGCTCTAGTTAGATTCAAGAAGCCTGACTCCCGCGCAGCAAAGCCGATTCTCTCACCTCTTCTCGAACCACATCTCAACTATCAACAGGCCCAAGACAAGAGGCGCCACTCCCCTTCCAAAACCGATTTTGCTCTTGGTCTACCTTGCGCCGTTGGACTTTCCTCGGGTTCGGCAGCACACGTTCCCAAGGCGGCCCAGCCCACGCTGGGAGCCTATCACAATGGCTGCCCCGATTGTGTATGAAGGCGTAGATGGAAAATACAAGGGCACGCTGTTTGGCGGAGTCAAGTTCTGGGTTGCTCAGCGAGTCCCAACCCGCAGTGTCCTGGTTCAAAATATCAAGGCACGCTCCCCCCCTCGATCTGTTCCCCGTAACAGGGTCCTGACTTGGCACAGGATAACGGCGGCAAGGTTGTTCTCCTGGAAAAGTATGCCGATGTGCTGATTGCAGACCCCGCCAGGAAAGATACGCCTCCGGGATCTGTCTCGTGGAAGTATATAACCGACTCGGTAAAGGAGGGAAGAATCGTCGATATTGACGAATACCGGATTAGCCGAGCGAATAATCCACGCCCGGTTGGATCGTCGAAACCGTCCAAAGGCACTAGGACCCCTTTCTCCAGGGAGGATGATGAGCTCTTGGTGAACTGGATACGCCAGCATACACACCACGGTGGCAACAAGATATACCAGGATCTCGAGGAAAAGGTGCCGTCTCTAGTTCCTAATTCCTCCGACATGGGCAAACTTACTGACATCTGCTAGTATCCGCATCACACCTGGCAATCGTGGAGGGATAGGTGGGTCAAAAAGCTCTCCCATCTCTCCAGCGGCGAGCTGTTGCAGTCCTATCCAAGCACGCTGCCGCCTCCCAACGCAGAACGGGTCGACACATCCCGAAGAACCCCAAGAGCTGCCACAGTAGCCTCCTCCCCTCAGCCAACCGTGGCTGCTCCTAGACAATCTCCCAGGAGCAGGACCCGCGTTACCGAAGAAGTCAACGGAGTTGTTACTCCATCTGAAAGATCTCAGCCGGCTAGAGCTGTCCCAGTCGAATCCCTGCCCGTCAACCCCGGTAGAAAGAGCGATGCGCCACCTAACATAACGTCTAGCACAAATGGTCCAACCAAGCAGCACTTGGAGGAGAGGCGTGCCAGAATCCGGGCCGCGAAGACAATACAGAGAATATGGAGAGGCTATTGGGCGCGGACGGTGGTGCGACGGCGGATGCCGCTGTTGAAGCGAAGGCGAAAAAAAGTCCAGGCCGCCAGGACCATACAGAGAGTTTGGAGAGGCTACCGGGTCCGGCGAGATAACCCGCGACCTTCCGGACATCAAATGGCAGCAGAGACAGAGGCAGCGCTGGCAACAGAGACAGAGGCAGCGCTGGCAGCAGAGACAGAGGCAGCACGGCAACAAACGGTGCCCGCATTTACCGAGCAGCAGTTTTGGAATATTTTCAACCATTATCGAGGCGATGGTAATCTCGTTCCGTGGGTGCAGATTGGCCCGCACACGGTAGATTTCTGGACTCTCTGGTCCTCTGTCACGGACAGGCCGCCGCCCCGTGATTGGCAGCTGGTCGCTGAGAAGCTCGGACTCAACTGGGTTGCTGAACAAGAGGTGCCAACGCTCCTGAGGGAGGCCTATCGAGAACATCTGTTCGACTTTGAATGTGCGATGCGGAAATATTGTCAGACTGTGGATGAAGAGGAAGACGAGGATGAAGAAGGAGGCGATGATGAAAACGGGGAGGAGGAGCAGGAGCAGGAGGATGATGAGGAGGAAGGCGAGGATAGGGCAGAAGTCGAGGATCGATATGAAGGCAAGCGATCACCATGGGCGGCAGCTCCTCGCACAGAACCTTCAGACCGCTCAGATGGTTTCGTGTCCTCGCCGCCTTTGCCCTTCCAACGAGCTCTTGACCAAGTTCATAGCTCAATCGCTCCTCCGTTTCTCAGTTCCTCTGCCAAGCGGCGGCGACGCGACCCAGATGAGGAGATCCCCGACACGCCTGAGTTTCGCTCCGAACTTTCACGCCAACAAGACGACTTTTCCAGAATTTGGATGACTTCGGCCCTTCAGCACACCCCAAGCAAGCGCCCCCGTTTTAGACCGCCTCCACTCCATAGGCAAACGGCAGAGCCGGAAACCCAAGATTTTCATTTTGGGTATCCCTTGCAGGATAATGGAGTGGAAGACGACGAGCTTTTTGGCCCGTCCGAGCAACTACGATCAGAATCGGATATGTTCTATCGGCCTGTTTCCGCCTTGCCGCGCCACAACCCAACATCCGAGTCGAGCGACGGATTTGAGTCCATGAACATCAAGCCCCGCATTTCGAGTCACCGGAGGCCTGTCCTCCCTTCCTCAACAGCACTCAGCCGATCCAAGGGCCCGTCATCGACTTCCACAACTCGACCTTCCCCTCCAACCAGTCTCGCCCATGCCCAGCCGCGATCTACCATTAATGCTACTAGCAACCATAATGGGAAGCCTCGCTCTTCTCCTACCACTCCTGCCACAGCGAACCATAAGCAGAAGTCTACGCAGATCATTGATCCGGGCCCCATCATAGAACACTGGGTCTCGCTCGGCTACGAAGAACCTTTCGTCGCCCGCGCTGTCAGGGCAACTGGGTGCAAAGAGGCGAATGTCGGGACTGTCATTGAGAGTCTGAGGCGAGGAGAAGGAGTTCCGAGAGGGATAAAAGGGGCGTGGACTTCAAAGGACGATAAAAGGGTGAGGGAGATTGGGCCGTGGCTGGATTCTCTTCGTGGGATGATCCCTGAACGAGGGAAGGGTAAGAGTATTAGGGGTCGGGAGGAGGATGTGTACTGGGAGTTGGCGGAAAAGCATGGCGCTGAGGCTGTTATGGATAGGAGGGTGTTTTTGAGCTTATGGGACCGCCTCTGAGATTAAGTTTTGTTGGTTCATATCTAGCGGTGGGTTGGCTCGGGCGTGGATCGGGGAGTTTGGAGTTGCGAGTATCGGTACGGTGCAAGAGCATGTGGCGGCCAGAGGCATCAGATGTTTAGTAAGGGGGGCGCTTAGATGGCTTCCGCTGGCTCCAGGGCCACCTGATTCACCAATTTATCAGCCATTACCGGTACTTCATTCAACCTCCGCTCATCAGATCATTGAATGATTTCGGATCAGTACTGACTGATAGGCGGGTTCGAGGCGGTACTGTGCCAGTTGAGAGGTTTCCTCTTGGAGCATCGCCGGCGTCATGTTGAGAGGATTCGGTTGCTTCCGTTTACTCCATTGGTTTCGTACGACACCACATCTGGGAATTCAGGGGTTCCAGGTAGTAACTTCCCAGTTGAACCTAGCAAACTGCCAATAGCGGTAACAGGTAAAGTTGTCGTGTTGTTCCGGCAGTGGCTAAAGGGCAGACGATATTCAAGCAAACGAAAACAAGATGTTTGCTCTGGCTCGGCGAGGTTGGCAAACGGCCACACCGGTACCCAACTCTATGGATGCCCACAGAAGAAGACTTAGCGGATCATAGTAAAGAAGATGAGCGCAGCTGGCGCACAATTGCGATGCGCTGGTCCTGCATATGGCAGATGCACCCAGCCGGTCAAACGCTCGCGTTTGGATACTCTGCCTGGAGACCTCAGTTACAAAGTAGGGGGCAGGCAGTATATTTTTTTTGGGTACCTAGGTAGTAAGGGCCCAACGTTCTTCCTCTACGACAAGAGCATCACCACTCCTGAGAATCCTCACTACTGCATGTCCTCATACATCATTATCCCCAACCGGGCATTCATTACGCCTTGCAAATCATCCACGCATCACAGTTGCCCTCATCCAAGGGACCAAAAGACAATGTCCTCCGCAGCCACCCCAGTGAGCCCCGCCCGAGCCCGGGCCGAGCGTATCGAAGCAAACTGCAAAATCATTTGGGGCGACGACAAGGAGTATGACATATTCCACGAAACCGATGATTACGTCTACTACATATGCTATGTGAGAACAATCATACAAAAGAATCGATTTCCAGATCCAGGGCCAGTGTTAGTACAGAGTCCAATGTGTCCCTCAGAGGCGGAAGCTTGGACGGAACTGGACAAGATGCTGGCAATTGGCGCGAAGAATGTCAAGGCTAGCCGAGACTCGGAGCGTCAAAAGTGAAGGATCAAAACTGGAGGTTTCTGGTAAAACGGGCAATGGCGAATGGACGGATTCGATAAAGTCATGGTTTGAATGGATGTGCTTGGGAACAAAGGCGTAGCTAAGGTACATGTGTCTTGAGGGGTTGAATTCCGGGGGTGGCTGCTCCATGGGGTTCTTTGCGGGTTATCTTAGTACTTAGATGTGACGAATCTCGGTCCCCTACCACTGAAAGGGACTTCTCTGAGACTGAAGGTCGAACTAAAGACGGGGTGAGGTTCGGTAGAGCCAAAGGGTCTACAACAATTGACACAAGCAAGTGTTCACACAGTAGCATAGACAACTGCTTGCATTGCTTACTGGAGAACTCTCAGAGCTCTCCAGGACAAGTGACTATATACTAGCTATTTCCCAAGGTGCTCAGTTTGCTCAGTACTGCCCTCCAACTGATCCCACTGATCACCTCTAAACATTCGTTGCTTCCTGATTCGTTCCGT